TAATCTCTTTATCGCGAGAGCGACCGCCTAAGCGCGCGAAGCTAGGCTTAAAGGCTATAATATAACGTAAAAGCTAATCTAGAGCGTAGTTAGTCTAGTAAGCGATAATAATAGGTGCGTCGAAGCCTTACTCTATATTATTTAGTAAGGCTTTTAGAGCAACTACGGACACGTAAGTCTTACCAGTTCCAAAGGGTTCTTAAATAATAGCGTATTTCTTCGTAATTATGCGCTGTAGGGCAAGGACTTAAGTCTTATCTAGCTCTGTCTTTAGATAGTCCGGCCACGGCTAAAGGACATTTATGCTTATTTCGCCCTCGAATACTAGAGTGAGATTAAGGTGTGGGTTCCTTTCGATATAGTCCGGGGTATAAGATACTCCGATAGAGGAAATAGTTCTCTTATTAACTTCTATAGCGTACGGAGCGTGTGTCATATATCTTTAAAGTAGCTACTACGCTCTTCGACCATTATCTAGCATTGGCCGGGATTAATCTTAACTTCCTCGGGGCGTGGGAAGAAGATGTCGATTTTAGGCGGGTCTTACACTAGGTTGGCCAACGGCCTAGCAGCGATGACCGCCACGGTACATTTAGAACGAAAGTTGTCACTCTCCGGTATTAATATAATAAGTAAGCCAGTAAGCAGCCGCTTAGATTACTCCCAATAGATTCGTTTACCAGCGCGGGTAAGAGAGAGTTAAACGCGGGCGGTAAGTCCACGAGGAGAGAAGGTAAAACCGACTATATAGATATTATTATAAATGCCCACAGTACTGCCATACTCGTCTTCTTTTCCCCACGACTTCGTGCGGATCCGGCCGACCGTCTCGCGTAAGGGACGGATTGTGTCTTCTCTCAGGAGCTTAAAATGACTCTCCAAATATTGCTCCTTCGATGGCCAGGGACTGTCGATGTTGTTTGGCAGAATTGACACTGTGTCACTTAGAAAATCCTCTGTATCAAGGATTTCCTCAGTGGTCGGTACCTCTGGCCGAGACAACCATGACTCAGTGGCCACGGGAAGATTTGCTTCGGACACATACTGCCGGATGGTATAAGGCACGGCGACCGAAGGTTCAACGGAGGATCTGGCGAATAAAGTTCCATGCTGTGAACGACCAGCGATGTTTATGCGTGGAAACTTCTCGTGGAGGTGTGGGTTCACCTCATCTTCGGCATCCATTGCGGCGAACTGGTATGAATCGGCAGCAGAGCGCGGCGCTCTTATCGTGGAGGGAGCCATCGTCAACTCAGGCGGAGTTGCGGTAGCGGCAGGCTCAGGCGGCGGGCCCGCCACGAAGCTCTTGAACTAAGGTTTGGCTCGCGCCATGGCGATAGAGCGCAAGTAGACTGTAGGACTGTTCGGTGGAAGGCTGAATTGAATGCGTGCTTCCTCTCGTGCAATCAAACGCGCGCGCAATCGCCATTCCCGGTGGCCCGGTGGAAGGCTGAATGCGTACTTCTTCCCGTGCAGTCAAATGAGCGCGCATTCACCATTCCCGCGGCGCCGCGCCCACCTGATGTGCTGCAAATGGTCCACTCCGCCCGTTCGAGCAACATGGGCCACTGCGCCGCCCGCTTCCAATCGCTGCGCGACACGACCAGCAAGACCGGCAACCTGCCTGTGCTCTATTGCTACCGCAAACATTCTACCTCCTACAACATGGCCTTGGGCATCTCCTTCATCGCCTGTCTCACCCCGAGATCGGCCAGAATCTCCTCTGTGCCACCCAGGATCGCGTCAAACTTGTAGCACCGGTGGAAGTGCTCCACCACCCTCCCCATGCCCGTCTGGGTAATGCCTCGTCCGCCGAAGATGTTGACCGCCTCGTCCGCAACCTGCCCCGGCCGTCAGTCGCAGGATCCGTGGAAAGGAATGATGCCCCCCTCCCCCACCGGGCAGAGATGAGTACTCACTTCGTGTGCCGAGCGCGTCGCAAACGACTTCAGCAGGCCAATGGGCCCGCTCAGGTGCTTCGCCTGCTGATCGTAGCTCATCTTACACATCTGGTGTGTGATCTGCTCCAGCCACGCCTGGTTGGCCTCGACGTGGGAGATCATCTTGGCCAGCCTGTCCGTCCCGTCAGTCAGTCGCAACGCTTCTCGGCAGCAAGAGCAAGGGATACGCACTTTTGTCTAATGACCGGCTGTGCGAGGAGGTTCTTGCCAAAGACGACGCGCTGGTTGGCCCACTTGAGGCATTCCTCGACGACAATGCGCTGCCAGCTGATGACACCGCAGCACATGGCCCATCTCTCGTGGTTGAAGTTGCTCATAATCACAGTGAACCCCTTGTGCTCCTTGCCCAGCAGGTGATTGACCGGGACCTTGACGTTCTCGAACTGGATGTATGCAGTAGCGGCCGCCGTCGAGTACGACGTCTTGATCGGCTTGGTCTCGACTCCTTCACCTCTCTCGACAAGGATGACCGAGAATCCCTTGTCCGTCTTGCAGCCCACGACAAAGTAATCGCAGAACATTCCGTTCGTGATCCACTTCTTAGTGCCATTGATGATGTAGTGCTTGCCGTCGGGCGTCTTGGTGGCAGTCGTGCGTATTCCAGCAACGTCGCTTCCTGGGACATGCGTCAGTCTTACCATGCGCAGCCTAGCCCATCAGACCTAGCACCAGCCACCAGCCACAACACACACACACACACACACAGAGAGACATACCAGCAAAAGCCTCGGTAATGGCCAGACAGATCTTCTTCTTCCCGCTCAGGCACTCGTCCGTCACCTTCTGCTGCAGCGCCTTGTCGCCCAACCACTGCCGCACCGCCGTCAACGAGATCATCATGCCCGCCATGTTGCCATCCTGGAAGCCGCGCGCCTTGGGCCTCACCGACTCCTGCGCGACGATCAGGTCGTGGAAGTAGTCGAACTCCCTGCCGTCGACCGCGCCGCCGAGCAGCTGCCGGCCGTGCAGGTGCGGGCCGGGTCCCAGCTTCATGGCCAGGACGTTGGCCTCGGCCATCTTGTCGACGAGCTCCTGGCTGATGTAGGTGCCGTCGCGCTCCTTCTCCTGCGCCTCGGGCGTGACGTGCGTGTCGGTGAAGAGGCGCACGGCGCGCTGCAGCCGCCGGTGGCTGTCGGCGTAGTACGGGCTGTGGAACTGCGGCCGCAGCCACAGCGGCTCGGCGTAGGGCACCCGGCTCTGGTCGCCCGGCCGCGGGTCCTCGACCTCGGGCGCCTCGCCCGCGACCGCGCCCAGGCAGAGCTGCGCGTCGTACTTCTGCAGCACCTCGTGCCGGTGCAGGTTGTAGAAGGCGGCCGTCGCGTCGGTGCCGGCGACCTGGGCGAGCACGACGGAGCCGCCCGGGTGGGCGTCGGCGAAGTCGGTGAGGTCGTAGACTTTGTGGTCGATGATGCACCAGAGCGAGTCCGGGGTGTTGTTCTTGGCCACTGAGGCGCGCGTGAGCTCCTGGTGAGGCATCCTTTCTTCTCAATTACTCCTTTTTTTTCCTTTTTTCCTTTTTCGGTGGTATGCAAGGGAGGTGGGTGGGTGGCTAGGTGTTCGGTAACGGCTGGTGGATTAGCTAGCTGTTGGAGTTTTGGTAGGAAAGCAGCAGTAGCAGCAGGAGGTAGGTGGGCAGGGAAGAGAGAAAGAACCCACAGGGCACAAGCTGAAGTTTCGGCGAGCTCCGAGACAGGTAGGTCGATCGGCCGGGAGAGACGCACGAGTAATAAAAGAATTGGCACCGGGGGGGTGGGCGAGTGTGAAGAAGAGGGGTGTGGGGGAGGGGGGGAGGGGGAGGAGAAGAAGAAAAAGGAAAAAGGCGGAGGTCATATTAAAAGAAGGTCTCTACATGGCTTGCATGCGGGCAGGAGCCGCCCGAGGGGACCTGACCTACAGGTGGTTCGAGTCTGGGGTAGACAAGACGAACCAGCCAGTCGCGGGGCAGACAAATGCAAATGCCATGAGCCGACCGCAGACCGAGGCTCGTTCGCTTCGACTGGACCCTGGTCAAAGCTCCCAAGCCCCTCTCCACCTCCACCCCTGCAGGCTGCGTCGGCCTTGGAGCGGAGCCAATCGGATCGCAGAGGATTACGGTCGTCATGTAGGGACCCCTGTCGCCGCCCCTCCCCACTCCGCAGAGCTGTCCGCCGGTCGATAAGGGCGTTTAGTGATACAAAGATCTCGGGTGCGTGCGCGCGCTTTTGACCGCCGAAAGCAACTGTAGGTACTGTCTACGGGAAGTGCTAACGTATGCAATTGATGAGGCGATATCAGAGACATGGTATTCTCAATGCGCCGTCCATCTCGACCAAGAAGCTTACGCCCGAAACGGAGGAGGTTCCCTTTTTAGGGGTGACCGACGACAGCTGCTCTGGGCGAGGACTAATCGCTCGTGAGCATGGCTTCCTCCATACAACATATCGACTCGAGCGAACCCTTGCACACCAATGTTTCCCGCGTCATCTCGTATCGACCCAGCTTCGCAAGTTCTTGGTGTCTTTCTTTTTCTTTTGGTTTTCACACTTTTTTTTTTAGGTGAGAGCAAATGTAGCGAGAGTTGGTAAGCGTAGTTGTTGAGATTTAATCTATTAAGATTGAAATGGAGGGGAAGGGGACTTGTATGTGCTGAGGACACGATACTGAGAGAGGTCCATTATAGTATTTCTCGTGATGTAGTTTCTTCCAAATGATTGTAGAGAATTGGATTTCTCGTATGCTTGCTGTATAGACATTCTTCGGTCATTGAAGGGGACAACGGTTGTTGGTCTGGCTACGATGGGAGCCCATCAAGAGCCTCCGAAAGTTCCGGAAGCGGATTCCACAGATGGCCGGCCAGGAGATGAGTGGAGATTGCGTGCGTAGTAGTTGAGAGAAAAGGGATCGGAAGGCCAAGTGAGGGGAAACTTCGTCCAAGAGGCTCCACGTGCATCCGAGAGACGAACACTGGGAAACTCCAGACGCAGTTATACCGTAGTTCAAGCCCTAGTCTGAGTGGTTCGCTTTTTGGGTTGTGCGTGGATGCTCGAGTGCCGAGACCGGTCACACTTCCCGAGTAACAGCATACTTGCTGTGCTTCCGGACGAGGTGACCCCACTTGTACAGAGTGTACGGAATCGGCGTCATCAGCGCCGAGATACAAGCCAAAATGGTCAGCGTGTACGGCACGCCCATGTTCTCGTAGAACGGAATGCCGACGACGGTCATGCCTCCAGCTGCGAAGTACCGCACCAGCGTCACAAAGGTGAGGGCGGAGGCGGCGTACATCTCGTAGGAATCGATGATATACATGTACGCGGAGAGGAATATGCCGATGACGCCGTAGCCGAATAGGGCGGTAGCGATGATCGGAGACCAGATGCTGATCGAGGGCGTCGCGGTCCAGCCCTGCCAGAAGAGCGCGATGGGGATGGCGGGAGCGGCGCCGAGCATGGCGTACCACAGGCGGGTTTCCGGATTGAAGAAGGCCGCGCCCTTGGCTTTGGCGCGCTCGAGGTCTCGGACGGTGATGCGATAGACAATGGGCACGAGGAAGACAACCATGACGATGCCGATGAACATTGCGACGAAGATGATGTTGGTAAGGCCCTGCGAGATGCCGTACGTTTCTTGGAAAATGTAGGCGTAGCCATCCAGGAAGGTGAAAAGGACGATGTAGATGACACTCAGGTAGAGCGTCATTAGCATGATGATGGGTTCCGTAATCATCAGGAAGGGCCGGGTCATGGCAACCTTCAAACGCGTATAGAGGGTTGCTTCGACGATTTCATGTTCGGCCCGGAAGCGGTGGTCTCCTGTGATGTTCCGCATTTGCTGAGCCTTCCATTGCAAGAGCACTGGACCAAAGGTCTCGGGCATGCAGAAGAACAGCATGGTGAGCACGAGCCCAGAGGTGATGAGCATGATCCATTCTGACCAACGCCAACTGATCAGTGGAGAGGGACCGATGTATGCTCCAATGGCAGGTCCAAGGACGGGTCCACCGAATGCAGCAATGGCGAAAAGGGGGAAGCCCCACGTCTTCTCGAGGCCATTATACATATCGGACACGGAGCCGCCGGCACAAGTCAATGGTGTTGAGGCAGAACAGCCAGCCAGGAAGCGAAAGACAATCTGTGCACCGAAATTGGGGGCCAAGGCGGCAGCCATGATCCAGATGCTGTAGACGGCAAGTGATGCCATGTAGACGATGGTTCGCCCGAAAGTCTCGGAGAAAGGGCCGGCTACAAGGGCACCACAACCGAATCCAATGAGGAACATTCCTGCAGAAGGGTTAGCGAGGTGCCCGCAGGCTCATGGTAGTCCCTACCAGTGGCCAAAGTTTCCGCAACCTCGCTGACCCCGAACTCGGCAGCGCCCTGAGGCAAGACGGCGGCGTCGATGGATGAGGCGGCGCAGACGGCGAAGGCGACGGCTGAGATTTGAAGGGTAACGCCGACGCGCTTCAGAGTGGACCAGTTTCGAGGGTTGAGAGGGTCGGATTCACCCTCCCAGCCGACAACGAAGACCTGCTCTCCTTTGCCTTCATGGGTTCGGCGGTCACGAGCTTCAATGCCAGTCAGGGAGTGACCGAGGGCGGCTCTGGCGGTGTACTGGGTTCGAGCAGTGGCAGCGGTATGGACGCGGTCGACGGCAACGTGCTCAATCTCCTGAGAGGTGGATGAGTTACTGGACGAGATGGAGACAGAGTCGGTAGAACGACCAGGTGTGAAAGGCGCCTCCTTTTCTTCCTCCTCTTCCTTGTGCTCTTCTCCGCTTTCTCCTGGATCTCCCGGATGCCTCTCCGACTGCGAGGACGGAGGGCGAATGGTGATGTTGTTCGCCTTCTCCAGATCGCGCTGGATCTGAGCTTGTGTGGCAAGGCCGAAGCGTCGGTACTGAAGAATGGACTGCATGTTGCAAGTGAGAATGCGGCGACGGGCAGGCTGGGGCCAGGAGAGGCACGGTGAGAGACGGAATATTTAACAACTCCACCCTGTGGAGGGCATGGGCCAGGAGCTCGATATTTCTAAGCGGTGACGTTGGGAGGGCGAAAAAGCTGGCGCGATAGGCATGCTGACGACCCACTTCGATCCATCAGAGGCAGCAGCGCATTGGCTCATGCAACGCATTGGTACCATCTCAGGCCGAGCGCAGGCCACCGAGCCCGAATCCGATAACTCCAGACTGCCGACGTCGAAGTCGTGCAGAGGCGGCGACGCTGGCGGGAGTCGTGGCCGGGGCTGGCGGCGACGCTGGAGAATTAGGCAATGGCTCAGCGGCAACGACTTTCGTAGCTGCCTGCTTATCTCAACCTCGCCTTCAGCCCTAACTATCTAGGCTTGACCTTCAGCCTCTTGCGGCGCTGCGGCACAGACTTGCGGCCTTGCGGGCTCGGTCGATCGCCGACGGGACCAAGCCTTCCGCATCGCCTGACGCCTATCGACAATCACCAATACATATGGCAGCAGGAATTGCCCGTTTGGGTGATGTGTCCCACCTGCAGCAGACCCATGTCGTGTCCCACGCCGAAGCCGCAACCGTCGCGAGCCTCAGTCAGACTCGGGCACGCAAGAGGCACGCAAGAGGCACTGCACCGCGTCGGATCTGGCAGCAAGACCGCAACTTTGCACGTCGCAGCGAGAAGAAGAAAAGAAGGAAAAACGGGACGCGTGCTGGTCCGCGGGCCATGATTCGGCAATGGCGAATCATGCATGTGCGCATGCGAGCCATCACATTTCAGACTTTCACTCCCGCCTCCGTTCATGCTCAACCTCCTCTGCGTCCTCGTCAGCCCCCGGCCACAGCACTTCCTTTGTGCACACGGCGCGTATCGATGCTGCTGCCACCCCCAGCCATGCCACGCCCACCAAAATCGTCATCGCGCTCGTCACCGCCTTGATCCCGTCACTGTCCAGCTCTGTTCCCAGCTGGATCGCCGCAATCGTCAGCCCCGCCTGCGGGAACACGAAGCTCCAGCAGCTCATTGTGAACTTCATCTTCTTCCACCCCAGCACGTTTGAGATGCTGGCCAGCGCGAAGAACCAGAACCCGAGCAGCCACAGAAACACTCCGGCCGGCAGGCCCACAGCCTTCCACACCTGACCCGCCGACGTGCCCTCGGTCCCCAGGAACCCCGCCGGCAATATCTTGGGCGCCAGAGATCCCACTGCCATGAAGGTGCTCGACGTGTACGCCGCCGGCCCCACCGCCACGTACATGCCTGGCCGCTCCGTTTCCGCCGGCATCTCGCTGTTGATCAGCCGCGTCAAGTAGAGCGTGTACATCATGAACGCCATGCTCCACCCAAATCCCGCGAACGCGAGCCCGCCGATCATGATGGGCAGCCCGCTTCCCGCCGGCTGCGAGTGTTCGAGTCCCGCCGCGAGCGGCCCGAGCACCAGGAACGGGTAGGCCGGGAGGAGCCATGCTGGCGTTGCGTCCGCCACTGGGAGGCTGCGCGTGTCGAAGATGACGTGGTACTGGAATATCACCACCAGCAGCGCGCACCCGGCATACCCCCAGAAGAGAACCTCGAGCGTCCTCACCAGCCAGAAGCCGCAATAGGGCGCTCCGTAGAGCTCGATGTTGTAGATGATGAATGCTATCGAAACCCTGTGCACCAGAAAGATCAGTACCCCACAGTCTGCCTGGCATGGTTGGAGGACATGTACATACCAAAATGTCCCGAAGAAGAATGACTCCCGCGGATGGTGCAAGGATAGCTTCAGGGAGCCTGGTTGCATGGCGAAACGCGTTGCTATGCAAGCACTAAATGAGACGAACAGCACCAGATCCAGGATGAAGAAGACCCTTCCGATGGTGAACAGTCCATCAAACTTGAATGGCTGTTGGGCCAAGAGCACGGCCATGGCGCCCGTCGCCATGGTGCATTCGAACCATGTCTACTCCATCAGCAGCAGATTCACCAAGGAAAACAAGGGGAGTCCAGCCTCACCCATGTGAAATGGCATATCCGCTCCTTCCATGCTACTTCACGCGGCTCGGAAGGTGGGGATGCCTGCCTGTTTGACGGGCTACCTGTGGTCGATTCCGATCTGCCCTGTCGAACCATGTTGGGGCTACAGGCAAATGTCCGATGGTATCGAGTCGTTTCTTCGTGACTGGAAGAAGCCACCTTTTCGATGCAGTGCCTGTTCCCCCGTTGCGGTTTTGACCCAGAGAGCTTCAGAATACGTCAGCAAAACACAAGCGCAGACGCTATACCTCAGCCGTGCAATCTGCCTGGCCATGTTACCTCAGGCATCACAAGTACGATATGCACCATTTTGGGTGAAACTTCAAATCCAAGGCGGGCAACTCACAAACGGATCTGAACGGATGGGCTAGACGACCAAGCGCAGCCTCTACGTCGTTTTAAGCATCCGTTCCCATTATCGGTAGGACCTCGCTTGCTGTCGAAAGTTGATAGGAGTGTGTTTCGGTGGCACGGATCTCGTCGCCTTGGTTTTTCGTTCGACCGCGCGGTTTCCCCATTCAGCCTTTCTATGATGCGGTCTGGATGGAAATGCGTCAGCAATCCGGCCCGTCCTCTCACCTATTTCTGGGGCGTGTGATCGTCGGCAGGGGCGGAGGCGGGTATGGCGGCCGGGATCGCGTCATGCGCATTAGCTTCCGCTCCGCTCCGTCGTTGCCAAGCTCGTTCGCGTCCCGCAGATGTGCTCGACGGTTTGCCGCAGATGGGTGCCCGTGACCCGTCTATTCGCTCTTGTGACTTCGGTTGATGGTGGGTTGCTCAGCCTCGTCTGTCGAGGAACATGGGGCTAAGGTGGTTGAGTGGCTCGCCACGTTCGCGCCCATCACTCCGCCGCATAGACTTCTGCGCATTGCTCACCAATCAGTTGCCTGTGCTCGTGAACATACGAAAGTATGTTGCAAGAGATGGCCCGCGATCCTCGCAGCTGATTGCAACGGCTCGCATGCCCCAGTCAACATGGGCCAATGCATGCAAGAGTGTGACGGGATAGGGGAATACCTGCATACTGTGTGCCCCCTGAGAGCGAACAGATAAAATGCCACATGCCCCAAAATAAAGACACATTCGCGAGCAAGATCTATTCAACATCCACAGCGGGACGAAACTACCATCCGAAAAACACGAGACTAAGGACGAAAGCAGCGAACACAAATATGGAAAAAGGAGCGAAGCAACAGCCAGCTGCGCTTTAAGAAAAAGGCCGACGTCGTAGCGTCAACGCGATGAAGTAAAAATGAATGCAGGACAAAGCGAAAGAGGAACAGGCCGGGCGAATAATGCAAGGAAATGCATCCCAGTCCCCCATCTGGACGCCTCCCGGAGGCCGAAACCGTTGTCCCCTGCAGACAGTAACCGAATCCGTAGCGTTACACAGCTTCGCCCGCTCCAATGGGGCCCACCCACGAACGTTCAGATGGCATGCATGCGTCGGGGAAATCTGAAAGGCTGAAAAAGCTAATTACGACGACGACGACGGTGCATGCATGCCTTTCGAGTGGCTGGCCCTCACTATCGCATCCGCATAGCTCTTGGAGAAGCCCAGCTTCACGTAATGGTCTTTGAGGTGGCAGCGGCGCCAGTAGCGTTTCTTGCAACCCGGAATAGTATGGAAGCGCGAGTCGCATGGGAAACGTCTCTTCTCGCTTCCCCGACTCCCGCAGCTCTCCCTTCGGTGCCGAGAGAGCGCGGAATTGCATGAGAGCTTTCGCTGGCAAGACTGGCATACGATAGAGCCTTCATTCTTGGGTGCCTTGGCTTGCCTCCGGATGGCATTTGGCTTCGTTGCCGCTGTTTGGGGCTTCTTCCCCTGGGCTCTTGCGCCAGTTGTCTGCTGGGGCTTCGCTTGAACTGTCTGTTCACAGTGAGGAACTGTGACCGGCGAGGGCCAAGAGAGGCTTGCTGCTGATGAGGGGCCCTCGAAATGCGGCCCATCATCGCCATGGAAGGACCGATCCGGCTCGACCGGCTCTGGTGAGCCGACCATCTGCGTTGTGTAGGATGGCACACCAGAAAAAAGGTGTGTGTTCGTGGTGGTATGCGAGTCTGAGGAACCTGAGGAGCTGGAGAAAGTTCCGGTTTGGAAGGGCTCCCAAGATGCCGAAGCAACACGGTCAAATTCGGAGGTGTCCAGAGGGTTGTGGTCGGTACTGAGCCATACGTACTGACCCAAGCCCATAGAGCTGTAATCAAGAGAGGTTGGGCCGAAGGAAATGTCATCGGAGGAATTTGAGCTCCAAACCCCCTGATTCAGATCTATCCGAGAGTCGCGGATGTCTGGAGCATCGGTAGGCTCGACGATGTTCTCGGAATCGATCGGGCTCCAGTGTCGGCACTCTGGTGAGGAAGAGAACAGGTATGCATTCAGCTGTGAGAAGGCTTCGTCCATTTTTGGATACCAAGAGATATGTTCGGAGCTATTCTGGGATAACGGTCGTATGTCGTTGATACCGCACTTCTCAAGGGGTAAGCGATGACCCAAAAGGCGATCTTCAGGATTCTCTACTCACAGAAACAGTATATCCTCGGTCGAAATATGTGCCGATCAACGGGACGTCAAAGGAAATCACGACGAGAGAGACTGGAAGATGATGACCCTTCCACCTTGGATTAAGACGACGGGAGAAAGAGCTCGGGTATCGTCTTTAGTGAATGGTCAAAGAGAGGAAACCATTCCACGCGGCCTGCGCTGGAGAATATCGGGCGGAAGGACGAATTGTAGAGAGGCACACATGCTCTCTTGTTGGTCCAGAAGTAAGGATCTTATACTCTTGTCGAGTGTGGAATACCAACGGGAAGCGTGATGTGGTATTGGCCCGGTCCCAAGGGCGGCAAACAGGGGTGGGGGACAGTTGTGGGCGACGCTGCTGACGGCTTGGCCAGCCATCGGAGAAAAAAAAAGCACGGGAAACCCGATTCAGCGACTTGGTTTGCCTCACTAATTCCAACCGTTGGTGATGCTCACGCTGGTCGGGGTGTGGGTGCATCGACGCTTGTCCAAACCCGTCGAAATGGTGACTCGGGCCGGAAGACAACTGGCTATTCGTAGGGTTGGGCTCGCGACGACCGCCATGGAGCGCATACCCCTCATCTATGTTCAGATCCTTCCGTCTCACAATATGGTTCTGGCGACGCCGGCGGCAATCTCGCGGAAGATAACGGGACTGGTCGACGACAACGAGAGCGAAAGGGGGGCGCGAGAAGACCTGCAAGAGAGTGAGCCAGTCCCAAAGGGCTCAAATCAGTGTAAGCGTGTCCACTACATGTTAGTCAACGGTAATCTTGGCCACCTGAAGCACTGTTTGGGTACGGCTGGTTTCGAAAGATCATGTGCTGTTCAGCACGAAACAGGAGAGAGAAGCGGAAGAAACGAAAAGGCATCGCAAGCACAGCGGAAGGTCCTCTACATAAATGCCACAAGGCTCGCAGCGGATTTAGGCGCGTGATACAGCGACAAGCCAGCCGCATGCACTCTCGATTCCACGCAGATGTGGCTGTCTGCCGAGACACCCTCTTCACAGCCGAGGGCTGACACCAAATCCAAATGGAGGGTACCGATAACGGAAAGAATCGATGCACGTTAGTTAAATTCCTCGATGGTTTCCGTTGGAGCGATTCACTCACTACAAGTTTTGCTGTCTTCCATGTCAGACATGTCAATCCTTCGTACGTAGCGATATGCTGCAGGAATGTGCGATTCTCTCCCGAGAGCCTGTCAAAGCATGCATGGAGAAGCTCTCTGGCCTTTGCTTGCTCGAGCTGCTCGGTATGAGTTACTGAATCGGTGTTTGCACCGCGCCAGGTGATTTTCCAGCCATCGGTAGCGAAAACTCTGCATTGCCATAATGGCTTTGTACAACTGCCAAGAAGGCAACCGTTGTTTGGCTCATGAGGCAGCCACGGCGATTACGCAGCACTTAGGTTGAGAAAATCGGACCAGGGGATGCAGCTGTGGCTGACCCGGACTCCGCCTCGCCAGTGTCCGCCCCAGCGCAGCCTAGAGAAGCGCCATTGCCCCGCCGCTCCTTCCGACACTGTGTGTAGACAAGAGCTGTGCGGTAATTTCAGAGCAGGCAGAGAGCCGTACCCGCTAACCCAGCGAACTCATGCATTCAGAGCATGCTGGGCTCCCCACCTTTGCCCGATCGGCAATGTAGCGATGTGTTGCGTCTGGCGGCGTGCGACCATGGCGCCCTGCTGCATACAACCAAATGTTTGCGTGTAGATTATGCAGGCCCCGGGCCGCGCCGCAACAGCAATGCCGGGCTGACGGTCACGAAGTCATGTCGGCTGGCGCAATCAGCTTCCACAACAGTTTTGAGGCCCACCATTGAATTCAGCCTTGCTTACTGCATCAGCCCGCACATGCGGGGCAGCATGAGGCCATTGCTTGGCACCTCCCTCCATATATCACAAGTAGATGCTGCGCTGAGGTCTGCAATTTCACTGGCCTGATCGGATCCATGATTGGTGAAGCAAGCCTTGGAGTGGGCTCTGGTCACACACACACCCTTACCTCCCCAGGACGCTTACAGCGGACGAGAAACAAATAGCTCCATCTTTGGGACTGCGAAATTCACAGAGGCAAGCTCATGGGTACGGGCCATTAATTCAATCAATAGGAGGATCTGAGTACCAGCCCCAACACTTGCCAACCAGCGGCTGAAATTCATCCATCAGCACATCATTCCCACACCTCAACGACCGATACGGTGCGAACACCGAGCATAGCCGTCAGTGTGAGGGTGTTCTTTCGCCTGGTGACCTTTGAACTTGTCGCCACGCCTAAAGACCTGGCCACAATGCGGACATAGCCACTCCTTGCCCGTTCCCGGCCCACAACCTTTCTCGTCCTGATGCCGTTGAAAGTTCCCCTTGGTTGTGAAGGACTGTCCGTGGATCTCGCAATGGAAAATTGAACTGGTCCGCCGAGCAGTTTGAAATATGATTGGCTTCACCGTCTCATTGGAACTTGTGGAACGGCTGGGACCTGGCGATTGCGTCGAGCAAGGAGTGCAACAATCGGCCGGCGAGGATTGCATCGAGTTCGGGCTGTCATGGTCCACGAGCAATGGCGGCGAGCCATTGGAAACTGCGGCTTCCCAACACTGTCGGCAAGAAATGTCGAGATCAAGCACCCGTTTGAACTCATCGTCGGAAAGCTTGGCCAAGTCGAAGTCTTCCGGCTCCTCACAGAACCGACCAAAGGTTCCAGGTTCGGACGACATGTCAAAGGCCTATATCGTGCATGGGCGTTGGATCAAAGTGAGCTGGTGAATTCGAGGGCCGCCGTCGGGATGCATTGCTCAACCCAATGGAAGATAAGAAGTTTTATACTCCAAGATGACGGTGGATTCCCTGGGAGTAGAAGATTCGTGTTGCGTCGTTGTAGATGTGGGTCCGTGGGAAAACCACCTTTGGGAAACCACCTCCATGGTCCTCATGGCGCGTGTTCTTGGGGAGATTGCGGCTCACCTGTGGGAAAAGCTGACTTGGGCCAATCATAGCGTGGTTGTGATTTTCCCCGCGTCGCCTTTTCCCACAGCATCATCTTTCCCGCATGCCAACCGGCTTCTGTGACGCGGGATAACCATCCATAAGCTCCATAGCCAGTTTCGGATGGCACCACGTCGCAAGAGAGCTCACTCTTTTTGTCCATGGAACGTTCTTGGCGACGAACATGTGGGCAAACAAGCCTGGGTAGATGGCGAACGGACGAGGAATTGGTCTTGTGGAGTCGACTTGGAGGGCATTCTCTCGTACGGTCTGAGATGGCCTGGCTCTCGCAGCCTTTCGCGCAAAGTACAGCACGAACTCTTGAGATATATATGTCCGAGAGACGGCTTTAAGGCTGCCTCCATGAGCCGCCAGACCATGGCTCCAGTATGCACCTTCGGCTTATTGCATAGGCGACAACAGCAGTTTTTTTTTCGCACTCCAAGGGATGCTACAGCTGCGAAGAGTTCTCCTCACCGGTCGGCGTCGGGGGCGCAACTGAGCATTGCAGCTGCGGCGGCTGAGCCCAGACAGCCTTCCGAAGTGACACATGAATCCCATGCCCTCATTTACCCTGACACGCACCATCAGGCTGCTGATGTACTTGGGAAAAAATTTATCCCACAGCAGCTGAGACACGGTAATTTGATACAAGCATCGAGGATTGGTCAATACGTACGCTGCGGCTCATCGTTGCCTGGTGCCTCGGCCGCATCTTCGCTGGCTGGCTCTGGCCCGAGCTAATCATGCGCCTTGCTCATCCCGCATCCTGCATTAGCTGCGTCTCTCGATTGGACGAATCCCTCGCCTGACCCGAGGTGCAACCCGATATGCATACTGTTAGATCTTATCTACTCGGGTGCATAACAGCGGAATCCTTTGTCCGGATGCATTTGTACTGTTTCGATACTCGCATCTACATCCGGAAGACTGCTTCAGCTACTGATGAAGAGAGGTCGTCTCAACTTGATTGCTTTGCCGTAGGCAAGCTTCTTTCGTCACTGTGCGATATGATTCTCTCCGCAAGGAGGATGTATAACCAGCTGGTCCAAATAGCAACGATACATGAAAAGTGAAGTTTTCAGACTGGTATTCTCGTACTACTTTCTCTCCTACAGATGGCTATAGCAAATGGCCGCATGCCGTAGAAGACGCCCCGAGCAACCCGAAGCTCTGAAAAGAGAGCATGATAGTAGCGAAAAGGGGAAACAATTCCCGACACTATGGCCATCGCTTTATCCCCAGAGAGGGACTTATGGCAGGCGAGCTCATGGTCGCTGGCTCACTGAAGTAGCCAGATGCGTCTCCGGCACCTTCTTCTTCTCTCTCCTCGACGAGGGTTCGTGCCCTTGTTACATCCATGCTGTTGAAGAATTCCCCAAACACAGTCTCTGGTTTCATCGAGGGGTTTGCGTGCATGTCGTGGGAGCATGGTGCATATTGTTGAGAAAAGATGCGCTTGACGGTGCGAAGCACCATCCTGCTGCAGTGAAGAAGACGTAAGAAATTCGCGTGCAAGTCATGCTGGGGGCTTTTTCATTACCTTGGGTCCAAGATGTTCATGTCTTCTCCGTGACGATTATGCCTTCTGAGGTGAGCGAGGTCTGCGCTTTATGTTGTTTCTACGAGGGTTTGGGGATTTAAATATTTGAGCCAACATGATTCCGACGCAAGCATTCTCCCGCGCCCAGGCGAAGGGACTATCGACCGAACTTTCCCAAAGCTTGAGGCTTGGGCTACCATGCGCAGCAGCGGCATCCTCGCACCTGGACGCTTCGCGGAGTAGAAAGGAACGACAAGAAGGCGGGAGAAGGCGGGAGAGCGCCTGAAACGGACGGTGCGCGACTCCTGGGAAAAGAAGGCAAAGCTCGTCACTCCAGTAGTGTGAGCTGATGTTGGATTGTCTCGCATGCGGGAAAAACGTGCATTCATGGAATCCAGGTGGGAAACTGGCGGCGGGTGGCGCCAGCAGGAGAAGAAGCAAAACGATGGCGGGGTAGTAGTGGCGGGAAATAAGACCACAGCCCAGACTTCATGCGGGAAAATTTTTAGCTTGCAGCTTGCAGTGCTTATGCATCATCCTGCCGGGATTGCATTCCCACACGTGCGGAGAATATCCCATTATCGGGGCCGCACGCCCGGGCTGCCCTCTGGTGGTACATCGCATGAATAGCTGGCTCCAGCTTATGGTATTCGAGAGGAGAACACGCTCCTACAGCTCTGGAAGCACACATTCGAGTCTTAAGCATGCACCTGTCTACGAGTAAAGTGTTCCAAATAATGGCATTCCATGTGCAACAGCGATGATGGGATCAAGAATTGTTGACGGCTAAGGAAATGGTGGCATTTCGGTGAGAAGGGCGTCGAATTGGCGTTTGTTGCCTACAGGCTGTGTTGTTTGAATCGGTTCGCGAACCTCAGCCCGAATTGTCAGCCTTGTGCCACGTCAAATGAAGGTGGTGACGATAAACCCCCCCGTCCATCCGCTCCATCAACTTAGTCGACTTTTGTAAACTTCGTCATGTCTTCTCCGTTCAGTTACCCTCCACTAGATCAGCTACTCCGCCAAATTCGCCTAATCAGACTACATCCTGCGTCTCCGGAAGACCCCATTGAATGCTCCATTTATGTGGCCTCGTTAAACAACAACCCGGAGTACGAGGCGCTGTCCTATGCGTGGGGCGAGGCGGGTGGAGGCGTTGAGATTCAGCTCAATGGCAAACCTTTTACCATCTCAATTTGTTTATCGTCTGCTCTTCGACACATTCGAAATGAAGCTGAGACTCGGGTGCTTTGGGTCGACGCGCTTTGCATCAATCAACAAGATTACGGCGAAAAGGAACACCAGGTAAAGATCATGGGCATGGTCTACAGGAAGTGCAAGATAGGGCTGCTGTGGATTGGGGAGGAGTCGGAACGAAGCGATGCCTGGTGCCCCGCCCGAAGTCAGCGTCACTGCGACTACTGCATCAAGGCCCCTGGAGCTGATGGTGTTTGCTCCTACGACACACATCAGCACCACCAAACACACAGGGAGACCAGTCGCCGCTTGAGCTTCTCCTCTGCTCCTCACGGCCAGACCAAGTGCAAACATTTGAATTGCAGGTGGCACGGACGACGACCATCCATATCAGCAGCTCAGCAGTTGATGAAATCACTCGAGAAGCATCACCTCCACGAAATCCCCGCCCTGAAACATGCCCTTCAACCCCGAGAGAAACTGGAGTTCGAGATCATGGAGCCGCTCGTAGCACTGGGGGCGTTGATGAGTCGAAGTTGGTGGACACGGATGTGGACCGTTCAGGAAGCCGCTCTACCACCCATTTCCACTCTGTGCTATGGCAAACTCACTCTTCCGCTGGTTGAAATGGCTAGATCAGCTGAGGAGCTCTTCTACCATTCACAGAACTGCTGTTCTGAGTTCTTTGCCCAACTCGTCCAGAGGCTCGACAAGCTATCGTGTGGGGAGGCCACGGTCAACGCCCTGTTCAACTTTCAGAAACACGTACACACCTTGGACTTGACCCGGAGATGGATAGAGCAGCGTGGTACGGGTATCAATCTCATGGACTGCTTGTACAACTTTCACGATCGGAAATCAAAGCACCCGCGGGATAAGATATTTGCCTGTCTTGGCCTGCACCCCTCGAACTTCGGTCTCGATGCGGACTATAAAGCCGATGAGCAAAAACTGTACCAGAGCGTCAGCCTGCATCTGCTGCGCTTATACCCAGATCGATCGCTCTCGATTTTGTGGCGGGAAACCGAACCCGCCGAGCCCGCCGATCCAGACCATCCTTCATGGGTCAAGGAGTTCGACAAAGAGACGACGGCAATGAATCGACGGGCCCGAAGCGTGCATTATAATGCGTCCAAAGATGGATCTATTCGGCTCAGGCACTACGACAAGGGCATTCTCTCGTTTGTTGGCACAAAGGCGGATGCCATTTCTGACGTGACAGAGCATCTCCACTTTGTGTCCACCTATTCCGGATGCCAATTCTCGACTTTCCGCAAATGGGCCAAGTTTTTAAAGCTGCACGAGCGTCAGTCTGTCGCTTGGCTCGGCGACTTCACCAAAACCCTGAGCGGAGATGTGCATAGGCTGCGCCCGGACTACTCCGGTCTTGACGAAAAGAAGCTGGAATCATTCGTCAAGTCGTTACTGAAGAAACGGCCACGATATGATCTCGTTGAGACATCACTGGCCCAGGAACTGAACACCTCGGCTGCTGGGCGAAAATTGTTTAAAACACAGAACGGACGCATCGGCCTGGGGCCGGAATGGATGCAACCGGGAGATGAGATATGGGTTCTCTCTGGAGGCAGTGTTCCATTTATTTTACGGCCTTTGACGACCGATATACTTGAAAATCATGAAGCGGCGCAAGATGGTGCTGAACAATATCACATTGTTGTCGGAGATTGTTATGTTCAAGGTATCATGTTCGGGGAGGCAGTGTCGAATGAGTCTCATAGTGAACGCGTCTTCCTCACTTAGTCTCTCAAGTACACGTCTTATGTCCATACCAGTTTCATCTTGAATAACCAATCAAATCACTGTCAGCTTCCAAGTCTCAGTTTCTACCCCTAACACCCCACCACTCCCTTTCCTTTTTGTGCCTTGTAACGGAGACAAGCACAAAGCTCATAAGAGAAGCAACAACAAAACATGTAAATACCATCAGTGATGTTGCTTATCAATACTGATCCTGTCCGTACTATTATTGCGCGCCTGCACGCCTGAGTCCAAATCACCCAAACATTGCTTGCTATAAGCACCACATGTCAACCAATTTTCCACGTACGACCATAGGTCGCAGAATATAGGGCTTCCCGTCCGCTCAGCCGTACTCAAGCTGCGAACCGGCCGATTAGTACTCAAGTGGGTGACCATTGGGGAATCCCGGCTGTTGTACGTTTTGCGATTTTTCTTTTTCCTTTTTTTTTTTTTGGCTCCTTTGTGCCCAGGTGCCCCCCACCTCGGGCCGAGCGGCATTTCCATTTTGTTGCTCGCACCGCACGCATCGCCGTAGTACACCACAGGAGCTACGGGGCGGAGAACCTTCTAGCGCGGCTCAGATGGCTTCATTATCGCTTTACTGACTCGCTTGTCCTTTGCTTTTTTTTTTTTTTTGTGGAAGGTTCATTAACGGCTGTTCGTTAACAAGCCGCAGCTCGGTGCTTCGATCACTGAATATCGAGCACAGGAATCTGCGGATAAGGCAAGAAAGAGGTGGGCAGGATCAAGGGGGTCTAAAGTACGGTATCAACACAGATATGACGAGAGGAATAAAAGTCTACATCTCTCAAAATGAAGCTTATCTGTTTACTACTTAATTTTCAGAATCCGGAGTGATTACCGCCAAGCGTGACGCGGGACGGGACATGTTCGTCAGTGATTTAGTCCTACAGCTCCACCGAGCAAGAACAGTAGGGTGGAGAAGACGCGGCCCTGCTAAAAGCCTGTTTTGCTCTTCCACTGATTGATGAAGTATGCTTCAGGGCCATGGGAAAGACGCAAGATGCAGGCAAATCGTGGAGTTTATAGATATCATCCGCACGCCTCGATCTTACAAAGCTTGGTTAGACCATGTACAGCACGAGCGGGTAACTCGCGTTGTGCGTGGTGCGGCACGGGTGATGACGAGTGTGAAAATTATACAGTGAATAAAATGATGCCATCGTGCAGGACGCCAAGAGAACGGAAAGGCACAAGTCTGCTCTTCCGGTCTCCTTCTCCACGTTTCAGAATGAGCTACCGTCCGTGGTGGAGCAAGGCTGTGCTGTAGGGCAGAGACCGGCGGGGTCGTTTGTGGTGTCACGGCCAAGGTCACTGGCCACAACACGATGGTCTCAGCTCCGAGGCTGTCGCAGTGCCAATTGCCACAGCCGCCCAGTTGACAGCACGAAATGCGGCATTCATACCGCGCGCGTCGCACTGGGCATTGCATCGTGTGTCTGTATCCACGTGGCGGGCTGGCCGAAGGCAAGAATGCAGACTTGTGGTGACGGCGGACGCCTGATCGCCGGCCATTACGACACACCGGAGCTGATTTGATGCCTTGATGGCCATACAACACGGGGCGGATGCGTGTCGGTGACGCTCTCGGACGTACGACAGTGACGGCAGCAGCGGCTTGCGGAGCGGCCTCGCCGTGTCGCGTGCGCCGGCCGGGCTCGTTGCTGCTGCTCGCGCGCAGACTCTCGATCGGCGGAAGGGCCTCCATCTGCAACGGCGGCGGTTGGTGCTTTGCGGCAGCTGTTGCGGACGACGGGCCATCATGCGCGGGCGCGGCTGAGGCCTGCCATGTGGGGAGGGAGGTACGGGCGGTTATGACAATGCCAATGACAATCTACCGAGAGGCTGCGTCGCGTGGAGCCGACGTATCCGAGAGGCGCGTCCGCATGACTGCGTGGGTTTCCCGTATGAGGATGGGCGGTGCTCCTGGCTCGGCGACGATCTCGCTTCATTGAGGGCGCCTGCTCGAGATCTGCGACGTGAGTGCTGTGGCCTCACGAGTCAAAGTGGCTCTTGCAGGGCGCAGACCACGTCAGCGCCTTCTGCCAAACCGTCGTTACCGGGGAAAAGCCCAGTGTCGCCATTGTGCCATGGCCAGCGGTGCAGGGCTGGCTTCCACCCGGGTGTTCTCCAAAGAAGGTGTGTTTGATCGTCGACGTGGTGCAGATTGGCTTGGCCATGGCGGGGAGATGTTGAGGAAGTGGTGCAAGTTTGAAATTCTGCGGAGGATAAGAGCCGCCGATCGCCAACGGCTTGGCGCCGCCTCTGCACGCTTCCTGAGACACGCGAGAGAAAAAAAAACATGTTGCCTTGATAGCCGGCATCCGATCTGCCCTCGACCGCAACGCAGCCCGGCTATCGCAAATTTGACGAGTGGCATCGCCGCCGAAGCAGTGGATTCTCACGGCAAGCCCTTTCGTACACAGTACAGACCTTTGCCCCGCTTTTGAGCCTCCGCACAGCCCGTGTGATTTCCCTCCTCCGTCCTCCAGTCTCCATCCCACCCATACACAGCACAACACGACAGCAAAAAGATGGCAAGCCCCAGCAAGGAGCAAAAGAAATGTCCCTACGCAGAATCGAACTGCGGACCTTCGGATCACCACCTCTGAGAGGAAGTCACACTGTTGGAGTATGAGACCGACGTCATAACCGACTAGACCACAGAGACTGTGTGAAGGCCTCGGACCTTCTCTGTAAGGATGCCAGAGACATCCTAGTCGTGGCTTGGTCACCGCCTTGGTGGCTTTATGAAGAATCTACGGGTAGGACTGTAGGACTCCCTTGGAAGAGAAATGGACACCTACATGGAAGTTCTCATTAGCATGCGAAGTCCCTCCAGCTCCCTGCGCACGTCAGCTGTAGTGGTCGCTCAAGAAACTGCAGGGCCGGGGAGCCCGGCCGTAGGCAGGGAAAACTTTTCTGCCAACGCATTGCTGCAGGACGGCGACATGTCCGTTCAAGGGCTGCGTGGGTCAGCTGAATATCTCATCGATAGAGAAAGGAAGAAGAATACGTCCCCTGCATCAAGAACGCGTCCCCTACATCAAGTTTACGGATCCTGTTTGGCTCTCTTGCATTGCATACCGCCGGCAGAACAAAAGTGCCTTAATTCCACCAAAAACATAGATCTTCTCAAGGATGAAAAGGCAAAAAGAAAAATACGACGGCCGAGGTTTGAACTCGGGACCTTCAGTGGACCAGAGGCTCATGATATTGGATAATATCAGAGTACCTTCTGTTAGACTGACGTGATAACCAACTACACCACCATCGCTTAGTCAAGTTCGACAGAACAATCCGATCTCGAATTTGTTGATGAAAGAATAAGGGCATACACAAACTATGTATCACCGTTTTCTGCTGTAAAGGTAAAGCGCTCGCACCTTATCTTGTAAATTGTAGCCTGCTTCATGGAACGCATGACTTGATTTGGTTCGATATCATGAGCGGTGCCATTTTCGCTCATGCGTAAACCTGCTGCGAGGAGACGACGGGGGCCCGGCTCAGGCGGGCTGCGAAGCAAGGCACGAGCATGCTCAGGCGAGGTGGCGCAACGGCCATGGGCACGACGGAAAAAGTAATTCGATATATTGGAGCCGAATATCGTCTGGCGAAACCAGGGTGACGATAAAGAATGTCAGAGATAGCGGAAAGCATAATAATAAGCTCCAAGTGTCGCTTTGCTACGCGAGGAGTCGCAAGCAAGGGCGACTCGACCAACCGTCTTTTTCCCATTCGCCATTGGATCAGATTGCGACCAGCCGTTGAAGAGGGCATGTGCCTTTGTACATACGATGTCGGCTGTGCTCGGCCGTGCAATCACCGAGTGGTTTCCTCCTGGCTAAGGATGAGTACTGCACTGCTGAAGTCTCGCTCACCACCAGTCACGACTTCCTTTGGCTGCGCCACCACTGTCGCTGGCTCGATGGTCCAAGCGCGCTAGCTACGTAGGTAGTACACAGTATGGACGGTCGCAGAAGCCAGGTGGCGGCCCGGCTAAACTTCGGACCAACACCGTCATCAACAGCGGCCGATGCACCAGCCAATGGTTCATTGTTCCACCTATCTGCCCACGATCAAGCAACAGAAAGTGACCTCACCAGTGGCGTCACGGTGTTCGGCCAGCATACCTTGCAAGCCACGAGTCGCAACCAGAATCCGGGGCTGATGTGCCGGCATCCGGTCAACTGTGCCTGAACAAGCGGGGCAACAGAGCAGAGAGTTCCGTCATGCTGCAGCCGAGTGATGATGCAGCTAGCCGGATCGCGGTAGAACTGCTCGAGGATCAGGGTCTGGAGTCCGGCGCCCGATGATGTCATGCTACGTTATCTTCCAGCTCGACTCTCCCTCCAGTTCTCGTTGCGCCTGTGCCAAGTTTTCTAGAAGACGGTAAGCCTGGGGTCGAACTAGAATAGCAACGTCGAACCAAGGCTGGACGTGTATATAAGACGGCCAGAGTCCGGGCTCGATGCCAGAATCCATCACGCTCCATCAACAAGCACTCTGAACTCCAACCAAACACTTCTACTTCCAACACATTCACCATGGACAAGCTCGCAAGCAAGCTCGGCGGTGGCTCTTCCACCAGCAACCAGTCCGCTGGCAACCAGCAGGAGGACTACCTCGACAAGGGTGCGCATCTTCAGCCAACCCTTCCCATCTGCCGCCAGAAAACTAATCCTCTACCCCATTGCAGGTCTCGATGCTGCCGAGAAGAAGTACGGCGGCTCGATGGGCCAGGACACGCAGAAGAACCGGGCCATGAACGAGAAGATCGTACGTCGTCCCACCAGTCCTGATCTCTCTCCACCCCACCTTCATCTCTAACATCTCCATGCGCAGACCGACGGCATCCGTGACAAGTTCGAGAGCGCCACCGGCAAGGACGTCCCCGACAAGTTCTCCAACTAAATCTCCAATTGTAATAAGCCACGACCGTAACGAGATACACCACCTGCTGTAATGATAAACACAGGCCGCCCGTCACCGGGCGCGATCAGTAGTAATTAAAGACAAACTCATCATCCAATTTCACCTTGCTCCGCCGTTTTGTACGCACATGCAGAGTGGGCAAGAGCCGTGTCATGTGCATTTGCAAATCCGAGTGCCTGATCATCGTCATTTCACCACGTTTCGGCCTCATCTTCGTCCCCTTCCCCGCGTTGAGTCGAGGAAATCCGAAATCTGCACCAACCAGCCATCCAAATTTCAATGACGAGCCTTTTATGAACAAAAGTACCTATTCTGCAAGAGTTGTGAACCGTGGCGCCAAGCGGCGCTGTGCACAAGAATAAAAAGGATAAAAAGCGCCGCCAAATCTCTCGTTGGCGCAGCACTGCGCCTAGTTCACCGGTATTGCTGGGCACCAAGGATTCTTTTTGCCCTTGTGGCTGATACCCGAGTCGCTGCCTGTGTCCCTCGTCGTCTGACGTTGTTATCGCATCCCTCCTCTCGCAAAGTTTTGGAGGGGAGAAGGGAGGAGGAGGAGGAAGATCGTTCCCGTGCGTCCGAACGAAGCTTCCCTTGCGTTGCTTACTCGGGAAGCGAAATGGGCCACAACCAACCACTATGGCCATTCTATTAGATCTCCTGCACATCTCCAGCAGCACCGGCGTCTCATCGTGATCCTTGCCCATACAATAGAACAACCAAGTCAGTAACAAAAAAAGAGGGGGCCGGGGAGGGGCTAGGTAGTACCTCTAACATAGGAGTAGTACTAAGAAAGATAAAATTTCGAGAGAAGGCGAAAAAAAAAAGCAAAGACCGGCCTGGATGCTTACGATGGGGTCGACACGACACACGGACGCTCTCTGAGACAAAGAAGAACTCCTCTTTCTCCCCATCGCTCAGCTGAGGCTGGGGCCTCCGTGTGATTGTTGCCGAGCAGTTGGTTGGTGGTCCCAGAAAATAACGGCTGTGCATATCCGCCCCGATTTGCGAATTGCATGCACGCTTTGCGCTTGCGCTTGCTTGGCTTCTCCCCCTACTGTTGCCCCTACTACTGTCGCGGCAGTGCCGACCAACCAGTAACTCCGTCTCGCCTCCCGCCTGCAAGATGCGTCGCTCAATGACATGCGCCCGATCCAGTGTTACCCCGCCCTTGCTCGGTGAGACCGACCGCTTCCCGCCATCTCATCCATCCGCGGCTACCGTTGCCCAACCACTGCTTGCTTCTCGCTGGATCCTGCTCTCCGGTACGCTACTGCCACGCCAATCACAGCTCCCATGGCACAATGCTTTATCCTCACATGCCAGACGTCCTGCCGTCGAAAACAATCGAAAAAGTTATTGCTATCAAAGGTTCTCCATTTCGTAGTTACAGCACATTCCGGGTATTGTGAATCCGACCGTACCCGGCGCTAAAACTTCCGAGTTTCGCGAAGGATTGGTTGGATGTAGAATATTGGGGTTTAAAAAAAAAAAGCCTATGACAACCCCCCCCCCCACCCTACCGACACCATGCTGGGGATGATTCAGAATTGTAAGCAAATAATTAAACGCAAATAGTGGCCGAGGAAGGTGCTTTCGGAGTCGTGTGCCCGCCACTTCCTCCACCACTACTCGGTCCACCGGTACAGAGAAAAGACTAGCAATGAAACCAGCTGACTTAAGTTTTCTGCACACCAAGCTGAGGTTGCTCACCGTTGCTTGGTGCGAGCTTCCATATCAGTCCCCGGGTGATGGCGTCCGGGGTGATAGCGGGGGTGCCGACTCGGCATGCAAGGAGAGCAAGGTGGAGTAAGTGGCAGCGAGCAGCCGCCTCGGTCCAAGAAGTGAAAGCAGGGAGCAGTGGAAAAAAAGAGAGACCATGTGCCGAATGCCAAAAAGAGCCGCTTCCCGAACATAACGCCTTTCTACCCAGGCTGTGGGGATATCTGAAGTCCCCCAAATATATCTGACAGAGAAAGAGCACGCGACGTCATCATCGTCGAGAGCGAGGTATCGAGTTGCGGGCTGTTCTGCGCATCGAGCCTTCCGAGTCGAGAAAGGCTTCGAGAACAGCCTCTGGTTGGATTCTCTCGTCAAGTACGTTTTACGCCGGTAGTGAAACCAAACAACCCAAGGACATAATACAAGAGGAGACGACGACCAGTCATTCCGAGATTTGGAGATGAGATGGCCTGAGGAGCGCGCGGAGGTGGAAATATGGCGAGAAGTCAAGTGATTCGAGGGAGATTCGTAATCGTGACAGCGCAGTCGTCTAGTCGTCGTCGGGATTTCTCACCTGGTCCAAGAGTCAGCAAGCCCCGAGTCTAATGGGCAAAACTTTCACCCGCCCCGTCACGCACCTGGAGAATCCTTCTCGAGTAGTCCTGGTTGTCGGCAACGCTGCCATTGCTCATTCTCCGCGCGAACGCCGGGTCAAGGATGGTGTCGTTGATGGCAGAGGTGCCGGGGCCCTTTCCGCCCGCGACGAAGTTGTTCATGCTCTGGCGCTGGCGGTACTCGTCCTCGACCTGCTTTCTGCGCCTGTGCCTCAGGAACAGGATAACGCCTCCTATGATTGCTGTCATGACAACGACACCGACAACGACGCCTGCGGCGATGCCGGCCTTGTTGGGCCCATCGGATTTCTTCTTGGCGGCCTCGCTGGCTTCGGCGCCCTTGGTGACGACAATCGTCTGGCCACCTCCCACAGTAACGACGACGGGCGTGCCCTGCGTAGAGCTGGAAGATGAAGATGATGACGAGGAAGACGACGAGTCGCCGTCGTAGTAGTCGACCTCGTTGTTGTCGATGCCGGTGAGAGCCACTTGCCAGTAGTTACGTCCACCGCCTGCGCAATCCATCAGCATTCGTTTCATTTCATCATGTTAGTTGGAGCGACAATACGCACAGGTGTCTTGGGGATATCCGTTGCAAGGTGTGCTGCACTTGTCGTCATCGACCTGTGTGTCCTTTGCCGGAAGCTTGTTTCCGCAGAAGCAGTTGCTGCCGTTGACGAGAGCCATGACAGGGTACTCCAGGCCCACGCAGATGGGCTGGCAGTTGCCCGTGGTCTGGAAGGTGTAAGATCCTTGGTCTTCGAGCGGCTCGGATGATGAGAAGCACCCCTTGGTCGACATGGAGTGAAGAGCGCCGGTGTATGTCGGCGTCGCCGTCTGTGTCTTGGAACCGGGTTCTGCCATGGCGGCAGAGAGAAGTGACGATGCCACGATGGCGGCAAGGAATAGTCTTGATGCCATTTTGGCGGATGAGAGCGCTGGCGAAGGGTAGAGGCAGCTGCGTCAAACTCTGACGGTCGGTTAGCCAGGGAGCAACGACGGCACGGTTGGAAGTGGCTGGAGGGCGAGCGGGTCGGTCGGCGACGTACGGATGCGTCTGTCGCTGTTGATGAAGCCGCGTTCTGGCCGCAGCAGCCTGCCTGCGAGCGCTTGGGTGAGGAGAGGCGCCGTCGACGGGTGGTGGGTTCGGGTTCGAGTGGGTAGCTTCGGGCGTCACGCGTGACACACGGTCGGGATCGCGGCTGGCCAGGAAAGTCGAGGTATTATGCGAAGAAGTGAAGTCGCGGCGACTTGAAGCTGAGAGCGAGGGTATCAACGGTGTCGTTCCAGCACAGCGCTCGGCGGAGGCTGAAACGCCAGGCGTTGGAATTGAAGGTCACGTCGGTCGGGCGGGCGTGGAATGTGTGTTTCAGCGGGCGGGCGTTTGATGGGCCCCTTTCCCGGACAGACTGAGGGCACACGCGTTTCAAGGAGCGGGTGGGCAAAGAGCGTGGTGTCGTTGGCGGTGGAAGGGACAACGACAAGAGGGTTGGGTAAAGAACGTGGGCGGGAAGTTAACGGAAGGTGGACATGGCGATGCTGGCGAAGGTGGAGCAGCCGGGCAGCGCGAGGCGTGTCGCTACTGGCCGTCAGGAGAGGGCGCCGGCGGCAGCATGGAGGTTGCAATTTCGCGCGCCGCACGCGCCGCAAGACGCCCCTTGGTCACACGCAGCTGCCGGCCCAGCGCGCCCACCACCTCCCGCCTGCATGAATTATTGCCCACCCTCGCGCCGTGCCTATTAATACGCGCATCCTCCGCGCTCCGCGCTCCCTACGATCGCGCGCGCAATGGCTGGGCCTGCTATGCGCAGACAGACGGCGGCCGCTGGGTGTGCGCTCCCCAACAAGCCGCAACGGTCGGGAGGCGGCGACGCGCCGGGGCTGCGCTGCCAAGCTGACGCCAGGGCTGCCGGCTCGCTGTTTTACCACACCGAAACGGGGCTGATTGCCGCTGCGTGCCAGGGTGCAGCGGCGCCAGCTGGGCAGCTAATGCAGGAACCGGCTGCACAGCACAAGCGCGCGCACGTGAGATGGCACTGCATAACTCTCACAACGCCCCGAGTCCTGGCTACAATACGGCCGCTGTGCATCCCATCCTCCCGCCAGCCATGCGCCGGGGGCCTTCCGCCGGCGACCGCGGTCGCGCCCTCCAGCATTCCTTCGCCGCCGCCGCCGCCGTGCCATCGCCCTGTCGTCCACACCGTCCCTGAAGATCGAGCGGGCGAGGCTCGCGGCAGGCCGTCTACGGAGTAGGTACTAGGTACTGTGTGTACGTGCCGGCGGGGCGCGCACCGCTGCTTCAGCCTTAGGCCGCCCGTTCACGTTGCAGCCCGCCCACGCCGGCCAGAACGGAAGTACGGTAGGGAAGCACGGTAGGGAAGCGCGGCCGCCGTCTCCACGCACGCATGCAAGGCGGCTGCCGGATCTCCGTCCACGGCCCCAGGCTCCCAGACACCCAGGCCCGCCGTTTCCAGCAGGGGAGCAACCGCTCCTTGGCCGTTGTGGATGCGCCCACCGCCTGCACTGCCTGCACCGCAAGACGTCGGGGACTGGCGGCGAGGCGAGCCCGAGCGAGAGTGGTCAAAGTTGAGCCGCCAGCTTGCCTCCGCCGAGCCATCCGCGAGCCGCCTGCGCCGCCAGCCGTCTAGCTCTCGCAACACGAGCCTAGGCATGCGAGGCTGCCTGTCTGGTGGCTGGCCGCTTCGCACCGCTCCCTCTTCCCGCTACGCCTGATTCAGCGCCTGCGGGGAGGCCCTCGTCCTGTCCAGAGTCCAGACTCAACCCTAGAGCCGATCGTCTTGCGTAATCATGCGTTGCCCGTTCTGTCCTTCCGCTTTGCTCGGAGTGCTTCTATAAAAATCCCCCGACGATCACGCCGAGGCATCTCTCCACCCTGACTGCACACTCTCGCGCGGGATACGGTTCCCCAGACCGTCCCGACGGGTCGGCTGGATATGCCCCGTGGCGGAGCCGTTGTCGTCAGCAGCCCGGGCCCAGCACATGCGTCCTTGTCGAGCCGTCTTTGAGCTTCGTGAGCTCCAAACAGTTGGCTCAGGGACAAGCCAGCCGCGTGTCGTACCTATGCTTTTGGACACGCTGTTTCCCCTTCGATATTGGATCGGGTCTGCGGCGCAGCGGCCGCCATGTCTCGGCTCATATTCTTGAACAGGCAGTGCATCTCTGTTGTCAACGTGGTTTCAAGTCAGATCGACCGGCACAAGCTCCACTGCTGGCGACGGGCTCCCCTGCGGCAGATAGATTGAGCAGCCACGCGCGTTGCACAAGCACAAAGTATGCCTGCGCCCTGCACAATCACGGTTGCTTATGGCAATACATGCATCCTCAGCCCAGCAACGTAGTATTCGATGACCGAGGTGTCATCCGCAGAAGGTGATACAGGAAAAAGTCAAAAGAAGCGCTGTCCCTGTTTCACCCAGGTGTTTGTGCCGGCGCCGAGGTGGTCGGAGGGGCAGAGGGGTGAGCTGCGTAAATGAAGTAACGTGATTGGCTTATCTGATCATCTTACGTGCTGACAAAGCGCCCGAGGGCACGCCGCCGTGTCCAACGTCGGCCGGCGTCGACGAGCTTGCGCGCGTGCGGGCATGAATCCACCGTTCGCCTTTCATGCCCCCCAGGATTCCTGCCTGCCGCAGCGCAGTGCACCATACCGTCCTCAGACATGCGCAACCCATCTGGATCACCGATGATGTCCTCGCCGACGCCTTTCATCGTTTCCTCAACGTCTCCGACGCGAACCGCAAGCGCTATGGCAGCAACGTCCCAGGGCCATTGGAGGCTCGGAGAAGAGCTTCGAGGAGGCGTATGATGGGTCTCGCGACCGCAGCCCCGGGAATCGGCCCTGACATTGGCGCATTGTTCGGTGCGGACCAGCCGTTGCACCAGTCTTGGAGCTGGGAGCCTCCAATGAAACCGGAGCAGTCGTTGAGCCGGGAAAGTACGTCTAGGCGTGGGTTACTTGGCCTTGCGAGGCTCTGCTGCTGCTAATGTACCTTGTAGAGCCACGACCTTCAGCTTTACCGAAATGGCTGTCCAATCACAATGGTTCCGCTGGGAGAAAGCAGTCTCGTTTTTCAGATCCTATTGGAGAATACAGCCACCGCCTTGCCGGCGTCCGCGATACAACCGAATTGGAAAGTCTCTGGTCGTATATTGGTGTTGAACCACAACATACTGTTCTGTTCAGCCAAATGGCCATGACGCATTTCCTAGCCATACACAAGGAATCACACGGAATTAAAACACCCAACGCCCGCATCGTCAGACCACAAACGCAATCGCGCTACGGAATGATCTTTGCATTCCTGCAGAACCCAAAGTTGAACGTCCCGGAAGCGCGAAACATCAAAACCCTCATTGATTTCAAAATCAGCGACGGCATGCCGCTCCAACGCCTCGGCCAGCTCATCAGCACGATTCAAAACTCGCTCAGACTCGGAACAATGTTACCCTCGGAGCTGCACGACATCGTAGACAGCATACCCCAGCTATGTGCCACGGTCTGTCCGCATCCTTCCATGGTTAATGACTGGCAATTTGGAGCATACCGGGCAATATGGTTGGGCATGAATTCCTGCAGACGCTTGCCAGTAGATCATTTCGACACTTCCATCGTCCGCAAAATAGTTGAAGCTGTGTTGGTCTTGGACACGCCCCCAATACCACGATGCGGCCCCCATCCAGTCCATACGCTCTTCCGCGTAGCTATCTACCGACATCTCTGGCCAACCAACAATGATGCGAGGTCACACGGTATTGCAGCACATCTCGCCATATGGGTCCAAAGGCTGGGAAAACTAGGCATATCCGGCTCCACGTGCACGTCAGACGGACTGGGCTGGCACGTCATCAAAAGCGTGTTAGAATCCATGAGCTCAAGAAGAGCGCGAGAAGTCATGCAAGAGACTCTTACACTACTCCTACCTTTGGGAAAAGGCGTTGCCCTGGATGAAGGGATGCAGAATACCCTTCGGCTCTGGTTCTCTTGCATCTCCCAAACTTGTCATGTTTGTCCTTACGCAGATCGCCATCTTGCCGTCGTTGCGCCAAACCATGAGATTGCTCGCCGCTTCGACCCGGTTTTGGCCATTGCCTATTTTGAGCTTTTCTCCATGGACCAAATCTGTCAATTCTGGATGCATTTTTGGGTACCGCAATACGTCGGCCAAGACATGGGGGCCAAAAAGCGAAAGCTTCGGGCGGACAAGCTACAGAGTGCCTATAAAAAGCGGATAGAGCAATCAGACGCCACCGAGGATCCGAGGGTCACCAGTTTCTTCAATGTCATTATGGTTCTGAAAGATCAAAACTTACCTTACCAGACGACACTTTCGAAGGCCGTAGAGCTCATACTAGCCATGCACGGCCCTGACGTTGCGCATGAACTGTACACAAGACTAGTCCTTGCCCGAGTCCCCATCGACCGCCGCGCCGCCGCAGCCGTGATCGAAGCAATGAGCGACGAGAACCCTCGCAAAGCGCTAAAGTTCTTCAGAGCCATCGGCGACGTCTGGCTCAGCCTCTGCCCGCGGCTGGTCCTCGCGCTCATCGAGCACGGCTCCCTCCCGCGCGACGAGCTCTTCGCCCTGCTCGACCACAACGACCCCCTCGCGCGCGTGCCGCCCGAGCACCGCCGCACGCTGACCGACAGCACCTCTGCGCTCCGCCTCGAGCTCGTCCACCTCGTCGCGCACGCCTACGCCGGCCAGACGGCGTACCCGACGCGCCACCGCTTCCGCAACGTCCACTACTGCTACCTCTGGCTGCGCGACCGCCGCGCGCCGCTGCTGCCCCTCCTCTCCAAGGCCCTCGTCCGCGCCGGCGTCACCGCCCCGCTCGAGAACAACGAGTGGGTCTCGACCGTCCGCCTGCGCTGGGTCCTGCGCCTCGTCCGCGAGATCGAGGGCGCCGACGTCGCCGCCTCCCTCGACCGCCTCGTCTGGCACTGGCGCGGCGAGGTCATCCGCGAGGCCCGCCGCCGCTGGGACAGCGCCGGCCTGTTTGCCCGCTTCGGCCCCTCCACCGTCGGCATGGCGCGCCGCGCGGGGTTGTTCGCGGACGATTTTCCGTCGTGGCGCAGGTGCTACCGCAAGGTCGTCGTCAATGCGGGGTTCCTCGCGCCCAAGTGCGTGCGCAGGCCGAGGTTCAAGATGAGGGGGTCGAGGAGGGAGGGGAGGAGGCTGTGGGGTGGTCTGGATAGGAGGCTGGGTGGGAAGGGGGATTCGGAGTGGAAGTACAGTCCGTGGAAGTGGAGGCAGGAGGAGGCGTATTGAGGGTGGGTAGGGGCGGGCATGTGGCTCAGAGAGAGAGAGAGAGAGAGAGAGAGAAGGGGGAGGAAGGGGAGGGAATGGTCGTGCATGGCAGCGGCTGTGCGTGGGCTCGTCAGCTCACGGTGCCGACACACTGCTGCATGGCACGTCTGTTAGCTTACGGTGGCGGCACTCTTTGTGCCGTGCCAATTTCTTAGCGTTTAAAGACATCAGTACAGCAAAACTTAGAAGGCTAACACCAATTAGATTTGACCCGTCGCCAGCCAAATTTTAGACCCAGGTTCGTTTCACGTATCAACTGTTGTTTGATCGGTACCTTGCGTTATTTTCCAGGGCGTGGACTTGAGTCAAAGAGCAGGAAAAGGTCTTTTTTTCGGCAACTTTGATGCGTTTCATTCAGTCCTTTAACTTTCAGTCACCACCATCTTGAAACGTCTCCAGATTCCGCTAATGATCGGACGCCTAGGATGATTAGCAGTGTGTTGGCGAGCAATGTAAAAAAAAGAGTAAGCGGTTGTAAGGGGGAGATCTCGTACAGTTTCTGCAACAGTGAAAATCTGAGGTCCAGTAACATCCAGCAGTAGGCACACAAAGGTCGATATTACGACGTCAACGATACGGTCTTCGGTATCAAGGGCCACGTGCATGTGAGTATACATACATCGTGAGATCTTTTCTCAATTGTTCATCTTAGTGTAAAGGGGAAGTTGCCCTTGGAGTGTGTAGAGAATTACTAGCACAGACAAAGACAAGAATTAGAAAAGGATCCGTCGAGCGTATTTCGTTAGTTATTATGTAACTATCTCCTTTCATCAATCCATATTTACAGTACTACATAAAGCATTACATCCAAACTCTCCCCCATGATGCGTGAATCATGGTCGCGGCTCTACCTGCTGTACACAGAAGTAGCGTAGTCCTTGAACAGCTTCATGCCAGCAGCCCTGTAAGTATCGGGCTCCATGTAGCTGGTGACGTTGGCATGGAAGACGATATCCTTGGGATCAGCAATGTCGTAGGGGGTCCACTGCTCGACGGTGGCATTGCCCTGGAGGTTGTAGCCGTTGGGGTCGAGGTCAACAAAGAAGCTGGCCCAGGAGGAGCTCATAAACTTGGCGAGGTCGACGTAACTCTGGCCGCGATTCTCAAAGGGCTTGGACGAGATGGGCGGGTTGTAGCCGGTGCCGAGGATGTTGTCGAAGACGAAGGCCACCTCCTGGAAGTGTGCGGCCGCTGTGGCGCCGTTGGGGATGGCATTAAAGCGGAAGCAGTAGGCGGGAACGCCGTGCTCGGCCCAGCGCTCGCATGTCAGGCGGCGGTTGCCGACGAAGTACTGATCGCCGTAGTAGGCGGCGCTACGGCGGTACTGAGGACCTTCGGGCGCACCGTAGCGGAAGTCAGGAGGCAGGAAGCCCAGCGGCGGCGAGCCCGGAATTCCCTCGGCAGGGATATCCGGGTAAGCCGCGAGAATGGTAGACGTGAAGTTGGAGGGAATACCAGTGGCTGTGGGCTTGCATTAGTCCGGGTGATTATTCTCATTAGCGGAGGGGTGGGCGGACGTACACTGCAGCGCCTTCACAAAATCCGTGGAGGAGTTGATGCCCTGTGGCCCAAAGCTCACACCCTCGTCTGAATTTGCTCCAATAATGATGGGCACCTGGACGAAGTCGCCCTTCACAAGCTGGTCCGAGGTCTTGCCCGCAATGAAGTCGTGGTCAATGGCCGGGCCCCAGTTCAGAAGTGCAGTCTGGTTGATGACGGCGTTCAGGTCGTCGTAGGACAGAGAGCGCAGACAGGCAAGACTGTCGGTGGAGTTGGAACAGCCGGCCTGCGAGATGAGCGTGTCGTACCTCGGCTGGAAGGCAGCGCTTTCGTTGAGGGTGGTGTAGTAGATAGGAGAGCCAGACTCCATGATGGCGCCACGGAAGAGAGTGTCATCACGACCATTGTAGGCAGTCAGATGGAAACCGACGGAACACCCACCGGCGGACTCTCCAAAGATGGTAACCTTGTCGGGGTCACCTAGAAGCTGATCAGCGATGCATGTTGACGAGGAAGAGAAGTGAGTGGGGAGATGACGGACCGCCAAAAGCAGCAATGTTCTCCTGGACCCAGTGAAGAGCCAGGCGTTGATCGCGAAGACCGAGGTTGGTATTGCCAGACGCCTGGACAGCATCACCGTTCAAGAAACCCCAGGCACTGAGGCGGTAGTTGGTTGACACGGCGATGAAAGGCTTGCCAATCTCAACACCGTTCTGGACGATGAAGGACAAGTTGTACCTATGGTCGCCGGCACCACCCTGCTGGGAGATTAGCTCAGGTGCGAAACAGGGACTTGGAGCGTCGGGCACGTGCCTCGTAGAATCCGCCGCCATGGATCCAGAAAGCCACGGGGAGAGACTGGTTCTCATAGCCGGCGGGTTTCACAACATTGAGGTACAAGCAATCCTCGGAGATTTCGTAACCAAATTGGTCACTCTAATTGGTTTCGTCAGTGGACTGCTCAGGGGCAAGACGAAAGCCAAGACGTACGCCGTAGCCGATGCACGAGGGGGCATAGTCGGTAGCGGGCCAGGTGGCGGCAAAGCTGGTGTTGAGGGGCTGCGGCACGCGGAACCTGAGCTCGCCGACGGGCGGCTGAGCAAAGGGGAGTCCGAGGAAGAAGTCCTGGTTGTACTCGGGGTTGTGGACACCCTCAATGGTGCCGTTCTTCACCGAGGCAACTGGAGCAGCAGCCCTGCGGGTGGCAGGGGCGGCCAGAGCGGCCTCGGCGGCGGCGAGCAAGATGGCACCGTAGCCGTAACGCATCCTGGCGGCCACGACCTTGTTGGGGGGAAATATGGAAAAGGCCGAACGATCGCCTGGTGTTTCGAGAAACGGAACAGCCGGGCTCGGGCATTTTTATAGCGGCAGGCGCAGGGCAACGATCATCGGCATGCAAAGGTGGTGCCGGGCGTGCGTGCTGCAGTGGGCCGAAGTGGTGCCCTCAGGGAGGTGACGGCACGGACGAGTCATTAGGCTATTGGGCCATTGGGCTATTGGGTTCGGAGCGATGACGATGACGAGACACAGGCCGGGACGGGGATGGCATGTTGAGAGCTGAGAGGCGCACGGGGCGGGGCAGTGACTTGATTGAGGGCGCGCGAAGGTGGAGGCGGAGACGATGAAGAACGGCAAGCGCGGCCGCGGCACCTGCGCGGCACCTGCACTGCACCTGCACTGCACCTGCACCCCGGGATGCTAGCGAGACGCTCCCCGCACTGGCCGGGGCCCGAGATCTCCTGCCTGCAGCCCGCACCGCCCGCCCCAGAAGCCCCAGGAGCCAGCCGCCAACGTGAACTGCCGTCACGCCCTCCGCACGCCCACGCCGCCCACGACGAGCGCGCGCTTCCCTGCCGCCCATCTGCCCATGATGCTGTCCGCCATGCGGCGGATCCTCGGCCGCCGGTGCTTGGCTGGCTCTTGGCCCGTAACCCCCGCCGTTTCTGGCCCGCCAGCACCGCCAACCCGCGCCGGGACGCGCTTGAGCCCCGTGGGGTGCCAGGGTGTCGTCGGTCCACGCCCTCTCCAGCTGCGCCCTTGCCGACCGGAAAACGTCTTCACGGCTGCCCACGGCAGGACCCGTCGTCCCACGCCGTTCTGCACGCTTTCCCGTCACCAAATCCTCTCGTGTCGTGGCCTTATCGCGGGCTGACCGCCGCCGCCGACTCAGGCACACCCACCATTCCAGGCTAAGCTTTACGCCCGGGAGCCTCATCCACTGGCCAAGCTTGATGAGGCCACCCGGGCACCATCCGATTCCGGCGCCCCGTCCAGCGCTCCTTCCGGACCGCAGCCTCGCTCAATCGCTTGTCCGCTTCGTTGCACCGCTTGGTCGACCCCGCTCTTCGTCAGGGAGGACGAGGTGTGCAAATTTCAGGAACGCTCCACAAAGCCACCCAGCTCCACTTTTGGCGACAATCCTGCTCATCGCTGGCAAGGAGCGTAATAATAATAATACCATGTACCGATCCATGTCTCGTCTCCCTACAGCCCCGCCACCTTCGGCAGTTGGCTAACATGAGGGCTACCGCCAGTGTGGGTCAACCCTTGCCCCAGCTGTCGGCCATGAGTGGCCCGCCAGCCCATGCTGTAGAGTCTGCAGTAGGTCGATCAGCTTCCTTTTACGTCATCTGCTTTCTCTAATGACTATCCGCCCCTAGTCGGCAATTTCGGAGCCTTCAGGTGTCCAGTTTCCGACGAACCGGCCGGTGAACACTTTGCCCATGTCTTCCTGCGCAATTGCAACAACGACTTCTACCTATTGGCATTTCCATGCCCCTGCGAGTCGAATGCGAAGCTTTCTGCTTGAGTCAAACCCCAGAGCGTCGAGCTTAGCTCAAGTCTATTTCTCGCTACCACTATGCCGGATAAACCCTCTCTTTACCATTCAACCCCGTCCGACTGATGAAACATTCCTGTCTATAACGCTCCCATTACCCTGGGTATAGGGCCCACGCAATTTCTCTCTTCGGCCCCGGTGCTCGTCTACACCTTCCAACTTGTCTCTAGAGCCGAGTCCCCCTGTAAGCTTTGTTATGGTCCGTCTGTCATGCATTCTGCCACTCGAGGCTCGCGGTGATTACCTTGCACTCTTGATCGCACTCCGAAAGATCCCGTTGGCGCTTAACGACGCCAGCTGTCTTGAGAACGTATAGCGCTTCGGTTGTACTCGCCGATATTGCACAGCTCTAACAAGTTGCACGGACAACCCTTCTTTGGCAAAAGCGTTTGGATCTTCAGTCCCAAAGAACGGCTGTTTCCGCGACCGGTGCTCCCATCAATCCAGGACTTGGCGCAGCAATCTGGTCGAAGCATCCACGTGAACGCTTACATATATCCATAGTCCATTGTGATATCCCTCTCCAGATAGTAGTTACCCTTGACTTCCCTCCCCGATACAGGTGCACCGATATAGCCGGGCACGCACGCAAAAGTACTCATGAGAATGAGCTTCACGTCTAGACACCAGTACCGCTGACCAGCCCCTCGGTCCAATCCAACACGCTCCTCACCGCCGCCCTCCGCGTCGGCGCGAACCCCATCCGCAACAGCGCGTGCGCCTGCCGCAGTTCCGAGAACTTGGTTCCCTTGGGGCCGTCCGCCGCGCAGGTCTTGTTGTTGTTGTTCTTGTCGTCGTCGCCGTCGTCAGTGTTGACGTTGTGGTTGTGCCGGAAAAGCATCGCGCGGTAGCCGCCGTCGTCGCCGTGGCCGATGACGACGTCGTAGCTGAGGCGGCAGCCGAACAGGACGCGCGCGTTTGCTGTGTGGTGTTGTTCGTCGTCGTCGCGTGGTCAGTTGGGGGGTGGGTTTGGAGGGGAGGTCGGCGACGATGAGTTACGATGACGGTGGTGGCGCCATGGGGAAAAAGACTCGTGCGTGACGGGACGGCGTGGGTGCGGTGCGGTGTGGTGAGGCGGCCGGGTGGGGAGAGTCTTACCTTTTATTTGCTCGATCATGAGCGAGCAGATGTGGAGTTCGGATTCGAAGGCCGCGTCTTTGGGTTCTGTCATGGTGTCTGTGTGAGAGGCGGACCGTGCGCTTGGTTGTTCAAGGGGGAGAAAAAAATTCGGTGGGTGAGAGTTGGTTTGCGTCTGGAGAAAGTTGGAGAGGACGTGGGGGTGGAATTTGTGGGTTGGCTTCTCGCGGCGGCGGCGGCGGTGATGGTGGCACTGCTGTAAATGGAAGCAGCAGGTGCACTCGTTGTCGTCTTCACCGATTGGAGAACAGGGTCCAGCGGGTCGACGCATTGAGGATGAGAAGCAGCAGTGGGTCGTGCAGCATGGCAGATGGGGGGTTGGCGTAAGCTTCTTGTCTAGGTTACGATACAGGAGGTTTTCACAACCACAACTAGAGGTCGGTATGTCAGGTTCAAGGAATGGCTTGGTATGAACAACCCCCCAACTAGCGAGCATGATCACAAGCCTGAGGCAAAGGAAAATCAAGCGAAGAGTGCCATTCCTTCATCAAGAGCTGTCAACACCATGACTCAAAGCCGACCACCGCCTCCCACTCAAGATCATCGGTAAGCGCCTATCAAGTCTCGAAGGAACTTAAAAAGCGAAAAAATTGTGATTGGTTAAGGTGAGAAGACTGGAATGCTCGCAAATGGGGAGACAGGAAGTCTATATATAAAGAAACGACACACTTGAACGTCAAAGCCATTTTGTCGTCAGCGTCATCTTGACAGTGCCCAAATCCAAGCAAGTAAAGAGACTTCTCTCAGGTTAATGTGCTTTTTCTTGCGGAGTTGGTTGACATGAGTGTTCAAAGGCGAACAAGCCGTGGGGTCCCAAAACAGTGGTGATGTAGGTCGTGGTCCTCGTTGGCGGCTCCACAACACAAACTTTACTATATAATGCATGCCTACAGCTTGATGCACAGTGCGCATTCCAATAGACAGGAGGCTTGCGAGATACTTGCTGCGGGTCTGTCGAGGGGCCAAGTTTGGGTCTTTCCTCGGGCTTGTGCGGCCTTGAACGTCACTCCCCCCTTTTCTCGGAACCAGAGCAAGTGCAGCAGTGTAACTTCGAGTCGCACCACTGGCCGTAGCGGTGACGGCAGCATTGATCAAGCTGAGTTGCGGACTGCCTGTATTTGGTATTGTCCATTTGGTACTCTGTCACTTTCACTCACCTCTTCATTACCCAAACGAAGACAGTCCCAACTTCTGGAGCATGTGTGATAAGACACGCCCCGCTTCCGGAACTTGGCCCTTCTCTCGCCTCCTTCGTGCTTGTCGAAGAGCTTACGTGGATATCCGGGCATCTTCATGACCTCTTTCTCGCCCTTGAAATACGGCACCTAGATGTCCAGCAGCGCGCGGCGCCGTAATCCAGCGGTGACCGAGGAATGACAACCTTGAGACGGGCTGAATGTTTGGAGACCTCACTTAATTATGGAAGAACAATACGGGTCATCCTCTATCTGTTCTACATGGGTGCTGCAGTGAGAATAAACAATAGCAAGAAGTGCTGATGGGGTATCAAAAATACATGTGTGATCTGGCAAAAAAAAAAAAAGAATCGAGATGAAAGGTTCGAATATCCCTAGGGCTTCCCGGTGCGCTTGAGAAGATCTCTCATATTCCGAAGCTACCCAAGACATCGCCTATGGCCTTCTCCTTCGTTGCGCGCAACCTGCGTTTCTTCTTCGGAGGCTCTGCGGTAGTTGGATGCTCCTCGGTCACGTCATCACCGTTTTCTGTAGGACTACTTCGCCAGACCCATAGCGCCATGCCTTCTGGAGGCAGTACAGCGGGTGTTGAGCGTTTGAATACAGAGAGGATCGGTTCCTCATCGGTCCCAATACCCGCAGGTGAAGCCAAAGTCGGAGATGACGCACGTCGATAGTAGGCGCGCATGGCGTCATGCACGTTGGAGCTCATGGTCCACTCGAGGTTGAGCTCGTGAGCCTTTGAATTGCTGACCCTGCATTCAGTATTCCATGGCGTGCTCCGTTATCGTCAGCAAACTTACAGGAACGAAAATTTCCAGCCGAGGTCCTCTGCTTGATCGAGATCCACATCGCAGCTAGTCAAATTGCAGAGAGTCAAGGCTGGGAATTTGCGCAGTGAGGCCAACGAACGGGCAGTGATGTACGGCTGACCGATGAAAAAGACCACGCGCAGTTTCAAGAAAACATGGCCATCCTTTGCGGCTTCACTCCAGCCTCTCACAACGCGGTCATCCAGACTATCTGAAGATGCGCCAAGAACGGTAAGGGCACCAAGGTTCCGGATGTTTGGGATCTGGGCCCAATCGTGCTTGGAAAGCCGAGGGTCTTGGAGTGTCAAGTGCGTCACCCATTCAAAGCTCGGCGCAGTAATTTGTTTGACAATTTCATCCAGCGCGTGATGCGTGTTCGAGTTCAGCAAGGGGATCTTGCGAGTTTCCTGGAAAGCATGGCGCTCGTCAGGATATGCCCGGACGAAGATGCGCCAGATGCGCAGAGAGTCTAGGCGGTAGCGGCGAATTTGGGCCCAAATCCTCCTCCCAATGGCCCACGGAACGCAGGAGATGGCCTCGTAGTCCAGGCTATCCAGTTGGAGAAGCACGGAGCGAATGGCAACCTGCTCCAGGCAGGCGGCTCCCATGGAGTCGGGGTCCCGAAAATTGATAAGATCGGCAACGCTGCCGGTAGTTGCAGTGACCCACGAGGGGACCATGGAGGTCATGCTGCAGTGTGTCTCGGAGAATACCTGGCCGCTGCCGGGGTCGTAGGACTCAGGTGCGCGCTCGACGCGACGGCGCGATATGAGGCGCGTCAGAAAAGGAGCCGGGCGGCGCTCCATGGCGACGGGAGCGACGGCGCGCAAAGCAGGCGGAGCGGATGCGCGGACGCGGATGCATCAGTCGCGCAGCGAGAACACAAAAGAGAGTTGCGGAGTGAGAAGGTTGCGGCGACGGTGCAGCTGTGGCTACGCTTGTCGATAAGGAAGCAGCTGCCGCCGATGGTCCCGCACCATTGACTCGGCCTCCGCAATCGCTCCTACAGCTCCTCATATACCTTCACCTCTTTCCCCGCCTCCGCTCCCGCTCCCGCTCCTCTCCCAATGTTGCCGGAGCCATGTGCGCCGCGGTAACCCGTCTCGAAGATGCTCATCAAGAAGCCCGGCCTTCTGCTCAGCTCCTACCAGGGCGTCCAATGCGCCTGCCCGCCGACCAAGTCGTCTAATGCGTCATCACCCGCCCGCCACCGCCGACACCACCCGCTGCATATCCGCACCCGCACCCGCACCTACGCCCACGTCGCTGGCGCCGACGCGAATGGCTCTTGCGACAGCGAGCACTTTCCGTGGCCGCCGAGCGCAATCCAGGGAAGGCTGCCGACGCCCTACGAAATCTTCCGGCTGAAGAAGGGCTCGCCGTACAACAAGCGCGCTTTCTACGAGCTCGTCAAGGTCTACCACCCGGATCGTCCTCTGCCCTCGCATGTCCGATCCGATCTCTGCCCGCATCCCGTGCGCCTCGAGCGCTACCGCTTGATCGTCGCTGCCCACACCGTTCTGTCCGACCCGTCGAAACGCACCGCCTACGACCGCTGGGGCGCCGGCTGGGGCTCTGCAAGGGACATCAGCCCCCCTCCATACGATCGCCCGTACAAGTGGACGCCCGGCGAAGACCCGACCGCCAATGCGACGTGGGAGGACTGGGAGCGTTGGTACAACAGGGACCAGAAGAGCGACCAGCACCCCATATTCCTGTCCAACGGAGCCTTCGTAGGATTGGTTGTTCTCGCTGCTGCCTTGGGCGGATATGGGCAAGCAACGCGGGCGGGTCAATGGGGCAATACCATGGTTGAGCAGAGGGACATTGTGCACGCCGAGACAAGCAGAGAATTGAAGAGGGTCAGGCAGGCGGCCATGGCGTGCGGCGATCGCGAGCAAAGGATCCAGAGCTTTTTGAGAAGTAGAGACATTGCAACACAAACCGAAGAGGCGTACAGAAAGCTTCTTCCGTATCAGGAGGTATGCTCCAGTGAGGGTGTCAAGGGCGCCGAGTGCTGAGGGCTGTCGTTTCACCGGTCGAGCTTTGGCTTATGACGCTCGGCATTGCGCCGAGGCCGTTTGGATTATCGGGGATCATGGCGTTGTAGGGGATTTGCAGTCGATGTTCTTAGCAATGCGCCACAGCACAGCTGCAGAAACCTGATGGAGCTCGATCCGCCGTGACTGGCCATGCCGCTTGAGCCCGTGAGCCCGTGAGCCTGTAAGCCCTTGTCATCGCCACAGCTGATCACTGACCACCAGCTGGTCGAGCGCAACACGATACGGGTTGCCGCTGGCTCCCACGTCATCCGCATTCTCCGGCGGCAACCAACTGCGACAACTCCTCCATCAGCAACGTTGAGCGGATGTAACCCCACGCCGTCGACGGAGCATGAGTCGATGCAGCGCTTCGACACCAGCTCTGAGTGGCGCCACAGACTAAGATCATCAGCCGCGCCCCGTTAAACCTGTTTCAGCTTGTGCTCAGCGTTCGCTCGACCGGCTGCTGCGCCACAGCTGTGACGATGCGCTGGACACCGGCCCTCTCCACTGTTGCTGCCACAGCTATCGCCCTCCTTGCCGTTTACATATATTTAACCCCGCCGGGCTCCTTCTCTGCCGCCACACAGCACCTGCTCCACCCTCTTGCTTCTTCTGCATCTGCATTCCTGCCCTACTTCGCATCCAGACCGACGACTTCGACAATGGGTGGCGGTGACGGATATAGGACTGTGGCGTACTTTGTCAACTGGGTTGGTGCAACCCGAAACGATATCAAACACACATCAAAGAACTGACGCAGCTTTTCGCAGGCAATCTACGGCCGTCAGCACAACCCTCAAGATCTCCCGGCCGAGAAATTGACCCATGTACTCTACGCCTTTGCCAACGTGCGGCCGGACACGGGTGAAGTGTATGCAGGTTCTCACCACTCCAAAGAAATGAGAGGCTAACATGGCTCCCAGATACATGACGGACAGCTGGTCCGACATTGAGAAGCACTACCCGAGCGACTCATGGAACGACATCGGCACCAACGTCTACGGCTGCATCAAGCAACTCTACCTGCTCAAGAAGCGCAACCGCAACCTCAAGATCCTCCTCTCCATCGGCGGCTGGACCTACAGCTCCAACTTCGCCGCGCCCGCGTCCACGCCGGCCGGGCGCCAGCGCTTCGCCCAGTCGGCGGTGCAGCTGCTCAAGGACCTCGGGCTCGACGGGCTGGACGTCGACTGGGAGTACCCGCAGGACGACGCGCAGGCGCGCGACCTCAACCTGCTGCTGCAGGAGACGCGGCGCGAGCTCGACGCCTACGCCGGCCAGCTGCGCCGCTCGGGCGCCAACCCCAACGCCCGCTTCCTGCTGTCCATCGCGGCGCCGGCCGGCCCGCAGAACTACGCCAAGCTGCACCTCGGGGCCATGGCGCAGCACCTCGACTTCATCAACCTGATGGCGTACGACTTCGCCGGCTCGTGGGACTCGTGCGCCGGCCACCAGGCCAATCTGTACGCGTGCAACCACAACCCGAACTGCACGCCGTTCAACGCCGAGCAGGCCATCTCGTACTACTGCCAGAATGGCGTCCCGCACGACAAGATGGTGGTCGGGATGCCGCTGTACGGCCGCGCGTTCCAGAATACGGATGGCCCCGGGAAGCCGTACAGTGGGGTGGGCGAGGGGAGCTGGGAGAATGGCGTGTGGGACTTCAAGGTACTGTATCCTTTTCTCTCTTTTTCTTTGGCGCAAGTGTTGGATACTCACACTTTTCGTTTGCTAGGACCTGCCCCGCCCCGGTGCCCACGAGCATTACGATCGGGATGCGGCGGCGACGTACTGCTACGACCCGTCGACGCGGACCATGGTGTCGTACGACACGGTGCAGATGGCGGTGCAGAAGACCGAGTACATCCGCGACAAGGGGCTGGGCGGCGCCATGTGGTGGGAGTCGTCGGCGGACAAGAAGGGCGAGGAAAGCATCATCGGAAACGTGAGTGATGCTCTACGACAGCAACCAAACCGACACCACCACCACAACAGCCACGAAAGTAGTAGTTCAGCGACTGACCATGGATTCTTTTCTCTCAAAAAGGTGGCGAAGAACATGTGCGGATACGATGGCGGCAAGGCCGAGTTCGTCGAGAACAACCTGGCGTATCCGGATAGTAAGTTTGAGAACTTGAGGAAAGGGATGCCGGGTGAGTAACGGCGGCTATTCTTGGGATTATCGCATGATCGGTCTCCTTTTTTCTTGGGTTGGCGTTGGCATCCAAATTGCGTCGGGATACGTATGTAGTCGGCCTTGCTCACTACATATTTCAAATCCCCGGGCAACAGACATGGCGACCTTTGGCCGCGATCGTTTTCCGGTGGTTTTCTTCTGCGGGCCATTCTGGAAGCCTTCCAGATGTCAAAGCAATGACAGTGGTTCTGTAGACATTAGCACATTAGCACACTAGCGCCGCAAATCTCCTCAGAATATGGAAGCATGTGCAGTATACGCACAATCCGAGACCAGTGTGCTGTTCGTCTAGAAATTTGGAAGCACTCAAACAAACGCAATTACTCCGGATAGATGCAACGCTTTCACTGTCTAGTCCCCGGGTAGTGACATGTCGAGCTTGAACTGCTTTGGAGGACGTCCCTCTGTTTTTCTTCGATTGCCGAGTGGAAGTTTGCACATGTATGTATCCGCCTTTGCCTCTGGCTTCACACACAGCCTTGGAAGATGGTCCCTGTGAATCACCCATGACAGAGTGAGCTCCTCTCCAAGATGTGAGTGACAAAGTGAGTGAGTGACAAAGTGAGTGAGTGATGGCACCATCGCCTTCCAACAGTTTCGAGCTCACCTTTGATCACATGCTGCCATGGCAATACCGTCAACTTTCACAGACTGAGTCCACCTACTTAATGGCCTCACTCCCTTCTTCCTTTCCTCTTGAAATAAAAAAACCCCCACCCCGAGTGAGCTTCGCACACGTGCAATCACCATGTAAGCAAACCGCGCATGGGGACAAAGAACATCTAACAACCTGAATAGTCCTCAGGAGATCGCCTACATTCAGGCTCATCAAGATCGGATACGAGTCCGACACAATGGGCGACGTCGGCGAGCTATCCGAAAGCACCGCCAGGCAGCTGGAGCAACTGAGCACCACTCAGCTGCTGACGGAGCGTATTCTTGGTAAGATCTCATCCACGTGTTCTCGCGGGCGCGAGCCAGCCGCTAACGCATCCTGACCAGCCATCGGTCGCAGTCTCGTCGGTAGCAACCGCTGCCTGGACGTCGTCACGTACCGGCTGCCCAACCACGAGCAGCCCAACGACTACATGGCCGAGCTCATCGAGCACTCGGGCCCGCGCGAGGCAATCACCATCCTGCGCGCCCGCTACGACAGGCGCACCAGCGCGCTCTGGCTGCTGCTGGACCGTGCTGAGCGCGAGCTCAACGTCACCATGAGCGAGGCTCGCCACGAGAACGGGGTCCAGGTCATCAACACCTGCCGCCTGGGTCGCAAGGCTTACTAGCTAGCTCCTGCAAAAGTCAAGCGGCCGCACCGTGCGAAGGGTCCAGCGATCCAGAGACGTAGACGGGGTCGGAGAGGGGGATTTTCTTTCTGGATGGAGAAGCGGCATCCGCAAATGCACGTAGTAAAATCCGCCTTCCATGTCCTCGTGTCTCGTGTTCCATGGGTGTGAAAGCCGCCCGGCGCTGCTCGCAGTTGCTTTTCAACAGCCGAGTTCGGTTAGTGGCTGCCAAAAGAAGAAGTGTTGCATGTTGCTCTAGGAGTCTAGGGTCCGGGTCTAACGGTGTAGGCCTAATGAACAGCAGCCTGCCTCGCAGAACTTTTTTTTTTTCCTCCTCCGCTCGCTCCCACCCTCCACACTGCAAGCTACAACCATGGAATGTGTATACCTGGGGGATATGTTGAGGCGCGTTATGCGCTTTCGCGCGCTGCGATATGGACGTCTATCGCCTGCCAACACCACCTCTCGGGCCATCGACGAGACTCGAGAAGCCACGCAGGAGGAAGTCGACACCATGGTCGACACCATCACAGGTTGTCGTTCGGGATATCATCTCTCCATCCCACATACTGACCGTTGTGACAGAGAGCTTGGACGCCATCTTCCATGAATCGTCCACGCAGCATGTTGTCCTCCTGGACGAGTCCACCGCGACGGCTGCAGCCAGCTCCCCTGCCGCCGCCCCAGGCCCAACAAAGCCTACCTACACCGCGACCGTCATCCAACACGGCTACCCGGCCCTGATTCACGTCCCTTACCCATACCCGCACTGTGGCATGACTACCATCTCGACGGTCCCGGCCGTTGACCTCATCATCGTGAAAGACCCCGCTCCAACCCGCCACGCCGCTCTCTTGGTCGTGCTGGAAGCGATAGAACCGATGCTGAAACAGGCTTTTGACCGCTGCTGGGCTGCGACGATGCTAACGAGCGCACCCCAACACCAACAGCGCAAGCGTCAGCGGATGCTGACTCCGCCTGCTCCCCGTGACGACCACCATCGCAACAAGCGCCGCTGTACACGCTCGCATCAAGAAGCGTCCGGTGTTGCTCAAGGTCCCGCTGTGCCTCCGCCGCCGCCGCCGCCGCCTTCGATGATGCCGTCTTCAATGCCGGCTCCTTCTTTTGCCGGGCCGCACGGGCACTGGACAATGTGTGAATCGCCGGGTAGCCACCATCCAGCGGGTAGCCATCACCCAGCGGGTGGCCATCACCCAGCAGGTGGCCATCACCCAGCAGGTGGCCATCACCCAGCGGGTGGCCATCACCCAGCGGGTGGCCACCACCCAGCAGGTGGCCATCACCCAGCAGGTGGCCATCACCCAGCAGGTATCTATCACCCAGCAGGTAGCCACTACCCAGCAGGTGGCCACCACCCAGCGGCCCCTCAGAACAGACACGAAGAGCACCACCTAAAGACGGCCGAATGCCTATCCAGACCGCAGAACTCGTCGAGCAGAGCAGAAGCACCCAACCAGGGCCGCCCACAATCGCGATCCCGACAACTCCGATCCGGACGATGCGGAAAGCAACTGCCGTCCCTCGTGCGCCGCCCGCCGCAAGCCGAGAAGAGATGAATTCGAATCGAACGACGAGGAATCTGATGACTTTGCGAAGTCTACCAAGTTTAAGCCTGACGACATCGGTTACTTCGATCCTCATCTCAAGCTTCGGGATGACGAGGACGAGGATCTGGTTGATCGCAAAGGCAAGCTCTAATAGGACAGCTTACCTCAAGTGAGCGGCGACACCTCCAAGGAGGTACAGGTCTCGACAGCCAGCTCCTTCTTTGATGCCGGCTCCTTCTATACCAGCTCCATCTTTAATGCCGGCTCCTCCTATGCCAGCCCCTTCTTCGATGATGCCACCTCCAGGACCACCGCATTTATTGCGGCAGCAAAGTGACGAAGTCATGTACATACCGCCCCGCAGCACCAGTGGCCAATCACGCCGGTGCGCCTATATTAAGAGATTTATCGGCAGCACACTGCCCTCTGTAAGTCAAGCATCCCGAGTACGCCGCGTAGAGAAGACGTTTGAGAGGATGTACGCTGATTGGTCAAAAGGACCCCGCGTTCGTAGGAAGGGGGAAGGAGTGTTCGGAGAAGCAAGTGGTGCTTCTTAAGTGTTACATCTAGGTTCTGCTGAGTCGAGGGATGCACGAATTCATGTGATCTTCAACCATACCCTGTGCTCTCAATCGTGGAGTTTCCTTGGGTCGTTGACCACTGGGGAAACCAAGTGACTCAAACTCGCTGGTCCATTGGTTGTCGCATGGTGCCCACTTGCCGACCCAGTGAAACAGCTTAGTTCAATCAAGTTGCATTCTTTTGATTCGTCAGTGGGACCACGTTGAAGCACTTGGATTCGCCTGCTCGCAGTGAATGGGAATGTTCCGAGAACTGTATTTACGAAGACTTAGCTGATGGTACACTGTTCTAGAACACCCATGGTCTATGCCAAAATAAAAATTTTCTGCGCGCAACAAATGAAACACTCAATGGATAGCCAGGATGTGTCTGTCTTTGGCTGTCTCTGCCTGTCTCACCGCCACGCCGTCCCCTCGCAAAATGCCGCTTTAGCCGTTTACCTACCTTTCCTCACCCAGTCCTCGACGAATTCCCTCGCATCGCCAATCTTCTCCTCCAGCATGGCGGCCGTCATCTTGCTGTGCGCAATGCCCGTCTGCACGAACCTGGTGGCGCGCTCCTTGGCGCGCAGGTGGTTCTCGGCGATGACGGGGTAGCGCTCCTCGTAGGTCCAGAGCAGGTCGCCGACGTTCCGGGTGGTGAGCGGCAGGATGGCCCACGAGGCGGCGATGCCGACGGCGACGGGCACCGTGGAGCGCAGCAGGATGTTGCGGTTGCGCGTGACGATGCTGCCGGCCATGGCCGAGACGAGCACGTAGATGGCGCCGGGCATGACCTTCTCGCCCGACTCCTTGGGCGGGGCCAGCGACGCGACGGTGCTGGTGAACGAGTTCTCCAGGCGCAGCGCCTCCGTCAGCCCCGCGTTGACCTTGTCCTCGGACTTGGCCGCATAGCCGTGCAGGAACAGGCGGGCCTGGGCGACCTGGGCGGCCAGCCGGTCCGTGTACGTCGGCGTCGACGGCGTGGGAGCCGTCTTGGGCGGGCTGGCGGGCTCGGCGGGCACCGGGGCAAAGTCGTCGTAGATGGGCTTGCGGAGGTCCTGGGCGGAGGTTAGCCGGGCTTGAGGCGAGAGCGAGGCGGACCGCACCCTCTCGAATTGGCTCTGCGATGCGTGGGGAGCCTCGGCGTGGACGTTGCGGATCGGGTAGAGGGAGAGGCCGGCGGCAAGGATTGCGGACGTCGCGGGCACGACGGCGCGCTGGCGGGTGTGAGCAGCGGAACGGTCAATGGAGCGGATGCGCGGTCAAGCTCACCTGCCGGAGGAGCGGTCGGAAGGCCATTAGGGGCTGGGGGTTGGAGGCAATGGGTTGTCGACGGACGGGAAGTTGCACGCGAGGTGTTGAAAGACGGGCGAGGATGTCGCTTTCCAGCACACAAGCCGAGCCCGCGCGCGCGCGTCATCTCTCCGCCCGTCCACCGCGCCGCCGCGCTTCTCCACTCACCTCTCCACCACCACTGCTCGCTCCACCTCTTGCACCCCTCCGACAAGCCGCAAGCCTTGTCACCATGCTGCGGCGCTCCGGGCGACGCGCCTGGACCTGCTCGCAATGCGTGCGCCTGCAGCAGCGGACATACGGCTCCTCCTTCGCCGCGACCGCCGCTGACTTCTCGCCCGCCATCCGCGCCGCGCCCGACGCCGACCACGACGACCGCGTGCTGCGCCGCATCTTTGACTCGCCGCGCTTCTGGAAGGAGTTCTCCAGCCGCTCCAAGGACCAGCTCCAGGGCGCTTCGGCCGGCCTTTTCCAGAACCGCTATCTCACCCGCCCGGAAGGCTTCCAGCACTTCGCCGAGGTCACGCTGCAGAAATGCATGAAGATTGTGGACAAGGTGCTGGCGGCCAGCACCGTCGAGGAGTACAGGACCCTCGCCCGGGACCTCGACCGCCTGAGCGACTTGCTCTGCCGTGTCATTGACCTGTCCGACTTTGTGCGCTCGACCCATCCCGACCCGAAGATCCAGGCCGCTGCAACGCAAGCCTACGCCATCATGTTCGAGTACATGAACCGGCTGAACACGACAACGGGACTGAATGAGCAGCTGAAAAAGGCGGCTTCCATCCCCGACGTCTGGGACTCGTGGGCCGAGGAGGAGCGGGTTGTGGCTACAATCTTGATGAGAGACTTCTCCAAGTCTGCCATTGACCTGCCAGAGGAGACGAGGCATCGCTTTGTCGACCTTTCCAACGACATCACCCACACCGGGAATGACTTTGTCGACGGCATGGCCCCGGAAAAGCCGTCGCTCAAGTTCGACAGCAGCAGGCTGAAAGGCTTGGACCCCAACTTGGCAAAGAGCTTGACTAGGTGGGGCAAGATCACGATGCCCACCGTCGGCGTGCCTGCGTTGATGGCCTTGAGGACTGTCGAGGACCCAGATGTCAGGAGAGAGGTGTACGTGGCGAACCGAACAGCGTCAAAAGCGAACATCTCGAGGCTGGAGGAGATGCTGAAGAAGAGAGCGGAGCTCGCAAGGCTCTCTGGCTATGACACGTTTGGACACATGGCATTAAGTGACAAAATGGCAAGCACCCCGGAAGCTGTGAATCAGTTCCTGGGGGCTTTGGTCGAGGACAACCACGTCCAAGTCAACAACGAACTTCAGGAGCTCCTGGAATTCAAGAAGTCTGACGCGAGGAATGACAACTTCCCCGGTCGTCTGAACGCTTGGGATCGGGACTACTACGCGCAGCAACTGCTCTCATCTCTCCGCACTCGCATTCGGTCCCCCGACTTTCTTTCGTCTTTCTTTTCCCTCGGTACTGTCATTCAAGGACTCTCTCGACTTTTCACAAGGCTCTATGGCATTCGACTAGTCCCTCACGAGACACTGCCTGGGGAGACTTGGAACTCTGATGTTAGGCGGTTGGATGTGATTGATGAGAACGAGGGACACATTGCTGTGGTGTACTGTGATCTTTTCTCCCGTCCCGGCAAGAATCCGAACCCGGCGCATTTCACCCTCCGCTGCTCTCGTCTGATTTCCGGAGATGAAATCGTGGAGGCAGCTCAGACTTCTCATCCCTTTTCCTCGCCCATTGATGCCGCCACGGATGGCATGGCTTCGGCGGTCAACCGTGACGACAAGACGGGCAACTCTTACTACCAGCTTCCCACGATCGCGCTGATCTGCGACTTCGACACTGCTGGGCAGAGCCCGCACAGCGCACGCCCGACGCTCCTCTCGTTCCGCGAAGTGCAGACGCTGTTCCACGAAATGGGCCACGCGGTGCACTCGATCTGCGGGCGCACGCAGCTGCAAAACGTCAGCGGCACGCGGTGCGCGACGGACTTCGCGGAGCTGCCGTCGGTGCTGATGGAGCACTTCGCGGCGGCGCCCGAGGTGCTCGCGCTGTTCGCGCGGCACTTCGAGACGGACGCGCCGCTGCCGTACCGCATGGTCGAGGAGCGCGTGGCCATCGACCGGCGCATGAGCGGCGCCGAGATCGAGGCCCAGATCCTGCTCGCCATGCTCGACCAGGCCTACCACTCGGCCCTGCCGCTCGAGCCCGGCTTCGACAGCACAAAGACGTACCACGACATCTACAACACGCACCAGACGGTCCCGGAGCCGGCGGGCACGGCGTGGCAGGGCTTCTTCGGCCATCTTTTCGGGTACGGCGCGACGTACTACTCGTACCTCTTTGACAGGGCGATTGCCGGCAAGCTCTGGAAGGAGGTCTTCCAGGAGGGGAAGAAGAGCGTCGATAGAGAGGCGGGTGCGCGGTACAGAGAAGAGGTTCTGCGGTGGGGTGGTGGTAGGGACGGGTGGAGGTGCGTCGCCGGCGTTTTGGGACGGGAGGAGCTGGCCGAGGGTGGTGCAGAGGCCATGAAAGAGGTGGGTAGATGGGGTGTTCATGATTAGAGGAGTGCAGTGCTTCTGTAGAGGGGCCTCGTAGAAGCATCGGGGGTTTCCGTCCTTTTAGACGTCTGTATGCTTAGGGAAGGAATGGTTCTCAGTTGAGTGGTAGACGATAGCTGGCTTGTCGTCGTAAAAGAAAAAGGGGGCGGAATCGGTAAATATCGTTTTGATGCCTGGTTGTAGATACTTGTCTATATCCTTCCTACCAGAAGTATGTACCAACTCCGACGATAGCATTTCCTAACCGATCAACTCCTCGTATAAATAACCCAAGATAGTATAGGAAAAACACTCCACTGCGGCTAGTTTCTTCTCGTTCTTCTTCCTCGTCCTCGTCCTCGTCCTCCCCCTCTCCGATTCACACACGACCGCCTCAAAGCGCATCGACGTCAATCTCAGCCACCCTCGGCCTATACTCGACGGCGGCCTTCGCGTCGGGCAGATTCTGGCCGCTCCCGTCGTCGACGGTGCGCGGCCGGTCGGCGCGGCCGCCCTCGAAGCGCCAGTCGTACTTGAGCAGCAGGTGGGCGACGGCGACCTTGATCTCGTTTGAGGCGAAGAAGCGGCCGGGGCAGGCGTGCCGGCCGTGGCCGAAGCCGAGGTGCTCGGCGCTGGTGGTGACGAACTGGTGGCGGTTCTCGCAGCCGGGCTGCGCGCGCAGGCGCAGGAAGCGCGCGCCGTCGAAGGCGCCCGCGGTCGGGCCCCAGCGCTCGGCCGACTGCATGTGCAGCGTGGGCACGGCGGTGGTGGCGCCGGCGGGGATGGTGGTGCCGTCGGAGAGGGTGACGGGCGCGAGGGCGACGCGGTTCATGAAGACTGCGGGCGGTTGGTTGGTTAGTGAGTGGGTTTGGATTATTGACAATGTGATGTTGACGGGAAATGATGGCAGGTCCATAACCACTTACGGGGACTCTGGACGTTGATCCGCTGGCTCTCCTTCATGCAGCTGTCCAGCAGCTTCATCTTGTACAGGCTCGTCTTCTTCCAGCCCTGGTCTTCGCGCAAGACGTCGGCTATCTCGCGGCGCAGCTGCTCGACGCAGGCCGGGTGCGCGACCAGGTCGAACATGAGGTGGGTCAGCGTCAGCGACGTCGTGTGGATGGCGTTGAAGTTGAGCAGCAGCTGCGCCGCCGCAAAGTCCCACGGCCGGCCCCGCGCCACCGCGTCCATCCACTCGAGCGAGTCGGCCGGCTTGGGCGCCGGCTCGCCCGCGGCCTCGAGCTGCGCCCTGCGCGCCCGCCGCGCCCGCAGCTCGGGCTCGATCAGCTGCCCCATCGTCTTCTGGATCGCGCGCACGCGCGCCATCTCGGGCAGCCAGTAGCGCGCAAGCGGGCGCAGCGGCGCGGGCACGCGGTCGAGCGCCATCTTGGCCTTGAAGGCGTCGTGGGTGAAGGCGATGGAGATGTCGACGAGGGCGCGGTTGCGGCAGAGGGGCTCGCCGAGGAAGACTTTGGCCGACATGCGCGCCGCGATTTCCGTCGCCAGCGCGGCGAAGGTGGTTTTGCTCCATTTCTGGCCGTCGTCCGAGGAGCTGGCCGCCGTGGCGGGGAGGAGGTCGGCGCAGATGAGGGCCATTTCCTTGGAGAGGTCGGCGGTTATGTGGCCTGGAGGGAGTCGTCAGTCCTGGCCGTCTTGATTTCTTCCGGCGCCATGTCCGGTCCGTCGAACATACCCAAGGCTTGCGTCAACTTCGTGCGGACCGTCTCCTGCATGATTTCGCCTTGGGTCACGGCGTGGAAAGCCGAGAACTCTGAGTAGCCCACGAAGAAAGTCTGCCGGGGCGTCAGTGGGGGCAACATGGAGCCTTGGAGTGCAGGACGGTTTACCTTCTCCATGAACGCATTGAAACTGAGCCGCTCGTCGTTGCGGATCTCATCGGCATACTTTGGAGGAATGACCAGAATGGCGCCCGAGGGGTTGAACAGTTGGAAAGGGCCGCTGAACTATACAGGGAAGCGGAGGCGTGAGCGACACAAGCTGTTTCTGGCGGGTTCGGTGTTGCATGGTACCTTGTCCAGCCCCTGTCTCAACAGTTGCTTGCTCTGTGTGTACCAGCGCTGCTGCGCGGGCTTGTTCGTCCACTCTCCCGGCTCTCTGCCAACCACGGGGAAGCCGCTCCAGGCTCGGGGGCCGAGAAACCCGGCGATTGCATTGTAGAGAAAGCTGGTGATGATGACGACAGCAACAGCAAGCAACACAGGATACCGTACTCCTGAAGCAAGAATATCCGTCTCGCTACTGTCAAATGTCATGGTGGTGGCGCGTGGAAAAAAGTGGTTAGGGAGATGCAACCGCTAACCACCGCACCCAGCCATAGGCTTATATACATATTCGTTACACGCGTCGATCCAGGACCTCTGGGAATGGGCACTGCAGATAGGAACCGGTTGCGAGCTGCTTCTCGGATTACAAAGAGGTGGTGTCGTATTCGCACATGGCCTGCATTAGGAAATCCGAACTGTTCGGATTACTGCACGGCCAGCTCGGCTAGAGCCAATGCCTCAGCGGAAGCGCAGGAGATTGGCCTGCACATACTTTGTGCAAAATAGCGAGTAGCTTTCGAGTTCTGAGTTTGACTAAGGATTTAACAACGAGACTGGTCTGCACGGTTAAACAATACCACGCTGATCCGTCACTTCAACGAATCAGGGATCTGCCACGTCCGATGCTCGTGCACAATTAAGCTCACCCTCTCAGCTATGATTGGAGTGCGCATTAAGCATTGCACTGTAGGAAGCGTATTGGAGACGATTTTCGGTGGCGCAGCAAACGGACATAAACGGAAACAAAAGGTCACAACTGATCCTCCGCCTCCAACCGCGCTCTCTCCTCATGCGTGAGTTCCCCCTTTGCTCTCCCCATCTTCACGAACAGGAACGCAAAACACGCAACGCCGGAGCACGCAACGCCGAACCAGAAGGCCACCTTGTAGCTTCCCTTGCGACCCAACCGCGCGGTGCTTCTCACGGCCAGATCGGCGACGCCGAGGAAGAAGCCAATGCCGAGGAACAGGGTGGTGTTGATCAGGGCGCCGGCGAGCCCTTGGCGGTGGCGCGGCATGCTGGTGGTGATGAAGACGTTGGTGACGGAGAAGGTAACGTCGACGCCGAGCGTGGCGCACACCATGGCCGGGAACACCCACGCCCAGTAGTCGGGGCTGTCGGGCATCATGGCGAAAAGCAGGCAGCAGACCGTCTGGACCGCCGCCGCGAGCACTATCAGCACCTTGCCCGGCAGCAGGTGCATGACCAGCCCGCCGACCGTGGACAGTATGAGGCCGCCCCCGGCCATGGGCGCGAACCATGCCGTGGTCTGGAGCGTCCCGATCCCGAGGACGAGCTCGATGCTGCGGGTGTGGTCAGTGTTCTGTACGGTTCAAGGGAATTGGACTGGGGGTTTCACTCACTAGAAACTGGCGTAGAAAAGGTAGACGCCGTAGACGCCGTACGAGAAGAACAAGCCAATGACAGGAGGCTTGATAGACTTTGGTTTGAACATGTCAAATGGGAGCAAAGGTTGGTCGGCAACCCAGCCCTCGACGTAGAAGGCGGCAAGGAGACACAGCACGCCAACAACGAAGGTGACAATGATGTACGGATTAGCCCAGCCATGGCCGGCATGGGAGCTGTCAGTGATTGCGAAGACCACCAAAAGGAGGCCGGGCACAATCGTGACGAGACCCCACCAATCCATCTTGATGGTCGTGCTCTTGCCATTAGGGCGGTCTTCGGGGACGGAGAAGACTGATATCACGATGACGGTTGCGAGAAAGATGGTGCCGAAGTAGAAGTACCAGCCCCAGCTGAGCAGCTCTCCACTGACCCCACCGAAGAAGATGCCGGTGAAGAATCCGATGGGGGCGAAGGCACCGTAGAGACTGAAGATGATGTTCTTTCGAGGCCCGGGTCTGTAGACGGTGCCGAGCAGCATGATTCCAGCCGGCAAGAAAGCAGCCGGACCAAGGCCACTCAGAGCGCGGCAGACGATGAGCATCATGTAGTTCTGGCTGAACCCGGCAACCAGAGACCAGATTGCGCACCACACCAGCCCGCAGACGAACAACATGCGCGCTCCGAATATATCCGCTAGTCGACCGCATGGTAGGATGAAGGAGCCAGCGACGAGGGAGAAGACGCTGGCAGGCCAGCTCTGAGCGGCGGTGGGGATATCGAGTGATGTTGTCAAGGCAGGCAGGATGATTTGGAATCCGCTGACGAAGTACTCCTGTGTCCTGTGAGCAATCGGCTCCTGGAGGAGATGAAGTGAAAGAAGCCTACCGCCATGAACATGGAAGCCAGCAGCGAGAAGCAGAAGCAGCATTCGGCAGCCTTGGTCGAGAAGACGGCCGGCCTTTGTCTTCCGAGCTTTTCGACGTCGACCGCAGCAGGCTCGAGAATGCCGACGGCATTGGGGGAGGTTTGGACTGCCATGACTTTGTCCGTGGGTGCAGATACATTCTCGAACCGCGCAGCTGTTTTACCAAAAGGAGTGACACGTGCTGGAAGGTGACAGCGAGAATATGCTCATCCTCTATGGCCAACTCCATTGCTGGGTCTGGGTGGAGGCTTGGCTGCCAGATGCGGCATCACTTCAACGACGCAGCCGCAATACATTTCACTGGACAGGGTCGATCTCGGCTTGCCAAAGGCTGCGGCGGAGCTTTTGACGGGATTTCGGCTGCCATGATTTGGTCGTCGACAGGCAGCGGTGTTGCAGAGGGGACTGCTCTGGAGCGGGTGGGCGCTAAACCCAAACAGGCAGCCAAGGCGCAGTGGCCTCGCGGGTTGGATTCGCCAACTCCTTCCATCACAATCTCCTCCCCTCTCCGCCCAGGGACCCCACCGCACGCCGGCCCGGATAATACTGTGTAACCACTCTCATCACACGTCTGGCGGCTAGCCTGCAAAGCCAAGGCGATCTGCTGCTGCGTTCTCCGGATTCCACGCTGCCGGCCCCAATTGTTTCTTTTTTCCTTCTGCCCGGCGCCGCCGAAGCTGCAGCCTACTTTTCTTCTTATCAAGCAGCTCGCACGGACCGGATGTCGTCCGGCCAGGACGAGCCACCCTCGAAGCCCTGCCACAACTGCCGCCGCCGCAGACTCAAGTGTGACCGCGCTCTTCCGGGATGCCGCAAATGCTCCAAGACGGGCCAGGAATGTCTCGGCTACGGCAAGCTGTTCCTGTGGGACCAGGGCGTGGCCAGCCGCGGCAAGATGATGGGCAAGACCATCCCAGTCCAGTCCCCCAAGTCGCCGCCCGCAGAGGCCGTGCATGCCGTGTCTGGTGCAAGCCTTATAGGGCACGACGACAGCATGCCGCCCGGCCAGGAAATGGTGTTGAGAAGTAGCAATGCGTGCATGGAGCCGGCGTCGTCGTGGTGGATAGCAGCACCGCCTCAGCGCCCTCTAATAGATCCCATCTTCCAAGACCTGGGCCACTCGTCCCGGCTCTATCTCTCTCACTGTATGTCAGAGTCTCCGGGTCTTCCGTCGAGTGGAGCGGTTCTGACGCAGCGTCTCTAGTCGCCGACGAGTTCTGCAAGTCTCTCGTGACATACGACATGCCCAACCTGAACCCCTTCCGCGACCTCATCCCGCTGACCAGAGAGCACGCCGTCCTGCTGCACATGGCCATCGCCAACTCGGCCGTGCACATGGCCAACCGCTACGCCATGGAGACCCAGAGCGCCGCCGTGGCCGCCCAGTCGCTGAAGGGCATCGCCCCGGGTCAGGTCAGCGCCATCCACTCGCAGCCGCTGCACGAACTCAGCGGCCAGGCCGCCCGCTTCTACCACGACGCCCTGGTCGCGAAACAGAAGGCGCTGCGGCTCCTGCGCCACGCACTGCAGCACGTCGACACGGGCAACCGGGACGTCCTCCTCGCCGCCATCCACCTCTTCGCCAACTTCGAGCTCATCACCTCGGGCAAGGGCGATTGCATCGTCCACGTCGAGGGCGCCAGGCGGCTGATCGAATGCTTCGGCTCCGAAAGCTCGCCGATGATGGGCAAGCTACGCGACTACGTCGTTTCCGATTGCCTAACGTAAGTCCCGACCTTCTCTTTCGTGTCTCCGGAGGCGGTGGCGGCGGCGAGCTGATTCCAAGCTTAGCTTCTACATCCTCGGCTCCATGGTGGCGTCCTCCCGCTCTCGAGCGAACGCGAACCGGCGCTTCCAGTACGTGCTCCCGCTGCTGGAACGCGCAGAGTCCAACAGCTACCTATCATGCCCGTCGGTGCTGCTGCAGATCATGCTCTCAGCCTCGTACCTGAACCGCGGCTCCGCAACCGATCAAGCCTCCTCTTCGTCTTCCTTCTCCCTAGCCGCAGAAGCCGCGTCCCTCCTCCAACGCGCCCGCGCCGTCGACGTGCACGTCTGGGCGCAGCAGGTCCAAGGCATCTCGTCCCAGCACGCCGACGACTTCGCGTCGCGCGTGCACGTGGCGTCGGCGCACAAGTCGGCCATCTGCCTGTACATCCACCGCGCGGTGCAGCCGGCGGCAGACCTGCTCGACGACGGCCAGGTCGAGGTCCTCGTCGCCGACATCCTGCACCACCTCGCGCAGATGGACGGCGGCGACAACCTCATCAAGGGCACCGCGTGGCCCACCTTCGTCGCCGGCGCCGAGAGCGAGGACCCCGAGCGGAGGGCATGGGTTGCCGAGCGGATGGTCATGTTGTGGCGCATCATGCTGTGGGGGTATTTGCCTACTGCGCTGGAGACGCTGCAGGTTATCTGGAAGACGGACGACGTTGTGTGTGAAATTGATGGGGTGGCGGCGGCGGCGGCGGCGAAGGAGGGATGGTTGCAGAAGCTGAAGAGGCTGGGGATTGAGTGGATGATTGTCTGAATATGCGGCAAGGCTTGTCATGAAGGGAAAGTGAAGGAAATGTCTGATGATTTTTTTTTTTGAAAACAGGATGACGGGGCGTTTTTTTTTCATAACATAGAAAGATAGATAGAGAGAGCATACCCCCCACAATTTGTCATATAGATGCGATATCATTGCAAGAGCTCAGGCACTAGATAGAAGAAACCCAACAAATTCAAAGCGAAGTAACAAGATCATAAGAAAGGTTGTATAGCTTGGGTATCATGCTCCGACTTCTGCCCGAATGAGTCCGCTTGGTGTCAGCAGAGAGTTGTCTCTACGAGTGCAGGTCGACTTACTCTTAAGATTAACAAGTGCGCAGGATGCTGACCTTCTACATGACAAGACACTTGTCGTTGTACGTCTCACCGTATTGGTCCACACCTGCCGCCCTCACGTTTTCCTTTTGCTTGACTTTCACCTCGCCCGGGAAGTATTCGAGCAGAAATGCGGCCAGAGCAGGGTCCAGGTTCCCGCTGTCTGCCTCCATGACCACCTCTCCCCGGCACAACGGGCAGTACTTTTCCCTCGCCCTCTGCAGGACGACCAAGCAACGGATACAGAAGATGTGCTGGCAGCGCAGGCGCACCGGACGGTACGAAATGCTGAAGCAGACGGGGCAGAGATAGTCGTCCAGCTGAGGAACTATTGGCAGTAGCTCGGTAGAGACTTGGTAGCAGATGGCTTTCGCAATGTCTCGCGGCATGCTCTGCTGCAGGGCTGCCGGGAACGTGGATCTCACGGCGAGCGCCGTGCGCTTGTCGAACTCTGCAGCCTGTCAGAAAGCGAGACGAGAATGATATCTCCAATAGCGCTCACTCTTGAGGATCTTCTGCATTGCAAGGTCGTTGAGTTCCTGGAACCTGAGGTTTTGGAGGATTGTCATGTTCAATTGCAGGAACTGGGCTAGAGCGACGCTACTCGCTTTCTTCTTGAAGGTTGACGTGACATGCTGCCGGTGGAGTTCATCGGAGAACGTCTGCAGAAGTTCCTGCGCCTTCACGGAGCCATGCTTGCCGTGATCGAGTTCGGCGGTTGAAAAGAAGATGCTCGATTCCAGGTAGAGCTCGAATATCTTGCGCCATTTGGCCATGTCCGTCTTTGAGGCTGATTTCCGATTTGGCTCCGTCACCTTCGTCACAACCAGTCCCAGCGCCATCACCTCCTTACTCAACCTTTCTTGCTCTTGAGCCTGCAAAGCGGCCAACCCGGACAACTCGCTCTGGAGGATACTGAAAAACTCGAGGTCCGAGGTCAGGGAAAGCTCCACCATGCGGTGAGGGCAAGTGTCCCACCGCGGTCCATCGGAATCGCTGGTACCATCCGACGAGGTTCCCCGTGAAGACGCTTCCGAGTTCGGCTCCGCTGCTGGCGGCGAGACATGGGCACGCGACACGCTCGACTGAGAGAGCTGTTGGGAGACGGCCAACTGCTGGAGATAGTCTCTGGTCAGAGGGGACAGGTGGGCATCCAACGGTTCCCCAGTCTCGTCATCCACGGCAATGAACAGCTTGGGCTGGAAAGAGACGGGAGGGCCTGCATCTCGGAGCGAAGACTGCGGGTTGGACAGGAGGTACTCGGCAAGCCTTTTGTCCCTCTCTCGCTCTGCCGTCGCCAGCAGCTGGCCCAGCGTTGTTGCGTCAAGTCCCAGGCTGGCGAGCTCGCGTTCCACTCTCTTGATGCATTTTTTGAGTTGGCGGTAGGAGATGGCCGAGGCGACCCAGTGGGCGGGAAAGCCGTCATGCTGGAGGTGGGCCTGAAAAACGTGGCCGAACTTCATCGCTGGTAAGCTAGCCCACGGCCACAGCGGTAGCGCTCCTCAGAGCGCGTCTGATGGGCGGGTAGGCATCGTCGGGCGTGATGATGAGTTGAAACCTTCGACACATGGCTTGCAAGATTGGCTGCGTGTGGCGCGGTGCAGTCGGCGACATGGCAGTGGGCGGTTGGGGCAGCTGCAAGCATCCGAACGACTCATGCAGTGTGCCTGAGCAAGCGCTTCATGACTCGGTCGGCCATTTCTGCTACTGCACACAAACATCGAGATTACGCTCGTTTCTAGCCCTGAGAGCATTGCATTTGGACAAGACCAGATGTTCTGGCATTTTTCCGGCTGGAATCTCGAGCGTGCGAGTAAGCTATGATTCAATGTGACACGGCATGGCGTGGGTAGGTGGCGCGGATGACTTAATCCAGGCACCGCCGCCTACCGAGCATGACTTCACACACTCCGCTCAGCCCGCCGTTGCAACCCCACGTACTGTCTCTTTTCTTTTTCTGGCGGCGCTTCCTTTTTTCCTTTCCCACGGTCCAACAGCATATCGACGCGCTTCATCCCGCTCAAGCCTGAAACAACGTAGCATTCGACCATGGGGTCCGGCCAGAGCTCCGCAAACGGCGGCGGGGCGTCGCAGCAAGCCGCAAATGCCGCCATGAAGACGAGCTACTACGAGCTGCTGAGCGTTGAGCGCCAGGCCACCGAGGACGAGTACGCAAAGCAGCACCCCGCCGCGCCCTTTGCGCGCCCCCTCCGCCACACCTCTCCGCTAACGTCGCCCTCGACGCAGGATCAAGAAAGCCTACCGCCGCAAAGCACTCGAGCTGCACCCGGACCGCAACCACGGCAACGAAGAATGGGCAACCGAGATGTTCGCCGAGGTGCAGTCGGCGTACGAGGTGCTTTCGGACCCGCAAGAACGCGCCTGGTACGACTCGCACGAGTCGGCCATCCTCAGCGGCGCCGACCCGGCTGACGCCCACTTCGAGCACGACGTCAAAGTCACCACCGCCGACGACCTCACCCGCATGCTGCGCCGCTTCAACAGCCGCGTCGAGTACTCGGACGAGCCCGCCGGCTTCTTCGGCTTCCTGCGCGACACCTTCGACACCCTGGCCAAGGAGGAGGCCGTGGCCGCCATCTGGGACGGCCTGGACGCCCCCGAGTACCCCACCTTTGGCCGCAGCGACTCGTCGTACGAGGACGTCGTGCGCCAGTTCTATGCCGTGTGGATGAGCTTCTCCACCCGCAAGTCGTTCGCCTGGAAGGACATCTACCGCTACTCGGACGCCCCCGACCGCCGCACGAGGCGCTACATGGAGAAGGAGAATGCCCGCCTGCGCGACGAGGGCGTGCGCGAGTTCAACGACGCTGTGCGCCAGCTGGTCGCTTTCGTGCGGAAGCGGGACCCCCGTTGGGCGCCCAATACCCAGACCGAGGCCGAGAGGCAGAAGGCTCTGAAGGAGATGCGTGACGCCCAGGCCGCGCGCGCCAGGGCCGAACGCGAGGCCTTGATGCACGAGGAGGTGCCCGAGTGGACGAGGGCCCGGGACCCCGAGGAATCCGAGGAGAGCGAGGAAGAGGAAATAGTGGAGGAGCATTTCGAGTGCGTGGCTTGCAACAAGACTTTCAAGAGCGAAAACCAGTGGCAGGCGCACGAGAAGAGTAAGAAGCATCAGAAGGCGGTATATGCACTGCAGAAGAAGATGCGGAAGGAAAACAAAAACCTCAATTTGGACGACGAGGTGCCCAGCAGCGGTGTGGAGACACCCGATGCTGTTGAAGAAGAAACCATTGAAGAAAAAGAAGACGAAGCAGAAGCAGAGGAAACGACTCAAGCAATGCGGAACGTTGATCTAGGAGGTGAAGACGCATCCGAGGAAGAGAAACCGTCTGCGAACAACAATAAACCAAACCCATCCGGATCTGAGGAAGACGAAGAGGACGATGACTATGTTCCACGGTCGAAACTAGAGTCTAGGCTGGCAGGGGATGCCGATTCAGACGAGGGAGATGAAGACCCGAAGTTGAAGCTTGGCCTGGAATCAGACGACGAAAAACCGGTTGCAGCGGCCGCACCAAAGAAGGGAAAGGCGGCACAAAAACGAGCAAAGAAAGCAGCAAAACAGGCCGTTGCAGACGAGGAAGAGCTGAAGCACAAGTGTGCCGTATGTCAAACTGGATTCGCGTCCAAGACAAGGCTGTTCCAACATATCAAGGACCATGGGCATGCCGCTCCTGTCACTCAGACGAAGGGAGCCGGTGGCGGTGGAAAGAAGAAGGGGAAAAGATAGCGAAGGCTAGACATAAGATATAAAAGTAAAGCCAGTAATTCAATGTAGCATAGCGTAGGCGTTTGGATGGTAAGTAGACTGTCTATACCCAGTATCTGCGGCAGAGTGTTTGTTCATATAACGCTTAGGCTAAATACAAGCAAACGGGGATGCTTACCGACGTGCCGATCAGTTCCTTTATGCATTTCCCATCCAGATTTCCCATGTGATGCCACTGGATACACCGCATATGCTCTCACCATGCCATAGGGTGATCATGGCGCAATCGCCAGCAACAGATATGGAGGATTCAGGATCATGGATGCCTCACGCCTTACCGCTTTTGGCGAGGCTGCCTGGCTGCCGCCTACCCTAACAGCTGCCCCACCATCTCTCACCCCCGATTCAGTAGTACTTAAGACCACCTGATTCCGCGACGGAGAGACGCGTCTGCAGACTCAACACGCGTCAAATCCTTAGCAACCGCCGTCTTCTCGAGGAACATTGAGCTACTTGCTGTCTTTTGTATCAACCATCGTACACTCTGGACTTGACGTAACCTTGAAAATGCCCCGCGCAAAGGGAGTCCCGACACCAAGGCGCAAAGCGGAAGTCCCGACACCAAAGCGCAAAGCGGAATTCCAAGAACGGGAGTATTCCAAACGGCCGCGTCGCACGCCAGTCTCCTACGCGGACCCAGAGAATTCCGACGACAGCGCATTCTACGAGACGGACGAGGACGGAGAAGGCGTCACGGCACGAAAGGTACACCAAATCTGCCTCACATCATTCTCGTCCACACCCGTGAGATTAATCTTATATCCCTTTGCCGCAGGCGCAACGACCCAAGCCATCCCGGCCGCTGCCCAAGCACAAAATCTTCCCCTTCCTCTCCCTCCCCCGCGAGCTCCGCGACCTCATCTACGACTACGCACTCGGCTGCCCGACCATCGTCACCACCACCATCTCGCCTGTCAACCACGACCCCAACGCCGACCCCGAGCAGTCCACGACGACGACGACCACCGCCTTCAGCAACATCATCCGCCTGCAAGAAGTCACCGTCGGCTTCCGCAAATCCACGAGGCGCATGGGTCACTTCTCGCAGAGCCTCCTAAGAACCGGCGACGACGGCGCCACCACCACCACCTCCTCCACCACCAACACCGTCGCCAGCTGGCCGGCCCTCAACAACGCCAACAACAACGCCGCCAACAACGACAACGGCGATCGCCCCACCCTCGTGCGGCGACGCACGTACGCGCCCGCGCCGCTGGCGCTGGGCCTGCTGGGCGTGAGCCGGCAGGTGCACTCGGAGGCGGCGCGGGTGCTGTACGGGGGGCGGACGCGGCTGCAGTTCGGCGACTCGATGGCGCTGCAGGCGTTCGTGGCGCGGCTGTCGCGCGGGACGCGGGCGCTGGTGCGCGACGTGCGGCTGATGCGGTGGCAGCACGCGCGCAGCGCGTGCCGCGCCTTCGACCGCACCGTGTTCGAGCTGCTGGCCGAGGGCGTGACGGGGCTGGCGGCGTTGCGGGTGCCCAAGCGGCGGTATTCGTCGCTGGATGGCAAGTGGGAGGCGAGGAGGGTTTGTCGGCACGGGTGGCGGTGGTTGGAGGCCATGGCGGGGGAGAGGGAGGACGGGTTCGAGGGCGTGTTGAACGTCTTGTTGGCGGGGGTGGATGATTGGGGGGATGGATGGAGGGCCGGGGAGGAGAAGCGGGAAATGTATGTGAAGGAGTTCAAGGCTTTGATGAAGGTGCAAGCTGAATGAGGTGGGCAATCTGAAAGGGCATAGGGCCCGGGGTCGTGTTCTTCTTCTTTCCCAGGTAGGATCCACCTTGCATGTGCAATTTTGGAACGGATCATTGAGAACTTGATAAATTCTTGGATGTGCTCGACAGCATTTCGTTTATGAACTGAGGGGGGTATCAAAATTGAGTACGGCCGCGCTGAACGCCAGTTGGTACACTAGAATACGTTTAGTATGTACAGATCGTCGGGGTTTTTCAGACCGTGAGACAAGAGATAAAAGTCCAGTCTCAAGATGCTTGAGCTTCGCTTCTTTTGTCTTTGGCAAGCTCTTCCTCCAGGAACAGCTTCAACAGGTTGGAGGTACTTTCTGGGTCCGAGGCCTCTTCCCATTCCTTGAACAGTCGGTTGATCTCCAACAAAATCTCGAAGAAAATCAAATAGATGATGATCCACTCCAAGAAATGGCCATGCTTCTCTTCTAGGCGATCACTGAGGACCTGAGCAATCTCTTGCGCGTAGGTTAGTTTGTCGTTCAGTGCCTTGATGCGCACGGAAACATCCAGAGCGCGGCCAACTTTGGTGTAATAGTCCTCAAGGCCAAGCTCGTATCTGCTATCCCAGAAAATATCCGGCAAAGCATCGGTAAGCTCGGAATACAGGTTGAGTTGAGCCCGGATGTTGAGAAGCTCGCCCGTCTTCATGAGAATGAACTTTCGGCTGAAGCGTAAGCGTGCGCCTTTGGAGAGGACAGTAGGAATGGAGCGAGTAGAGTTGAAATATCCGTCCAGGAGTCCTTCGAGAACGGCGAGCTTAGTCGAGCGTGCCAGCCCAGAAGAAAATGCAATCTTGGCCAGTACAGTGTCCACTTCGTAGTTGGACATGTCTTGTCCGTCTGGTTGGCCGGTTTGTCGGGAAGGATCAAACTCGGGATTCCCAGTCCCCAGGATGATGGTGTCTCCAAAGACATCGCTTCCGCCCCTGTTCGGGTCCTCAACATATGCCAGGTCTTCTGTTTCAACGTTCCTCAGGTGAGGGCCTTCGGCGGCGCCAACCAGCGTGTTGTAGACCAGCCGAACAGACACCTTCTCGGGAACATTCCAAGCGACCACGGTGCCTGACGGGAATATGAAGACATCACCGGTTTCCTTGCTCTCGAGGGCATTGTTGACTTGGATGTGAACAACTTGTGGGTATAAGCCGGTGTTGTAAGGATCTGTCTCAAAGCCCTCGAGGCGAAGAAGGCGAGCAACTTCATGAATATTGTATCTGTCTGTGGCGCAGTAGGCAGTGATTTTCTAGGCCCGAGTCAGCACCAGCAAAACACAAGTGCTTCAAGAGACGAGCCTTCGCATCATCGGTATTGGGAAGTTCGGATTTCGCCCTCATTCTCTTCCGCTGAGCTTCGACAGCGACTTTTCGCAGGGTCGGAGAAGTATTCGCCGAGGTCCTGGCATGTTTCATGGTTTCCCTTTTCGCCTCCTCGACAAGGGGGCTGCTTTCCGGGGCCTCATCCTTCGTTTGACTGTGCAGTCGCGAGGCAGAGGTGGACAGAGAGCGAGCATCGAGAAGGCTAACTGACGGCGCGGGACGGGAAAGCGGCGGGCGGCAACATGGCGGCGGAGAAGGCGTGGGCCTGGCGACTAGTGCGCGAGCCGCGCGTGACGAGAAGGCATTGAAGCGAAGAGCATTCATCGCCGGATCCGGTGGGCTTGGTGCATCAGGGTTCCAAGGAGAGACGAGCTCCGAGTGCTGGTGGACTTTGCGGGAAGGGTTGGAGCTCTGCGGACGGGCGAAGAAGTAATTGGTGGCCGGCGGGCAGAGCTTGGGACTTGGCAGCCGGGATCAGCGGCCGATGGCCGGCAGCGTCATGAGCCGGGACGCCAACACCACCACTCGCGCGCCCGACAGCTCATCCATCCCGCGCTACCTCCTTTCACCGCGGACCATGCCCCAGCATGGCTGCGCAACCAAATGGACTCCACGACGATGAGCTCGTCACCCCTCATCACGAGCCACCCACCACCGCCGAGCCCACCACTGCCGCCGATGTTGAGGTTGAGTCGGACCGCGATGAAGATGAGGACGACGACGGCGAAGACGACGATGACGACGAGCCCAAGCTAAAGTACGATCGCCTCACCAGCACCTTGGGCTCCGTCTACCGCAATGGCGACGCCACTAGCAGCTTCATTGTCGGAGGGGACAAGATGGTATGAACCAACCAAGTGCGCACCAGCTGCGCCGCCCACCTTGAGTCCTGCTAAGCCTCTACAGATCATAGGCACCCACAATGGAAACATTGTAAGTATATGCTACCAACAGCAAGCCGGCCTTGCAGCTGACCCTCAACAGAACGTGCTCTCCATGCCCTCTTTCCAATCGCTGCGCTTCTACCACGCCCACTCGGCCTCGGTCACTTCAGTGTCAATCTCGCCGTTTCCCCCTCCTCTACCAGACTTGAGGGGGGATCCTGTGACCAGAACCGCTACGGAACCCGTCCCTCCACCGGAACGGCGCAGCACTGCCGCGTCTACTGTGTCAAGCCCGCCGTCGAGAACTCCAAGACAGGCACCGCTCCCGGCCACGCCTTCCAATTCGATTTATGTCGCAACCTCTTCAATTGATGGCCACGTCTGTGTGTCATCCCTTGTGGACCAGAAAGATGTCACCCTCAGGAATTTTCGCAGACCCATCAATTCCGTCGCACTGTCTCCGGAGTACAAGAGCGACAGAACTTATCTTTCGGGAGGATTGGCTGGAAACCTGATCTTGACACAGGGAGGACGGCCTGGTGTCAGTTCTGAGGCGAACACTAACAGTGCTGCCGCTGCGGCTTCTGGATGGCTGGGCTCTATCGGACTCGGTGCGAATACTGGGAAGGATACCATCCTCCACTCGGGCGAAGGCAGCATCAGTGCAATTAAATGGTCCCTCTCTGGCGCATACGTGGCGTGGGCAAATGAGCAGGGTATCAAGATAATGCGTTCCAATCTGAAGTTGGAAAGCGTCGACTCGGAGTTTGCCTGGAGGCGGATCGCCCATGTGGATCGACCCTCCCACGGTCAGTGGGATGATATGGCCTCTGTGTGGAAAGCCAGAATAGAGTGGATTGATGAGAAGAATCTCGAAACGAACGACGATGGCCCCATCAAAAATGGCATCGACCGATCTGGGACGGATATCGCAGATGTTCAAAGCTCGCCGAGCAAAAACGGCACGAAGCGTCTAAAGCCAAAGAAAGAGAAGCTATTGGTCGGCTGGGGCGATACTGCTTGGGTTATACAAGTTGATCCAGGCGGAGCCGGCACAGGGAAAAATATTGGAGAAAGGTCTGCAGGACGCGCAGACATTGTTCATAAGTAAGGAACTACGCATTGGGACAGGGAGCGTGTGTTGACTGATCGGACAGGCTTCGATTCGACGACTGTATTATTTCTGGTTTATCGCTTTATACCCCTTCCATACTTCTTGTTCTTGCATATCGCACCCGCGATGATGACGATAACCCTATCAACGCTACAACCACGGACGCGACCAAACGAGGAATACACCACCGATCCAATGGAATCCAGCCTGAGATCCGATTAATAGACGCTGACACATCGGAAGAGGTTGATGTGGACACTCTGACCGTCAGCCGATTCGAGACCCTCTCAGCAGCCGACTACCATCTCAGTACCCTCTATGTTCCACCCCTGCTACCAGGGAGTCCAGTGGCGCAGCGAGGGGCTCTTGAGACAATTAGTGAAGGAATCTGGGGTGCCGGCGTCACGGCTCAACGAATCTTTAGCTCAGGCGCTTCTATAGCCAGCTTGGGGAGCAGCGGCGGTGACAATGGCAAGGGCAATCTGCAGCGCAGCATGACTGGGCAAGCACCCATGGCGAGACAAGCCTTGCTGAAGGGGGGACATCCTTTGGCAGTCTCTGCTGGCTTGAAGATGTTCATCCACAGCCCCTACGACTGCGTCATTGGCGTAAAGCGTGACCTCGGAGACCATCTTTCGTGGCTTCTGGAACATCAGAACTACAAAGACGCATGGGAACTCGTCAACACCAATCCTGAGATCGTGCTATCGCCTCAGCAGGGTGACGAGCCCATGTCCCCAACCGTCGGCACGCCAGTCTCATCACTTCGACGGAAACCGAGCATGGCGGAGTTCTTTGCAGACGATACTTCGCAGACCACCATCTCTGCTGAGAAGCAGCACAACTCGGCCGCGGAAAAGGAAAAGCGTCGCATCGGTGATTTCTGGATGCAGCAGCTTGTTTCCGCGAAAGACTGGACAACGGCTGGCAAAGTTGCGGGTAAAGTGCTTGGGACTTCATCACGATGGGAGCATTGGGTTTGGACGTTTGCTGAAGCGGGTCAATTCGACGCAATCACCCCATATATCCCTACAAAGCAGATGCATCCACCGTTGCCTTCTCTAGTTTACGAGGTCGTGCTCGGCAACTACATCATCCGCGACCGCGTCCGATTGAAGGAGCTTTTGGACATGTGGGATCCGGAACTGTTCAACGTGGGCAGCGTCATCAACGCACTGGAAAGCAAGCTGGATTCCGGCGACGTCACTGAAGACACGGTCGAAGGAGGCGAGCGAGGCAGAGACTGGCGCATTCTTATGGAAGCTCTTGCGAAGCTATACATTGCCGACGGCCGTCCCAAACAAGCTCTGCAATGCTACATTCGCGTGCAGAATGCTGACGCCGCCATGTCTCTCATCCGCGAGTATCGTCTCATGGCTGAAGTTGCCGATGATATCCCGGGCTTCATCATGGTCCGAATCTCTAGGGAGCAAATGAAAATGGCATCATTGGAAGAGCTGGAAGACGCGTCTTCGGAAGCCGTACAGCTTCTCGTCGAAGACGCCTACCAGGGCTTGGTAAATCCCCACACTGTGGTCGAACAGCTCCAGGAAAAGGGCGGCTCGTTCAAGCCTTTCCTGTTCTTCTACGTGCGCGCTCTGTGGACCGGCAAGGGGAGCGAAAGCGAGTTGCGCGCGACTCATGCCCGCATAGTCGACGAAGGAAGGACAATGGTCGAGGATTTTGGCGATCTCGCCGTGGAGCTCTTTGCTGAGTATGACCGAGATCTTCTGATGGAGTTCGTGAAGTCCTCGCAAAGCTACGACTACGAAAAGGCCTGCGCCGTATGCGACTCCCGCCAGTACATCCCCGAGCTTGTGTAAGTCTTTTCATTTCGTTCTTGCATCCACATGCTCAAGCATCAAAAACTGACGACCATGCAGCTACATCCTCTCCAAGACTGGTGAAGTGAAGAAAGCCCTCTTCCTCATCATTGATAAGATGGGTGATGTATCCTACGCAATCTCCTTCGCCAAAGAGCAGGACGATCCAGATCTCTGGGACGACCTGCTCGACTACAGCATGGACAAGCCGCACTTCATCCGGGGACTCCTCGAGGAAGTCGGCACCGCCATCGACCCCATCACACTGGTCCGCCGCATCCCCGAGGGCCTCGAGATCGAAGGGCTCAGGGATGGCATTCGGCGTATGGTCAGGGAGTACGAGATCCAGTTCAGCATCAGCGACGGCGTCGCCAAGGTGCTGCGGAGCGAGGTTGCGTCGGCGATGGAGACGCTGCGAGCAGGCAGGAAGAAGGGCGTCAAGTTCGAGGTGTTGGACAAGGAGCCGGACCACGTCGACATTTTCGTCGAGCCGCTGGCGGAGGCGCAGGACGTCGCGGAGAAGAACGACGACGCGGTCGTCACCAAGCGCGTCGACGCGGCCGCCGAGCCAATCAAGCCCGGGCATTGCGTGGGCTGCAGGAAGCCCTTTACTCAAGACGGTGTGTCCACCCCCCATCATCAACATCTGTTTGCTCTTTTTCTTTTTTTGTTGGATGGTTACTGACAGGGAACAGAGAGGGAGACGCTCATTGGATTCGCCTGCGGTCACGTCTACCACCTTTCCTGTCTCCTCGATTCGGCGGGTGCGAGCTCCAGCGCGTCTGCGGCGTCGATGCTGCAGGCACAGTTTGCCGAGGATGCGGAGACGTCAAGCCACAGCGTCGGCGCCAAGGTCGCGCACGCTCACCTGATTCGCAATGCCATCAGCGGCGGGTGTCCAATTTGTGCCGAGGTGGCAGAGTAAGCATTTCGGTTCTTGGTTCGGTTTGATGGGGTCACGTAAGAACAGGATAGTGGCGGGAGGGGATGATTAGAAGTTTGTGGTTGTGAAAGCATGTCGGTGTTCGTTGAAGCCTCCTGCGTCGGGTTTGTTCTGCTGTTGTTCCGGTTGCTGTATGATGGTGTGGCGAGGTGGTGAGGTGGTGCAATACGACCTTCGTGTGTGAAGTTTTGAGGGGTATAGAATCTCAAAGGAAAAAGACAAAAAAAAGAAAGTAGCAGACCGTGTTCGAGGTGATTCGATCATGATGTCTATAAATCTTCTATAAGATGAATGTACCTATACATAACTGACGTGAAAGTTGAAGAACACAATTGCTATTGGGGAGATAGGAAGAGGGCATAGACCGAAAGATATAGACTTGACACGAATAACCTATAGTCTAAATTCCGAACGCGAGCAAGACCCTCTCATCGGACCGCACGAAGAATCATGGTAAGTCAAGCGGCTGGATGGCGAGAGCCTACAGCAGAAGGTTGATCTCCTCTATCTCTTGCGCTCACACCAGCTGATGCCAAGCCAAGTGGGGCTGGCTTAGTAGTTTCCCACCAGCAGCGGTGACGGTTGACAACTCTAGTGATTTTCTTTAGCTCATGTCAACAAACCACGTTCCCGCTACATTTTAGCGCCGACCAGAAGAACTGATGAGAGCTAGTCAGGGCAGTGCGGCCTTCTTCATCAGCTCAGCCAGGGTCCCTGTTCGGATCAATTGCGGAAGCTAAACTTTACTTGTGCTCAGGTCCGGCCCATGAGTAGTAGCAGTCTGAGCACGCTAGGGGCAGAACGCAGCTGGTTGAAGATTGAACCCAAACGGCTGTTTGGCATACAAGAATGGAATGCAAGTGGCTGGGCAACTTGACTGATGTAAGAACAAGGCAAGCAAAAGTGAAGAGAAAGCGATAAGCTAAAGGCCAAGAATGCCAACAGTCGATCTGTGTGTGAACCCAACATCTTGGTTTTTTTTTCTTGGTTTTTTGCGTTGGGCTGGGCTTTCCCCTCTAAGTACACAAGGCCTCAGCACCTGCTGGCAGTCTTTATGTTAAAGCAGGACGGATCCTGGTCCGTCGGGCAGTCGGCCGGCTAGCAAGACAGGTCGGGACCGAGAGTAAAATAGGTGGGGCGGGACGGCAGACGGCAGACGGCAAGAACGGGCCAATAGGTTGGCGTTGTGGAGGGAAAGAGTAGGCGATGGAAATCAATCGATCAATCAATCAATCATGCAGGTACGGGGGCCATTTTCCCTTATCACATCCATGACGACGCGTGGGTCGAGTGAAAGACGGCATCCTTTAGAAGACAAAAAGCTTCGTATGCAGGCCGCGTCTCCGTCCTTCGCCTACTAAGACATGCATAGCCGGAGGAACTCGACGGTTCGAGGCAAGCGCGGTTGGGGATTCTTGGTCTGTCCTGGGTTTGTGCGGGTTGATAAGCCAGCAAGGCAGCGGCTGCTGGGAACCAAGTTTTTTGTGGTTGTGGGCTGTTTGGGGCGTTTTTCTTTTTCTTTTTTCCTTTTTGTGTCTTCTTATCCTTTGGCGTGGGCGCCTATCACCAAGCCACGGCGTTTCACTGGCGCTGGACCGGGATGTGGCCAGGATGTCGGTTGTGACAAGGTGGAACGCTTGAACGCCTTTGGGGTAGTTTGTCAAGTACAGCCATGGCGGGACAGAGGAGCTTGGCTCCGGAAGGAAAGAGGAGGCGAGTGGTTCGACGATTCTGTTGTTGTCGCAAGTCTGCAGTGGGGAACGAGCGGCGTAGCAAAGCCGGGGTCGAGGCCAGGGTCGCTGAAGATGTGGGGAACGGCGTCGATGAACGAATGCAGCGCCGTTGACAGCGCAGCGACGACAGCAGCGACAGCAGCGACGAGCAGCAGCACGGCACAGCGAGAAAAAAAGAAAAAAAGGAAGTGGAAACATCAGTGGCACAACAGCAGCGGCCCACCATTGTTTTTACCATTTCGTTACTGTCCCGGCGACCGGCCCGTGGAGGCAGGCAAAGAGCGATCGGGAGCGAAACGCGTGGGTTCATGTGGTTTCCCGCATCAGCTCCTCATTTGCGTTGCATGGCCGCCATTCCGCGTCCGGATGGTGCAGCCGGCCAGCGACTGCTTTCTACCGCACCCATGCTCATATGTTAATGACTTGTTGCACATGGCAACCCAGGGAAAAGGCGCCGCGGGCCGAGCAGGAGTCTTTGCCGGACGATGGCCATGGCGTCTTGATGAACGAAGAGGTAGATTGCCGCCACAACGGCGGTAACCACTCCTGTCGTCGTGCTACACTCCCAGCAGCGCTGTCTGTCGCACGACCGAAGCGTCATGCTCTCCCCTCGGTGTGTCCTCGACCCCCTTCGCTGGAGCCCGCGAGTCAACGCTGCAATTGGCCACTCCCTCGGTCCAGTCGCCGGTGTGCGGTGGCTGGTATCGCAGCCTGGCATAGAGCACCCGTCACCCACTCATGCACCGCCATGACTTACATACCCACGTAGTCCCCCATGTGGACGGGAGCACACGCCACGTACGAGCCGTAAGGGAAGGGCGGAAGGTGTGGAACGAAGGGATGAAGATTACACGCCGGTGGCGGGAAACACAGGCAGCCGTTGATCATGGGAGAAAAGAGAGAGCGAGAGAGCAGAGCGAGAGATCGAGAGAGGGGAGCCGCGTCGACGCCGTGTCGTGACGCGACGCGCGCGTCTTCCTTTTCCCCTCTCCCCCTGTGCCCTCCTCAAGCTGCTTTTCGCCGTGCGCATCGCTGCCTGTCATGATGATCCTTTGCTGCGTGCGACTTCCGGATGCGAGATGGAAAATCATTCTCTGGAGCGAGACAGAAACACGCCGTTTGAGCCAATCCGATGCGTCGCGTGCCTTGCTCCAGGGCGCGATCCCAGGTTCCGCCCGCCAAAACCTCCGTCCAGCTGCCGCACCGAGCTAAGACTGAAGCACGCATCCCTGTCTGGACGTGCGGACTGGCTCCTGGCAGCGGCGGAATGAAAGGCTTGATTGCTGCGGTTGCGTCGCGGTCGAGGAAAGGCAGATGGCTAGCGGTGGCTGGCGGCCATGTTTGCTGGCACTCGCGGTGACGGTGGTGACGGTGGTGACGGCGGTGGCTGGGTGGCTGGGCGGCTGGCGGCCCTCACTGGCCCAGGCTTGCCTGTTCCTTATCGCTCCCCAGCCCGTGCGCCGGCGCTGCCACCGGTTGTGGGCCCCGACGGGCACTAACACCCCGGCCGCACCCTGACTCGTCTGCGCGGGACACCGGGCGCTAGTCAATCCGTAACCCATGCGCCCAGGGATGCACGTCAAGATTCGTGGAAGGTGCTCCGCCTGTCGCTCCGCCTGTCGCTCCGCCTGTCGCCCCGTCAAAGTCAACTGAGAGGTGGTGAGGTCAACGCCGGCTCAGATTGTTCAATGCCTGTGCAAAACTACCCACAAACACATCCCACCAACTGTGACCTCCACGCAATGCCCATGTGAATTACAGACCCCTGTCTGGATACTCAAGATCATCCATCATTACCATCCCACCATATTTTTCCCAGTCGTGATAAGTTAACCCGCCAGTCGTACTCCCATAAACCCATGTCGCTCGTTACCGAAGAAGAAAAGGAAAAGAACCCCCATCAATCGCAATTGACTGCATAGCGCGCCGCTTAGGCAAGGGCGACGAAGACGCCGGCGGCGAAGAGGGCGGCCATGGCGTTGTCAAGCTTGACTGCTGCAGCACCGCTGGACGGGGCGGCAGTCGAAGACGCGGCAGCCGAGGTGCCTGCCGCAGCAGAGCTAGCGCTGCCGCTCGCGCTGCCGCTGGCAGTCTCCGAGGCAGCAGCAGAGCTGGATCCACCAGAGCCGCCAACCGAGGACGAGGCCGGGGCGCTGCCAGAAGCCGTACCCGAAGAGGGAGCCGGGGTCTCAGTGCCCGAAACAGCCGAAGAACCAGTAGCGGTGCCAACAGGAGCGGTCGAGGTCGGGCCAGAAGCCGGAGTCTCAGGGCCACCAGGGACCGATGAGACCGGAGCACTGCTAGCAGGCGTCGTCTCGCCAGCCGGGGCAGAGGTAGCCGAAGCGGTGGCGGGGACAGTAGCAGTGGAAGCACCGCCGGTAGAAGTACCGCAGACAGTGACGTAGACCGTAGCGGCGGCCGGGCATTCCTCGCGGCGGATGAGGTCGTTCAGGCCATGCATGTTGCCTGAAGATCTTGTTAGTCTCATGCGGCCATGAGAGTAAGGTGAGGCAAGCAAACTTACCGGCCGAAGCCACGGCGACCAGACCGAAGGAGAGGAGGACCTTGAGACCGAGCATCTTGGTTGTTGTCGGAGTGGTTGGAGTAAGATGTGCGACGCAAAGCAAATGGAGCTTGGGACTGGAAAGCGAATGCTTTGGATCGATGTCTGGAGGAAAAACAGTGAGCACAGGGAGCCGGAGCGGGTGAGGTGGTGCGCGTGGAGCTGTGGCGCCGGGCGCCGCGACGAAGATCAAGCGGAACTCGAAGCGGGGCCGCAATTGAAGCAGCCGCGCGCGCACCAGAGCGGGAGGGTGATTCGGGCTTACCTTAGCTTAGCGATGCCTTGCGAAGGTGTTCGGTGGAGGAGGGAGAGGAAGGGAGTTGGAGGAGGGTAGGATGGCTTTTATGATGGCAGCGCGGGCGCTAAGCGAGCGCCAGGCGCACGGGCCGATGATGGGAGCAGGGCGGGTGTGCGGCCGTGCAGGCGATCAAGGCATGGGCCGATGCGCGCAGGCCCTGGGCGCCCGCAGCCTGGCCAAGTTGTGCAACGCCCGCAGCTGAAACGTCCTGTGCCGCGCTGCAGATGGCCACCCAGCTCTGTCTTGCAGCCGGCCATCATTTCGCCGCTGCAGTCTCTGTGTTTGCTGAATGCTCCACTCGCCGGTGCCCCCGCCTGCCCCGACGACCTGCGCCCTGTGCGGGCCATCGCCCTCGCCCTCGCTGCGCCTGACCATCAGCCCAGCCTCCATCGGCGCGCGTCTATCACCAAAGGGCGCTGTGCGGCATGCAGGACCGCCTTCGCACGTGAGGGGGCGTCCATCGCGCTTTCCAACACCTAGCTGAGCTGCATTTGCAAGTGCGGGATAGTGACGGCGACGTCATGGCTCTGCAGTCGGGTGCCATTCAAGATGCCTTCCAAGGGAGCGGTCCTTTTGCAGCGGTGCTGTCTGCGTACGCACACTGCTGCGCTCCCACGATGCGCGCCGAGCGCTTCTTCGCCGTTTTGCGCGACGTCCGGTGTCCGTTCTGTCAGGTCTTTCCTTGGCGCAAGCCGCCGATGAGCAGGCTCTCTCGCAGTTTCCTTTGCCATTGATCTTCGAGCGGAGTCGTCTTGCCTGCTGTGCTCGCCGCTGCCCGCCGGTTCAGTCGTGACTGCTGCACTGGGGTTGCGGCATCGCCAGTGGCGCGGGCCAGCGACTTCTGCCTCGCGGCTTCCTCATCCTCAACGGCCTAGCGTAGGTACTTCAGCCAAACTTCCCGTCTTCTCCTCTTCCTCTCCTCTCCACCAACTTCAGCCTGTCGTTCCGTGTCTCTCTCTCCAGTTCGCTTTCTTGCCTTTGTCCTCAACTCGTCCATCGCTTTCTGCCTCTTCGGCCTCCTGCTCTCGTTGCCCAGTCCGCTCCTTCGACAATGCTCAACATGCTGCTGCTCAAGCTTTTCATGGCTCTGGCCGCTCTCGTGTCTGCAACTCTAGCTGCGAAGCATGGAGATTGTAAGGCTCAGAGCTCGCGCCTCCAGCTGCCTTCGCTTGAGTGCTCACTGAGACACAGACGTCCTGCCGGACCAGCCCCTTTCCGACCCTCAGTGTGAGTTGCCTCTTTCAGAAGCCATTCACATCTTCCCCACCGAGTCCATTGCTGACGAAAAGCTGTAGATGAATCTGAGTACACCACCAGCATTGTCTTCGTCGATGTCATTCCGGCCGTTACCACCTCCACCGTCTTCGCAACCTACGAGGTTACCGTCACGAGCTGCCCCAGCTCCGTCACCGACTGCCCGACGTTGTCTGCCTCTGTCTTCACCTCTTTCGTTCCCATCTCGACCACGGTGTGCCCCATCACCTTGACGTCCTCGTACACCAGCAACGTCACCACCCCATGGTACCCCACAACCTCGCCAATCTCCATCCCCTCAGTTCCGGTTCTCCCAACCCCCAGTACCACATTGCTTCCATGGGTCACCTCCTCCTCCACAACGTACTCCATGTTACCTCCTTCGCCCACCTCGCCGATTGCAGGCACCACCTCGTCGACAACCTTTGGCACTGGCTTCTCGTCCTTTTCGCTGGTCTGGCCTTCCGGCTACCTTTCGTCGTTTGTGTGGCCTTCGACCATCGTCTATACTCACTCGAACACCATCACACTGGGAGGACCAACGACGTTCGTGACCACCACATCCACCTCGACAATGTCGGTTGCTTCTCCCTCGGGCCCCTCCTCCTCTTCCTTGCTGATCCCGGTATCTTCTGGTGCTGCATCCTCTTCTTTGCTCATCCCAGTATCTTCTGGTGTTGCCTCCCCTTCGTCACTGACTCCAGTATCTTCTGGTGTTGCCTCCCCTTCGTCAATGACTCCAGTATCTTCTGGCGCCACCTCAGGACTTCCGTTGTCAGGTTACTCTTCGAAGCCAAGTTATCCTCTATCGTCCAGGTTCCCGGTGCCGATCACGTACCCGTCGGGTGTTGAACCATCGTTGCCTGCGATCTCAAGCACCTTGTCTTTCGACACGACTGCTTTTCCTTCGGGCTTCTTCCCGTCAACACCCAGCCCTTACTCGGACGTCACTCCTGGTTCGCCCACGGCTACCTCTGGCCTTCCGGTCGCCTCTTCCAACATTACGGTTGTTTCCTCTGGCCTTCCGGTTGTTTCATCTGGCCTTCCGGTTGTTTCCTCTGGCCTTCCGGCTGCTTCCTCTGGCCTTCCGGCTGCTTCCTCCGACCTTCCGGTCAGTTCTTCTGACATCCCGGCTGCTTCTTCTGGCATCCCGGTTGCTTCTTCTGGCATCCCGGCTGCTTCTTCTGTCATCCCGGCTGCTTCTTCTGGCATCCCGGCTACTTCCTCCGAGCTCCCGGCGGCTACCGGGTCAGTGTCAACCCCAGTGGCCTCGTATACGCCGGTCACCGTCATCTCGATGGACACATTGACTTCCGGCACCCTGGTTGCCCCGACGTACACTGGTGATAGCTCGGCGACGCTCCCAGCCTCCATCGACACTCTGACCTCATCGGTATGGTTGACCCCGATGGTTCCGCCCTATGTTCCATCGACGCCAAACGCCACCAGCGTCACAACCGCCTCCAACACTTTGGTCACTGCTGGAAGCACCACTGCGGCACCTGTCACAACCGGAAACGGAAACGTCAGCAGCATCGTCCTTACTCCGACAGCAACACTGTCTGTGTTCCAGGGACTTGGCACCAAGCACTTGGCTGGCGCCTCTCTCGCGCCCATTTTCTTCGCTGTCATGGCAGCTCTCTTCTGATTCGCTCTTTTTTGTTAGGACTGGTGGGCCATGTGTAACGATTCATCAGTATATTTTGCTGACCAAGATTCGCTCTTTTGCTCGTCCTTTTCGCTCATTTCAGTAATGTCTTCTCTCATGCTTCAGCATTGCACGACTCACCACCTGCATTTGTTGATGCATCTTGCCCTACCCTTATGTAATTCACCCTTCGATGTATGCATTCACAAAATAGAAGTCAATGTAGCACAGTCAATGCAAATAGCCTCGCATCACCAAGGATTCTTCTTGTCATCCTGAATTTGAGTTTGAAGTGGCGCAAACAACACAGCATGCAGCTAGGCCCGGGCGCTTGCTGCGGGGACCGCCGGTTGGCTGCATGGCTGTACCGAGACTGGTGCTGACGCTGTGTTCGGGATGGTGGTGTTGCACGACGGCAGATGGGTCCGGGTAGGGTCAGGACTGCAGGTTGCGGAGGCGAGAATGGAAAGTGAAGAGGCGAAGTAAGGAGGATGGGTAGTGAAGACAAGCTTTTTTCTTCCTAATGTGCGCGAATACGAAGGCGGGATGGCGGCTGCGCGCGGGTCGGCGCACACTTGGCCAGGTCCGGCCCAGAGCGATCTCCGTGTCTGCAGTGGGGTTGGTGGATTATTGGGGCGATGGACGCGAGAGAAAAAGGCGGGAGGTTGGTGTTCCTTCGCGCCGCCCCACTACTCGCCCTTGGTCCCTTCGTTCCTTCGATCTGCTCATCACTCGTTCCTTGAAGTAGTAGTAGTCATCAAAGATCGCGACGTGTGGGCCCTGAAGGTTGGTATGTAATGCCGACCCCGACGTTGATCAGCACCAACCAAGCGCTTGTCTAATTTATAAGACATATGCATAGACCGGCCGAGCGGGCGGGCCATTGCCGGGTGGGACGAGGCGGCTGAATTAACACTATGATGGTTGATTATGGGTGTAGGGTGTGCATTATTATTCTCCTTTTTTGTAGCGTGGAGATGAACTCAAAAGAAGACCATGCGTTTCCCCGGATGGCAAAGGGGGTGTGTGCCCGGTGCCGTGACTGGATGGGGGATGGATGGATAGAAGGAAGGCAGGGGGTTCCTCTTTTTTGGCTTGTTCATCGTTCGGTCATAGTCTCATAATTACTGTTGCGTCGCTTCGCGCCTTGTTGACTAACTAGCAGAACAGGGCTGCAAGTGGCGAGAGCTCGCGACCCTTGGCAAGGAGGATGATGAGGGAAGAACAATCATCGTCCAAGTCCAAGCTTCAATTGAACCAAACATCCCACGTTGGCGACGCAATTAATACTTAAGCAGAGAGGTTTTCCTATTTGCTTCTGTATCATAGAGTGAGTGAGTATCGTGGTGCTGTCTGAGCTATACAAACTGTACAGTTACAGTAGAGCGTTGTGCTATGATACATCTCTTAGTCCTGTTTTCCTCTTCCCTCCCCTGTTCATTGCCCAACAGGCCAATCTCCCCTTTCCAATATCCCATAAGCGGAGTGGTATCTTTTTTTTCCTTTGTTTCCGAATCCCAAAAAAAAACATGAACGCCATAACCATACGCGCCGTGACTCATTCATCCATCCAACCTGTCGACCGCCTCAGCCCTGCCATCTCACCCTCTCGCTCCGCAGGATGCTGATCAGTCCAAGCGGCAAGAGGCCCTTGTCGCAAATGGCCAGGCCTCCAAATCGCTTGTCCGTCTCACCGGCGTAGAGGGCGATGATCCACTTCCAGTAGGGGCTCAACGAGCTCCATCTGTGGCCCATGCCTTGGGTGCTGTACCGATCGGCCGGCAAATGCTCCATGGCGTTGGACACCTTGGCCGACTCGTCAACGTGTATCTCTTCGATGGGTTCCAGGTAGCGCCGGTAGGCCACACTGAGCTCAGACGCCGTCTGTTCGACGAAGCGCATGTACTCGTCCAGGCTCATGAATGGCTCGCCTTCGAGGTTCTTGGGCGTGCTCGGGTCGACCGGAACGTCGCCAGCTTCAAAGAGTTCCTTGGCGTCCTCATAGCCGCCCCGCTCCCGCTCGAGGGCGAGATTGAGTTCGTCGATCGTGTTCTTGCGCATCCTTTGAGAACGCATCGCATACAGCTGGACGAATGGGTCCAGCAAGCCGAGACCACCCAGCTCGACCGGGAAATGGAAGAATGCGTCCGGAATCGGACGGCCACCGGTGATGGCCTCGGAATTCCCAAATCGCTTCGTGATGGTGGTGCGGAGGTACTCAACAACATTGCCAGCGCCCGACTCAGCGAAGAGAGAGCGCTGTATATGTTCAAATGCCTTAATGCACATGTTCACGTGCTCCCGGCCCAGACAGTGCGCTGGCTGACCGAAATTCGTGGAGAAGAAACGCCCAACGTAGCCGTTCCAGGCTTGGATCCACCCGAAGACGCTGTTGCATGACTTGAGCTGACGGCTGAGCTCCTGCACGTGTACGGCCACCTGCTCCTGGTCGATGATCCAGCGGCGTTCATTGGGGTCCAGTTTCAAGAAGCCCCATCGAACTGTTCCCGTTGGCAGCGATTGATGAAGCGGGGCCAAAGATTGCTTGTCAGGGCTCACAATCTTGACCGCCGCCGTCTTCTCTGCGTTCAGCTCCAGACCCGTCACCGAAGAAAACTCCTGCAAAGCCTGCCACGCCTTGACGCAAGTGCTTTCCTGGCCCCAAAACCAAATGTCGTCATGGAAGCGGTACAGGACAGCACCACCGGTCGTGCGGTGAACAGCGAAGTCAAGACAGAACAGAACAGCCTCTCCGAGAGCATCTGCCAACACATGACCCATCGGAATGCCGTTCTTCCGGATTTTGGCCTCGGCGTTGGGGCCATCTTGGGTAAATACGAGCGGAGCCGCAAGGAACTTCTTGATGAAATCAAGCCAGTTGTTCTTGAGACCAAAGTACTCGAGCACGGTGAAGATTGTGGCATGAGGAAGTGACGGGCCGAACCACTTGAAGTCGCTAGCCAGGATTGTGAATTCGTCATACAACTTGGTGTTGATGAGCATTTCCGTGGAAGCCAGGCGTAGCAATTGTTGTTTGATCTCCACTGGAGACTTGGTATCTCCATACTCGGAATCTACATCATCATCCTCCGCCATGTACTCGCGACCGCCTTCATTCACTTTTGATGGAAGCTGTGTCATGAAGAAGTCGTCCCGGAACTCGGAGAAGCGGATGTCACGCACCGAGTCGGAGCTTTGAATGTTGTCCTTGCCCAGGAAGTAGTGGCGGCGCTGCCTGTCGGCCCTCTTCATGGCGCGGTAGGGAGCTTGAACCCAGGCACCCGAGTAGTAGTGGTTTCTGAAGGCATCCTTGAGCATGACAGCGATGTGGGCGCCGATGACTTGTATCAGGATGGCGGTGTGAATTTCTTCGTCCATGTAGGCGCGATACTTGCCATTCAGCTGGCGGCGGAGGAGAACCGGAACAGGGCCGGGCCATTCCCAGTTCTTCAGCGAGTCGAGGTCCATGCGGAGTACGTCAACCATTTCTTTGATAACCTCTGGGCGTGACTTCAAGTCAACAAGAACCTCGCGCTTTTGACCAGTGAAGAGATCGCCCTTCAAGATGCCTTTGATGGCCCAACGGATGGTATCCTCGCCAACACTGATATCGCCTTTCCACTTGCCGATGTCGTCGCGCAAGCGTTCCAGTGGAGTCTTGTCCATGCGTTTCGACTTCTTTGTGGCGACGAAAAGGTCGTCGAGGTACTTCTTGAGAGCGGCAGTGTCGACTTTGGGCTCATTGAATATGAATTGCTCGAGCGTCTGGCGCTGCTCATGCATCTCCTCACGGCCAACGACGTCGAACGAGTCGGAGGCATCGCCCGAAGAAGCGGAGGCGGCTTCAGGCAAGTCCTCCTTGGTTGCAGAGGAATGAGAGTTGAGCTGGGACATGGCGTCGCTCGGGTTTTCGATCCACTCGGTGACCAGTCTGCCAAAGAGATCGGCATAGTTGTACTTGTCAGTGTGGACGTCGAGGCTCTGTTCCAGCCAGCCCTTCCATTCGGCCAGCAGAGTGAGCGACACGGAAGGGTCGTGACGGACCTGGTCAAGGAAGCGCTCGATATTCTTCACAGACGACTGGCCTTCGTTGAAGGCGATTTTGTTGTCCTTGAAGGCGGCGATCAGGATCCGAACCTTTTCGGCAGCGTTGTCGGCCTTGCTGGAGGCGCTCAACATGGCTGTCTTCTGGGCCTCGAAGGCACGCCGGTTCTCGGCCAGCTTGGCCAACTTGCGGTCGGTGACATGGCGCAAGGTGGACGTGACGGCACCTCCAGACATGGTGTTGGATTTGGTGGCTGTTGAGAGGGACCGATTAGAATGGCTGCCAAATGGGGCAGAGCTGGGGGGTGGAGGGAAGCCGGGGATGCCTCTGCCTCTACCTCTGCCTCTGACTAAGCCTCTTCCTCTGACCATGCCCCTAGCGCGAGGGCTGAAGTGTGCTCGGCGGCGCTCTAGACTGCTGGGATCATTCATGTTAAACGGTGGATGGGGGTTGAGGTAGGTAGCTGGGGCTGACCTGGGACTTCAGGCTGGAGATGAGGACAGGATGGCGAGGAAAAGACAGCTCGGGGCAGCTCTTGCCAGCTTTATAGGCTGAGGAAGCTGCAACGCCGGTGGAGGGGAAGGCGGCAGACACACTGCAGAGACTGCGGCAAACTAAGACGGACACCTACATAGCGGGTCGCCGTGAGTCAATGCGCCTTCCCCACATCTGCTTGCTGCCTGCCGTGTTGCCTGGCTGCCGCGTGGCAAACGTCCTGCTCCTTTGACTCAGGTGCCGACGTGGGCGGCGCGGGAAGGACAGCCCCGCGGGTGGCAGCAATGATGGATTGTTACCTGGAGCTGGCAGGCAGGCACGCAGGGCGGCATGGGGGCATGGGGCAGGCAGCCCTCACGCAGCCCTCACGCAGCACTCACGCATCCCTGCGCCGATCTCTCGCTAAGTACATACTTAGCGTCCGGCGATCCAACACCGCAACCAGACCCCGCCTCCTCCCCGACACCAACGCCTCCGGTGTCGCTAACCAGCTCCGGCCTTGCCGAGCACACCAAACGCATCTCTGCTGCTGAGCGCCCCCCTGGTGTCTCTGCAGTGGCAAGCGAAGTTCCAAGCCGAGGGCGTTAATGTGACGAGCATGTGCTTATTACCCAGTCTATTACGGAAGACACTGCGAGCTGGCTATGATGGCATCAAGGGAAAAAAAAAAATGGCGGGTGCGTTGCTCGGAATTTTCTTACTTTGTTCAGAGTTCTTGAATGGGCATTATTCGCAACCCAACACGCCACATTCCCTAGAAGCTATCCAAAGGATCCTCCTCCCCATCCCTCCACAAATCCACGTAATCCGTCCTGCCATCCACCAGCCTCGGAAAGTTCAGCCGCGTGCTCCAGCGCACATTCCGCGTGAAAGCCTGGCTATTGTAGCCGTCGCCATGGTCGGAGATGTCACTAAACGCCAGCTTCGCGCCAACGGGACGATGGTGCTGGAACAGCTGCGGCTGGACCGTGAGGCAAGCCGGAGCGCGCAAGACGTCTTCTCCGCCATCGCACAGGGCGCGGAGCATCGAGTCGAGCTTGCCCGTCAGCCGCCGCACGCCCATCTCGTACAGCACGCGGCGCGCGCCCGGCTGCGACACTGCGTAGCCCAGCGTGCAGGTGCCTTGGCGCGCGCGCGACACGACGCGCGTGTGCGCCGGGTATTGCTGGCGCAGCTCGTCGCTGCCGAACTGCTTGTCGACGTGCTGTGGCTCCGGGACCGTCGGGTCGTTGGCCATGACCACCCGCCCGAGCGGTAGTAGTGACGGCGGCCGCGTGTTGGCGGTTGCATCCGAGGCGGGCGAGGAGGCGCCGCGCGGGAACCGGACGCCGCAGTGGCCGAGCCAGAGGACGTCCCAGCGGTCGATGTCGCCGTATGGGGAGGTGGTGGGTTCGGCCATCAATTCGCCGTTGTCGCTGTACTCGTCGAGCATGAAGTTCTGGGGTTCCTGTTCCTGTCCTGCCGCGGGGGACGGGTGTGTGGGATCCAGGAACTGGTCGGGTTTACCGGAGAGGGGTTGCACGAGCATCTGTGACGCTCTTGCGAAGTCTCGCAGCTGAGATTTGATGCGTAGGTCCCAGTCTGCATCGTCTTCGAGGATGAGGGCGGAAGTGAGGTTTTGTTCGACGATCCTTTGATGGTGCCTCGGGGTCAGTCAGTTCGTCCAGAGCCCTCGTTTGCTGGAACGCCGAGACGATTTGCTCACTTTCTGATCGCGTTTAAATGCGCACGCCATGAGCCCAAGGCTGCTCTGTTGAGATTTGCCTCTTTGCCCCCGGGCGGCAGTGCCCTTTCAGTGACTTCAGTGACGCCGTCGACGTACTCGATTTCCATGTCAGTCAGGGCGGCGGCTAAGGACATGGAGTCCCGATGGTCTGTCCGTGATGGTAAGTTGATAACAAAGATCTTTTGAAACTGTTTCGACGGCAATCAGTGCGCTGGCATCGAGGGACGGTTGGTGCACTGACCCCAAGTGTTCGATTGAAGACATCTTGCAGATATCCAGGATTGTTCGAAGAGACCGGAGCGGATTTCAGGGGTTGAGGAAATGTATTGGTATCGTTGAAGCCAAGGAAAAGGAAGAGCAGCATAGCAAGGCTTCCTGCGCCTGCCAATGCACTTCGTAGGTGGAGGGACGGTGTAAGCATCTCGTCGGCAGTACGGTTGATTGCTGCACGCCACTTGCACGGTTTAAAAGGTAGAGTCCCATAGATGAAAACCAAAAGCTGTTTGGGCGGCTGGAATGCGGCAACGTGACGACTGTGCCGCATAGAAAGTCATAAAAACAGACACCATTCCGCCCAATGATGAGACGTGAAGCACCGGGAGCCAGCCTACCGATAGGCGCGAGTACCATTCGGTTGGCACCTGTGGGGTGGGAAGGATCTCTCTAATTGGTCCTGTCAGTTGCTTTGCCGCCCGACCCGGTCATTTTAGCAAGCGACAACCGCGCCGCACAAGGAGCCTGATACGGAAGCGCGGAGCGATCTTAGTGAGTCAAGCGAGATTAATCAATGACAGCAGTGAAGCTCTTTTCCTTCTTTAGCTCGACCAAAGAATAGTTTGGCGCGTGCCAGAAGTAAAGTCTTGAAGGTGTGCGATGGCTTCTCAATGATGCCCTTTGATCCGAACCAACACACCAGCCTACCGACCATTTTATGACTGCTTTATCTAGATCGCAAGTCTGAAGCTCTGACAGCTGCCTATACCACGTTAGAGCTTTTGGTCAGAGCTTTCCCTACATCTATACCCTCTTTCTTTCCTGTCACTCTTTGGTATCTCCCGCGGCACACGATCTCTCACGACCCATTCCAACCTTTCAACCCGTCCCCTCACCTCTTCTCTCCCCTCCCCTCCACCCACTCGTCCCTCAAAAGCCCAAACAAGTCCAAATCCCGCCACACGCCCCCCTTCCACACCGACCTCCTCAACGACCCCTCGCGGCGAAACCCGATCTTCTCCAACACCCGCACGCTCCCCACATTGCCGCTGTATACGCAGCCGCCCAAGCGCTCCAGGCGCGGCACCGTCTCGAACACCCAGTCGGCGTAAGCCGCGGCGGCCTCGGTCATGATGCCGCGGCCCCACGCCGCCTCGCCCAGCCAGTAGCCCAGCTCGGCGGAGCGGGCGTGCTCGCCGACGCCCGGCTTGACGCCGATGCCGCCGACGCACTCGTCGCCGATGCAGATGGCGTAGTGGATGGTCGCGGGCCAGGTGATCTCTGGCTGGGGTGGTAACGGGGCCGTCGGCGCGGTGGGCGTGAGCTGTTGCGCCAGAGGAAGCTTGTCGGTGGTTGTGGTGGCGGCGGTAGCAGCGGCGGAGTCGGAGTCGGGGTGGGGTCCATCGTCGTCTTTGGCAGCTTCCTTGGGGAGGTTCATGGCGATCCAACCGTGGGCTCTTTCCAAAGTGTAGGGGTGCGGGAACATGTTCGTCATCCATTGGGCGATGCGTGGGTTGTTGGCATGTCTAGCGATGTTGGAGGCATCGGCAGGGTGGTACGGACGGACGATGCATGTTTGAAGGGTGAGGAGCGGTGGGGGCGGAAATGGAGGGGCTGGCTTGGTCACCGCCGAGGTGCTGCTTGTGCTGTCTTCGGTGTTCATCTTGGTGAGCTTGTTGAAAGGTCTGAAGGCGGCAAGTGGTTTTAAAGACGACTAGGACTAGTCTAACGGGGGAGCAGATATCTCAGGTTAGAAGAGGGGGAGTGAGCATGGAAAGGGAAGGTGTTGAAGCAGCCAGTCATCCGTGGCTGAGTCACGCGCTTTGCAACACAGCAAGATATAGTTGGACGATAGCATCGCTGTATCTGCGCCGGTCCACTGCTGCAGATATTTGCAACGATGGAGTTGGCCCATTACCACAACGAGCATGCATACAAGCGACTGGTGCCGCAGGGCGAAAGGCGAAGCTGTGGAGCGGCGTAGATACTTATATACCTGCCTCGCTGGGGCTAGCCCTCGGTCGGCCCACCTTCCCTGTCAACGCGTTGCAACGCGTCTCCCCGACGCGTCTTCCTCGCACCACCCACATCCCTACCCTTTGATCCCGCATCGCCTCCGCGCATTGCGCCGCACGCTCGCTATACGACCATGAGGACCTACTCGCGGCTCAAACGAGCAACTCATTTTTCTTCTGAGCCTCCCGCCAAAAAACGTTGCATCCTTGACGACGACGACGACGACGACGACGACGACGACGACAACGACGCCGACAACGACAACGCCGCCGCCTTATTACCATCTAGCGACGCCGCTCTCCTCCGCAGCGATGTCGCCTGTTCTCCACCTCGCACCAGCCCACCCCGCGAAACCAGCAGCAGCACCGCGCTGCCCTCTTCAACGCCGCCCTCCTCCCCACCACCTCCAACACTCCAAGCAACCACCGAGCCTACGTCTCCGCTGCCGCTGCCGAAGCGCAAAACCACATTCTCGTTTTTCGGGCGCAGAGCAGCAGCAGCAGCAGCAGCCACCACCAGCAACAGCACGCAGCAGCCACTAGCCGAACGCCGCAGCCCCAGCAACGTCCAAACCGGACCGGCATCGCCGTCGTCAGCAGCAGCGGAAGCGACGACGACGACAACGACAACAACAACCTCGGACGGCAAAACGAGAACAACGGCGAAACCCGCCGGGCAGCGGCGGCAACGGCGCTTGACGCAGCTCCAGCTCGACCTCGGCGTCACCCCGGTCCAGCGCACGTGCAGGACGTGTGGGATGGCGTATGTGCCGTCGAACGCGGAGGACGCGGTGCTGCACAAGCGCTTCCATGCGATGAACGTTGGCGGAGTGGACGTGGGCAAAGGCTTCTTTTCGAGAATCGCGGAAAAGGGTGGAGGGGGAGGGGGAGGGGGGGATGTCGTTTGGGAGAAGGGCGTCGATGGTGATTTCGTGGTCGTTGTGGCGAGGAGGGGCAAGGCGGCGGCGAGAGCAAGGGTGAGGAGGGTGTTGGAGGTTGTAGAGAGGGAGTTGGGAGCGGTCGAGATCCCGGAGGATGAACTGTGGGGCCAGCTTGTCGTGGATGGAGAGATGGGGGGCAGACTTGCACGCGAAGAGGAAGACACCAGGAATAGCAGAAGCGCGGAGGTTGACAAGGAACACACGCCCAAGCCGCAGAAGGGTTCAGACGGAGCCGGCGGGAACAGAGCGCATGAGGGGGCTGTCATGTGCGCTGACCGCTTCAAAGCATACCTCTACGTCAGAAACTCGAAGTGCATAGGCCTCTGCCTTGCGGAGCGCATCACCGAAGCACACCGCGTCGTGGCTCCATCAAAGGACGGCTTGAACCAGTCGCAAAAGCCAACCGTGACGAGCACGACGGACACCCCTCGACCTTTTCCTGACACTTCAACCACGCCAACAAGTACTCCTCAGGCGCTCACAACATCGTCCACCACGTACCCGGCCGACCTCGGCATCTCACGAATATGGGTCTCGTCCTCGTATCGGCGCCATGGAATCGCCCTCGCGCTTCTCGACGCCACCGCTCACGATTTCTGTGCTTACCGTTGCGAAGAATACGACGGCAACGGCGGCGAGAACGGGAAGCGCTCAATCAAAGAGCGCATTGCTTTCAGCCAGCCTACCGACAGTGGAGCCAGGCTGGCGCGGAAGTGGTTCGGTACGGAGACGGGGTGGGGAGTGTATTGGTGAATACACACCGGAAACGGCAGTATTGTATATGACATGTGAATGGTGTGGTTTGACTTGGTGGGAATCGCGGTGCCTATGTGTGACATGGCTGTTGCGTGATCAAGGGAAGACTAGAAAGGGCTGATGTTATGATTACGAGTACCCATGGTCACGAGTATCCACGAGTACGAAGAAGGCGAACGGGTCAGGCGAAGACTTGTCGCTCAACCAAGACTAGAGGGAAATAGACATAGAAAGGACATAAAAGTGCCGCGGGAAACCTACGATACCCACATAATTGGAAAAAAAGACATTTGGCAATTTGCCCTCCCGTCCACCGGCTGTCACATTGCATTGGATGAAAAGAAAGGAAACGGCCCTGCAGCAAATTGCAGGCCTGCTGCTACTTGTCACAGTTCATTACGTTTGAGCTAATATATGAACCACAAAGTTCACACCCATTCGCACAACATAAAAGACGGATGAAAGATATCTTCTCCTCATTTAGCACCACACACTCATCATTGGATATGCGCAATTAGTACCACGGGAAAAAAACGAACTGCGATTGCATCGAAGGGCTTGAAGCATGAACGAGTGGAGGAAAGATGAATTATGCTTGTCGGCATCCTCTTTCCCTTTCCCACAATGTGCTGCTCTTTCTAACGCCGACAAAGGGGTGACGGCCAATTCCGTTACGCCTACGCTCTCCTCTCTCTCTCTCTCTCTCTCTTTCGGCGCAGCTTGGGACGCAGCAGAAATCGCAAGGTCAAGCAAGCAATGACGGACAGGGGTTTTGTAATAGAGAAAAAAAAACAAATATGAAACACAGGGACGCACGTACCGAGAGAGAAGACGCTGGAACGATGCAATGGGGACTTGAACACTTCCGGAACAGGCTATACCACCCAATGACATAAACACACGCGCTGCGCTGTACCATGATCAGTTTTGCTACTCATTTAGCCCCCCAAAAAAAGCCAAAAGCCAAACCGACCCCATTCCAATACCGAATTTATTGTCCCAACTCTCCTGCAAGTCTCTGGAACTACGCCTTCGTGGCAGACTTTTGCCTCAAGGCCTCAATCTCCTGCTGCAGCTTGTCCAGCTCACTCAACACATCCACCCCGCCCGCAGCAGCGCTCGCAGCCGTGACGCCAATCGCACCACCATGTGGATTCGTCAAATCCTCCTCCTTCACGCTAGCGTGCTCGCCGAACACCCTCTCACTTGCGCCACTGGCCGTCCGGCTCCTGCTCTTGAAGTCGCCGCTCGACCGCCGATTGTCGCCCGCGGCGGCTGCCAGCACACTGGCGCTGGGGCGCTGCATCTCGAAACTGCTCTTGCTGCTCCCACGGCGGGGAGGCGGAGGGGGAGGACCGCCAACAGCCGGACTGGTCACGTCGAGCGCAGAGCCCGATAGACGATTGGTGCGGATGCTTAGGGAAGGATTGTGCATGGAGCTGGCAGTGGAGCGGCGGGACGAGGATCGGCTCGCCGCGTTAACATTGGGGTCCGTAGTGGATGAAGAAGTAGCGCCGGAGCGGCGGGTAGGTGGCGGCGGCGGCGGCTTGTTGAACGAGGTGGAGGATGTGGCTGACGCCGCGGGAACCTGCTCTGTAGATGAAAGGGGCGTTTCCGGTTGGGATGGCCTTTTTGCCGCCGAGTTGCTACGCGAAAGGCTACCGGAAGACTTCAGCTGGCTCTGCCGCCGGGCCAGAGGCGGGGTTGGGGGTTTGCGCCGCTGCGGCGCAGGAGGCTCCGGGGTCTTGACAGGCGGAGAATTCTCCGCCACCTCATCCGAGAATATCGGTGACTCAGCGGCATCCTTGGCGGGTACAAGCTCCGGTGGTGGTAGTGATGGTGAAGGGAGGTCCTTTTGTTTCTGCCCTGAAGGGATGCGGGGCCGCGGAGGGAGCGGCTTCTGTCCATTTGATGATGTTCGCTTTGGGGTATCGGGCTTTGTGGTTGGAGATGCGAGTGATGGAGAAAAGTCAGAGAAAGATACGGTCTGTGGTGCTCGTGTTATGGATTTGCCGTGTCTATGCTTCGGAGGAGGCGGCTTCGGCTTCGCCCGCGTTTGCTCTGTGCCGACGGGCGTCGACTGGTCGTCTTGGTTGCCGCCATCAAACGAGGTCCGCTCGTAAGAACTCCGGGGCGAGTCATCGTGGGCTCTAAGGACCGAGTCATACATGGAGTTCCTGGAGGCGGAGGAGGCATCAGTCCCACTGCTGGTATCACCACCTACGTGGGCGTTTGCTCTTGGCTGTGCTTCCGCGGTTGTAGATGCGCCAGAAGGAGTTATGTCAGCGCTGCCGGTCATGAGCAGCTTCTTGAACGAGTCCACATCCATGGATCCCTTCATCCTGTGGCCGGCCGGCCGATCCACCGTCTTTTCTCCACCCGCAATGGTCGTTTCCGACTCGACGTCCTTCTGGCGTGTGGAAGGCTCAATGTTCGCCAGCGTCCGCTCAAAGGGATTGGGTATGCCCGAGGAGCGCGGTGGCGTGTCGCGGCTGGACAGCTGCCCGGAAGCGGCAGGCTTCAGCGGCGCATCGTCATCCGGGGAGTTTTGGTCGACGGTACTGTCGTCGGACAGCTCATGTGCAATGGCGTCAGGGTCGCCGGCAGTGTCCGTGGACGGGGGAGGAGAAGCAGCATGGTGAGTGGCGGCCAGACGTCTTGCGAGGTTGCTGTCTATTTCCGGGCTGGACGGTTCCGGCGGAGAGGGCGGAGGGGATGCCACACGAACGTGCTTCTTTGTCCGCGCAGGGGCTGTGGACACTGAGTCAACATGGAGTTGGGATGCAGGGCAGTTGGACTGGGCAAGGCCTACGCTTTTGGTCGGCAGCAGGCCACAGGTCGGCGGGTGCGCGGGATCCGTCGTGTCCGGCGGTGCTGGCAGCATGCAGCGCAGGCGGCGGTTGGGAGCGGCGGAAGGGATTGCCTGACATGGCGGCTGGAGGGCGGCGATTCGATCAGCAGCGCATCATGAGCACGGTGGACATCGGAGGGGCATGGCGAGGGCGGCAGTCAGGAGGCAGAGGAAGTCGCGCGCTGAGGCTTGGGTGCTGATTATCAAGTCGGTCTCTCGGGGCCTTCGTCCATCCCACGTCACATCCCTGCCCGCCGCTTGCGACCCCGCCACGGGGCCACCTCAGAACCCCACCGGCTCGCTCGGCCTCTGCGCAGCCCGCCCGGGAGACGGCCGGATTCCTCCATGCGCCTTCTTGGCTGGTCTTGACCCGCGCGCGCGCGCACCTCTGGACGCCGTGGCTCGGCCGCCTCTTCCACACCAGAGCTCGCCCAAAAGGGCAGCTGCCGCCAGCCACCGCTAAGCGCGGGAGCCCAGCCTGGCCACCTGAGTAGTGCGAGCACCTTCAACCGCTCTGCGGCGCAGTAGTATGTACATACATACATACAATACACGCGCCGCCACACGCTGTTGCCAATTGGTGCTTTCTCGTATTTACAAGCGTTTACCTTTCAGCTCGGATTGAACCCCATTCCTTCTTCCCTTACCTTCCCTTGAAGACCGGCTTCCGCTTTTCCCTGAACGCCGCGAGAGCCTCGTACCTGTCCTCCGTGTCCACGACAGCCCGGTACATCTCATTCTCAATCGCCTCTCCGCCCGCGCAGCCCTCAACCGCCGCCAGCCCGGCCCTGATGGCAATGGGCGCGCCCTCGCAGATCTCCATGGCGACCCTCACGGCCTCGTCCAGCACCTTCTTCCGCGCGACCCCCTCCTGCCCCATCTCCTCGGGCAACACCTGCACGAGCCGGTCGCACAGGCCGATGAAGTACGCCTCCGGGCCGCCGACGCGCCGCCCCGTCAGGACGAGGTCGCGCGCGCGGTTCAGCCCGATGAGCGCCGGCAGCCGGTACGTGCCGCCGGCGCCGGGTATGATGCCGAGGCGCGTCTCGGGCAGCGCCACGACGGCGTTGCTGCTGAAGACGCGCAGGTGCGTGGTAAGGGCGAGCTCGAGGCCGCCGCCGAACGCGAGCGACGACACGGCCGAGATGGTGGGCACCGGCAGCTGCGAGAGCGAGGTGAAGGCGCCGCGCAGCTTCGACAGGAAATCGGCCGTCCTGGTGGGGATGGGAAAATGGCGCGTCAGCTTGATTTTCTCTTCTTCTTCTTCTTCCTCACATTTGCGGCATCCGAGGCGGGGCTGGCGTACTCGTCCTGGGTGAAGGTCGCGCGCTCCTTCAGGTCTGCACCGGCGCAGAAACTGGTGTCGATCTCGCTGGCGATGACGAGGGCACGCGTGGTGGGCTTGGCGCCCTCGCCGTGGATGGCATTGACATGCTGGATGAGCTCTGAGAGTAGAGCCTTCGAGATGGCATTGCGGGTTTCGGGTCGGTTTAGCGAGAGCACGCGGATGGTGCCGCTATGGGGTGCGGGGATGTTGGTGAGCCTGATAAGGGGCTGAGCAGAGCTGGAGCTCGCCCGGAAGTTTGCAGGCACATTGCGAAGGAAAGTACGCGCGAAGAGCGGCGCGCGGTAGAGTACTGGTGCCATGTTGTGAAGTTGTTGGAAGCTCAAGTTCGGCTGAAGCTTTGATGCGAGGCAATGTGGAGAAGCTGCCGAGCGCCCAAAGCCGACGCATTCCGTGTGCTGGCCAGCAACTAGTACGGCTGATTAAATGTTAGCAAGCTCTTCGCGGCATGCCGACTTTTGTGCGGCATAGGCGATAGTCTTGTTACGAGGTAAGAGGGTTTTTTTTTAGATTGATCTTTTTTGTTCGCCGTGCCGTTTCCCAGAGAGGCATTCTAGGCAACTGTTTTTACTTCATGTGAGCTTGTATTCTCCTCGAGTGGAGAGTCTGCTTTAGTCCCTGAGAATTGGTGGTATTGGCCAACGCTGACGGGGGTTGAGCAACTGGATAAACTAGCAGGTCCATACACTACTGGGACGGTCTAGCGGAACACGATGATCAGAACCACACAACAGAAGCCAGACTCAGCTTACAGGACGCCGGTAGACAAAGCTACCAAGGTTCCTGTAAGCTTATCTACGTCACGCTCTCCGAAGTCTGGGCTGATGAGACAGCTCCACATGTCGTAAGGTATTCGGAGAGAACGTAACCTTGCGCAATTACTTGTCGCCAGTGGAGCCGCATCACCCTATACGTTCATCAGCCATACCAGCGTCGGAATGGCCGGCAAACGACATATGTCCATTTGCTGTCAAGCTCAACGCCAACGTCACATGCACATACGTTATCTTGAAAGAAAACGGAAACAACGGATGCAATTCCCACAAAGGCTATCTACTCAAGTCAGGGCTATCCGGCGCATGGAGCAAATATGGAAAGAGAGCACGTGCGTTAGGGACCACCAACAACACCAGGACCCACAGGCACAGTCACGGAACCAACCGGACTAGACGTCTTGTTCACTGGGCTGGTCGGGTCTCTCTGACTGCCCGGCCCACTGCCACTTCCCGACCCCGTGCCGCTGCCACCACTGCTACCGCTGCTGCCCTTACGTGCTTTGGTGCCGTTCACCATCGGTGCATTGAACGCTCCGAACTGACCGTTTCCAAAGGCTCCAGGGGCAAAAGAGAAGTTGGGTGCAGCGATGGGCGCATAGGCTGGCGGAGGGTCGACATTGTGATCAGTGAAGCCAGACATATCGGAGAGCATAGAGCTCGACCGACCTCGCCCTTCGCGGAGAACAGAGCTGGGCGTGCCATTGATCTGTCCGGCAAGCGGCGGGAATTGGAACATCGGCGTGTAGTTATGCGAGCCGCCTCCAGTGGTACCAGGGAGAGGGCCTTCAGGGGTGGCCGGAACGGACGGCGGACTGGGATTCTGTGGCTGCTGAAACATCGCCTGTAGCTGCTGAATCTGCTGGTTGATGTACAGGATCTTGGTTTGGACGTCCATGGCGTTTTGCTCATTGTTGATGATTTGGCCGAGGTATTGCGACTCGTGCTGAGCTCGTGTAGCCATCAATGCCGCGCGTTCACTGAGTTTCCGGGCCTGGGCGTCCTGGTCCTGCGCGTTAAGCGAACTGAGACGCTCGTGCTGCTCATTGAGCTTGGATTGCCTGGCCTGGAGACGTTCGCGTTTCTTCACGATCGAAGCGTATTCGGACTCGGCGTTGGAAACTTCCTTATCAACCTCAGCTTTGCAGCGCTCGTACTCCTCAGTAGCAGCAGTCAACCGGTTTCGCTCCTGGCGCCATTTACGTTCCTCGGTCTTGAATTCGGTAACGTCTTCCTCTGGAATATTGGCCAGGTTTGAGTTATGAGAAGACATGTCCGAGGCTGCTTCTTCTGCTTGGCGGATTGCCTCGGACAGCTGTCTTTTCTTCTGCTTCAACCGGTCGTCGTTGCCGCCCGAGGTTTGTATCTTGCCTTCCACCACGTCGACTTCCTTTTTCGCCGCTGCAAGGGCCTTGCCGTGGGATCTCTGATTACGCTTTTGCTGAATCTTCAATTCTTGAAGCTCGTGTTCGAGGTTGGTGACATTATTCCGAAGCAGGGTTTTGGGCGACTGCGGCCGTAGTGTCTGATGCGCTGGGGGAGAAACAGCCGAGGCTATCCAAGGGAGATCAGACGGACAATCACAGATAGCCTTTAAGGAACACATACCTTGCTCGGCGCTTGGAGCAGCCTGGGTGATAAGGCTGGTAGAATGTATGGTAGTCCGGTCATCCGTCCTGACGAACTCACACTTATAGTTTTGCTGCGACGTGAGACCGAAGATCTTGCCTGACCACATTCTAGGTGCCCCATCACCCGCCTTTTGATCCTGACCGGCCGAAGTGATGTACGTGGACGCCCAATTGGTGCCATTGAGACGTACGTAGAAAGGCTTCGACTTGTCGATGCCTGCTCCAAGGCTTGACTCCTGCTCCTCTCCTCCATTTCCCTTCACTGTGCTCTTTTCGACCACGCTAGCACCAAACGAGATCTCTGCTGCGCCGACATCCAGAATCCACACTCTGTCCTCCCCAGTCTTGAAATGAGCGTTGCCAATGTGATTAACATCCGTTGAATTCGCCTCGTGGCTGTCAGCAGACTCGCTGTTCTGCTGCACCTCCTTCCAAAAAGTAACTTTTGTGCTCGCAATAGCGGCCCAAAAAGGTTGCTGACTCCGAACCTGAGTCGCCTGCCTTTTCTTTTTCTTAGAAACAGAACTGAAAGATCTCTCACGACCATCAACACTTGAAGGGGAAGGCCCAGGATGCCGGCCATCGGCCGCCGCCCCTGTGCTGCTGTCTATTCCGGAGTCCGGGATGGTACGAGGCAGCTGGGGAGCTGCCGCTGTGTCGACATCGGTCCTTCTACTCGACGTTGTGGTCGGGAGTCGGTCTTGCTTGGCTATGAACCATCGCCGGCCAAGGCGGAGTATTCCCTGCGACAAAATATGCAATCCAAGGACGGAGCGCGACCAACCGTGGGATACGTGGGCCGACTCCGGGTAAATCGAATCGGAGGGGGGAGGGGTGAAGATATCGAATCCGCCCCTGGACAATACGAAATGAAGGTAGCGCAGGACGTACGTGCGGATGGTACGGTGACGATATGCGTGAGAAAAAAAGATGATGCCCCCGCAAACGAGGACGCTCTGGGAGACGCCGCCTTTTCCGGCGGCAGCGCCTCCCAGCGAAATGGCGATGACGGCCTGAGCAAGGTCGAAGGCAACGCCTTGGGCGAACATGGGAAGGAAACCCCATATGATCAAGGCAAACAGATCACAGAGCACAATAGTGCCCAGAGATGGCATGCCTTGCGATCCCTTGAAAACCTCGCTGAAGCTAGGGAGGCTGGAAAGCGAGGCGGTACTGCTCGGAGGCACGAATGTGAGTGTAGCGAATAGCAAATGAATAACGGTGAGAACGGTCGACGGCAGCTGCAGAAGGATGATGAGGATGGCGACGACATCCCACACTGGGCACGAGGAGATGATGGTCATGGCCGTGGAGGCGGAGCTGCCCTTGTGGCCCAGCTGGCTCCGGTGCTGGTGCACGGCGGCGCGGTGCAGCGACAGGCGCGAGTGTCCATCGGCGGAGCCGTTCTGGGGCTCAGCAGCCCCAACGTCGGACGCGTCGTGGGATGTCTCGGAGACGGCGCGGTCCCTCGCGTGCAACGGGCGCCGGTCGTCTGGCATCTGTGTGTCCGGGAGGGCCGCGTGCACTGGGGCATTGCCAGGAGCCGGGCAGCTGGGGGCGGTGCTTAGGTCTGGCGGAGGCAGCGGCGGAGAGCTCTGCGGGGGCTTTCCATTTGCGTGGCCGTTGAGAGCGGGATTGGAGCGCTGCTTGGGGATGCGCTTTCCGGGCGCCGCGAGGCCGTTCTCATGCCGCTTGTCGTGTGTGTTCGCCGCGCTCCTCTTGCCCTTCGGTGGCATCAGCGGGCCGCGGTGACGGCTTCAGTCCCAGGGCCGGCTCGACGAGGTGCCCTCTGAGCCCGGCGCAGGAACAGAACCGCAGGAAGAGAAGAAACAGGGGCCGGTGGGGGCGTGGGTGGGCGGAGCGTGGGTGTCGCTGACAGAGAGCGGTGCCGTGGAGTGGAAGGTTTTGAAAACGAGACAGCGGAGGGTGACTGCGCTAGGCTGCGCTACAGGCCTGGCGATTTGCATCAACGGCCTAGCGCCCCAAAGACTAGGTTTCCACCACCGCGAAACAAGCTCGCCGCCCGTGTGCCCGCACCCGCCGGCCCATGCCTGCAGCGCCCACGCCTGCATGCCTAGCTGAGGGCGCTCGCGTGCGACCCTCTCGCCCTCGCTCCACGGCCAGCCCAGAAATTCCCGGCCGCCGGTCGGCAGCACATGACGCCTAACGAGTCGCTGGCGCGGCGTCGATCGCGGAAGGCTTGCCAGACGGATACGGCCTAGCAGCGCCTTGTTGCAACCGGCCTACCACGGCGGATCATCAACCTCCAGCGCATCGGCGGCCTCCATCAGGCGATCGTGACTGTCGCAGCCGGGCCAGGATAGACCTGCGCTGCCGGTGATTCGTCCCCGGCGCGCGCGCAGAGGTTGCCCCGCCCAGCGCAGAGCACCAAGAGCGGCCGTCTATCGTGAGATTGCCCGTCGAATAGGAGCCCGGCGCCGCTCTGCCAGGACGCCGACTGCCGCCGAACGGGACTAGCTGCTGGTCTTGCTACCCCCTTGATCCCAGATGCTTAAACAGGCTCTTGGGTAAAGATCACCGCGAAAATTCACAAATGGCCTGTCTGCGTCTGTCCTTCTGCGCGACTGTCAGCCCGCAGTGGGGCCTGCAGTGTGAACAGTCAAGACTCCTTGATCACGCGCGAAAGTGCTTCGCCCTGCGGCGCCGGCTTGGGCCTGTGGCTCTTCTCCGCAATCCTCTCCCGCCCTGGCGCGTTGTTTCGACGCCATCCCACGCGAGCCGTTGAACTGAAGTCATCCACGCACAGAGCTCTCAATCTATGCCCGATATAGCTGCTTAGGGATCTGCCCAATCGCTATAGTTGCGGCTGCGTCGTACACGTGCATGCTCGCACCGATGACTCTAGCGAAGCGCTTCTGCTTTGTCAGGCTTTAGCACCGTTCAAGCGCTGGCGCTGCCAAAGTCCTCCTTTGCATCTGGCTGGTCCCAGCTGGACGTCTCCAGCGCCCTAACCTGCTCTGACAACAAGGCCACCCTCTCGCTGTACTTCTTCTTGGCGGCCTCCTGCAGCGCAAACGTCTCCCGGAATTGCCTCAGCATGAACGGCTTCAGAGGCGTCTTCTTGCCCCGTTGGTAGTCATACACGACAATGTCCTCCACGCAGCGTGCGGCTGGCCTGCGATGCCGCTCGGAAAGGACGACGACATCCAGAATGAACGAGTCTGTTTCATCCGTAGGCTCAGAGCGCAGCTTGTGCAACACGGTTACACGATCCGGATAAGTCATAGGCTGAGAGGCCAAGCGCAGTCAGCACGCAGATGCCCGTCGGCCGAAGATAAGAACACGCACAAACTTGTAGTCAGTACGGATGCTTCGTAGGATGAGTCCGTCTGCCTTCGGGGTCATGATTTCGCCCCATTCTTTCCGGTGGGCTGGGTCGTGGACGTTGGCGAAATTGAGCCCCCAGTTGACGCGCGCCGACTCTGCGTACCGGTTGTAGACGACATTGTTGACATGGCCTGCAGCATGTCAATAACTTAGACCCGAACAGTGGCGTTGGCGCTTACCCTTTGCGCATCCCAGTCAGCGCAGTCTGTTTTGGATTGACTGCCGTTCGAGCTCGGGATTGTTGTAACTCACCATGCTATCCTGTGCACCGTCCGAAAGATACTCATTAGCCTGTGTTCCGCGTTTGCTTGCCGTGCCGTGGAGAGCTACGGACCATTTCTCCCCACACGACCTCCTGGCGATAGAGCCCCCTCCTGCTCTTCTCTGTCAAGAACCCTTCGCTCCCCGCGACAAGCTCCCTCCAATCGCGAGCCAGCTCCTTCAACATGCTGCCAGCAGCATCAGTCTGTTCAGGCTGCAAACCAAAGGTAATACACTTTCCGATCCGGGATTTGATGTCCGAGAGCCATCGCGGGCTCAATGAAGTGGCGGGGGATGCAGCTGCATCGCCAGATGCGGAAGAATAGTATGCACAAGGAAGCCGTCGGTATACCGGAAGGGGCGGCGCGAGACGCGCGAGCAGCGGGCGGGCGGCAGAGTGTCTCATCGTCGGGGAGGAGTGCCAATGGCGAAGGGCGAGGGTCAGGCGACACGAACGGCGATGAGATCAACTGCCAACAGGGCAGGTAATGACACTAGGGGCCGCTGCACGTTGGTTCAGACTGTGATGGACATGTCTCGCGGGGAAGATGGCGCAAGGGACCCGCCCGGCCAAGCTTCGTGGCTTCCTCGGCCCCGCGGCATCGACGACGTCAGCCCTCTTTCGCAAAAGCAACTCCGTCCACGAAGCCTCCCGCGCCCGCTCGCATTCCCTTCGAGTTGGCTGCGCTCCTTTCCCAATCGGTCCACAACCGCCCCAAGATGTCCTCAATCAACCCGGGATTGCGCCATCAGGTCATCCGGATCTACAAAGGTGGACTGAACTCTACTGGCACAATAATGAGCGATCAACAAGTGCTGATCCGAAGTAGAGCTACTGTACCTCGGCAGGGAGTATCCCCAGGGGTACGACTTCTTCCGGACACGCCTCCACAAAGCCTTTGCGAGCCAGTCGGAGTTGCGGGATGAAGAGAAGATCAAACAAGGAATTAAGAAGGCCGAGTTCGTAAAGAAAGGTACGAGCCACTGCCACAGGAAGTTGCAAGAGAATTGAGCCAACCTGCATCTGTCTCCCAGAGACGTTGCACCTCAACTGCGTGGGTCGTATATTCTTGTATCTGGCTGTGTTTGCACAGTTCTCAAACTCGCACAACTACTTCAACTACCCACGTGGGAAGAACCTAGCGAGGCACAGGAGGGTCAATTCTTTTTGCAATCCACTGTGCTGCCTCTCAATCTACACAGTCAGCTGACGGACGGCGTGCAGAAATTGAAGCCTTGTAGGTTTACTTCGAACCGCGGATAGCATATGTCTCTACACACATTTTGCCAATACCTCAACGACTGATAGACATACAGGTACTATCTAAAGAGATACCGCGCGCTGCGTCAGCGGTATGAGAAGGCTTAACCAAAGCCACTTTCTCGTCCTATCAAAGCTGCCAAAAAGAAAAAAGAGGAAAAGCAAGCAAGCAAGCGGGACAAGCGTGATGGGTATAAAGCTTCTCAGAACTTCTCGGCCCACCAGGCACCGAGTTCGAGGCACTCTCCACTTGAGGCGCCTTTCTGCTGTAGAAGGTCGTCCATCATCCAACCCCACCACCGCTGCCATTCCTCTTGGTTCTTTCCACTGGCTTCCTTCAGCAACGGTTCCAAGCTCTCGATGAACTGAATGACGACGGTAAGCGCTGTACTTCTCAAAGCAGCTTGCTCCTCAGTGAGAATAGAATCCTCGCCCGATTTCAGTTTTGCTGCTAGCTCGCTGTCCCTGCGCTTCAACGGCCTCTTCTCACCACTCATTTCTCTTTCCCAGCGCATCTCCCCCAAGGGAATGGCCACTCGGCGATAGTCAACGTCCTTTAAAGTCTCGGTTTCCTGCAAGAGCAACTGTAGAATACGCGAGCACGGCATCGTGTATAGCTGTCGCTTCTCGACAGCATCCTGTATCCAGTCGCTCGCGTCTTGTAGGTATTTGTTTTGACAACTGGCGAAGGGGGTGGAAGGCGAAATCAAGAATGTCGCAGTCTTCGCGCACTGGTCTTCGTCCCCCTGATTGTGGCGCAGTGGCGGGGGAGGATGGGGCAGAAGAGAGCGGATGACAGAGTCAACGTCCCAGCATTCCAGATCACCACCCTTTTTGGTGATCCGGATGAACTCTTCCAGCGCCTTTTGCGAGGGAACGCCAGTGGGAATCACAAGCCCGAGGTCCTTGCACACGACGACGTCGAATTCCTCGTCCTCAAAGGGCAAGGGGAATCTGCGCAAGTCATGCTGGATGAAACGCCACCTGATCCCCTGCTTGTTCAAGTCGGCAGCCATGGGGACGATGTCGAGGCCGGTGAACTCGACATCGGTCATGCCGAGCCCGGAGAGATACTCATGGGCCAGCGACGTCCAGTATGCGCTCCCGCAAGCGACCTCCAGCACCTTCTTCGGGGCGATCTTCTTGATGCGCGGGGTGCATATCGGCTTGCCGACGGCGGAAACGGCGAGCAGCGTGGACAGGTTCTGGCGCTGCAGCTCAGGGAGGTCGCAGGGGAGCGGATAGGGCAGGTCTTTGAGATAGCGGCGGCCATGGCGGATGACGAAGGGCGACAGCAGCGGCTGGTGGCTGTCGCCGCTGCTGTGGGTGGATTGGGAGCTGGAGGTGGAGCCGCGCGCGACCTCCATGGCGGCCAATGATGAGCTCGCGTTGCTGGGTGCGACGATGGAATTTCGACTCAACAGGCCCTCCAGGTCGTCTGCGGCAGCGGTTCTGGGGCGCTGGAGCTGGGAGGAGGGCACATTTTGGTAGCGGTACTAGTCTCGGCCTTAGCATTAAGCCATGATCCGCGCAGTGGAAACGGCCCCCTGATGCGTGCAAAGGGTGATTCTTTACCATGTACCATTCCATCCTAAGACGTCGGCCCGTGGCCCGGATCCCAGTCTGTCGACCTTCCCCACTGTATCGGACTTATTAAGGCGGCGCTCGAGCGTCGGTGAATGGCCCGCTGGCCGCGGAACGGCGGGATACGAGAGCTGCCTGAAGAACGCCGCCCGAGGCATGGGCGGGACGAGTGCGTTGAGCGCGGAGGGGCGGCGGGCGAGGGGCGTGAGGCGTGAGGCGTGAGAAGCCGTCAGCCAGGGCGCAGCTATGAATCGCTCAGCCTCAGGTGAGACTGCTCGCGCTTCACACTCGCAACCCCTCGCCATGAGCCTCAGCGAAGCCGAGGTGGCCACGCTCCAATCAGCCAGCGCAAGGAGCTGCTGCTGCGTGCAAGAGGCCCACTGTGGCGCCTGAGCTTGACTTGACTGCGACTGTGAGGGCAACAGCGGCACCGCAGCTAGCAGAGACCCAGGCTGCGAGGTGCCTGCGCCCCAGTCAAAGGCCCAGCAGCCCACGCAGGCCCACGCAGGCCCCGGCAGCATCACGCACGACCAGGTGACGGCGGGCACTGCGCCCGCGTGAAGACTGCGCCGCGAGGGGCCTGATGATCCCACCACTGAGGCGGACGTGGCGGGTCCGTCCCGCCGCTGCAGTCATGGACGCTGAGGCCGCAATGGCAAGGCCGCAAGGCCGCAAGGCCGCAAGGCGGGTCAAGCCAAGGTCACGTGCGCTCCCGATCTGTGCTCGCCTGTGAGCTGGAGACCTACTACCTCCAAGCCCGCCGCCGACCACCCCATCGTGCACTCCACTGCCCACGCCCATTCTTTGCGCCTGCGTCCCGCCCCCATTGATTCCAGCCTGGCCGCCCGACTCCTGCGCTGCCAGCACCGACGCCCGCCCCCGTCTTCTGCTACCCCAAAGGTCCGTCCGGCGAAACAGTCTCGTCATCCCAGACCACCCGCCTCTCAGCGAAACACTGCTCCGGCCCCGGCTCTTGCTCACGCGTCTGTCTTGCTCCAGTCTCCCGCCGCCCGTCACTGCGCCCGTACAGCGCCCAGCGACCCTGCTCCTCCCCGCCACCGCGCGCAAAGCCTCGACCTCCAGCCTCGGGCCCGCCTGCACAAACACGTCCGCGCTGCTCGTTGGTCTGGGCGACAGCTCGGCCTTGTTGGCGCGCCATCGCGGACCGCGCTGCGGCAGATCTTCCCCTGCATTCATTTGATGAGTGTCGGCTGCGCGGTTGCTCATGTTCAGGCGAAGAAGACACCACCGTCCCCAGCCTCTTCCGCTCACTTAACGCCCGCACCGATCACCCTCCGCGTTCCCCCACCCACATTCATAGCGGCATACGGCTTACCCGGCACATCCACGAGGTTATCTCTCCACTGTAGATGGCCGATGGTCCTTACCGGTTCCAGCAAGGAGCCGGGCAGTTCTTCTTCAATCAACAAGCACACCTCCCTAGGAACCTCCCCCGCACAGGATCGCCGGTCACGAGTGGTGGCAGAATAAGCTTCAATCCGGACACGCCTTCGCCATCTCGCTCGCCTGGGTCGCAGTCGCCCGCGCACAACCCCTTCAACATGTATAATCAAACGCACGCGCAACAAGGGCAGCACGGCATGCTGAACGGCAACTCGCACCAGCGCTTTGCGATGCAAATGAATCTGGCAAAGTTCCAGCAGCACCAAAGCCACCAGCATCAGAATCACCAGCATCCTCAGCATCACGACCACGGTGCGCACGGTGGACATGGAGCAAACTTTGGCAACCATCAGCATAACATATCGAATGGAGTTCTGGCGAACGCGTCGCCGCACTTTGGAGCCAATCATCTGCATAATGGCACTCCGGGAAGCGTCCATAGCACCTTGGCAAAGGCGCCAAACGAGCACTGGGCGCTGCAGCTGCAGTATGCGCAGCATGCTCGTGAAATGACCATGTCCCACTCTCACGCGCGCAATCATCCATCAACGAACAAGGGAGTAACGGCTGCACAGGCAAATGGAATGGCGAAGGAGCCTGAGAAGGAAGAGCGCCATCGAGCTGCAAAGGACAACAATGACAAGGATGACTCGCAGATATGGAAGGCCCTGGATCTCGGTGGCCAAAATCTCAAAGTTCTCTCTCCGGCTCTTTTTGACTACACCTTCCTTACTAAGCTTTATCTGAACTTCAACAAGCTCTCTTTCCTCTCTCCCGCTATTGGAAGGCTTAGGAACTTGAGGGAGTTGGATCTGTCCTTAAATGAGCTCCGTACGCTTCCTCCTGAAATCGGTATGCTAGTCAATCTTCGTGAGCTCTTGCTCTTCGACAATAACATTGAGACCCTGCCCTACGAGATGGGCTCACTGTATCAATTGGAAATGCTCGGCATCGAGGGTAACCCCAATCTTGACGATCAGCTGAAGAGCATCATTGTCGAGCACGGCACAACCGAGCTTGTCAAGTACCTGCGTGAGCAAGCGCCGGGTAAGTGCCGATTTGTTTACTATTTGTGTTTTACATTCTGACCGTACCAAAGGGCCGGATCCGCCTACGGAGCGTGACTGGATCGTCCTCGATGACACGCCCGCTGTGCCGGAGGACAAGTTCCAGGTACTCAGCTACAACATCCTCTGCGATCGGATGGCAACACAGTCGCACTACGGATACACGCCATCCGGGGCCTTGTCTTGGGAGCACAGAAGGGATCTCATCTTGCAAGAATTGCGGAGTCGCCAACCTGACATCATCTGCCTCCAGGAGATTGATTCTGAGAGCTACAACGAGTACTTCCGTCCGGCATTGGCTCATAATGACTACAAGGGCGTCTACTGGCAAAAGTCGAGGTCCAGGACCATGGCTGAAAAGGAGGCCAAGTTTGTTGATGGATGCTGTATCTTCTACAAGAACAGCAAGTGAGTCTCAGTGCACCTTGTCATTGTTTTCCAAATCGGCTGACAGATGCAGATTCATCCTCCTCGACAAGCAGCTCCTTGATTTTGCGAACCTGGCCATCAACCGGCCGGACATGAAGGGTGAACACGATATCTTCAACCGTGTTATGCCCAAGGACAACATTGCCGTAACAGCATTCTTTGAGAACCGTCAATCAGGAGCGCGTCTCATGGTGGTCAATGCCCACGTCTACTGGGACCCGATTTTCAAGGATGTCAAGGTCATCCAGGCCGCCATCCTCATGGAACAGATCCAGAAATTCGCAGAAAAATATGTCAAGTGGCCGGCGTGCGTCGACAAGTCCATCTACAAATATGCCAATGGCGACGAGGACGATGCGGAACCTGCGGAACCCTTGCCGGAACCAGCGCCGTCGATGATATACTCCGAGGCTCAGCAGATTCCGTTGGTGCTGTGCGGCGATTTCAACTCGACACCTGACTCTGGAGTCTACGAGCTGATTGCGCATGGCGCGCTCTCGAGCGATCACTCGGATCTCGGCACGTACAAGTATGGCCACTTCACGAAGCAAGGAATGTCTCATCCTTTCAGCCTCAAATCGAGCTACTCGAATATCGGCGAGCTTAGCTTCACCAACTATACGCCCGGATTCACCGGGGTAATCGACTACATCTTCTACTCGACAAACGCGCTCAACGCCACCGGCCTCTTGGGAGAAGTGGACAAGGAGTACATGCAACGCGTGCCTGGATTCCCGAACTTCCACTTCCCCAGCGACCACTTGGCGCTGCTAGCAGAGTTCGTTTTCAAGGGCCGAAAAGAGAGAAAGACTGTAGAAGCAGATTTTGGACCGCAACGAGACCGTCGTTAGGCATTTCCTCATTGCATGTCAAGCGGTTCAGCTCGCTGGATTTGTATGGCCAGCAGTTGGGTATCATACGGATGGCGCTGCGGTACAACGGGTGTTCGTATCGTCTTACGCGAATGCCTCTCCTCTTTCCGTGCGGATGAAGCGGTGTTATGGGTTTCTGATGCTTTGTGGGTTTGCTTTTCCGCAAGTCTCGGGTGCTGGTGGCTAGGGCAGGACTGAACGGGAGGCGCGATCAAGCATTCAAGAGGTCTCTTTGGGCGCTCTCTCTCTCTCTCTCGACTTCCACAAAAGAGGGGCCCGGAGGCAAGGCGGGGGTGGGGCATCGGAGCAAAAGCAGCTTGCGGAGGTTAAGACATGGGTTGCGAAATGCCCCCGGCTGGTTTTGCCTGGTACACACTCTTTCCGTCTCTTTCGGGTCGAGCGAATGTTGGGCAATATTGGTGAAACATTCGTTGCTCGTTTCGAGCCCCTCACTTTTCTTTCTGGCGAAGGGAATCAGGCGCCGGGTTGCCAGTTTCACTGCGGTCATTTCGGTTTTGCGCCTCGCCCCATGTCTTTCTTTGCTGGCCGGCGGCGGTGAAGTGGCAGGCCGGTCCCACTTGAATGTCTACGGTCTGGATAGGGGCTCTTCTTGCATCGCGTTGCAGTTGTTTGGTGTAGCTCGGCGAGTTCTTCTCATTTCTTTCCTTGTAACGATGTACTAGGTAGTCTGTTCGCCGCTTTGGCGTGAAAGCGATTGCCCGCTCAGGACAGAGTGCGGCCTTGAGATTCCGGATGCCCAAGCGAGCCGTGACGTGGTATACAGGGCGTCGGGAGCCGGGAGGCCACAAGGCCTGTTGGGAGCGGGTAAAGTGGACGCGGGTTCGCCCGTGAGATCCGCCATTGTGGATCGGCGGCGACTCATGCAGGTCCCTGTCCGTCCGCGGCGCACATCCACGCTAATGCGACTCTACTATCTGACACTGAACACCTCTGCCAGCCTCACTCCCACCACGCGCCCCACGCCTGGTCCCACCTAGCCCGCGAGAGCGCCATGTAGCGCGCCCCCACCACGAGCCTCGCACAACCCGGCATCCCCACCGCTCACCTGCTCTGCCATGGACACCATCACCGTGACCCCCAAGTCAGCAGGGCCGTCGGCGAACAACAAGGTCACCAAGGGCAAGCTGCTCACCGGCACGAGCAACTTGCCCCAGATCCTCTACGGCTGTGGTGAGTCCCAAGCTGGCGCGTGGCCGGCACGCGCCGCGAGGCGTTGATGGTGCACGCGCGCGACCATCCGAGGTCGAGGGAGAGCCCGTCGCGAGCTGACATTTGCCGTCTCCCGTGTCCAGAACACCTCGAGCCGCTGTTCGCGGAGCGCCGCAAAGTGTTGGTGCAGCAGTACACCAACATCATCCAGACCATCCACGACCGCCACAGCATAATACCGCAGACCCATCGCTCGAGCCTCAACAACGACAGCCGCCCCGTCCTCTCGCTCAAGCCGACGTACATGTGCCTGCAGTGCGTTGGCGTCTTTACGGCCGAGCTACGCGACGAACATTTCGAGGCTAAGAAGCATGCTTTCTGTATGTGTGCCCTTTGCGCAGAGCCGGTTGGGTTGGCTTGGATGGTCCCGATACTGAACATTGGCGGACAGCTGTGGAATCGAAGCAAGGCTGCGTGTATTGCCAGCAATGTAAAGACTTCATCTACGACCCAATGCTGGAGAATGTGCGCTTGCTGCAAGGTAGGTGCCAATTGGCGCGCCGCCTTGTGCGGAGAAGAACCGCCTTGTGCTGATGACTGGCAGGCCGCAAGAAGAGAAGGCTAGAAGAGACCATGACACCAGAAGATTACCGCCTTGTCGCTCAGAACTCTACCTTTGCCCCTTGCCGCGCCATCGGTCTGCGCGGACTGTATAACATGGGCCAGACATGCTTCATGAGCGTCATCTTGCAGTGCCTGATACACAACCCGTTCATCAAGGCCTTCTACCTCGGCGAGGGCCATACGTCCAAGGACTGCGATAGGGAGTCTTGTACTAGCTGTGCACTCGATGAAATATTTACAGAGTACTACTCGCTGGAGAAAACAGAGGGATACGGTGCTGTGAGCATGCTGCTAGGCAGCTGGTCCGGCGCGCAGGTACGGCCTGTCTTCATCCGGGGACAACTTCCGAATCTTCTGTACTTGGGTTCGCTCTGCTAACTCATCTCCAGGCTCTTGCGGGGTACCAGCAGCAGGACGCTCATGAGTACATGCAATTCATTCTCAACAACCTTCATGTGGAAAACGACGGCACCGAAAACAACGGCAAGGACGGCGACGAAGAGTGCTCATGCCTCATCCACAAAACCTTTTCCGGCAAGCTCCAAAGCACAGTCACGTGCGACAAATGCCACAACGTAACGACAGCCACTGATCCGGTCATGGACTTATCGTTGGATGTGCGCTCGCAGGCGAAGAAGCGGAAGTTAGAGAATGATTCAGAGAAAAATCCGGCAATCGACTTGAGAGATTGCTTGGATCGCTTCACAGGAAAGGAGAAGCTGCCCGCAGCAGAGTACTCTTGCGAAAAGTGCGGCGGTACGCAGCAGAGCGCCACGAAGCAATTGAGCATCAAGAAGCTGCCGCCGGTGCTCCCGATTCACCTCAAGGTATGTTGTACAATTCACTTGTTGATTTCGGCAACCGTCAGAGCTGTGGGACGGCAAGCTCGAAAGATGCGAGCCGCCGCTCTACTCTGAAGAGAACTGTATCTCGTGTGAAATGGGACATTTTCGCTGACGACTCCTTTCCCTTACAGCGCTTCGAAACCTCCAAGTCAACGTCCACCAAGCTCGAAACCAAAATCGCCTTCCCCACGTCCCTCGACCTCTACCCGTACACCACTCGTGCCCGCAGTTCCTCCACCCCATCAAAGGATTCGGCAAATGGTGCGACGAAGGACTCGAAAGCCGCCGCCGGCGGCAACAGCGCCATCTCGCAGCCCACTTGCATGTATGAGCTCGCCAGCGTCATAGTGCACAAGGGCAAGATTGACTCGGGCCACTACGTCAGCTACGCGCGCAAGGGTGGTGACTGGTTCCTGTTCGACGACAGCAAGGTCGTGCTGGCGAGTGAGGCGGACGTGCTAAGGGCCGAGGCGTATCTGTTAGTGTACGTGGTGCGCAATTTGGAGGGATGAGCGACGCGACACCTCCCAGAAGGAGCCTGGAAATTTCTTCCCCATACGTGAGAAGGGGGATGGGGGGAGGCTTGCATCGTCTCGTTCCGCCATTCTTTTCTTGTTGTGTTCGCAGTTTGCCATCAAGGTTGACGTTGTTATTCTTTGGTATTGTGAGATGTCTCGTCTCATGACCCCCCTTCTTCTCCTGCCTCTGTTTTTTTCTTTCTTTCTTTTTCTAATCTGGTTTTGTTTCCTGCGTTGTTCACATTGCGAGTCTGTATCATTAGACTGCTCATCGAACAAACGTGGCGAAAGCGGAAGGGCTATGGGATGGTGGGTCAGACTGGGCTACGGCACAGATCTTGGTTATTACTTTCGATTTAGTACTTTGGCATAAGCGGTAGGGCGTTATTCTCGTAAGGTTAGGTACCTTTCGGGGCCTTCGCAATCGTAAATGTGGCGATGGTTGTGTGGAGGGTCGTTTTGAACTCAGCAAGTTCCCGCACAAGTCACTTCAGCATAGGTAGCCCGAACCTAGTGATTGTTTTTGGGACTTCATTTCACCTGTATGGTCGCCTCTCCTACAAGTACAAGGTGGCTTGAAGCTGCGCTGGCCTTGTTTTATATACACACTCACGAAAAGGTTTCCTTCCTTCCTTTCTCATCTTTGGTTCTTGGCGCTTTGAAACCCAAATCATCCTGGAAAATAAACTAATAACAGACGCACAAAAAAGGAACTAGCGAAGGAAATCACTGGTCGTCCAGGACGTGGAGGTACCCACGCTCCTCGCGCTTCTCGCGCTCGGTCTGAGGAGGCATGTCGTAGTAAGTGGAGCTACGGAAACTCTTGAGGTAGTGGTAGAGGACGCTCTTGATCTCGATGGGCTCAATATCAAGGTCTTTGAAGGTCTTGGCAGTGGGGTCGATCTGTTGGTCGATGAACTCGCGCTCGACCTCATCACGTGAAATGATGGGCCACCACAACGCCTTGTTGAGGATCTCAGCGACAGGCTGGAGCACCCTCTTAGGGATATTGATGTGACGACGGTGCTTGAGGATTTCCTTGTCAACCAACTCGGCAAGCTCGGCGGTGCTGTAGTTGGTGGGGCCGTAAAGCTCGTACGTCTCCGAGGCGGTGTGGTCGTTGTGCAGCATGTGTTCGAGCGCCATGCCGACGTCGATGGCGTGCACAGGCCAGTAGCGCTCCTGCATGTTGTTGGAGGTGATGACGTTGGTAGGACCAGCCAGCCGGTTCAGAAGGCGGTCTTCCGAACCAAACATGGGGGCGGGGCGGACGATGGTGGTCTCGGGGAAAATGCTACGCGCAACCTCCTCGCCATAAGCCTTGGTCCGGAAAAACTCAGAGGGTGAGTTCTTGCTGGCGTTGAACGATGAGACATGGACGAAACGGTCGACATCGTACTTCGCAACGGCGTCGGCAATACGTTTGGTACCCTCGATGTGCACGTCCTCCAGGTCGAAGTTCCTTCGCACTGCCGTTAACATGGTTCTCGCCTACAGACTGCTTGGTTACTGACTTGGTGGGGTAGTCGCGGCCGACCAGGTTGTAGACAATATCGGAGTGTCTGACGCTCTCCTCAATGGATTGAGTGTTGCGCAAATCGTACTCCTGTGCCTGGGTTAGGAACAACGCAATGCCTTCGCTTGCATAGAGAAGCCCCTTACCATGAAAACAACCCTGCCGAGATCACCAGAAACCTTCAGGTGACGCTTGGCCATCTCCTCCCGGAAAGGAACGACAACGGTAACACCCTGGCGCGCTGTTCAATCTCGCGTCAGCGCCTCGGTTGCAAGACTACGCGCAGCAAGTTGTACCCAGTCTGTGGACAATGTATCTGCCCAGGAAGCCGGTAGCGCCGAAAACGGTTGCGGTGTGGCCTTGCGAAGGAGTCAGTCGTGGCTGGGTGGAAAGGCGGGTTGTGCGTGGATCAAACCTCCAAGCGACGATCTGTGTGGCCATACGTCAGCACCAGCTTCATGCCCAGCAAACGTTCCAGGCCAGACTCACCTGCCACCGGGTACTCTAATGATGGGCTTGCCGGTGCGAGTGATCGCAACATCGTGAACCTGGCGGCGGGCAGGACGGGCGAAGGGGGAGGAAAGGCGAGGAGCGGCCAATGCCTTGGCCAGGCCGGCGCTGGGGCCGGAGCAGCTCCTGGAGAGGGCCATGGTGCGGGGTTCGAGAGCGGAGAGCGGCGGGCGGGTGGTTGTCGATGCGGAGGGCGCGCTGGTGGTTGCTGCTCTGGGCTTGGCCGGCAGCGTCGGCGGCCGGAGATATGTCAGCCCGATCGTCGGCGAGCTCATTGGAGAAGCTACCACTTGGGGCCCTGGCGCCTGCGAAGCTCGCCGCAGCTCCACTAGCACCGATATCACCAACCCTCACCACCAACGCCCTTCAAGCGCCGCTCCGCCATACATCGTCCGCCCGTCCAACACCTGCCCTGCCCTTCGCACACCGTCGTCAAGATGGCGGGACCGACGGCCAAAGACCTGGAGATGATTCCGGATTACCTTGCGGAGCAGCGCGACGCCGCTCCCGACGACCTGCAACCCTTCTTCCTAAACTTCGAGGATTACTGGGAGCGCAAGCTGTGGCACGAGCTTACCGACACCTTGGTCGAGTTCTACAGCCATCCGCAGAGCGCTCCCCAGCGGATAAACCTGTTCAACACCTTCGTTCGCACCTTCGCCGACAAGATCAACCAGTTGAAGCTCGTCACCCTCGGCCTGAGCGCCGCATCGCAGTTCAAGGGTACGCACACCCGAACAAGACAGATTCAGCCGAAAACGAAGCTAATTCAGGTGATGTAGATGATAAGGAGCGCCTCACCTTCCTCCAGAGCCTTGCCAACAAGGCCAACAAGCCTGCCTCTCAAGATGCATATGTCTACGCCACCGTCGCCGTGGCCAGCGTCCAACTACAGCTGCGTGATTTCCCCGCCTCACGGAAGAAGCTTGACGAGAGCGAGCGCATCCTGGACTCATTCGACACGGTCGAGACTGTCGTTCACGCATCTTTCTACCGCGTGAACGCCGAATACTACAAGGTGCCACTTCCGTTATTGTCGTGGATGATGCAGCTGACGTTTTCAGTCGCAACAAGAGTTTGCTTCATACTACAAGAACGCTCTTCTCTTCCTCGCATGCGTGGACATTTCGGAGCTTCCCCGCGAGGAGACCATGCAACGTGCTTACGACCTAAGCATTGCTGCTCTCGTCTCAGACTCCATCTACAACTTCGGAGAGCTCCTTCTCCATCCTATTCTCGACTCCCTCACGAACACCCCTCACTCCTGGCTTCGTGACCTCCTCTTCGCCTTCAACCGCGGCGATCTGGCCGCTTACGACGTCCTTTCCGGAAACATCTCCAAGAACAACCTCCTTAATGAGCACCAGCAGTTCCTTTACCAGAAGATCTCCCTGGCTGCTCTCACCGAGACGGTCTTCCGCCGCCCCCCTCAGGACCGCACCATGACCTTCCAAGCCATCTCCCAAGAAACCAAGGTGCCCATCGACCAAATTGAACATCTGATCATGAAAGCCTTGAGCTTGGGTCTGCTGAAGGGAACGATCGACCAAGTAGATCAGATTGCCAAGATCAACTGGGTTCAGCCGAAGGTGCTGGACATGAAGCAGATCGAGGGTATGAGGACCAGGCTGAGGGACTGGGATTCGAGCGTCAACCAGCTGGGTAACTGGATCGAGACTGTTGGCAAGGATGTGTGGGCTGCTTAGAGGAATATCCGCTTGTTGCCGCTGCACAGTTTAGACGAGATCTTATGGCATAATGGATGGCTGAGAAGAGTGGGAAGCAGATGAAGTGATCATGGCTTACTCCTCGTCCCGGACGACAAGACGGGCCACACGTGTGTGTATGATGATGGCAATAAGGTTCTTGGTTCTATGCCGAACTACCTGGACCAAAAATAGAAAGGCGTCTCTCCGGTTGCGCCAATGAAATGACAGTAAATAATGGACGATGACATTTTTGACAACGTGTGAACTATGAGCTGAGATTGGTGATGTTATCATAAGGTGAAGAGGGATCCATTGTAACCGTCTTCGGAATCCAATCCCCACTATGCAGTAATCAACAGTGAGCGCCACCAACGTTGTATCAACCATGACCTCTTATGAGTACAGACGCCTTTTTTTTGGTGACAGATTGTGTACGTAACAGAGGAAATAGAGATCATGCATATGACGGGTACGAGCGTCAGAACAGTTCCCTGTCCATTATCATGATTTGATGCTGCCACTGTTCGTCTATCACTTGTGGACACCTGCCAGATAAGCACCACGTCTGTCGGTAAAGTGGGAGGTAGTTCACCGTTGTGCGCCTGGATTTTTAAATGGCGTAGAGAAAGATATATATACACCGGTTGATCGGCCAAGGGTCTATGTATTCCTTGCAGGGAGGTTCTTGTTCGAACAGGAGGGAAGTAAGTATATCAAACACAGCTGCGACCGTATGCTTCCCGTATACTTTAGGCCAACAGCGAGCGAGAGTCGGTTGGCAGAATGTAACGTCGGACCCGTTGAACAGACCAGCCGAGTCACTGACTTTGCGTATGACCAGCATGTAACCTCTCAGACCTACATCTCTCGTTGGGACATGTCAAGCATAGCTCCAAACCTTTCAAGAACCAGGTTGATAAAGACCGGTATCGCACACAGGTAAGAATGCGCACCAAGCATTTCACAGCGCACCTTGGTAGACAACGCCACATCGCTATCAAACCAAATCAATCGGGCGCGACTCTCCATCCATGAGAGTCTTTAGCTTCACTCAAAGCTTGGACACTTGCTGAGACTGGACGAGTACCTGCGTCCAAACCTACATGGTGAGGGCAGAATGGCAAGTCTCCAGACACGTGAACGGCCGGGAAGAGACTATCGTTGACTAGGCAGATGGATCGACGACGCCATGGAAAGGTTCGATGCGTCTGGATGTAGCGAAGACGCAATTGAGGACGAGAGTTGAGAGGGATAACGTAGCGATGAGGTTATGAAGTCGTGAGAAGGCCGGGGTGGAGAGGGGCTGGGGGCAGGATGCGGCTTTTGCGGCGTGGGGAGAGCAGGGATGGTGGCGTGCGGAATGATGGCATTTGGACGAATCGCGATGGCGCACGGCCCAAGCCCCCCGGTGCTGCATGCAACTGACGTCAGTCCCAAGCTGTATACATCAACTGGCGCGCCTGCCGTTCTCCTCTCGTTTGCATTCTGCTTTCCTCAACCAGCCGCTCCTCCATCTCGCCACATCGCTCTTCATCCAGCAACACCCAATTCCTTGCGAACTGTCTCCATCTCACCCGTACAAAGCCGCCACAATGCTTCGCACTACCTTTGCTCGCAACGCCCGCCTCTTCACCACCTCGGCTCGCTTTCAAAAGAGCACCGTCGAAGGCGTCAAGGATGCTGCCAAGAAGATTGACAGGACTGTTTCCGATGCAGCTGTAAAGGGCATTGAGAAGGGCGGTACGTCATCAGCACCTCATCCCAAGCTACCCTGGCTTGGGAACCAATTGCACGTCCTTGAGCTGAGCACAAGCTAACCTGATCCCCCATGCAGAGGAGGCTGCCGGCAAGGTCAAGGACGCTAGTGGCATCGGCAAGCAGAAGGCAGATGGCATCGCCGCCGAGGCAAAGGGCAAGGCACACGAGGTGGCCGGCGAGGCCAAGGGAAAGGCCAGTGAGCTCAGTGGTAAGGCAAAGGGCGCAGCCGAGGAGACGAAGGGCAAGTTGTAAAGCGATCAACCTGACATTCGCATCATGACGAAGAGATGAATTGCCTTGGGGAAAAGTATGATGTACCTCTTAATGAGCGATACAACTGAAATTACTTCTACACAAAGCTTCTGATGCGTGCCCTCAAAGGCCCGCGCCCGTTCAGATTCAATCTTAGCTTTTCCTAGAGGGAAGTGAAATGGGCACAGGGAAGTGACTTCTTTCGTGGAGAGCTTTGGAGGAGACGGGCAAGTTTCCTCCGATGGATGTTGCGTTTCTTTCTAGTGTGTTTCCCGTCACAATTTTGGGCTGCACATGTCTAGCTAGACCACTAAGGAGGCATGATATTCTACTATGTTTGAAACGCCAATATGCGTATGGCTGAGTTTGGGCCACTCGTTCTCTGGTAGGAGTCCAAGATGTTGGAAAAAAGAGAAAGGAGACATCGCCAGTCTCAGAATACATCTAGTGCCGTGACATTCGAGTGCAAATATGCACAAGGCCGGGAATGGTTGACTCCGTTGCTGCTCCGCTCATGGCGTCAGAAAGTCGTTGCCGGTTCCGCGCGGTTGCAGCTTCACCCGGCGTTTGCGTGAACGTGTCCGATTCACGTCCGGGAGCTGCGCACGAGCAGCGCAACATCACCCCCACCACCAACCACCCGCTGCATTTCTCTTACCTTCTTCTGCCCATGCAGATGGAGATCTCGCGCTACTCAGTCTTGCTTTGATTTGCACAGGCTCACCATCATGCGGATCGCCGCCTACGTTGGGGTAAGCTGCACTGCTCCAGCTCTCGCCGCCGAGCTCCGCAATGCGCGGATGCGCTGACCTTGTCGCAACAGACCTCCGTGGCCCTGGCCGCCTCGGTGCTGCTTCGCGCCGCATACGAAAGGCCTAACTTCTACTCCGCATGTGTCTATCTCTCTCAGTCAAATGCCTGCCTCATGGTACATCGTTCCCGCATCCCCGAGGTCGCCTTGTCCTAATAGCTTTGGTAGATACTCACGAACCTTGTCCTCCTCCTCACGGCTTCCTTCATGTACGGACTCCAGCGCCTCCTCTACGGACCGCTCCGCCCCATGGAAGTCGAGCGCCTCTACGAACACGCCTGGTTCGCCATCACAGAGACACTGCTAGCTATGACTATCTTCCGTGACGACGTGGGGGTGTGGTTCTTTGTCATGTTTGTCAGCCTCATTGCTGGCAAGATCTGGCAATGGATTGGTGCTGGCCGAGTCGAGTTCGTGGAGCAACAGCCCCCGACCTCAAACGAGATCTTCTTCCACTCCCGCCTGTCCTCTTCGCTGATACTGTCCATTGCGTACGACTCGGTGATGCTCGGATATTGCGTGGACACGGTCCTGCGCCAGGCACGACCAAACATGATCGTCATGTTTGGCTTCGAATATGCTCTGCTCCTCATCGAGTCCTTCGCCACCTTCTTCAGGCATATCCTGTGCCTCATTGATCTGACCGTCCAACATAAGCAGACAGACGCCAAGAGACAGGAGATGCTTGAGGAGAGGAGAGCCGAGAGACAGCGACAGAGGGAGGAGACTGGCGAAGGCTTGCTTACGGCGGCGGAGCTGGCTGCCGAAAACATCGAAGTTGATGACAATGAGATCGACGTGCCTGGATGGGAAGGCAAGGGCCGATGGATCTTCTACTTGGACCTTGCAAAGGACTTTGTCAAGCTGACCATCTACATGGCATTTTTCGTCATCCTCATGACCTTCCACGGTCTTCCCATTCACATCATGAGAGACGTCCTTCTAACATTCCGCTCGTTCCATAAGCGCATTTACGACTTCTTACGCTATCGCAACGCTACACGGGACATGAACTCTCGTTACCCTGACGCTACCAATGAAGACCTCGGGGAAAACAACATCTGCATCATCTGCCGCGAGGAGATGCGCCCATGGACAACGCCTGAGCAAGCACAAGCTGCTGCTGCTGGTGGCGCCCCGCCAGCACAAACTCCGCAGCGTCCAATTGACGAACGCCACAGGGCGAAGAAGCTACCTTGTGGCCATTGTCTCCATATCAGTTGCTTGCGCAGTTGGCTTGAACGCCAACAGGCTTGTCCCACCTGTCGCCAGCCGGTACTCGTCGAAGAGGCTCGGCAACGTCAACAGGCAAATCGAGCCAACCCAGCCGCCAATGTTGGTGCACAACCTGGACTTCAGCAAGGTGCTCCGAATGGCATCCCACAAGACGGGAATGCCCAGCAGCCTCCTCTCCCTCGCATGCGTCAAATTCAATTTGGCCCGTTCCGTATTGGATATGGCGTCCGCGCAGTGAACCTGAACAACGCGCAGGCGGACAACCCGCTCGCTCAAATAGTAGAGCACGGACGACAGCAACACGAGCAGGCTCAGCAACAGATGCAGCAACAGTACCAGCAACAGCAACAGCAGCGTGGAGGCCTCAGTGACCGCTCGTCTCGTGCGCTCCTGCGTGAGGCGACGGCAGACCCTCTCCGGGCGAATTCTGTCATTGCGCAGACCATGTGGCTAGATCAGCTGGAGCGTCGCCTGGTGAGCGATATTCAGGCTCTGAATGTCGCGCAGCATCAACTGCACCTTGTCCGGGCATTGCAGGCAGAGTACATGCGTCTTCGTCGCGTAGCGGCAGCTACTGTTGTCAATGGTGCCCAGCCCGCGCAAGATGCCCAATCCCCGCTTGCGAACATGTTTGCCGGCCTCAACACTGACGGTCTCAATCTCAACGCAACATTGGGGCACGACTTGAACCAGCCGCGTCTTTTTAACGCCAATGCGGAACAGCCTGTCATGGAAGCCCACGATCCAAATCTTCCGCAAGGATTGAATTTGCCTCCCGGGTGGACGCTCTTGCCACTCCATAGGGCCGATGCTACGCAGGCGCAAGAGCCAGGAAACCAAGGACCGAGCCATCACTCTCCTCCTGCTCGCTCAACGGCACAGTCTGCCGCAGATGCTGCGGCCTCTCTACAAAACTGGAACGACACAATGACACGGACACTGGACGAAGCTCGAGGCCGCGATTATACTTCCGACTTGTCAATGCAGGCCCCTCCTACCGCTACGACCTTTAATGGGACCGGTATGGAACCTTTTCTGGGCAGGCTTAATAGCCGAGCTAACACGATACCAGGCCATGCTCCCCCTGGCCTCCGCGAGAACCACACCAGGCCTAACAATTCTGAAGTCAATGTACAAACACTGGCCCCCCCGAGCTTGCCAACCAACGCAGCCAACCCACCCACCGCGCAACATGCTAATGAGCCTGTTTCTATCGGCTCCATGGCTCATATCCCTCCATCTTCTGACCCAGCAAATCTCGGGGGTTCGGACATCTCATCTCACTCGGAGCACCCGTCCCATCCTGTTGCTGCTGAATCCTCTGAAGTAGCGAACAACACAACGTCTACAACTGGTTCTGAAGGAAGCTCGACAAAGGCACCAAGGCCCGAATCTGCTGACGCTGAAGGTGCTGCTTCCCAGATCGATGGAGTCAGTAGTTCCACTCTTGCGAGTGAGCGGCCTCCATCTCGACAGCCGACAGTCGAAGATGGAGAGGATGACGACAACTAGGCCATCCCCCTTACGAGTCTTGTGTGGGGGGTTTGGGGTATGAGCGACGAGTAATCATTCCAATTTCCATTTCAGCTTTCAGCGTGCCTCTGCTTTCCTGAAAAAAACATAAACCCCCGGCTGCACCCGATGAGGAAATGGCATTCAGTGGGTAACGCCGAGGGCAAGTTTCTCTGTAACTATACCCTTCATTTGCATAGCGATGGCGAAGCAGGAACAAACATGGTGGATGTGAATTCTTTCCTCACCACCAGACCCAAGCGCTCTCCCTGACGTTGTCACTGTCTACTAATTTTGCTGCCTGCTGATGCTCACTGAAGTGCCTGCGGTATGTTCTTGTGGTAGTGTTGTATGCATCTCTGACTGCGAAAAGACAGAGCTAGTAAATCTTGTCTTTACGCCCAATGGCAAGTCACTTTTGTATCAACACCTTCTTCATACATCGAGTTGATTCGTTGGGCCAGATTGCGCTTTCCGAACTTATGCCGGTGCCGCCAATGAGATAGCTCGAAGGTACCAAAAAGTGGGCCGTCTCAAGCCAAAAAGAAACATTGATGACCGCGTCGTGCTCAAAACGAGAATCGACCACATGAGGTGACGTTCTGTTTGTTTCCAAAGATTCTTTAATGGCGTTTAGTGGCAGCCACACGGTCACTTCTGGTAAAAGGCAAGAAATGAATTCATTATAGCTTACCACGCCAGAAAACAAATGTTGCTGTTTGATGTTATATACCCCAAATCCATCATTATTTCGCTTTCCAAGTACAACCTGCTACCCTCATATCTTTAGACTCCCCACCACACAGTTCGGACACCAGGACAGTCAAATCCGTCCATGCTCGACTTCGACCGCAAATTCGACAAGAAGCAGCGTTTGTCATCACTTGCAACACTCGAGCATTTGACAGCCATGGCTCGAAACTGAAGTCGTGTACACAGGCCTCGCAATAAATCAGTCTTAAACCAATATGTTCGTGTCAATCCGCAAGGTCCGGAAGCTCATTAAGACATGGTTTCATTTCTCCAAGTCTGGTCCCTGCTGCGACGCAGCAACAGGTCCAATTTCTATCCCTCTGCGAAAAGCCAGCGCCCTTCTTTTCGTAGTCTACATCGGCTTCGTCTCAACTGCCCTCATTCCATGTCGGCGCTTATGCGTCAACGTCCATCCTCTCCGCAGTCTGCTCACCCTCGGTGAGCTCGTGCACCGTAACGTACTTGCTAACGTCCTCCTTCTTGATGACCTTCTCGTTGAGCACAGCGGTGGTGCCGCGGGGGAAGCGGTAGTTGCGCTGCTTCTTCTCGCGCTGGTTGGGTTGGATGTAGTTGCGCAGGAGGCTCGTCTTCTCCTCGGTGATGACGGCGACGTCGACGTTGCTACCGGAGCCCAGATCGTTGAAGATACCGGCCAAGATGGCGTCGGAGCATAGCTTAACGGCCTGGTCGCGGTTGAGCGCCGGCTGCCACTGGGTCTCGAAGACGGACATGGCGGCCAGCGAGCCAGAGCCCATGGTCACGTAGGGCAGCTTGTCGGTGGAGCCGTGGGCGTGGACGGTGAAGAGGTGGGCGCCGGTCGGGTCGACGCCGGCGACGACGAGGTAGGCGCCGATGTGGCCCTGGTAGCGGAACAGGTGCTGCTTCAGCATCGTCATGCATGTCACGACGCGCGGCTTGCGGCCCGTCGACAGCGCATGCAGCTCCAAGTTGGACGACATCAGCGCCGTCGTGAACTCCGTGTCGGCCGCCGTGCCGGCACCGGCACACCAGATCTGCGGGGCGATGTAGTGGAGCTTCTCGCAGTTCTGCAATCCGTCGAGTTAGCCGTGTCCAGGGGGGTTCTCCTTGGCATGCTTGCGACGAAGCTCTTTACCGCACCTTGTCAGCTACTATGGGTCCGCTCGTGGCTCTGGTATCGGCGGCAATGACGACGCCGCCATCGAACAAGCATCCAACGATGGTGGTACCGGTGCTGGTGGCCTTGGGGAGCGGAACGCCCTGGGCGTGCAGAGCCGCATTACGGTTGTAATTCGAGAAGTCGAAGCCCGGCATTGTGGCGGCAGATGGGTATGACGGACGTGGTGGGAGTCGAGGTCAGCCCGGCGGCGTGAGGTCGAAAGGCTTGCGTCGAGCGCGGCGGACGATTACGGGCGGTACAAAGGGAGCGGGGGATTGCAAGCCTAGTGAGGAGGCAAGCGGAGTTGGAGAGTGGTGGTGGTGGACGGTGGACGGTGGGCGGAGGGATGGTGTTGCTTGAGCTGCTGGCGGGAAGCTCAAGCTCGCTCCAGGCAACGCGCGAGACGACGCAAGGCGGTCCGGGCATTCGACCTCGCGTCCATTCCAGCCCGCCCGCCGCCTTCCACAACACCTTCCAATCCCCGCCTCGCCCAGGAGTGACAGCGCCTTCCACAGCCCCGCTGCCTGAGCTACTCGCCGCCCGAGCCTGCCCAGGCTCCTGCGACTGCGCGCCATTCCCTTCGGTGCGAGCTTGCTCTCTTGTTTTGCTCGTCCTCCCAAACCATCGCGCCGTCGCGAAAAGCGCCCTCTAAGCGCGCCGGACCGCACTCCGCCTCGTCCAACCTGCCTCCTCGGAGACGGCGACTCTGATACCCCGGAGCAAACATGGCCTTTTCCATGGGTGGCGTGGCCAGCCCAGTAGCTAGACAGGCGGACGACATTGAGGATATTCAGACAGAGGTACTGCGACTGATTCCAATTACCAGCTCCAAAAAGCAGAACGGCAATGCCTTCCACAATATCAGCCCTTTGCATGCTGACCCGCATCTACAGCACCTCGGGTTCGCCGCCATCTCCGCGCGGAATCCGAAGACTAAAATCACCAACAAGCTCAAGCTGCTGCCATCGCCGTGGCGCGTCGACGACCTGCCGCGGGCCGAGTCCAACCTCTTCGCCGCAGCCCCAAGAAAAGGTGTTGTTGCCGCCGCCGGTCCGGATTGTCTGGTCATCGCCTCCGCCGACAGCATTCGCGCTGCCTTGACTTCAGAGCGCGATGAATCCAACAAGGATCCCGTTGTTCCCTTCAGTCCGGAGCTTACCGTCTCTATGCCGCGCCTGTCTCAGATTACATTCACGTCGGACGAGCAGTACTTGGTCATATCGGCGCAACAGGGCGGAGGGCTGGCAATACACGAAGTCGCCGCGCTTTTGCAGAAGAATAACAGTCCAGCTCTGCAGATAGGTACGGATGGCATGGGTGTGCGGGCATTGATACCAAATCCGGCACCTGAGCTGGCAGAAAACATTGCCGTCGTCACGGAGAAGGGACAATTGATGATTGCGAGTCTGAAGCAGGGAGGTTTTGTCAAGACACAGAATGGGGCTGTGCTGAAGGATAACGTGAGCTGCGCGACTTGGAGCAACAAGGGAAAGCAGCTGGTCGCTGGTCTGGCCGACGGCACTGTCGTCCAGATGAAGCCGGACGGCTCTTTGACAGGACTTATGCCGCGCCCTCCGACTTTGGAGGGAGATCAGCACGGTACGTATATTCATCATCCCAGGCTGAAGCTCCGTGCTCACACAAGTAGTTTCCTGCATCTCATGGTTAACAAACGACGATTTCTTCATTGTCCATGCGCCTACGAGCATGGAACAGGGTTCCCCTCCTGAAATGTCCTACCACATGGTCTCGCGCACTAAGAATACCCAAAATTACACCTTCAGCAAATTTATTCTGTCCGCTTGCGACGGCTGGGGCGAGATCCGCAATCAGCCGCCTCACTACTTCATTTCTCGTCTGAGGAATTGGAAGCCTGACTTAGATGACCTTGTGCTGGTCTCTTCTACCGGAGGTCTGGAGCTTGGACTGATCACAAAGAGCTCTCAGCCTCTCTCACGAGAAAACCCGGTCACGAACAGCTACGTTCCGACAGTCACGGCCGATGATGCTAGAAAGGCTTCTATGCCTAGCACTGTCGATGCAGATTCATATCCTGACATGGAAGATTCATCTCCACTCGGCCTTGCACTTGATCTCTCTAGCAAGGAAAAGGTGTACAAGCCCATCAGCGGTAGTGACATTGAATGGACGAAGACCCCACTCCCAGCGGTCATGGTACTGAACCACGAAGGCTACCTGAACGCTTGGTGGATAGTCTACAACTCATCAGTTGAGTCAGGAACTACCTATGAGGGCCTTGCCGCAGCAAATGGTGCCCAATCTGCACCCGCACCGCAACAAAGCCAACCAGCTGCTCCTGTTTCGTCGAGTCCGTTTGGAAAGTCCGGTTTTGGTCAACCGGCCTTCGGCAGTTCAGGCTTTGGTGGTGCATCTCCTTTGGGTCAAAGCAAGTCCCCTTGGGCATCCACCAGCGTCGGTAGTGCCACCAGTGCGCCTGCATTCGGACAGTCTGCTTTTGGATCGGCATCGAAACCGGCCACTCCAGCGTTCGGCAAGCCGGCATTTGGAGCACCCTCCCAGCCTGGAACTGGTGCAGGGTTTGGCTCAGCTAGTGGTCTAGGCCAGAAGGCTTCTCCATGGGGAAGCCCCGCTCCGACACCTTCACAGATTCCTAAGCCTAGTGGAGGCTTTGCCAGCTCGGGTTCGAGCGAGAGTGGGTTTGCTAAATTCAACCAGCAGAGCGCATCGCCATTTGGTGCAGCAAAGCAAGGGCAGCAGACAACATTCGCAGCTTTGGCGGCAAACAAGCCTGGGCAGTCGGCATTTTCTAGTGGTTCTTTCGGTGGTACGCCCAACCAGAGTTTCGGTCTACAAACCGAACCCAGTTTCGCATCTACGGTCTCGCTAAATTCGACTGCAGGCGGCTCGACAGTCAAGTCCTCATCCTTCGGAGCTCCCACCCAGCCGTCGGCGAACCTTTTCGGCCAAAAGAAGGAGGCGGAACAACCCCAGACTCAAGAGTCGGACATGGGCGATGCGGATCATGCCAATGGAGATGATACTCCAAAGGAGCCTGCGAAGCCGGGTCCCTTCGGGCTGAGCAATAGTGGCTTCAAGCTCGATTCTGCGTTCAAAGGAGATGGATCTGCGAAAGACGATTTGCCGAAGCCTGAGACAGGTTCCAGTTTTGGCAGTTTTGGTCTTGGGTCCTCTTTTAGTGCAGCTTTGGGTGACGCTGAGAAGACTCAGGGAAAGCCAGGAAACAACGCTCCTGAAAAGGCTGGGTCGGCCCTGTTTGGTAATAAGACGGAAAACGCCACTTCCCAAGATGCCCCCAAGACCGGTGGTGGTCTGTTTGGTTCCACCAAACCCGCTTCTCCGTTCCCGTCCACCGGATCTAATCTGTTCGGCAAGCCTGCAGAGAAAGCCAAGTCCCCTGCTCCGGAAACTGCCCCTCTGCCGCCAGACTTCACCAAGAAGCCGGCCACGAAGGAGGACTCCCAGCCTGAAGCGGCCCCTTTGCCGCCCGATTTCACTAAGAAAACGCCCAAGGAGGACAATTTCCAGCCAGAAGATGCTCCTCTTCCTCCAGACTTTACATCTTCCAAGGAAAATAAGGAGGAGCCTGAGGAGGAGGATTTCCCTCCGATTGCGGGCAGCCCTCCTGTAAAGGTTGAGAAGCCAGAGTCGCCTTCACTCTCGGAGATTCCCGAGAAGAAGAACGAGCCTGCCCTCCCCCCCTCCGCGCCTACCACGAACAACAACGCCTGGAGCTTCCCTCCTGTAGAACAGACTCGTTCAGACTCCAGGTCCAGACCAATGGCCCAACCCAAGTCCCGCAGCCCGTCTCGCTCACCCGTTCGTTCCCCAAGCCGGAATACCTTCGCCATGTCAACTACGCCCGCTGGTATTCCCAAACACATCGGACCCACACCTTCCTTCCCTCAGCCGACGTTCGATCGGCGTGAGGAAACTCTCCGGTCGCCCAGCCCAGTCCGTGCGGCTTCGGGATCGATACTCAGCCCTGGCCCTAGGCGACAGGCGGTGACAATACCACCTCCGGCTCCCATCTCGCGCGCAACATCGCGGTCTCAGGTGCCTCTGTCGCAGGATCCCGTGTTCCAGGATTTGGGAGACGACCAAGAGTTCGAGGCGACACGGGCGATTTTATCTTCATCCCCCCGTGCCACCAAGACGTTGGAAGACTTCTACGTTCATCAAGACTACGCCGGAAGGGCCGGTCCCTCCAGTGTGTCTGGGTCGGTTGAACAGCTCTACAGAGACATGCAGAGCATGATTGACACTGTTGGCCTCAACGCACATCATCTGGCAGGTTTCATCAAGGGCCACAACGAAATCACTCACGAGGGTCGCTCACGCGATGACCTTGACGTAAATGTCGATGACCCTGAAGATAACGATTGGGTTCTTGCGGAGATTGAGGATCTTTCCAAGACAGAGAACGGTCTTGAGCGCTCATTGGACACAGGCCGCGTCGCTGACGTTCAGAACAAGATCCGCAGCCTGATTCGCCTCTCCAAGGACGTTGGTCAACTGCGCAGGCGCCTCAACGACGTGCGCAAGTCGATCGAGCAGCGCCGCGACCCGTCCAAGCTCGCCATCACGCGCTCAACGCCCCTCTCGGAAGAGCAGAGCGCACAGCAAGCACAGCTCCGCTCAGCCTTTGCGCAAACACAGAAGCTCCTCGCAGGCGCCGAAGAAGGCATCGTCCTCCTCAAGACGCGCATCTCGTTCGCCCAGGCCAGCAAGGCGGGCGGCGCCACCAACCCGACGGCCACGCCGACGGCCGAGGCGGTCGAGAACACGATCAAAAAGATGACGGCCATCATCGAGCAGAAGAGCGGCAACCTCGACGTGCTGGAGAACCAGCTCCGGAAGATGCGCCTCCTCGGCGGCGACGACGGAGACTCGGAGCACCACCCGGCCGAGGGCGACGGGGAAGACGACGACGACGACGACGACATCGCCGCCGGCCTCAACGCCATGTCGCTCCGCGGCTCCGGCCGCTTCAGCCGCGAGGCCAGCCCGGCCGTCTTCGCCACGCCGCCCTCGGGCATGCGCAGGGGCCACCGCAGCCGCGACGGCACGCCCTTCAGCGCCGACGGCAGCGCGCGCAGGAGGCTCTTCTTCACGCCCGACAAGTACGGCTCGGCCAGCCCGGGCGTGCTGCGGAGCAGCGTCGGGCCCGGCGGCTCGGAGCTCGTCCTCCGGAGCGTCGAGGACGCGGCGTTCGGCGGCGAGCACCTGGTCGGCAGGGACGAGGTCAGGGTGTACGTGCGCAAGGTGGAGAAGAAGGCCGTCGTCAAGGGCAAGTTGAAGGAGGCCATCACGAAGAGGGGGCCGAGGATCACGAAGATGGCTGGCGCGAAATAGATGGGATGGGGGGGGATGTCTATCTATGTCTGCTTTTCTTTTCTTTCTCTTTTCTTTTCTTTTCTTCACTCTTCCTCATAGCAGGGCCACACCACCGGAGTAGTAGTGTCGTTGTTGAGCGTGATTCTGGGGGATGGTGGTTGAATGGGGTTCTTTACTTGACTTGATTTTGTGACTGCAGCCGAAGACGGAGTGAAAAAAAAATGGTAGTGGGGGAAAAAGCGTTGTGGTATTGGAGAAAGTTGGCTGTAGGATAGATAAGCTGAACTGAAGTTTTGTAAAACAAACATACACATGCCAAGCGTATCATGAAAGTGATTCACGAGTCCAACCCATCTTCACACACGGCGTTCCTGCCCCTTGTGATGATATACACAATGCAACGAGTCTAATCCAAGTCTAATCCAGGAACGGCGAAAGCGAGCAAGATTCAAGTACAACGAATAAGAGCATAGTGCAAACTCAAAAATGCGAATCCAAGTGTATAAAATGACAAACCTCCCTTCGACGCTTGCCTCCGCTAGAAAAGAGAGAGAGAGAGAGGGAGAGCCATACTTCTCCGGCCCCCGTCATCCAAACCACTCGACCACCTTGCCGGCGAAGCCCTCCAGACCCACCACGCTCCTCTCGGACCTGTCTGCCACCTCCCTCTGCCTTCTGCCACCCTCCATCACCAACACCCGCGCCCCCACCTCGATGAACTCGCGCGTCGCCACGAACTGGAAAGTCACGAGCGTGCCCTCGTCGCTTTCGCCGCCGCCGCCGCCGCCGTCCCTGTCAACGTCGTCCGCCTCGCCGCCGCTCGCTTCCTCGTCTCCGTCTTCGCTCTCGTCAAACGCGAAGCCGAACGCGTCGTCTCCCCCGTCCCTTTCCTTCCCGTTCGCCTCGGCACCGCTGCCGTCTTTCTGCGCTTTCCGCCGCTTCTTCCCGTCGCCGCCGCCGCCGTCGTCGATTGCGATGGCGATGACTTTCGCGCTCGCCCTGACGCTGGCGATGTACGTGACGGCCAGGCTGCCCACGATCAGGCTTCGCACGCCCTCTCCCGCAAAGCGGGCGACGAAGGCGCGGCAGGATTGCGGCGGGTTGCCGATCCCGCCGACCGGGCGGACGAGCACCATGCCCTTGCGGATGCGACCTTGTAGCGCCGCTGTGGCTGCTGCTGTGCCGGCCCTGGAAGAGGATGTCGATGAAGACAGGGCTGCTGCTGCTGCTGCTCCCGGGGCGGCGTTGGGCGTGTTGTTGTCGTCGAGCGGAAGGACCCCGAGCGAGCCGACCTGCCCTGCGAACAGGGTTCGGACGGGCAGACGCAGGTTTCGCATGCTCGTGATGCGGACGCGGCGCCACTCGTGCTGCTTGGGCGCGCGGGAGGACGCTCGGTGATACGGGAGGGTCAAGTTTTGGTAGAGAGCACCGGGGAAAGAGCGGCTTGTTGGAGTGACGGCGGCGCTTGGCCTCGAAGGAGCGCCAGGGGAACCGCTGCTGTCACTACCGTCCTCGGTAGCTAGTGTGACTGCTGCGATGTTGCCAACCGGGTACGGGCCGAGCAGGAGTTCCTCACCAAGGTGAAGGGTACCATAATCGAGACGGCCGCTCACAATGGAGATTTCGGAGGTCTCGGGTGTAGCGTCGTCATTGGAGTTGAGTCTCCAAACATCTTCGACGTGGTAGAGTGTAGCGAGTGGGGTGTTGCTCTTGGAACTTGGAGGAGAGCGTGGATGCGTGGCATGTCCATTTTCGGTCGACGTCGTCGGCGCTGAAGGAATGGATATTTGGTGTAGAATGGCATGCAGCTTGCGAATGCCCATACCACTCAAAGCGCTAGTCAACACGATCGGGACAACAAGAGGGTCGTGCGACAGCTCGTTTGTAACCTTGGCTCGCACGAGCTCGAGGTCTGAAACTGGTACGACAGCGAGATCATCCTCCGTTACCGTTGTAGAGGAATCAGGTATGATTAGCGGCTTCTTCCCAGCCTTTTTCAAAAATGTAAGCAGCTTGGACAAAGTCTTCTTTATCCCGCTTTTCGAAGCTAGGTCGAGTTTAGTAACCACAACAATCAGCGGCAGTTCCAACTTGAGACAAAGCTCTAGATGCGCCTCCGAGAGGTCGACGTCAGCGGCGGCGGCGCCGAGAACCTCTTCGGATGACGGAGTACTACCGACCCTGCCAGAAGTATCCTCATCGTTGTCTGCTGGCACACATAGCAACGTCCAGTGCGGGGCCCAGCCCATCAGACCGCGGACAGTAGTCCGTCTGTAACGCGGGTGGCCAGCAGAATCGGAAAGAAAGACCAGGCGGCTGGACTGGCAAGCCGCATGAACATCGTTCCAGGAATCAACATTGCCCGAAGCATAGTTGATCACATTCACACTACCTGAGCCATCGGACGACTCGGTGTAGCCGATGAGCTCCTGAGTGACCGAACTAGTCATTCCAGAGGCAATTTCATGTCTGTGTTTCAGTAAGCTGAGTCGAGACTTGCCCCTTCCATTGTCCAAGGTTGCGGTGGACAAGCTTCCAAGCAGGCTGGACTTGCCAGACATGGTTGCTCCGGTCAGGGAGACACGGAGCTGCTCGGATGCGGAAGTGCTGTCATCAAGGCTGATGTGCGAAAGTGGCTGCGCGACATGGTGGTTCTGTGCAGCAGCAGCAACAGCAGCAGGGCCTGGAGCCTGCGGGCTGTTGACCTCTGGCTTGATGAAAGCTTCTGCAACCCAAAGCTTGCCACTGTGCGCCGTCTCGTCGATCTCGTCGGTCCAAGCGCATTCGCCCACGGGGATCATGCGCAGGACCTTGACGGTACAACCGAGGCTGGCTGCCATGGCGCGTAGATTGGTCAAGCTCTCGGCCATTTCATCGTCGGCGAGCCCCACAAAAGTGCCATCGTCGGCAACGCCAATCTCGTACAATGCACCTTTGCTTTCTTCCAATCCCGGGAGCAACCTTGCAAGAGAAGGCGGTGCCCTGAGTTGCTCGGCTGCTTCAGGCAACTGCGGAACGACAAGCTCATTGGCCGACGTGGAATGGTATGGTGACGATTGCTGCAGCCGCCACAGCAGCTGCGTGGTCAGCTGTTCCAGACGATGCTGGCGTGATTGGCTGGATGTGGCTCGCGGAGGAGTGCTGGCGGGAGTGCGCGATACGGCCGTCTCGGAGACACTGTGAGGTGTTGGAACTCCGAGACTCGAACGATGCGACCCCGCCACGTGACGAGCGGTTGTCGACGTGGTGAAGGATCGCCGTGGGCGCAGCAGAAGGTGTAGTTTGTACTCGGTAGGGCCTTCCTGGGGCTCTGCGTCCAACTTGGTGACAGCACGGTCTGATTCAAGCACAGCCCTTGGCTCAAGTGCGCCACCCGTGGCGAAGGATGCGCCGGGCGGATGGGTTGACAGGCCGGGTCGAGACGGCTCGCGCGGCGTCACTGAGCGCGGAGTCGACCACGGCGAGGCGACCCGCGGCGGGTCTGGATCAAAAGTGAAGATGGAGGCCATGGTGGAAGCACAACGCTCAAGCACCTGACGTGTGGGCTCTGGCGCTCACGGGCAATACGCAATCAGGGCAAACGCGAGAAGGTTGCCGATAAGCTCTTGTAGGTAGATGATGAAGGCCGTATTCGATATGAGGTCGACGATAGTAGTGGTAACATCTTGGCTGCTTCGACAGGGGGCAATATGCGTCGCTGGGGTGCGGGTCAAGCCGTAGGCGGGCAGACGGGGGAGGCAAGCTAGCAGAGCGACATGCTGGACATGCTGGACATGGTGCAATACGAGCGAGGTGGTGAAGGGCGGCGTTGGTGTTGATGGAGTGAGGTCCTGTTGGCGCACACGTCGAAGCGAAGGCTGCCCGGTGCAGGTGGATGACTCCTCGGCCGTGAGTCGCCGGCCGCTCCTGCCCAGAATGCGGGCGGTCTGGGGTCGCGGCCGGAGGGGCATTCTTCCACGCCGGCAAACATGGCGGACTTACTACCTACCACCTACCTTGGCCGTGGCCGTCGCGCACCTCATCACACTGGCCCCAGGCGCCTGGCACCTGGCGCCTGGCACCTGGCTCCCGGCACCCGGCACCGACACTGGGACGGGCTGGCGTTGGGCGTTGGCAGTGGCATGGACGCGACAGCCGCCCACGTGAAGGCGTTGCGGGCGCGGTTCGCACCAGAGCCGTGCGGAGTGGAGCCAGTTGGGGCCAGTTGGGGCCAGTTGGGGCCAGTTGGGGCCGGCACGCCGCGGAGGCGGCCTCGAGGCCTGGCGTCGGAACTGGGCCGCAGAGTCGCATGCGTGCTGGTTGCGAGCCAGCGCTTGGGGGCGGTGATGAGACTAGCTCGCTGGCAACTACCGCTCCACGCTCGGCGGGCAGTCGCGGGCAGAGTCTGTCTGCAGCCACACGTGTGACGGGTCGGGGGTTCTGTCCGGCCGTGGGTGGTGGTGCCCCGCCGGCCACACCGCCTGCGCTTCGGCATGCACGCAACTGCTGCCTAAGGCTGCCTATTATTCCATCCCCACAGCCGGGTCTTTCTGGAAGCCAGGAAGGAGCCGGCGGGGCATCTTTAGGGCCTCGCGATACCGCTCGTGACGATCGCGCTACCCCCGCGCCGGATGGACGATGCACGATGCGCGATGCACGATGCACGAGCACGGCGGATGACTGATGCCTTGGGTACCTTGCGCCAACGTGCAGGCTCATCAGGCTCGTCGTCCGGCCCATCAGGCCCAGGTCCGGGCTCGGGCCCGCGCTCGCGCTCACGCTCACGCTCACGCTCACGCTGCTAGGGCTGGGCGCGGCTGAGAGGAACTCGATCACTCGTGGCAGATCGCTGCGCGCCGGCCAGACCGCCGGACTGGCCGCTAATGGCGGCTCGAAGCGAGACAACCAACATTGCCCGATGAGACCAATATCCAGACCACCGACCAGACCACCGCCCACCGCGAGCCCAAGGCCTGCTGCTGCCCGCTCTCATGCCACCTGCGGCCGCCCAGGTCAGCCCGCAGCTGCGCCAAATGGCCAGCGCGCCGGCAGTACAGTCAGCACTCTGTTTTGACGCCTGCGCTAACATGCCCTCGCTGCCAAAAATAAGGTACCTGGCTGCCCTGCTACGCGAGCTTCTGCCTCGGGACTGATGCAACCGGTAAGTCAAGGAGCCCGTCGCAGCAGCACCTACCAAAGCAGATGATGACATCGCAAGCCTGCCCGCTTCCGGCACCCCTGTGCGCGAAGGATGACGATGCTGATCATGATGCTGATGGCGCTGATGATGCTGATGATGCTGATGATGCTGATGATGATGCTGATGCTGATGATGCTGCTGCTGCATTCAATATAGTGGTATGTACTTGTGTGCTGCGAAAAGAAGTAACGGAGTTGGTATCTTTGGGAGGCCACTGCCCGCTGCTGCCGCTGCCGCTGCCGCTGCCGCTGCCGCCGCCGCCTCTGCTGCGCCGAATAGGTAACGAAGGATGCCGGCCCCCGAGCCCCGCGTCCAACGCCGTGGTAAAATGCTCAAACCTCAAACCCCAAAAACACCGCGCCATGCTGCTTCGGAAAAGAGGACATAAAACAGAAAAACGCCGTCCAAGTTCAGGCTGCCCGCTGCTAAGCGAGCGGCTGAGAGCCAGCTGATGCGACGCTGGCCGCAAAAAGAAGAAGATCATGCATGTCATACGTGGTTTGCCCCGTGCGCCGTCCAAAGAGGCCGGCAACGCACGTCACTGCTTTTCCTTCCTGTGCCCGTCTTCATGATGCGTCCGACGACTTGCGTGGCTTACACTTGTCATGCGCCATGTGCCCGTTGCGTGCCGTTGTCCGCGTGAACTCGGCGCCGCACCGCGGGCAGTACGACTTGGCCGCCGTGCCCGACTTCTCGCGCTGATGCCGCAGCAGGTTGCTGAAGGTCGAGAACTGCCGTCCGTTGCATCCGTGCTCCCAGCACTGTGGCTTCGGCCTGGAGTTGAGCACGCGCACCCCTCGGTCGGCTCCGAGCTGTGCTGACGGGTCCGTTGCGCTGCCGGCCGGGTAGGGTGCTTGGTACTGTGCGCCGGCGCCGGCGTACATGGGCGGTGCTGCTGCTGCTGCTGCTGCTGCTGCTGGCGTCTGTCCGTATGGCACCCCGTATCCTGCGTTGGCTCCGTATTGGGCTGGTTGGCTGTCTATTGTTAGGGCTTACGCGCTGCCTTCGTGTGCAGGGCGGACATCTTACGTCGAGTAGTTGGCCCCGTAGGGCGCAGAGATGTTCGGGTGGATGGGCGGGTACGGCGACGCCTGTGCGCTCGCGCCTGGCATGGACCCGTCGCTGGAAACTGGCACGTACCCTCCGGATGTCGAGCTTGCTATCGAGCCGTGTCTGGACGGGTAGTCGGCGCCGGGGCTGCTCCTGAGCACCGCCGAGGGGTACGACTGCATGTACGGCGAGGGAGCGCCACTGCTCTGCGTGTAGGCCTGGTGCTGCGGCGATGACTGCTGGGTCTGGTCCGGCGCGTAACCTAGTCGTCACTATCAGCCCCCGCTCCGTTCGTGCAAAAAGCCCCGAGAGTGCGCCGACGGGCCAGGACTATCCCATCTTTTTTTTTTCTGGTCCGCAGGTCCACGGCGAGAGGACAACACTTCCTCATTTCCCGACGGCGCCCAGCAAATGGCCCGCTTTTTCCTCGTCTCTTGCTCGCCTCTGGGATGGCCTTGGCTCGGAGCGGCTCCGCAAGTGGATCAACTTACCATAGGGATCGTAGCTGGGTCCCGGAGGAGGGAAAGAGCCGTACTGTGAGGGCATCATGAAGCCGAGAGAGCTGCAAAGCTGATGAGTGATGATTGCTTCTTGGTGGCGTCCGAGGTGGTCGGAGTCCGGGTTACCTCATGTCTTGTTCACCGTGGCTCGGGGATCGGTGGCACGATTGGTCGGCTTGGGTGGGGTCCAGGTCGTAGTCAAAATCCAGGGACGACGATGGGCCAAGCAAGTCGAGGTCCTGAGCCGCGCCGTCGAAGGCAGGGTCCAGGAGGTGTTGCGGGTAAGAAGGGCCACGCAGCGGGCTCGCTGCGGGGAAGGATGGACTGTGAGGCGCGAAGGAGCGTCGGGAGGGGCGTGGATGGCGGGAGACGCGGGGATCTGAAGCGGTCTCGGGATCTGGTCGAGAGGAGGATCTGGGGGCAGCCATGTTCAGTACGGCGGCGAGGTGATGGGGACAGCCACGCCGCAACGCTCTTACCTTGGGCTTTATTCGGCAAGATATGATGTCTTATATCATGGAGTATTCGGGCGATGGGTACTGGTGGGCTGGCAGAACAGCTAAAAACGTTCACTCTCGGACAGCAGCTGCCTGCGCCATGTCCGGGGGGCGAGGGTACATCATATAGATGTCTACAACATGGTGGAAGAACCAACACTCGCCTGGTTGGCTCCGTGCGCGTGAAGGATTCGCCCCCCTGTCAGCACGCTTGGGGGGGGGAAACCCGTGCAGGCCACGATTTAGTGTGGGCATAGGATATGATGCCACCTGCGTGCCTGGCACCTGCACGTCTGGCAGCGCTGGGACGGGAGATTGGTACAAGCTTTGGGCTGGGGCGGGCGGCGCATGGTACGCTTGCTCGCTGAGCGCGTGCTTTGTCAGGCGTGTAGCTGCGGTGACACTGGTGGCTCCGGGAGCGCTCTGGCGAGCCCTGGGTTTACCGCCATTGGGCCAGGGGCTTGGGCCCAGTCACGCGTGTTGGTGGCGCTCGAGGCGGCCGCCTCTCTGGAGAGCAGCAGACGGGTCGTTTCAGCGCGTGTTTCGCTGCCGGCCCAAAATAGGGCGAGTGCGCCTGCGAGCCTGCGAGCCTCCCGCCGGCCGGCGCGGCGGGCCTCGAGGGTGGCCGGTCGCGGCCGTGGCCAGCTCGGCCAGCTCGGCCAGGTCGAGCGAGGGCGAGGGCGAGGGCAGAGGACAGCGGGCAGTGATCGATCTGAAGCCCCGCCGAGCGGCCACTGCGCCACGGCCGGCGTCTTTCTTTAGCAACAGCCAACATGATGGAGCAGTTGCTGCGCTGCGGGCTCTGCGGGCTCTGCGGGCTCTTGGCACGAGCCATTGCTGCCTAGCTGCCTGCGACCCACCACCGCCGACGGGCACCGCCCACGGGCACCGCGGCTTACTGCCTGGTAGCCCTGCCCGTCTGCCATGCCCTCGCTTTCGCATTGCGCCAGCCTGCCGGTCCAAATCGGTGCCAGACCGGGCGCTCGGATCGACACTCGCCGCCGCTGCCTGCCTGTCTCTGCCAAACGGCGGGCCACCAGCCAAGCGATCTTCACGCTTCCCCACTTCCTGACGTCCGCTGGGGTAACGGGTGCCAGTCGCATGATGCCGGTGGCACCCAGCAACACCTCCGCCAGCTGCGGCAGCGCGCGCAGAAGCGCCGACGAGCAGCGCGGCCATGCGCGCGCGGCCTAGCCTCTCCGCCCCCTCCAGCAGCGCACCGCCGCCCACCAGATGACCCCCGACCCGCCCTTCCGCCCGCCCACCGAGCAGAGAGCCCCAACCACATGGCCAGGCCGGTGCGCCCAGAGCCAATATTGCACCAATGGGATCCCGGAACGAGCCTGTCGATCATGTTGGTTGCAGGCCGCCGCCGAGCGCACTGCTGCTTTGCTGCCCGCGGCCGCGAGACCCTGTGCTGGGAGTTGCCGGCGCCATGGCTGCCGTCGCAGGGTTGGGGGCTGTCGCCGCCGGTGCTCCTCCCGCTATTCTGGCACGCTATATCAAAGCCCAATTTCCAGGCCTGTTGGCAGCAGAAGCAGCAGCAGCGGCGGCGGCGGCGGCGGCGGCGGCGGCGGCGCAAACGCACTCCGACCTCTCCCCCAGGGCATCGCGTATATATGCGCTCTCCGGCTCGGCCGCGCTGGCGACGGACAGACGGGCGCCGGTCCTCCGTCCCCCTCAAGGGGCGACGGGATCTCCAGGACTCGCCGAAGCTGCCGCCTTTAGTTGCGATGCGCTAACGCGAGCGGGAGGTGGAGCCATAGAGCTCTGCTGTATATGCTTGCTCTAGCGCGCGGCTGAAGACAAGTGACCGCCACTGACGACTGAAGAGAACAGGTCGGTCCGGTTGATTTTTGAACCTCTGCTGTACAATACGCTACTGCTGAAGCATAGCGTGTTCGGCCTTCGGCGTCCTCGAAGCCGAAGGCCGCTTCCAATTTCAACACCTTTTGAGGCGCCATACAAGGGTCCGCGCGCCGCAGTCGTGGGCCATCCGACGACCTAGCTCTCCTTAATTTCGACCTTTCACACGCGCGGCACAGCGGCCGCTGCCGGGGGGGGCAGGGGAGGCGTTATGAAGTGCTGGATGATCTCCACGCATCCCCGCCCGCGCCAGAAAGATGCACGCAAGGGCGGATGTCGATGATCGCCATGTCAACACACGCGGCGTCCAACAAAATCTCCGCTACGCCTGTCTTCCAAGGACGAGCTTCGACGCGCCATACAAGGTTGCCAAGGCGGCAACGACGACGCTTCGTCTCTCATCCAAAACTCGGCCCCGAAGACTTATTAGCACGGCGCCGGCAGTCATCTGATCGGCTGTCCAGCCCCCGGGCTTATCGATTTCGAGGCATTGCGGACAACGACGTCTCCCTTTGCTCGCCCACCCTGGTGCGGCTTGCTGGCAGCGCCACTTCCCCAGCTGGAGAACGCCGGGCGATCAGCCTCAGCAGTGCTCTTTTTGGGCCGGGTGGCTCGCATTTGAAACGTCCACAGGGCCTTTTGTTGTGGGTGCGCATGTGATGGGCGGGCGGGTGCGCTGCCGGTGCGTTGCCGGTGCGTTGCCAGCGGGAACTCCGTGGTCGTCGTCGTCACGTCGTCCAGCGTCCATGCTGCCTCGTTGTCGCTTTCGGCGAGATCGTCGGATCGCGCGCCGGGGTTGCGCGACAGGGGACCTGGCAGCTGGCACATGGACATTGCGCAAACGCGCGCGCCTTGCCGATTTTTGGAGTGCCGCTGTAGCCCACGCCCACGTCCACGGGGCGCTCGCCGCATGGAAACATGTCGCCCGTGCCGCACACATCAGCAGTCGTCGACGATGCTCGACAAGCAGACATGCGCTGTGCCCGCGCCCCGCTCATCGTTGTCGAGCCCTCGCGTTGCGGAGCGAGCACCCTCCCAATGTAGGCATTGCTCGCAACTGTGCCCCAGTCCAGGGCTCGCGGATTACTTCCAAAACGCGGTAGTTCGCTTGGGCCCGTCGTGCCCCAGGCAGCAATGGTGATCATCGCACCGGCATCATCACGCCGAGCATTGAGCTCCAGACGACTGGACCGCCGGTCGCGCGGTACGGCGGAATCTCCAGATTTCCGATATGCGCGCTCGGTCGCCCTGGCCCTCGCGTTGGGCCTTCCCCGTTCGGGCGCACGCCTGTTGTGTGTCGTCTCGCCGGCGTTCCCTGACCCTTTTTTTTTTATTTTCCTCCTCGTGCGGATGCGCGCCATTTCCCGCGCGGAAATAGGACTTCTGTGCGAAGAAGCCAATTCATCCCTCGAACCCCCTGGCCGGCGTTGTGCAAGCCCCCTCTCCACACATGCGCGGCCCTATAGCAGGCCAGGGAACCTGCCGAGCAGCATCGGGGAACGTCGGGACGCCCAACAAGATACGCGGGCCCTGCACCCTGTCCTGCCGTTTCGCTCGCTCCTCGTGCGGTGCCGCGGTGCCCATGCACGGCGCGAGGAGGGGGCGATGGACTGATCTCGCAGAGCGCACTCTTTTCAAAAGCAAGTGGCGGCGAAAAAAACGGCATCGCTTGCCCGGATGCAGCAAGACACAACCTAAAATGCGCGGACCCGCCGCCCTGGGGACTGCACGCACAAGGCGTCGCGCCTTTTTCTCACTTTTGATTTCCGCGCCTCTGCTCGGAGACATTATTAACACCTAGGCTTTGCGCGCTGGGAAGTGAGGCACTCGTTGTTATTTGTCTTCGCCCACTCCCATTCGCCTGCCTCGCCCCCGTTTTTCGTGCGTGATGTTCAGTGCCCGTCGGTGGTCCCTGACAGCGGGTCAGGGATGGGCTTCTTTTGCTGGCCCCACCGCAGATGCGGTCATTCCATGCCGGCCATGTTGGCCGCCGTCTCGGCTGTCCGCGGCCGCCCGGCCGCCGTCATCCAGGCTCTGCCTTCGTCGGCGCGCCCAGCGACTGTGCCGTGCTCGGGTGCACAGCTGGTAGCTGGCCCTGTTAGCCCACGCATGTTATTGATGGAGAAACTGGGTAGAGCGCCCCAGGCAGGTGCCCGCATTTTCCGGTACCAACGGCCTTCTTTTTGATCCTTTTCGACGGTCGAGCTAGGTGCTTGTCTGACGCGCTGGAGAACCCACATGCGCGGTAAGCGGAGGGATAGTCTCGCCAACATCGGTCTCGGGGTCGAGTGTAGCGACTGCCATGGCAGCAGGAACGATGTACGTCCGTAGAGAGAAAGCAGCATGCGTCAATACCTAGCAGATAAAAGCCGAGGACGAGTTCTGACGCATAGCACAGTACGTAGTGCCGATGACCGGGCGAAGCCTGAGTCAGGCAGTCGCGCCGTATCGATAAGAAGTTCTGCAGGGTTTCATGGCCAGAAATTTTGTCGCGCGCTGCAACACCCTCACGCCCAAGCACCGCTGCATCCACGCGACCATGGCGCCTCCCGCGGTCAAGCGCAGAAAGCTCAGCCACGATTCCGACGAGGAGAGCAGCGACGGCGCTATCGACCCCCGCCTTGCCGACATCGACGACGCCTCGAGCGACGATGACGATTACAGCGACGCGTCTGGCGTCGACGTAGGGATGGACAGTGTGTCGCACGACGACGACGACGACGACGAGGAAGAGGAGGGCCCGGCGGGCAAGAGCCACCCGTTGGTCTCAAATAGGCAGCCTCAAAAACCTCACAAGGAGCCACGGAAAGGACCGCATCGGGATCGCGACATGGCCGAATTGACCGGTGCGTACACTGGCGAGGTTTACAAGTCGAACATGTTCAAGCTGCAAGTGGACGAACTGCTTGAGCAGATCAGGCCTAAGCATGGCAAGAAGGAAGCGGCTGTGGAGAAGGCCCTCCACGAGCTCAAGGCCATTATCGAGAAGATTCCTGCTCGCGAGCCCGCATCTGTGAGTTGTTCCTTATGGCTTAATTTGTGGAGATAGAAGGAGCACATGAGGCGATGCTAATTGACGTCCAGGTCCTGGATGCTGAGCGTTCTCTGATCAAGCAAAGCAAAGTTGCGGTTCCCTTTCCCCATCCACGGCCACCGAAAGATGCAAAGTATACTTTGCAGTATGCTAAGCCCACCGTGATCAACCCTATCGGAAGCTACCCGTTGAAGCTGAGCGCGAGAACCGGCGAAGCGCAAACCGTTGATTTGGTTCTCGTCATGCCTCCCCCTCTATTTCAGGAGAAAGATTATCTGAACAACCGCTATTTCTACAAGCGAGCTTACTACCTCGCATGTGTTGCCGCCGGCATCAATGCTACCAAGAGTCACGGCTTCAAGCTAAGATTCGATTACTTGAACGGGAACGAGCTTCACCCAATCATTGTGGCCCAGGTCAACGGTCAGGAGAGCGGACTGTCCAGTCCGAACTACCAAATTCACATCATCCCCGTGGGGCCAGACGGCGTCTTTCCAGAAGACAAAACCTTGCCGGAGAAGAACTGCATCAGGCCAAAGCACACGACCGAAGCTCAAGTGCCGACAAACTTGAAGCCTACCCCGTTTTACAATGCTTCCATCCGCGCCGACAGCCAAGCAACTTCGTATTTGAAGCTGTTGCACGGCGCATTAAGCCGCACCGATGCGTTCAAGGATGCCTGTCTGCTGGGACGGACTTGGCTACGGCAGCGTGGCTTTGGCGGGCAGATTCGGTGTGGTGGTTTTGGAAATTTCGAGTGGGCTGCTATCATGGCACTCCTGCTGCAAGGAGGTGGTCCAGCAGGGAAGCCGCTCTTTGCCGCGGGTTACAGTAGCTACCAGCTTTTCAAGGGCATGCTACAGTATCTGGCCACTAGGGACCTCGCAGACCAGCCACATTCTTATCAGGCACCTGGTGTGCAGATTCCTCGGGAAGATGGCATCCCTTATTTCTTCGACGGTCCGCGTTGCCTGAACCTCTTGTACAAAATGACCCCTTGGGCGTATCAGCTTCTGCGGCGAGAGGCTCGCACCACCGTTGCAGCCTTGGGAGACAACGCATTCGACCAATTCGACTCCACCTTTGTGCTCAAAGCCGACCAACCCCTGCACAGGTTCGATGTCCTGGCCGAGATCCCTCTGTCCGCTTTTGGCATTGACCTCCAGGACGACGATCACACGCAAAAGATCACCAAAAGCTACCAAAAGCTCTACCGGGTTCTCAGACGTGGACTGGGTGACCGCGCGCTAATTGTTTCCTTGATTCTACCAGAACATCAGCCATGGCATCTCGGGACGGCCAAGACTACTGTACAACGAGATGCTCTGATTTCAGTCGGGTTCATTGTCGATCCAGCCAACGCGGTGCGAGCTGTCGACCACGGACCTGCGGCAGAGAGCAAGAAGGAAGCTGCCGCCTTCCGGCAATTCTGGGGTGAGAAGGCAGAGCTCCGCCGCTTCAAGGACGGGAGTATTCTGGAGAGTCTTGTTTGGTCGACTAAAGACTCCGACGCCTCGATATTTGAGCAGATTGTGCGCTACGTATTGACCAGGCATCTGGGCAAGCATGTAGCAGACAGTGCTACCTTCTTCGGAGAGCAATTCACTCGCCTGCTTTCGGGCAGTGGTCAGCCCGGGACTGACCTCTTCCTCCCTTTCCGCAAAGCATTTGACATTCTCGAACGCGACATCCGTGCACTCGATGGAATGCCCCTTTCAGCTCGCCATATATTCGCTGCCGATCCGCAGCTTCGTTACACGTCCGTCGATGTTCCTTTGGCGCTCCGTCACCAGTGTTCGGAGGCCCCCGCAAATGTCGTCGTTGAATTCGAAGGTTCTGCGCGATGGCCCGATGATATCAAGGCCATTCAAATGACTAAAGTCGCCTTCTTGCTCAAGATGGGCGAGCTTTTGCAAGAAAGCGTCGAGGGAGTGACCACTCGGGTTGGTCTGGAGCATGAAGGTTTAGATATTATGAACCAGGCGTTCCTGGACGTCTTCTATCCTTCTAGCGCCGTATTTCGCCTACGGGTCCACCACGACCGCGAGCCGACATTGCTCGAACGCCGTCTGAAGGACAAAAGTCTCGATGCAGCAACGAGGGAAACTACGGCGCTTGCCCTGGCAACCTACAAACGCGAATCTGGCCGGATACCAGCCCACACCCAAGCTCTTCAGGCGCTCTGCACCCGTCTCCCCGCCCTGTCTCCTTCAATTCGACTCTTGAAGAAATGGTTTGCTGCGCATCTGCTGTCTTCTCATTTCGCACCGGAGCTCATTGAGCTGATGGTGGTCCGGACTTTCCTGAACTCGTACCCTTGGGAGCCCCCAACCAGTGCAATGACGGGATTCCTCCGAACTCTCGCCTTCTTGGCCCGCTGGGATTGGCGCAATGAACCGCTTATCGTCGACTTCGGCGGCAATATGAAGCCTGAAGAGGCATCTGCCATAATGATACGCTATGAAGCCTGGCGCAAGATTGACCCGGCGCTGAACCGCGTGGTCATGTTCGCTGCCACCAACATCGACGCCGAGGGCACTACCTGGACCGATCATGCGCGGCCCGCCAAGGTTGTTGCCGCTCGTATGAGTGCGCTCGCCAAGGCGGCGACCCAGGCTGTTCGCGACAAAGGCATGGCCATCGAGCCCGCAGCTTTGTTTGTGTCCCCGCTTGCTGACTACGACTTCATCCTGCGCATCAACCCGGCTTCAACGAAATCCAACCAAGGCAAAAAGGACAAGTTTTCGAAGCAACGGTTCAAGAACCTCGTTCTCCAGGCAGATGCGCCGGAACAGGCAAACTCCAAGGTGGCCGGGTTCAACCCAGTCAAACTATTCCTTTCAGAGCTACGCGAGACGTTTGGTCATGCCGTCGTCCTTTTCTCCGACGAGGACAAGGCCGATGTCATTGCTGGGCTCTGGAACCCAGCCAACATAGCGAAACGGAAGTGGAAGGTCAGGATGGGGTATTCGACGGTGCCTGTTTCGGAGCAACACGCTGAAGGCGAGGTGGATGCGGAGGCCAACAAAGAGTCGATGTTAGCGGAGATGGCGAGGTTGGGCGGAGGGTTGGTGAGCAAAGTGGAGGTTCACTGGCGGTGAATTGGGCGCAGGAGGTGTCTTCACGAGTGGCGCAGTGTTTAGCAACCCGCAGCCTCGCAGATGTGGTATGGAAAATGAGTCGTGCAACGGGGGCCTTAGAACTGATTGGGACTTTTGCATGAGAAAGCAAGCGGGCTGCCCAGGTCCAGCCATTACTCGTGTTGATCCACTCTAGCATGTATGCATCGGAAGTTTAAATTAAGGTTCCGGGGGCGGGCGTTGCTGATCAGTTTCAATCCTTACGTCTACAGCAACCATCGAGCAGCCTCGAGGTCCGTTCTCCGCCGACTGTACGATGCGCCCAGCGGTAATGGTAGATGTTTGGTGCATGCACAAAAGCCATGCGTTCCGCCTGATCAGCACCGCGCATCCAACCACATCAACCAGGCGTTCAGGAAGAGGACACGACTTTGGCCCATCCGTTCAGCCCTGCCGGGAGAGGCGTTTAGCCACTTCCGTTGCCCAAATCTCGCTTGACGTGCTTTGGCGCTGTCTCTTCTCGTATCCCGTGCCATCGGGCCGCTCTTTTGGCGGAAATGTCGATCTTTGGACATTTGTAGAAGGTCCGTCAGTCCAAGGCGCCCTTCACGTCTCAACTATATATACTGGACCACGCTTCACTCAATCGCTCTGTAGCAAAAAGGTCCCCCGTTCCCAACCCAGCCACACTCGCTTCAAACAACAACAACAACAATGCAATTCTTTGCTCCTCTCCTTGCCTTCGGCGCCATTGCGTCTGCCGCCGTCATTCCTAACCTCCCCACCGAGGAGGCGGCTATCACTAACCTCTACGCCCGCAAACTGAACGGCACCGTTGTTGAGTGAGTCGCCATCCTGTTTTGGGTGCGCTTGATCCTAACGAGTCCAATCCAGCTCCCTCTCTTTCAAGCTGAGCATCAACGGCAAGGCTCCGTACGACTGCTCGTCCAGCTCTTTCGGCTACGGCCAGTGCAACACTACCGACGCCTACTACGGCTTCGGACTCCAGAGCAACGGCTCTTCCACGTACACCATCGCCATTTCCAAGGTCTTCGACGATGGCTACAGCATCTGGGGTCAGGGTGCGGTTCCCACCTACTGCCACGCGGGCGGCACTGGGCCCAACGATTTCGTTTGCTCCCAGGTCAACAACGCGACCAACTTCAAGCTTTCCTTCGGCAGCACCGCTTAGACGGGGATCACAGGTCTTATATATGCTTCATGTAAACTACATTTATCGGGTATTGCGCGTGATGCAGCAAGCTCTGCGAATTATACTACCTACCCACGCATGTCTATGATGACGAACAATGATGAGATCGCCTTTGTGAATGAAGTGCCCGAGGGCGGCCGTAGCTGTCGCCATGAAGTAGTGGCGCCGCAAGGTTACCCAGTCGTCTAGTCAAGATCCTGATTTTTAGGGCTATAGATACCTCCCAAGGCTAGACTTCCCTTGATCGAATCCCACCCTGGCCCTTGATCTGGAGCTTTCGGTCCACCTTTCTCTTTTTTGGAACCTTCTTCGCCCGAGATGCTGGCAAAACCCAGCCGTGAATGTCCGGTTAGTGAACAATCAGTTCATGAATGAGTTGATGGGACGCTCTGTACGCGCACATGCGACCGGCCGCTCTTCACTCCTATCCTATGCTCAACCATGCTGATAAACCTCACCTCTCAGTGCCCGTCGCTGACAACAGTCACCACCTTCACCCAGACGATCCTCAGTCGGGACACTATCGAGGTAAAGTCAGCCTTGCAGAGGGCTCGCGATCCTCAGTTCTGGCAAGGTGGTGTCAAGCATCTGTCCATAGAACGAGAATTTATTGGTTTTATTTTTTTTTAAAAAGAAAATGGTTCTCCAGATCTATCACCACGAGCAGCCACACCGCATGCCACACATACTTGGCTTCAACGATCTTGTCCTTCACGAAGTCCACACACATCAAAGACGAGGACTCCTCAAGTCTCTGCCTTTCCGAAAGCAAGAACGACGTTTACCGCGGGCGCCTTCATACCCCGAAGCGGACATGTACGACTTAAGAACGCCGTAGTAAGTCGGAGAATACTACGCGCAAACGCAAGAGGACGAGATGTGCGGCCGATGATGATTCGAAGAGTGTGGTCAGCCGTCCCGGAACTTGAGCACCAACACGATCTCACAGCTCGACTTTGCAACGATCTCGTCGATCTGCTGCACAGGCAAACCTTTTTCGACAGTCGCACGGACATAGATGTACTTCAAGCTATAGTCGGGGCGATAATCAAGATAACTTCGCCACGTGCTGCTTTAAGTAGCTACGACGCTGTAATCACGGCGACTCTCATCTGATATCCCACATGAAGTCACACGATGTCGCACCGCCCTTGACGAGTTTAGAATTTCTTGGATTCGAGGAACTCAATAGTTTTGGAGTAATGTTGGCCCTGCAAGAAGTTGGCAATGAGCACAGTATTCCTGAGAAACGAGAGCAGCCGTACCTTTGCAACGATATGCCCGCTGGGATGGGTGACCCAGATATCCTCGGCCGAGATATTCAAGTATGTCTGGAGCTCTTTTTTAAGCGCTTGTGAATCCCCGCTGACCTTGCGCACTTTGGTCTCTGTGCGATTGCCTCCGCGCTTCTGGTCAAGGTAGACGGGGAGATTGTTCGACGAAGAGCGCTGGACAAAATAAGGCAAGGCGGGCGGACGAGCCTGCTCGACGGCCGAGGCGTTGGCATCAACGGGGGCCGTGGTGGAGGCAGTGGTGATCTTAGCTGCACCCTGGGTAAGTGGAAGGCTGCGCAAGGCTCTCAAGGCAGCATACCTTCCTGCCTGAGGCGGGCGCGCTGTGAGAAGCGGTGGATCTGGGTGACGGCCGCGGGCGTGGGAGTTGCAACTGGGCGGAACAGAGACAGGCCGGACCGTGCGAAAGCCATGGCGCGTGCAGGTGGGAGCAGAATTGCGAAGTGCAGACGGGCGCGCAACAGCGGGAGTGTCGAGGATAAGTTGGGGTGACAAAGGTCGGCATCGGAGCTTGGCCCAAGCGAGGCGACACGGCGCGGAATTTTGACCACCTGCGCGCGCACCCCACACCACCACCGCTCGCCTGCAACCCACGCGTCCGCAGCGCCCTCACGTCTCGCCGCACTCCCGGTCGCTGCTCGATTGCTCGCTTGCCCGCCATGGCCGACGCCGATGTCGCTGAGCAGTATGACCTGCTCCCCAAGATGATCCCCAACCTGGATCGTCACCTGGTCTTCCCGCTGATCCAGTTCGTTGCCGGCCCGGAGGAGGAGCAGACCGAGCAGGACAGGAAGCTCAGATACGAGCTGCTCAAGACCACCAACATGATCGACTATGTCGGCGGCCTGCACGCCGAGATCAACGGCCTCGACCAGCCCGCCGAAGAGTTCAACAAGAAGCGCGAGGAGGTGCTGCAGAAGCGCGAGCAGTTCGAAGAGGACACGAGCAAGATCCTGGGTCTCCTGGAGGACGAGGCTGTCGTCGGCAACCTGCGCAGCGACAAGACGGCCAACTTGAACTACCTGAAGGACAACCACGGCGTCACCAATGACATGGTTGACAAGCTCCTGGAGTTCGGCCAGTTCCTGTACAGCTGTGGCGACTACGAGCGCTCCTCGGAGCTGCTGTACCGCTTCCGTGTGCTCTCCACCGACGACAAGAAGGTCTCCGAGTGCACCTGGGGCAAGCTGGCCAGCAACATCCTCTCCACCGACTGGGAGGCCGCCATGGAGGAGGTCAACAAGGTCAAGGAGAGCATCGACACCAGGCTGTTCAACAACGCGCTTTCTCAGTTGAACCACCGCACCTGGCTCATCCATTGGGCTCTCTTCCCCTTCTTCAACCACGAGCCGGCCCGTGACGCTCTGACGGAGCTTTTCTTCTCCCCCGCTTACATCAACACCATCCAGACCAGCTGCCCCTGGATCCTCCGTTACCTTGCCGCCGCCGTCATCACCAACCGCAGCCGCAGCAGGACCTCCAACCAGTACCAGAAGCAGCTGAAGGATCTGATCCGCATTGTCAAGCAGGAGGGCTACGAGTATAGCGACCCGGTGACCGACTTCGTCAGGGCGCTATACATCGACTTCGACTTCGAGGAGGCACAGAAGAAGCTGGGCGAGGCTGAGGAGGTTCTCAGGAGAGACTTCTTTTTGGTCGCCACCGCCGACGCCTTCGTGGATGCTGCCAGGCATCTCATTTCCGAGTCTTACTGCAAGATCCACCAGAGGATAGACATCAAGTAAGAAGCTGTTGGCGCTGGAGGCAGAAACAAGAAGCTAACGTGCGGCAGGGATCTTTCCACCCGACTCGGCCTCAGCCAGGACGAGGGTGAGAAGTGGATTGTTAACCTGATCCGCGACACACGCGTGGATGCCAAGATCGACTACCAGGCGGGCACTGTTGTCATGAACCACCCGCCGCAGTCGGTGTATCAGCAGGTGATCGAGCGCACCAAGGGTGGCTTCTTCCGGACACAGGTCCTCAGTGCGGCGGTGGCAAAATGAAAGATGTTTCCTTGAGGTTTTGAGGTTGGGTCTTGCTTTCGTTCGGCGTCCCGGCGCTTGAAAAGTCCTGGGCTCGGCTTTGCATGGCATGAAACCCCGGGGGCTTTCCAAGAAAGAAAAAAGAAATTAGCTTAGAGGAGCAGTGGATCACATGCCAGGTATCAGTGGCGTGGTGCTTTGGCTCACATCAGGCTGCAGTGATATCAGATGGAGCTCTCGTCGAGCCGGAGAGCGTTTCATGACCAGTCACACGTAGAGTAAGAGCAAAAAATCCGATGACACGTATTGTATATACAAGCATGAAACACGGCATTTCTCGTGTCCCACGACACGTGGGGGCGTGGATTCAGGCGTGACATTGCAGTGTACCTATACCGAGCGGAACGCTTGGCACGCGGGTCGGAGCATCAAAAAAAACCCTGAGGCCTGGGACCCGCGGGACCCGACCCTGGGCGGCGGGCGGCGGCTGCTGCAAATGTACGTAGTACCTAGTAGGTAGTCGACCGATGAGGCCAACCTCGTCCGCCGCCGGCGGGCTTTAGCGAGACGTAGCGCGGTAGCGAGAGCGGAGCGAGCAACTTTTCTTGGCCTGCATCTCCACACGATAATAATCGCGATCTTTCTCGCCCTCGCATCACCCCGACCAGGTTGCGAACCCCGCCGCCCACGCCATGCCTGACGAATCGCGCAAGCGCAAGGCGTCCGCCGACGACCGCTCGCATGCCGGCAAGCGAAGCAGAGTTCGTCAACTGCTCACCGTCGTGCATGAAAGGAAGCTGACCGTCGGCACAGGGCCGGAGGCAGTGGCGCTCGCTGCCTGCGAAACAGGGCGGTGGCAGCATCGAGCCCGGTGACTCGGGCATCTGGGCCACGTGCAATATGGGAAGAGAGGCAAAAGCCGTGGCCGAGCTGAGAGACATGTTCGACGAGGTGCGCAGCCAGCCTCCGCAATCCTCTGTTGCGCCCTCCGCGCGTCCGGCGGGACTAATGCACCTCTCTCTCTAGCACGTTGAGAAGATGTACGGCGGTGGCGCAGCCCGCGACGACGACGACGACGCTGCGGGGGCCGACGTTGAGGCTGAAATCGCCAAAGAGCTGGAGGACATGCGCAAGCCGGCCAAGGAGCCTCCTTTCAGACACATCCGCGTGGACACGGACTGCAGTCAGTCTCGCCAAGCCGTCTTGCTTTTTTTTCCCCTCGGACGCGTGCTGACGTGGGAGAAGTCATGTTTTTCAAGACAAAGGCGCCGATTGAGCCCGTCGAGTTTGTGCGGCGCATGTGCGAAGATGCCATGGCGAGCTCAGAGCGCAAGACGGGCCGCTTCATCAAGCGGCTGACGCCAATGACGCTGATGGGAAAGGCACATCAGAACGGCCTGGAGGAAGTTGCCGCCCAGGTTCTGGCGCCGCACTTCCATGCGGAAGGTTCCGCTGGCAAGAAGGCAAGCATATCCACCGCAGCCGTGTCATAGCCTCGGCCTGCCACTTGCAGACGAGTCGGTTTTTGCTGACAGTGTGCCCGGTCAGTTTGCAATAAGGCCGAACATCCGCAACAACAAGGACGTGACGAGAGACCAGGTCATCAAGACGGTGGCCAGTGCCGTTGGGCCCGGGCACAGCGTCGACCTGAAGGACTACGACCTGCTGATCCTCGTGGACGTCTACAAGGTAAGCCTGCGTGCTTTTTTGGATCCACGCGGGCCAGGCTTGGTATTGACGACATGCACAGGGTCTCTGCGGGATGAGCGTGGTGGGCAAAGACTTTGAGCGACTCAAGAGATACAATCTCTCGGAAATATACGAGCCATCACCGAAAGAACAGCCGAATTGAGCAGCGGTCGCCGAGACAGGCAGCACGCCACCGGCAAGCGAGCGGCAGAGGTGCATGAAGGCGGGGACGGTGCAGGCCGGGCGATTGGACGGGTCGGTATCAGAGTGCAGCGGACGGCAGCGGGGCATCGGTTTAAAAGGCGATTTTGGCGGAGCGGCAGCAGGTGCGCGTCGGCGGGCTTGGGGGTGGCGCACGGCGCAGGCAGACGGCCGGGCGGGCTGCTGACTGCCGTGCTGGAGTCGGCGGAGGCGGGGGGTGGAGATTGGGATAAAAAATCAGCTCTCACTGGCGGGCGGCGACTTTGGTGGAGGAGCATCTGCAGCAGCAGGCGGAGGACCCGGGGCAGCGGCAGGACAAGCCATCCACGCGAGGTTCCGGGGCGGCGGGCTTTGCATTCGCTTTCTGGAACACGGGAGGCGCGGCGGGCGATGCGACACGGCAATGCCACGTCGCGGCGCTGCACGACATTGGACGGACGAGGGCTGGGGATGGCTGGTGGCTGCCGACGGCGGGACGCCGACCATCGCTTCCTGACGCCCTGGGTTGATGGATTGATGCTGCCGCGCGCAGGGCTGAGCCCGGGCTCGCACCAGACGCACCAGACGCACGCAGGGGCCGCGCAGCAGCAGAGCCCGTGGCCCGCCAGCCCGGCCGCCGTATGCCGCATCCGGCAGTCTCTGACGAGCCCATAGACCACGCCCTCCGCCAACCGCTCCCTCCCCGCCAACACCAGCATCGCAAGCGCCCCTGCCCCAGCGCGTGGCCCCCCCGGCCCCCCCGGCCAAGCCGTGCTGCCGGCCGCCGTCACTCGGCCGCCGCTCCGCCCGCCCTGCTCTCGCTTCGCGCCGCCGATGCTCGACCACCATGGCCGTCGACCTAATGCTCGCTTGCTCCCGGCCTGCCTCGGTCCGACTGGCGCGCCCGCCCTCAAGTACAGTCCAAGTCTCATCGTTATCTCGTCGACGGATACCCAGAAGCTGCTTCGGAGCCACTGTCAGATCCGGCAACCCTCCCCAAGACCCCATCGCCCACCAGGCCACCTGAGACCTGCTCCATCACGATCCGCGTTCTGTTTCAACGCTGCCGCCTCCTTGCACCTCTGTTCTGGCTGCTTCCCTCTTTATTTTATTTTTGTTTTAATGAGAGCTGCCTGCTTATGGGTCCCGCTGCCATCATGCATCTGCCGCCACTCGACTTCCAGTCCTCCCTCCCGCTCGTCACAATGAGCCGTCACTCCTTTCATCCCGCTGTCAGCAGCCTCAGTCCTGCTGCCGTTCTCTACGCCACTTCTAGCCGTCCCCAGTCGCCGGCTCCGGACGTGCCTGGCATCCAGAAGTTGCTCCGCGATCACTTCCGCTCCTCCCGCACATGTCTTCAGCAGATTGAGCGGATACAAGCCGGTCTGCACCGTCTTTACCTCCTCCACCTCACAGACGGTTCCAGGCTGGTGTTGAAGTGCCCTCCGGCCGCTAGCACGCGCCTGCTCCGCTCCGAGCACCTGTCACTTGTCACTGAAGCCCACATCCTCGAACTGCTTGCCAACTCCAGCCCTCGTGGCCACCTCCCCATCCCCAGCCTTCTCTGTGCCGATACCAGCCCCGACGCTGAGCCTCTCGGATGCAGTTATGTGCTCCGCACCCACGTCCACGGCATTTCTCTGGCACACATTCGACCGCACCTAAACCGCACCGACCTCGCTCAGATTGACCACGCTCTCGGAAGCTGCCTAAAGAGCCTGGCATCTCTGAGAGCACCAGCCTTTGGTCCGGCCTTGGCGGTAGCGGCTGGGAGAGGCAGCGGCTCCTGGCGAGAAGCTTTTCTTCTGCTACTCGAGGCCGTGCTGCGGGACGCCGAGGATATGCTCATCGCGCTGCCCTATGACTTCATCCGCTCCCTTGTGCAAGCCCAGCAAGCGACCTTGGACGGGGTGCGGACACCGGTGCTGGTGGCCATGGATGCTGGAAGAGCCGGTAACGTACAGGTGGACGAGGTGAGACGGTGTGTCAGTGGCTTGGTTGGCTGGGGCAACAGCGTCTGGGGAGATGCTCTCCTGGCGGGCGTGTGCTGGGGCTACTCGGCGGATCAGACCGATGAAAGCAACAGGATGTTCTGGCAAGGTTTCGGTGGCTGTGGCGGGTCAGAAGCGGAGGTCGTCAGGATGAAGATGTAAGTCAAACCCCCGTCTCAGCTGGAAAGGCAAGGCTGTTAACACATTGCCGTATAGCTATGCAGTGTACAAAGCGGTTGTCGCCGTTGTCACTCAGTACTACCGGCCGGCCCAGCTGGATCACGAAGAGCTGGAGGCCAGGAGAGCGCTCACTCGCGCACTGAACGACTTGCGGGAGACCGTATAGAGGTTGGGTGGCGGCATGCAGCTTGCATCACCTGTGCCAGGAGCATGCCTCCACTCTTCAAACCTATAGTCTCTACGGCCATCGGTCTATTCTTTCCGCCTGCTCAACAGCCCGGGAAAGCACAGGCTAGCTCCTTCTCAAGGGAAGCCACGTGTGATGGAAGGGGCGTCGTGGACTGAGCGCAGCGACCAACGGGCGTTTCGCGCGGAAGAGCAAGGAAAAGGAAGGAGCGCCGCACCACGCGTGTGACGGGAGATCAAACATGTAGACGGCCACGAGGCGCTAGCCGGGCCAATGCCTGGGGTGCGAGCCGGAGCTCCTGTCAACGCCATGGAATCCTTCTTGTTGGGTGGGTGCAGTCGACCAGGGGGGAATCTGGTGGTTCGGGTGGATGGAAGGGGCATCGTGTCGGCCCTTCCGCACTTTTCACATGGGCTTTTGCTGATTTGTTTCCATTTCCATGTTCTTCATGACGTGACGGTCGACGCTGAGTTTGATTTTTGGGCTGTTTATTTTTATTTTTATTTTTCATCTTCAAGTTCATTGTATGAAACGAGCGAGCACAGCGGTATGTGTCATTACTAGCATAGCACTGGAGTTCACGATCTCGGACCATTACACCTATTTCGGGAAGGATTTCACTTATAGTCAAAGTAGAGGGTCAGTGGGGGTTGACAGGTTTCGGATTGAGCGATGAATTGTACAGTCATAGCCATCGATCATGGCTATCTCACAGGTGCTAGCTGCTAACTGCATTAACTGTTGCGTCGAGGCCGGCGCAGCCTCCGTTTGGACGATGGCCGGCCATGTCGCGGGCGCACAGAAGACCGGCGACGGCGCTAGGCAAGGGTGCGGCTTCAGGACGGCGGATTCACGTCAGTCGCAGAGCTGAGTCGGCATGGTGGAGTAGGCGTGCAGGTGGGAGATTGGGGACGAGGGCCGCGTAAGGCAGAGAGGCTGTGCAGCAGAAAAGTAAGAGTGATGTGCGATTCGGAGCACGGAGCTGTCTTATTCACCGTTGCAGTAGTAGCTACCTGGCTTCCGTTGTAGAGGGAGGGGCCGCCGAGCACTAGTTGTGCAGTACCGCCACTCTCGAAGACTGGTTGCGGCATCGTCATCCGACGGCTTTAAGTGACGATCAATCATGACATTTCGTCCGAGAGCAGGCCCGCCACGGTAGCTGTCGACTTTTTCTTTTGTCGTCAGCGCCAGCTGCATCCAACATCCGAGCGATCTGCATGTTACTGTAGGTGTAGCTAAGGACATAAGGACAGTTGATCGGCAGAGAGCGGACAGGGCTCCCGTCCGAAGAAAGACACGACATCGAAAGAGCGGCTTCTTTGGGGGCGAAGCTTCTCGCTGTTCGGAAATCACGGCTGGTTTGGGGCAGCGGATGGGCAGCGGATGGGCAGCGGATGGGCTGCTTGCACAAGCTTTTTGGGTTGCCCGCCCATCACCCACGTCTGTGCCTCCATGTGGGATTGCGCGATGGCTTCTCATTTGCGAGCAGTCGCCGATCCCTCGGTTCGCGTGTGAAGAATGGCATCGGTGCTCGCTGACGGCGGCGGGCGGGTGCGCGAGGAGCGGAAGGCGGGCCATTTGCAGGGCGTGCGGTGGTGATCCGTCGTCGTCTGCGTGATGACGATCTCCCATTGCATTTCCGCAGCGCCCAGCCAGCCCTGCTTCTGGCTGCGGGCACTGGGCAGCATCAGCGCGGAGATGACACCCGGCGCTGCAGTCTCGCCCAGAGACCGCACGGCGACCGGTTCTGGTCCAGTGGCAAGCCCAGGCGCTGGGAGCGCGTGGGGATGGCGCACGAATGAGCAGGTGCGTGTGGCATGGTGGTGGATGTCTGCATCTGCTGCGCTTAGCAAACGCTCCGTTGGCGCCCTCTCGCCTAGCGTTGGCAGGGGTAAGCGAAAGGCGCCGTCTTCTAGAACAAGCAGCCGCGCCTGCAGTTGGCAGACTAGCGCCCCTGCCTCAGGCTCATCAGGCCCACGCTGCCGCCTGCCGCCTGCCGCCTGCCGCCGCCTGTTCTCGTCATCACAACCTCGCGACTCACAGGTACTTTCGCTCATGGCCAGCACGCCCATGGCCAGCACGCCCATCGCCCATCGCCGTCCGCCGTCCCGTCCGCTGCTTCGCCATGGAAGTTACGAGCAGCATGGCGCCTTGCTGCCGGAGGGCTACTGCTTGCAGTAACACGCCCGCCGCCGTCGCTGGTCACTCCTCACAGACATCGGGCCCCGCTTTCTGCCGCCTCGTGGCTCCCGCCCACGGGCTCTGATCTTGACGTTCATCATCCTCCGTGGGCCCCCGGCACGCCGCCCTACCTGCAGACGGCCATGGTCGACTTCCCCCTCGCTACGCTTTGCCCGATGCGGCAACGGCTGCGGGTAAGCTTAACGTGCCGGTGTTGGCTCAGCCTGATGCACTGCCGAACCGTACCGTTCTCTCCATCCCCTGTCGCCTCTCTACGCGTGACACGGCTGTCTTCAATCATGGCGATTGCACTGCCCTCAGGCCCCAATTCCAAGTCGAGCCTGCTCTTCCGGCGCGCTAACGGCACATCTCTCACGCTGAAACCTCTGTCAGAGATTTCCCACCCTCCGGCACCACCGGCAGCTCCGCATTGCGAGATTTTTTTTTTTTGCCAATGTTCCATCATTTGATAGACCTTGGACTCGCCTGCCATGCTCTGGCTTGGCTGCTAGCCGATGTAACGTGATGGCACTGGTTTGGAAACATCGGCACTGGTGAAGCGGCGACAGTCGCAGCAGTGTGGGCTTGACAGCGGGCCTGCCACGCGTTTGACGATGCGTCCATGCGAGCACAGTCGGCGAGATGCATGCCGTGTTCTGGACCCGTGGCTGCACCGGTGCGGCCTTTTGGTTGATGCTGTCTTATGCGAGCCACAGATGATCAGTTGCTACTATACAGCAGCTCCTGCGCCTAGCGATATGCTGGGGACATACTCGACCCTTGAGCCCTTGAGCTGTAGGTTCCTCTCGTCCGCCACGGTGCCCCGGCCCGATCTGTTGTCGTCCTCGACTGCTGAGTGGCTGCTTGCTCGCTTCGAGTCTCGCTTTGCAAGCGAGCGTGCATACCAGGGCGGGTTTGCCTAAACGGCGGCCTGAAAGAAAATAGCCCCATGATGTCGTTTGAGCACATTGTTGCTACAGAATTGCTCCGCTCTGCAGCTAATGCTCCCCACCGCCCCTTGTTGATCATGAGGAGACATGCAGAAAAAGCACAGCGCAACAGGTGCACAAAAGGATAAGCAAAGGTCCAAGCAAAGGTTGATAAATTAAAAAGACGATAGGGTCCGGCAAATCTTCTCGAGAAACGGCACGTCAGCCGCCGCACCCCAGGCAGCCCTCTTAAAAGATGATCTTATGGCCCTATTTGGTGCTGAAAGTCAGTCTCGACCGCATGCACAGTCACGCATGGTTCCTCCCGCGCAATGCAAAGAGCATGGTGTGGAGAGAGGAATCGGAATCGGGGCAGGTCCGCACTGGAACTGCCCTTGTTCTTTGTTCTGTCCCGCAAGCCATCGGAGATGCAGATTATGGGAGGCGGTGATTCCCAGGCCGCACGCGTGCTGTTCTCGCTCCGGCACCCGGGCTTTCGGGCTTGCAAATACGACAGGGCTGAGACAATTCTTCTCTTGCAAACGTGACCCTAGGGCCCCTCTCCGAAACTCTACCAGACGGAGTGCCCCTTTATTGCAAACATGCATCCGATCGATTGCCGGCGCTTGCAATCTAATCTCTTGCACCAAGTATTAACCCGCCCGCCGGCCGCTTCGTCTTTATGATTCGTTGTGTGAATGTCTATCTGAAGATCTGCGACAGGGGTCCGGAGTTGGGAAACAGTGCCGAGCTGGCTCCATCGATGCTTTTCTGTCCTTGGTTTACCCCTTCTGTCTTTGTTCTCGCCTTGGGGACAGATTCGGGGCATGATGTGCGAATGCATGGCACTTCTCGCCCGCCATGTCCCGATGAGGCAAGGTGGCTGTCGACGGACCTACAGGTGCGTCTGTATGTCCGGCGCACCAAGGCGTCTGCCACTACTAGGTACACATGCATCGGCTCAGCTTGCACCGTTGCAACGCGAGACGGTGCCTCCCGCCGCCGGTTCTTCCCGTTCCTTTGCCGACCGGCACGGTTGCGCGGCAATCGCCTGTTCGTACTGTCGTGCCCAGCCGGCTCTTGGTGCCTACCCACCGGAGTGGTTTGACGGACGGCATATACCTACGGCGGGGGCGCTCGCCTTTTTTTTTTTTTTTGGGTAGATGCCGTCGACACAGATGGACAGGGGAAAGATGGGTTGTCGGTAGCGAGGGCGAAGGCAACAGCGGTGCCGGTTAAAGGAACTATCCGCGATCCGGATAGTGGAGACGTCAGACGAGGGACGCCAACGACTATAGTACACTCGGAAAGCCGTCCCTACATCCACTGCGTGTAAGCACGTATGTGCGGGCGCATGTACATGTTTGCAGGTACGATCTGTGGGTTGACGAGGCAGGACGAGGCATGTCCCGCTTCCGCGCGCGGACGTGCATATGCGGTGCGATGCCATGTGCCGCAGCAAGCATCATCGCTTGGGGTTGATTACGTGCAGTACCTGCATGCACTAGATACCCAGTGTTTGAACCACCTCCGGTTTCCTCTGAGAGTCCTCTGCTGCACGCGTCGTGGCTGCGAAACAGCAAGTCTGTTACCTTCCCATGCAGTATACTTTAAACTTATCCAGAGCCTGTTGACTACACCTCTTTATAGTAGTGTGGGGGCACGCAGATCTATAGCGGTCTGGGATGAGTTGTTTAAACGTAGAGTAGAAAGGCAAAACCAAAACGTACCCGCAACTTGGTCTCCTGTCCCTGCCATCCTACCAACTTGCCTCGCCTCGCCTCGTCCTCGTATTTTCTAGCAAAACCTTACAAACCCCCATAGAGCATGCATTAAAAGAAAAAAAAATGAATGCAGCTCGATTCGGCCTCCGAGAGGGGGAAGAACCAAGGTGGCATTCTTCCGTCTTACGGGGTCCGACCGAAGGATTCGTCTAGACCGCCCTCGCCTACCATCGGATCGCTATAAGCAAACCAGGGGAAAGAGAAAAGAAGGTGGTAGGGAGCACACCGCCGGCGCCAAAGGTCGAAAGAAAAGTAAAATATAGAGGGATAATTGGGAGGGTTCCGGAGCTGCGAGAAGGATGGGCCATGCAGAGTGTATACAACCTGCGACCAACCCCAGCGAGATACCGGAGTAAACTCCAACTCAGCTCCAAACCCGAACGGCGTTTCCCATCTGCTTCAAACTTTTAGGCCAAGGGTATGTAAATCACACATACAAACGCACGTATCATGGTCAAAGGAAGAGAAACAGAGCATGGTCGGCTGGATGGCCGCGACGGCGGCCTCGTATGATTTCGTATTGGCTTGTACTGGATATCTGACGCCGCCGCCCACCTCGTTAGGCCCTCGCGGCTCGGCGCTGCGTCCCCCCTCTTTCTTTATCCGCTCATGCACCTTCGCCTCCTGCGACGGCTTCCTCCGTCCTCGCATGGCGCGCCTTCTTCGCTACTGCACCCTACTCACTCCTGGGCGTGCCATGGAGTGGCATTTGACCTTAGCCCGGGAAGCCTGCCCTTGCCATCTTCCTGGCTCGTCCTTCGCGACGGTTGTGGTTCGCGCGTGACGACTTGTTGGCTTCCTTCCGCTGCCTGGCTACCTGTGTAGTCTTCTCAACCGCCGGGCCCGCAGCCGATCCTCCCGCACCTGCATTCCCTCCACCGCGTCCACGTCCTCTCCCCCGGCCGCCCCGGCCTCTGCCCCCTCCTCCTCTGCTTCCACCACGCCCGCCTCTGCCGCCCCCATCTGTGTCTGTGCCTGACTCTGCGGGCGAATCCACCCACCGTGTCGATGTCAGCTCGTTCTGCCTGCCGTCGAACGTTGCAAACTTGGCCTCCAGTCGTCTGAGCCTCCATGGGTCGCGCACCAGCATAATAGCCCAGCCCTCGATCGCCTCGTCTGTCATGCCCGTCTCGCTGCGCAACGCCTGTCGGGCGCTGCTGCGGCGTGTTTCCGGGTCGCGGCCAAACGCTTCCTTAGACATGCTGTACGCGCGGAAGAGTGCTTCTTCAGTGCGGTCGTCTCTAAGCTCTTCTGCTTCGTCGTTGCCCGGAACAGTCGACTCAATCGTACCGCCGACGTCCTCGGCGTCGTACGTATCATCGCGCTCGTCGTCATCGAGGTCGAAGGTCGCGAGTGCAGAGAGGATAGCGGCCTTGTTAGGGGCAAAGGTCCTATCTGAGAGGATATTGTCGGCCGTAAGTGATTCGTTCTTGCGGCCAATGTGCAACCGGGAGGCGTCAACGGTGAGCTGGTCGAGCTCGTCGTTGTCGTAGATATTGCGCCTTGTCGGGGGAGGTGTTGAACGAGGCGGAAGGTGGGAGGCAATGTCAATTGGTTTCTGCTGCGACGGCGTCGGTAGCTGGGCTGTTCGGTCTGCGCTCTTGAGATGCGAGGGAAGAGAATCGTCGAGTAGATGAGCAGTGACCTGCTCCACGTCGTCGTCCCATTCATCAAGGCATTTGACGATGAAGCCGGAGCCAAGGTTCGGAAAGAGGTCTTGTAACTGCGTGACAAGGCTCATGCGATGTACATGGACCTCGTCGAATGCGCCGTGACCATACTCATCCTCTGCTATTCTTGCCTTGCCTTTGTCGACCTTTCGACGGACAAACTTCTTCGGCCTTGCCAGGCCGGACCGGCGAAACGAGGTCAATGATTCGGCCAAATTCTTGACCCTGGCGCCTTCATCGCTGGCTCCACTATCTTTAATCCGTGGCACAATTGGTGTGTTGGTGACAAGATCAGATAGTAGCGAGGGCTGCCCCGATTTTTGCTGGCTTTCCGCATTTGACTTTAGGCTGTAGAGGGTATCTGAAAGGAGAGAGAATTTTGGCTTCTCGCCTTTGGTGAGGGCGAGTATACCCAAAGATGCGACTGTTACGAGCTTCGGTTTGAATGATGGCGAGGCTTTTGAGTAGGCGCTGCACAGGGAGTCAAGGAAGTCCGAGCCGGCTATGAAGAACATGGCGATGTCTGGAGAGGAATGGAGTAGCGGAACAAGATCTCTGAGCGGCTCCTCAGCTGCAGCCGGTTGATCAGAGTCAAGCGTCTTGATCAGAGATGCCTTGAGTTTCTGCAAGCTCGGCTCAACTTTTTCGCCTTGCCTCTTCCATAGGTCGTCCAGCAACACCTTCAAACGCTCACTGCGCACGAAAACGTGGCTGAGACGGGCAAGGAAACCCCACTGGAGGAAGCTCGACGGGATACGATCGGCCGAGAGGAGTCTATGAGCGAGGAGGAAGCACTGCCTGCGCAGGCCGATCGCCTTCTCGGATTGGAAGTAACCGTCATTAGTTCCGGATCGGGCAGCCTCGTAGAAGTAAGAAGTCAGAAACTTGACCAGGCTTCCCTCGTCTGACGCGGCCGAAGAGAAATCCTTGGCAGGGAGATTGAGGTAAGCGTTGGAAAGGGCGGTCCAGGCGTCCAGGAATGCGGACCATTCGTCGGGCACGATGCCTTGACGCAAAGAAGCAGGCGGGAACGGAGCGAGAGGTGGGAGAGTCATTTTGGGCGCCCGCAGGAGGGGCCGTCTGCGGGAGAAATCTGGGATGGGCGGAGTGGAAGGCAGACGGGAGCAAGATGGGCCGGGTCCACGGGCGGAGGAGTGTTTATAGGCGTGGGTGGGTGTTTGCAGGAGACAAGGGTCGGCGGCTGAAGAAGGATGACCGCATGGGTGAGCCGCTGGCCGGGCAGACGCTAGGCCGTGACAGGTTACCGCGCCAAGATTTTCCCGACGGCCGCACACAGCGAAAAAGCGGGCTCAACACCACACTTCCCTCTCCAGCACACCGCGACAATCTGCTGCTGCCAGTCATCACGTAACCGCGAGCACCCCTCCGAGTCTTGACTGGAATTCATCTCTCACAGTACGTCGCCTCCGGCGCCCGCCTGCCATTTCCTCGCCTTCCTCGGACCCTGAGCTAACTCTGCCGCCCAGCAAATCGCCAACATGTCTTACAACAAGGAGAAGGATTTCGGCGACGGCCCCAAGATCCACAAGATCCGCATCACCCTCACCTCCCGCAAGGTCCAGTCCCTCGAGAAGGTCTGCCAGGAGCTCATCGACCGCGCCAAGAACAAGGACCTCCGCGTCAAGGGCCCCGTCCGTCTCCCCACCAAGAACCTCAAGGTCACCACCCGCAAGACCCCTTGCGGTGAGGGTTCCAAGACCTGGGACACCTACGAGATGCGCATCCACAAGCGTCTCATTGAGTGAGCATCCCGCTGCCTTGTGCCCCGCGGACCCAATTGCTAACATGCTCCCCAGCCTCAACGCCCCCACCGAGGTCGTCAAGCAGATCATCATCAACATCGAGGCCGGTGTTGAGGTCGAGGTCACCATTGCTGCTTAAATATACCCTTGCGGCGGCATGGAAAAACTAGACATGGGACATGTCATGTAGACACCAAATTTCATGACTTGTCGATTGGCGAACCCAAAATATTCTGCCGCGTGACTGTCTCTTCGCTGATACCCTGAATCGCCCTTCGCTCGGTTTCAAGCACCGTTTCCTGCCACCTACTGCTCGAATAGATGACGTATGTCCTCTACGGCCTCCTCGGCCACCTCCCAAACCATTCGTCTCCAGAACTCCCTTCCTCCCGGCTGTCCATGCCGCTCCCACGCGGCATAGACTAGCTTGAGCTTCCGAAAGCGTTCTTCGTACACGCTGATCTCCTGTACAAAGATGTGTTTGCCCTCAAACGCGGACGCGAGCGCACGGTCAAGAGCCAGCTTCCAACATATGTCTGGGTTTTTGAGAACCACCCTCCTACCACTTATTAAACTGTACTGGCAAGTTTCTTGGCAGACGGAGCTTACCAAACCTCGGGTCACGGTCAATGCGTGAGACAACGAATGGCTGTTGCTCCTTGAACCCGTCGACTTGAACATGAAGGGCAAGGGCCGGCAAAGTGTCCTTGCTGATGACTGACTTGGTGAAGACGCCTCTTCCACGAAGTCGATAGCCGAATGGGCTGAATTTGTAGCTCAGGAAGTTGTCTACAAAACGTCTTCTCAACACCGTAACTGCCGGGGTCGAGCTGTACACGTCGTCGAAGCTCTTCAAAACAAGCGTCATGGCAAGGCTTGTAAGTGCAGGAAAGGCTCTGAAAACATCTTGGGCGTATGCCGTGAAGACGGTGGTGCTGGCGTTGAATGACAAGGGAGCTAGCCGTAAGTCGCCCATGTCTACCTGCACCTCGACGTGCCTGAGGCTGGCGTAGTAGGCAGCAGACATGGGCGGACTCCACTCGCGCTTCAGAAGGTTGCTGTTTAGCCAGTCAGAGAGTAGAACATCGTTGAAGTCGGGATATGTAACTTTCAGAGTCTGTTGGGTGTGCTTTGTCAGAGTCTCTCGAAGCTCGGTGCAGAGCTGCTTGTTGACGAGAAGTAGGTTCCTAACGCCGGTGTTATCGGCATAGGGGCCGACAACGTGATGTAACTGCGCCTTGGCTATGCGTTCGCCGTTTGGCCAGTTGTCGAAGAGCGGATAATTCTCCCAGCAGAGCGAAATGAAACTCTTCAGGATCAAGTCACGAACCTCCCGAGGAAGGTTCAGCATGTGTTTTTCCGCATGTCGTATCCGCCTCGGTGGCATATCCATGGCTGAGGTGGCAAGCGCGCTGTTGCGAGCGGTCAGGTCGTGGGTGCGGAGGGTTTGGGGTTTGGGGTTTGGTGTTTGGTTGGCAGGGTGGAAGGGACGGTTTGTGGAGGCAGGTGGATAGGAAAGAGCGCCTCTCATCTGCGCCTTCCTCTCCCGCCGCGCGCCATCGCCTCTCGCCACGGATTACTTATGCAAATACCCGCCCCGCTCTTCTCTTCCGTTACTCTCGCACTCCTTGCCATTGAGCGAAACTACGACACGACTAGGTATCCTAAATCCCAAACAAGCCCGCTATTCTAAAGCATCCCTAAGGCACAAGCACGCCGGATTTAAAGTGACGTCGCCAGCGTGCATCGAACCCTTCCAATTCTAGAAGTCAAGATGATCGTTCACCTACATTCATACGTTCTAGGAACACTATGTCCTTGGGCTTCCCAATCCACAAGTACCCATGCCTAGGTTAGTTCCTAGTTTGTAAGGCTCTATTACCCGCCCGCATTGGTCTCCAACCTTAGGCCAGCTTCATGGTGGAAAGCTTTTCCACATTTTGGTATTTTAACATTGCCAGCTCTTGATTATAAGGTCGAAGCAATAGTTACAAGAGCGCAGGGTCAAGAATGCAAGCTACAATCTTCACAAAATATCGTTTCAATTCAAAAAGTGTGACCAGCCCCTTCCCCACTTGGATATCTTATGCCCATGATCAACGCCCAAATAACGCCATATCCACCCAACCCTTGCGCCTGGCTAAATGGCATCGTCAATACTACGATACAGTATCAATAGATAAAACTTCATCCGCACGCATTTTCACGTCTGACCCAGGCCGTAGACGTGCCACCTTCGTGGATATACCGCTTTCTTCTAAAGAGTGCTGCAACTCTTCTACCTCCATCCGCCTGACCTTCAGCTTCATTACGCTAAGGCCACGGTTGTCCTTCTCTTCATCATGCGCGCCCACCCAGCACTTGGCCATCAATTGGCGCGCAATATCACTACCGCCCAGTGCACCAGTTGCTATGTTCCCGCCCAAATACCATGGGTTATCGACACGGTCGAATGAATGCAGCAACGCCGTCAGCGGCAGCGCCGATTGCTGAATCAAATGCGTGGAAGCATAGGGCTCGATTACAGAGTAGGGGACACCGTGAGGAGAATAGAGGAGCGACAGAGTACGTTCGCGGTCCAGTGGCGTGACCGAGCTCGGGGTCAAAGGGCGCGGGCTGTATGATGCGGGCATTGGAAGTGGGTTGGATATCTTTAGGCTAGCCATACTGCTTGTCCGACCCAATGCCGGAGAAGGCGTTGGAGAGAGCGGCGGGGTGGGCGGCAACTCGATATAGGCGGTCCGTACGGGGCTCAGAGCGCTGGTAGGTGCGCGGTAGGTGATTCCGATGGCGTTGTGCAAGCCACTGATGTCGCGCTTCGGACACATTAGAGAGACGGTCACTTCGCCGGGAAGGCCGGAAGATGAGAAGGAAGGGATTTCCAGGCGGAATATACGGCTGTCATCGGTGACGGAGAAGGGCTCCAGGGCATGTACGCTTCCGTTGGGGAAGTGATGCCATCTGCGAATCTTCTTGGCTGCGGCGGGAGCAGCAAGGATGATGGCCCCAGAGTTGGGGGGAAGCTGCTTGAGCGTTTCTTCATGACAGTGGTCCGGCTTGTCCTGGGAAATGAGGACCATGTCGGGCTCGGGCAGTTCGGCGAGAGAGGAGACACATGACTTGGTCTTGTGCTGGGAAATGGAGAACTTGGGACTGATGATCTGGGCCGGGCCCTGTAGCCAGGGATCTACGAGGATGGTGAAGGAACCGGGAAGCTGGGAAGCGGAGAGGCCTCGCGGAGCGAGCGAGGGGGAGAAGGTGACTAGAAACGAAGTGTCGGCGTTCAGAGCCTTGACGGTAAGCATGGCGGTGCTGTACGGGCCGCTGGCGGGTCGCTCTCGCGGACACGCTCGCCAGATGGCGGGGGATCGGTAATGAATGGAAATAGAAACATGAAGTCGCGGGCAACGGGTCCTATAAGGAGAAAGGAGTGTTCCCGGTTTCGAGATTCGCCGGGGGGGCTGGTGGCAGGTTTACGCGGGGAGGCAGGCTGCCGGCAAGGTGTGGAGCATGCAGGCGGCCGTCATTTGGCAGCACAGCGCGACCATGGCCTCAGGAAAGCGCCGCTTTTGGCAGCGGGCAGGTTTATTACAGCCGTCTCATATCGGCGGGGGCTGCTGATTGGAGCGCAGGGCGCAAATGAGGCGTTCTCGCGTTCTGTGCACGGCACCGTTTCGGACGGTTGTCGCGGCGTTGATAGGCGAGGCGAGAGGGAGCAAGTCCAGACGGGCGCCATCGGCTGTCATCAACGGCGGGCCGCTCTCAGTCTGCATGCCGGCTCGACCGCCAGCGCGACGACGCGAGGGCGAAGACGGCGCAGCCAGATGGCGCAGCCAGATGGCGCAGCCTGGCGGCGGACAGTGGTGCGCGGGCGGGGCGGGCAGGGCGGGCAGGAGTCGCGGCATGCGGCATGCGGCATGCGGCATCGAGTCTGCGACGGGCGGCGGTCGCAATAATATGGACGATGGATGCGCAGAGGTCTCCGGCTTGTCTTCGCCGCGTGCATTGGGCTCGGCCGTCTGGTGCGCGGGCTGGTGATTGGGCCCAGCGCACAGCTGGCCGGCGGCCGGTGCGCTGCGACTGCCCTCCAGCGTCTGCCGGCCCAGGTGCAGCCCAGAGCGGCAGCTGCAGCTGCAGCTCCAGCGGCGCGGGGTAGCAGGGCGGGCAGCTGGCAACGCTGGACCGCCTTGGCCGTGATCGCGCGTCGTTCTCGCAAGCTCAGAGCTCGACATAGCTCGGAGCTGGAGCTATGGCGCGGCAGCTGGCAGCTGGCACTGGAGCTTCGCAGCGAGCTCGGGTCCGCGCTGCTTTACCTAGCTTCGCTCGGCCCAGGAAGACATTTTTTTCATGGCTCCGCGGCTGGCCAATCACCGCCGCACCGAAGGGCCTGAGCAGCTCAGAGCTTTGCAGCCGTCGCATCGGCAAAAGGATGGAGCCCTGCCATCGCAAGCAGACATCCCCGCACACGCTGAAAAGCCCCTCCGCGGCCTGCCTCGACAGCTCCCCGAGCTCTGCTTGCCACGCCCTCACTACTGCGCCCAGCTGCGCGCGCCCGCTCTCCAGTGCCCGACACTGCTGCTCCCCGAGCTCCCCAATCCAAGCCCGCCCTCCTCGGCCTGCATGCGCTGTCATGCCACCCCCTCGCAACCTGACCAACTCCTTCTCCGTCTCTGACAGCACCAACGAGGTTGTCTGCCCGCTGCGCAACCAGGATGGCTCCAGCTGTCGCAAGCGCTGCATCGGCGTGAGTCTCCCGCAGCTCCCTTCGCCCGCCGCTCAAAGTAACATGGCCCTCTGCCCTGCAGGAGAAGCGCTACCGCTCCATGCAGGAGCACATCCGCCGCGCCCATCCTGAGCACTACATCTCGAAGCTGCCTGCCACCGAGGAGAGCTTCGCGCTGATGGTCAACACCCCGCCGCACGAGCGCCCCCCGCCGCCGCCGCCGCCGAACCAAGGACTTCCCCCACACTCTGCTGGTGCGTTTGCCGCCCACGACAGGCACGCTTGGGCTCAGGGTCTGACGGCTCCAGGCTATGCGCACGAAGCCGCCGCCTACTACCATGATGACTCCACTCCGAGGTCATCGGACGAAATGCGCCGGGGCTCGCTGCTGCCCGCTGCCAGCGCAGCTGCTGCCCTGGCTCAGCTGCACAACCACCGGCCTGAATACGACTGGGACTCGGAGCAGGTAGGCCTCAAACAACACCGTCCTTTCCAGACGTGTCTCCGCCCCCTGCCGTGGCCTGCAATGCCGGCAATGCCTCGCTCTGGCGGCCCAACGATGAACGAAAGGCCGACTGCCGCAGCGCTATTGCAAGCACTTCGAACTTGCCTTCCCCGTACTGACCTTGCTTTCGCAGGATGTTGTATCAGACCCCGAGTCCAAAAACAGGCAGAAAGCCCGTTTTGCGGTCGATCCACAGCTGATGGGTGAGGGTGACTTCTCCTATGCCAACACCTCAACTCCACGCGAGCTTCTTCCTTCATCTCTGGCTCGCTCTCCGCCTGGACGTTCATCCACTCTGCCTCCCATCCCCCGGCCGAACAAATCACGGTCACGCAAGAGCTCAATCACGCAGAATGCGCGGAGGCCCAGGCATGAGAGAAACCGGTCCAAAGAGCTCCAGAGGCGTATGAGCCACGACAGAAAGGCCTTTTCGGTCGAGCCTCAGAGCTCGGGAACTAACGTGTATGGAAAGCGGTGGGAAGACCTGATTGATGCAGCAGCTTCGGCCACAGAGGAGGATAGCCGGGATCTGACTCCTGTAAGTGCATGACTCTGACCGCTACTGATTTGCCTGACCTGCACTGCTCACTGCAATAATTAGATCCCTCAATCTCCACACCACTTGAACCGAGCTTCGCTGCCGCCTTATGTTACGTCTCAGTTTCATTCTTACCATGCTTCGCCACTCCAGAATACCTTGACACCGCCACCACCGGACCAGCCCGGCATGGAGCCTTTCCCTTCTGTTGAGTCTTCGATCGAGTCGAACCAGTCCGGCCACAACTTCCACATCTCTTCCCAAGGGCTCTCGGACTCGTCGCCTACTTACGGCCAGCACGTGCATATTTACTGCGCCGCATGTCGACGGTTGTCTCTCCTCCGCGCGAGCTATGCTTGTACCGAATGCATCTGCGGACTATGCCAAGATTGTGTCGATGTCCTGTCCAGCGAACAGAACCGCGGGCGCGGACGCTGTCCAAAGTGCGGTACGATTGGTGGAAAATTCAAGCCATTCCAGCTGGACATTAGGTGAGCTTACGTTCTTCATATGGTAGGTCTCTTTGACTGCCGCTTTGATTTTTCTTCTGTCTCTTATGATACACTTTACGGAACCTGGTGATTTTCTTTATGGCCCAAGGGCCGGCATGGGTATACCCTAGAGTCTGGAGTGGTAAAATGTCTGGAAAGGCGTTCGTTGACTTATGTGGAGGGTTTAATCGCTATTCCTTCTCCTTTTTGCTTTGATTATTCTGCATAGATCGATGGGCATTGTTGGCGTTGTGGTTTAAGCCTTCTTTAGGTGGAATTAGACCGTGGTCTCTTCCCAAAGTGTGCGGCCAGTAGGGCGCATACGTCTTTCGTTCAGGCAAAGGGGTACATCAGCAGCAACAGTGCGCGTGCTCCTTCTGCATTCAACAAATATCAGTCATTCCAAAATCGTTCTGTCTTCCGTCTTCCCGTAGGAAAGAGGGGAGAATGGCAAGAAGAGCTTGCTTCCCGCGCTCTCTTTTTTTTTTTCCAAAGAATCGTTCTTGATATTAGTCCTGCGTGCCAGGGCACATAGTCTGATTCGCTCGCAGCGTAGCCGTATACTCTTCTATCCTGATGTTTGCTCGGCTGCTGGAGGGCTGGTTGCAGCCGAAGGCGGACCATCCCTCGGCGGGGCCCCCTTTGGCGGACCTCCAGCTTTCGGCGGCGGCGGCACGCTCCCAGCTCTGCTCCCCCCGCCCCCGTAATCCAACTCTTTACTCTTCTCTTCACCCTCCTTGAAGTAGTCGTCGATGCCACCGGCCGCCACCGCATGGTGGGCACGAACCTTGCGCGTCCGGCCGCCGTGAGTTGCTGATGCTGCTTGTTGCTGATGGCCAGGGCCGGGAGACGCGCTGTTCTTTGGTGGAGGTGGGGTGTGCATGTTCGCGGGCACGAAGAAGGAGGCCGGTGATGCTGACGAAGGTGGAGGCGGCACGCCCACGCCGGCGAACCCGGGAGTGGCAACGTCGGCAGGCGACGCGGCGGCGGCGTCGGATGGAGCGTTGGTCGTGTACGAGGTGTCGAAGAGAGTCTCACCTGGGCCGGAGGGCGGCTCCTCGAGCGGAGCGGGCACCCGGTGCAGTGCGCCGAAGCCGAGGACGCAGCCGAGAAGGCCTTGGCCGCCCCAGTTGCGGGAAGGGGTGATGGTGATGGGGCGGGTGACGTTGTATTCGTGGTTGTAGACGAAGAGGCGAAGGGGGCGGTTGATGTACTGGTAGACGGTGGATCAGTGTTGCTACAGATGGGGTGGAAGAGGAGAGGGGTGATGTGAAAGCGTGGTTGATGGTAAGGAGAAATTGAGCGAGACGGGAGAAAGGAACCAGGTTCTCGAGCTCGCCGGAATAAGTTCACAGTCCGATAGAGAAGTACGGAGCAAGGCAATTGATGTGGAAGCAGTAAATGGAAATCCTGACTTACATCCTCAACCAACTCCCCAAGCCCCGACTCCCCTCTCACAAGACCTTCAGGGCTACCGATGACATAATCACCGTAGGGCAAGAGGCCAGCGAGATCGGCCGGGGAGTTGGGCTGCACATCAAGGATGTGCCACACATCCTCGGTGCTCGACAGTGGGCTCCATTGCAGGGATATGCCAAGCGTCGGGGTCTCAGCCGGGATGGGGACGTAGAGCTCGCGGATGCGCTGGCCCTTTGCGCTCCACACGCCCAGGCTGATGGTGTGGCCGGCGCAGTTGCGGACTTCGGTTGCGAAGAGCGTCGGGTCGGGATCGTCCTGGGCAGCACGGTCAGCGCGCTGGAAGGCGGGATGCAGGCAAGAGGCATACTATTGTGCGGCCGTTAATGCCGATAATGAAGTCGAACCAGGGCTCTATGGACAGCTCTTGGTTGGTGTTGCGCAGGATCTGGAAGCCATAGGCGCCCTTGGTGCCCTGGTCACGGTCCTGCGGCTCGGCGTCGAGACGCGAGATGAAGCGGTTCAGAGCGCCGAACATGCTCATGGCTGCTGCTGGCGATTGGGTTGGGCGTGTGGAGGGTGGGCTCCACGTGCGAGGGATCTGTCGTCGTGTTCACACGGTTGGGGCTCGCGGGCCCGAGGGCCCTGCAGCCTGGAGGTGGCCATAGCTTCCTTCCATCGCCTCGCGTGCTTGCCTCGCATCTCTTAATCCTGCACTCGTCCATCCCCCGACTCCGACAGTTCGCAGCCCGGAGTCTGCATCATGCCTGACGGCGTCGGTACCTTCCTGAAGGCATTCGAGCTGGAGACCCCCGAACAGCGGGCGGCCGCCCAATCGGCTGCCGAGACCCACCAGCAGACCACAACCAGCAGCACCTTGTCGAGTTGCCAAGACACACAGACCCTGGACGTCGAGAGGCAGCGGATACACCACTACGACGACATATGCCAGGTCCCTGAAAACATCCAGAAGTGAGTTCCGCGCCGGGTCGTCTCAGACTCTTGCCAACCAGCTTGCAGGTACTGGTGGCAACGCCACGACATTTGGTACAAATACGACGAAGATGTTTGGATGACAGACGATGCGTGGTTTGGCGTTACACCCGAGCCCGTCGCGTGGTAGGAACCTACTCTGTTGACCTCTGATCCACGATGAATCTTGTTAAACAATGCTTGCAGGACAATCGCAGAGCAGATCGCAAATGCTGCTCCGGCCAGCAAGACCACCATTATCGATGCTTTCGCCGGTGCTGGCGGCAATGCCATCGCGTTTGCCAGAAGCAACCGCTGGGACAGGATCTTTGCCTTCGAAAAGGACCCAGATGTTCTCAAATGCGCCAAGCACAATGCTGAGGTATACGGCGTTGCCAAGAAAATCTGGTGGGTTGAGGGTGACTGCTTCGAGACCTTGAAGAACCGCTTCCCCTCCTTCGATGAGCGCACCGTGGTCTTCGCAAGCCCTCCATGGGGTGGTGAGTGACGGCGGAACAATCCGTCCGCTGTCGGGTCTTTGCTGAATCCATATTCAGGTCCAAGTTACCGAGGCGACAACGTTTTCGATTTGAAGACGATGCAGCCCTACAACCTGAATAAGCTGTACAGAAGTTTCGCCAGGATCTCGAACGAGATGGTCCTCTATCTCCCACGTACTTCTGACCTGAACCAGCTTGCAAAGTACGTGCCTGAGGACCAGAGGATTCAGGTCGCGCACTATTGCATGTGGGGCGCTAGCAAGGTAAGCTATTCCCTTAGGCTGGAGGCTGTGGTCTAATACGACACCAGGCTCTCTGCGCGTTTTACGGTGACTTTGGCCCCCTACCCCCAGCGCGCGCCGACTACAGCAACGACACTTGACACGCCCTGCTGTCTCGTTTCTGGAGGGGCCCTATATGCCACGTGCAACCAGGTGAGGACATTTGTACATTAATGATACCCGTAGCCACCATGGGCTTTCTGCTCGGTAGAGGACCGAGGAAAGCAGTGACTAGAATCTCAGATACTGAGATGTTAGTGCAAAGGATTGGGCTTTAATTGGGTGTATTGGGAATGATAAGAAAATCCAAACAGAAAGACTGCAGCAGTGACGATGCCGAGTGGCATGGATGTTCGAAAGTGTCCAAAACCGTGCCAATACCATTTGACCAATCACGTGCATGGCGCCAGAGGGGATTGAAATCAGGTCGGTATCGGATGGGCGATGGGCGAAGCCAAGCGGAGGCGCATCGGGGACTCCTTGGCGAATCGTGCACGGACCAGGAGCTCGCGTGTGCCGCTGCTCCTCACCTCTGCCCATCGTCACATCCGCCGCCCGTGTGCATCTGCTCGTGTCCGCCGTTGCGCCTGCGCTTGCTTGCCCCCTCGCAACGTGAGCGCATGAATCACGGCAGCTCGACCTCGGTCTATTCCGGAGCCCCCCTCTAGGACCCGCAACCTTCGACCCCGACTGCGCGTTTGCCCGCGCGACACCTCCGATGCTGGCGCACACCCGCGACGACTTCTTCCGCCAGCTGTGAGCCGCCCTCGCCTCTGCCGCCTTGCATAGCCCTGCCTATACGCGCGTTGCCTCACCCTTGATCCTCTCTATCTCGCAGTGTCATTCGAAATGCCGCATGCCGTCGACCAGACCGAGGAGAACGATGATCTGCTCATCTCCCAGCTTCTCAACGCCGATCCAACAGAGAACCGCTTCGAAGGCCTGCTCAGCGAGAGGATAGACAGCGGACCCAAGGCAGACGATGCCGTCGATTACGAGGACATTAGCGATGATGACCTTGCCGAGGAGGAGGTGCCGAGCCGAGAGAACGGCGTCCATGACGACGCTGCTGGTGCAGATGATGATCTCATGGAGGGCCTCTTTGACGACGCTCCCCACACACAGGACGCTGATGCGGAGAACGATGGTTTCGACGACCTCTTCGGCGACGCACCTTCGTCACCCCAACCGGAACACGGCCAAGACATGCACGGCGGCCAGACCGATATCGTACCGGATGGTGGTGCTGTCTCGGGAACAGGGCCCAAGCATGTGGAGTCACCCCCTTCAACGCAGGTCCCAAAGGTCGAAAGCCCTGAGAGCATGCGGGAGCTTGCTAGCTTCGAGGAGGTAATGGAAGAAGACGTCATGGTGGACGATGACGAGGATCCGGAGATCAGGGAACAAAGGGAGCTCTTCGCGCAGGCCCAATCGCGCCTTCGCAACGGTCCGGTTGTGTCAGACTTGCCGCCCGCTCCGCAGACAGATGCCGATGTCTTCCAAGCCATTTGGCACAACTACGAACCCGGAGCAATCCTCCGGTTTGGAGAGATTCTTCCTCACCGTCGCGCGTACTATGTTCCCAAGACTCCGCTTAAGCCACCGAAGCCAATTGCACCAAGCAAGGTCAGCTTGGAGCTGCAGCAAGATCATGAAAAGTCCTTCAAGCTTCCCCCTACTGCAGCTCCTGCCCGGAATGCACGTCAGACTGAGCTGGACCAGAAGGGCGTCGTTACCGTCACCGAGGCAGACACTGGTGAGAAGAGTGACGATGATGACGATATCAGGCTCGATGATTTTGACGAGAACGAGAAGATTGGTGGTGTGACCTGGCAAGATTTGCAAATGCTGTGTGATGACTGGGACGTTCGAACCCCCGATAGCCTGTCAGATGCTGGAGACGCTCAAGAGCTGGGTAACACTGACGATACGCCCTTCACCGGCGATTGGGACCACGAAGAGCGTGCCCGTCCGACTAAGAGACGCAAAACTGCTGGTATCAATGGAAGCCTTCCGACCTTCCAAAATAGCTTCCCCAATCTTGAGGAACCCGAGGCTGCCACAGCTAAGCTAGCGAGAAAGGTGGCCATCAACTTGAATGATCCGGAGCTACTCATCGACATCCAGCAACCGGATTCCACTCGCAAGAAGTTCCGAACTCACGATTTCCGTCGGGATGTCAGCGGTAGCCTCACCAAATCTCTCTTCCAGAAGTTCAACATTTCCAACGACGAGAGTTATGATATTCTTAAACATAACAATCGCGAGAAAGTCCGCAACATCACGAACCTCAATTCGCTTGAACACAGCTTGCCAGCAGTCAAGCTACAGTATCCGTTCTACAAGCTCGCGCTTGGCAATCGCGAGACGAGGTCATTCCACAGACCCTCTCTTGCCGTCTCTCATCCTGGCCACGTCATCAGGTTCGACAAGCCCAAGTTTAAGAAGAGAAAGCAGTTCAAGGGCCAGGACCCCAAGAGCGTATACGCCTCATCTGAAGACTTGTCCATGGCAGACAATTCCAATGTGCTCCTGCTCGAGTACTCTGAGGAATATCCCACGGTTTTGTCCAATTTTGGCATGTGCAATCGGCTGATCAATTATTACCGCCGCAAAGACAAGGACGATACGTATCGACCGAGACTTGACATTGGAGAGCCTGTTGTCCTCACTCCTAACGACCAGAGTCCCTTCGCCATCTTCGGAGAGGTCCGTCAAGGCGAGACGGTGCCAACCCTTCACAACGGCATGTTCCGCGCACCTGTTTTCCAGCACGAGACGAGACCAACGGATTTCCTTGTTGTTCGGAGCCAGACTGGTACCCACGGGACCAAATGGTATCTTCGCAATGTCGAGAGCCTGTTCGTTGTCGGGCAACAATTCCCGTCGCAGCAGGTCCCTGGCATTCATTCGCGAAAGGTCACCGACATCAGCAAGCGGCGTCTTAAGATGCTGTCGTATCGGATCTATACGAAGAGTCTCGACCAGAAGAAGAATCCCAACGTGAAGCTGAGCAATAGTTATATTCAGAAGCACCTTCCAGGCAGTGATATCGCGCAGAACCGAGGCAAGATGCGCGAGTTCATGCAGTACGACAAGGAAACCTCATCGTGGAAGCCCATGCCAGGCGAAACCGTTCCAGATGAGAACCAGATGCGCGGTTGGATTTCTCCTGAGGATCTCTGCTTGGTTGATGCCATGCAGGTTGGCGTACGCCAACTTCATGATGCTGGGTTTGCAACAGACGACGCCAACCCCGAGGACGACGAAACAAACGAGGCACAGCAATTGGCACCCTGGAACACCACCCGCAATTTCCTCGAGGCGAGCTCGCGGAGGGCCATGTTAGAGCTGCACGGTATCGGTGATCCTACCGGCCGCGGGGAGGGTATCAGCATGATCAAGACCTCGATGAAGGGTGGCTTCAAGCCCCAAGGCGAAAGCGCTAAAGACAAGATGGACGCCAAGGCACTGAAGGAGCTTGGTGGCCATAGTTACAATGTCCGGAAGCAAGAGCAGGATTACAATGCCGCCATCGAGAAGGTCTGGGAGGCCCAGAAGGCGAGCTTGACCTCGACAATTGAGCACTCAGACTTTGAAGATCCCGATGATGCCGATGCCGAGGCGGTGGAACAAGACACATCGTTCAGCCGCGGCAGGACACCACAGTCGCAGTACGGCACACCTGCGACATTCAACCGCCGTGACGACGAGACGACGAGTCAATACACGAGTCTCAGCACCGCAAGTCAATCGAAGAACAAGGTTCTCAGGATTATTCGCAAGGTTCCGAATAAATATGGCAAGATGGAAGAACAGGAGGAAATCATCAGGGATCCGAATGTTGCCAAGGCATACGTTAAGTTCAAGAAGCAGCAAGAGATCAACGCAATGAAGTTGGAGCAGCTCAAGCCCACCGGTGACGAGGAGGTTGATGCACGCCAACGCAAAAGGTGGACAACCTTTACATCTTTCACTACCAACATGTTTATGCTAATAATTATAACAGACTTATGGACGAACTTAGCCGCCTTGAGCGCAATAAAGAGCGCCGCCAGGTTCGTGAGAAGCAAAAAGCAAACATGCGGAACGGCGGCGACGGTGACTCAAAGGGTACGACTCGCAAATGTGCAAACTGCAACCGTGCCGGCCACATCAAGACGAACAAAAAGTAAGTTGATTTTTCTCCATCCCTTAATGTGCCTCCCGCTCCCTTTAGCTCCAAACAGCACTTCATGTGTGGAGAGTCGAAGTGCTTGTCTAGATAGAAGTGCGCAAGGAATCTGGGCCAAATTCATTGGACGACAGCTTCAGCTACTCGTCCAGTTGCTTCGGAGCAAAATTAACGGGCAAGCTTCGTAGGCTGAGGCTGGCCGTAAAGAGGGATATGCACTGACGTTGAATAGAATGTGCCCGATGCTTAATGGCATTGCTTCCACGGTCGACGAGCTGGAGAAGCTGGAGAAGATCAGTCCCGGTTGCACACAGCCACCGTTCAACAAGCAAAAGATAGCGACTGCACAACAGGCGCAGCAGGCCTCGGCAACCCAGGCACCAGTGTCACAGCAAACCTTCTCCGACCTCTACACCCCTACCTCTGCTGATGGTCCGGGTCTAAATTAAACCCTCGACGATGGTTCAACTCGTCAAGATAGTCCTTTTATTCCTCCACACCTCTCACAACGACATGCTCCGCGGTTTCGGTTGTTGGCATTGCTTCGGCGCACAAGGGCACCACTGCATTTTCGGAGTAAAGTAGGGCATAGCATCGTAACTTGCATACGTAGAGCATGGGTGTGGTTCACATCGTCCATGGCATATCTGGGTTGAAATTTGAGCAAAGCAGTCCTATCGGACGCCGCCTAAGGATTGCTCAAGCCCTGTGAGTTGATTTGGCTTCGAGCAAGTCAAAGCAACCTATTAGCAATGAAAGTTCCATTCATCCCTTTCTGCATCATCAGCACGTGAGCATGAGCTATCATGGACACGAGCATTGATCTAGGACAGCTGGCGTGCCCATCGCAGTGTCGGAGAGTGATTTGGGTGGCACAACAGAGCAAGGTGCATGGCCGACGCAAGAGGCGCAATGACGTCGAGACGGGGTTTCACAACAAGTCGGCAAACGCTTTGCCCGTCCAGAGTGGGAGCCGCGCGTGCTGCTGCTGCTGCTGCTGCTGCTGCTGCTGTACGTGCGTGCATGGTCCGGCACGAGCGCCAGCCAAGCGTCGGGTGCGGGTTCGGGAGACGGGTTCGTCGATGCTCCATTCTCTCGGCTTGCCGACGGGGAAGACGTCACTCATCACGCGCGTTCACGTCGGAGCAAATGGACGACGTCGATAGTTCCAAACAAACACATGCCCAAACGGGCAATCTCGGGCTTAGCGTGGGGTTAGGAGTCGGGAAATTAGAGGAGAGTCGATGGCGGGAAGCGCAAAAGGGGGTCGAAGAGGAAGGCGGATGATGGGGGTGGGGAGCTAAGATGCCCTTTTTGCGGGATTTCTTGGTCACGGGGCGAGGCGAGCGAGCGGGAGCGCAGGCGGCCTCCCTTATCATGAGGCCCTTCTGCGCGTCCTTGTCTAGCGCCGTTTTCTTTGTACGCCAAGGAGGGCAGCTGACGAAAGACAGAGAAGACAGCAGGACGGAGCGCGACGACGGGGGAGAGGAAAAGGAAGCGGGGGCGGGATGGGATGACCAGGCCGGCGGGCGGCGACGAAGGGCAGCGCGAGACACGCCATGGAGCGGCCTTGTTTTCGATTGCCGAATCGGGAGGGTTGGACATGGCGGCGGCGCTTGCGGTCGGTGATGGCAGCGCGTGGGAGAGCGAGCTGGTGAGGGAGAGGGTACGGCGGGCGACAGAAGCTGCCCGCGCTGGAACCTCACCCACCGCCCCAGCCCCGCGGGGACGTGAGAGGCGTAGGCCCGGGCCGGCGAGGACAGGACGGCCGGGAGAAGCGGCGGAACGAGCAGAGGCGAAGAGGGCACGCCCGGCAGGCGGCGGGCGGGCTTCGAGAAGAGGCGGAGGGCGGGCACGGGGTAAGGTGAAGATACCGGCGGCGGCAGAGCATACTGGCGCGACAAGAGCCAATGGAGCACCGCGAGACGGAGGGGCGGCAGCTGTAACGGGCCGTGGACACGGCTCACACTGGGCGGGACAGCAGAGAGGCGATGATCGAAGGTTGTTGACGCGATAGGAAAGGGTTTAGCGTCGTCGAGTCTGCTCTGTTGTTGCGAGTGATCTGGAGCCCGCCAAGCCGCGTCTCGCGCCTTAAGTAGGACTCAGCTCCCCTCCCCGCGCGCGAGACGTGCTCCGGCAGCTCACTTGTCTCCCGTCGCAACGTCCTTCTCGCCCGCGCCCCGCCCCATAACCCGCTCTTGCAGCCCGTCGTTGAACAGCTCCGCTCTTGCACTACTCAGCGCACCCCATTACCCCCCACCGCCGCCGCCATGCCTCCCAAGAAGTCTGCCGCTGCTGCGCCCAAGAAGGTCGTCGGTGCTACTCCCGCCCACACCTCCTACCAAGGTATGCTGCGCCCACCCGCGCCGCCGGCATGCCATCGCTCCAGGCCCATCGTGTTCTCCGTTCAATGCTGATTCGGCACCGTAGCCATGATTTCCGATGCTATTCTTGCTGTGAGTCCACGTTCTCCGGCGCATTACGGTCGCACTCGCGCGCCCTCCACGAGCCCCCGCCGCGCGACCGATCCACGCCCGCCAGCCTGCCTCCCCAGGGCCTGCGATGCCGAGTGAAGCTTGCTAACGTGTTTCTTTCCCTCTCAGCTCAAAGAGCGTTCTGGTAGCAGGTTAGTCCTGTCTTGTTTCCGTGCCCACCTCGCTGTCGCGTGACGTGCGTTGCTGTTGACCTGCTCGAATGAGGCGCTGACACGACTGTACAGCCGCCAGGCCATCAAGAAATATGTCAAGGCCAACAACAAGATTGGCGACATTACCCCGGCCCAGTTCAACTCCCACGTCAACCGTGCCATCCAGCAAGGTGTTGAGAAGGGTCACTTCGACCAGCCCAAGGGTGAGTTTTGCCCCCCCATGCAATCTGTCCGCCCGTTTGCTGCCGCATCGGCGTGTCCTGCGTGATGCGACGTGGTTCAGTTCTGGCTTGTCAACGAGTTGCTGATTATGGCCATGTCTAGGTGCCTCTGGCCCGGTGAAGCTCAAGAAGTCGGACAAGAAGGTCGAGAAGAAGGCTTCCCCGCCTGCCACCAAGAAAGAGGTCCCCAAGAAGGCCGCTGCCCCCAAGGTATGAAGCGTGCCAACCGTAAAATGGACTGTCGGGTCTAACTCGTCAACAGAAGGCTGTTGAGAAGAAGGCCGCTCCCGCTAAGAAGGCCGCCACGACCAAGAAGGCTGCTGCCCCGAAGAAGGCCGCCCCGGCCAAGGCTGCGCCTAAGAAGGCTGCTGCTGCTCCTGCTGCCAAGCCCAAGGCCAATGCCGGCCGTCCTCGCAAGGCCGCCGCCGCCGCCACCGCGGTAAGTTTTGCTATGAACCAAGTTGCGTGCCCCAGGGCTGAGCTGACCGGCAATCAGGCTCCTGCTGTTGAGGACAAGCCCGCCACCGTCCTGGGCAAGACCAAGTCGGGACGTGTGACTAAGACCAAGGCTCCGCAATCCAAGCCGGCCGCGAAGAAGGCTGGCGCAAAGAAAGCGACGCCGGCAAAGAAGGCAGCGCCCAAGAAGGCAACGCCCAAGAAGAGCGAGGCCGACAGCAAGGCTTAAGAAAGCTCTTCTGGCCTTCTACTCGGAACTTATCTTCTTCATGCGGTGTCTGATAACCTTAACTCTCGGTAACGGTACAGGGTGTTGCTGTCGTTGGGAAGTGGGAATTGCGGCGTTCTCACGGGCGTCCTCCGCGGTCTGATATCCTCGCATCCATCTTTCGGGCGCGGCGCGTTGTGTACTCTGGTTGGGCGAGCGGGGTGCGTTTACGGTTACGACGGGCTTCTCTTTTCTGCTGTTCCGGTTCGCGGTGTGGGGTCCATGGGTCCATGGGTGCATGTTTGTTTTGCTTTTGGGAAACGAAGGGTACTGTGTATGTCGGGCGTTTGGGGGTTGGTTTTGCTGGGCTTTCCGCAGAGTCACGCGAGGGGCAGGGTCAAGGATGTGCCCCGCGTCAAAAACGAGACTTTCTCCTGACAATGCAGCGTTGTTGTTGCGTGCATCCCAACTTTGACACCGGCCCGACCTTGCACCTGCGTTCCTGGTGGTGACCTCACTGGCGGACGGAGCGTGAGGACGCTGGACGACGATCACCGCATAGCGCTAGACAGCACATCAGCTCGCCAACGGAGCCCCGTTTCACATCTGCAGGACGCGCAATGGCGGGCAGCCCTGCGATCCCGGCTCGGGATGGGGCATGCTGATGCTGGGCGAGTGCAATACCTAGGTACGTAGGACCGAAACAGGCGGGCGGGCGGCCGTCCGGAGCAGGCCCGGCGCCGGCGGACAGGCGACGGCCAGGCGACCGACAGGCGACGGCCAGGCGACGGGCTCGGCGGCTGGGGGGCTCGGCGGCGTTGAGACGCGATGAGGCTCTGTGCAGCGCGCGGAAGAGGCGGCATGTGATGTGCCGTGGTGGCTATCGTATCGCCCCTGTTGCAGGAGATGAGCGGCGGCGGCGGCTTCGACCTGCGCGATGCGGCCCGGCGGGCTGCAGCCTGCGCTGGCATTGGCGGAGCGGCCATCGTGCCCCAACGGCGCTCTCGTGTCGCGGAGCCAGAGCCAGAGCCAGAGCCAGAGCCATAGGTAGCCAGGGCCATGGCCGGAGCCAGGGCGCTGCAAATAGAAACCACGTGTGGGCATGGAGGCTGAGGCTGTGTGGCTCGGAGCTGGAGCGCGCGCAAGCCGAAATGACGCCCGGCCAGGCTGGGTTGAGGCGCGCCGCAGCTTGGCCTTCTTTGTCATCCCAGCCAGCCCACGACTGCCTCCCGCTGCGAACTTCTCCCTTGACATCCATCTCGACATTGTTTTCCTGTGATACCCCCGACGCCCTCCCGCACCCCCCCTCGCGCCCCGCCGCCTGCCCGTCCCCGCCAAGCGACGCATCCGTCGTCCAGGAGGCCGTCTCGCTCGTGCTGCTCGAGTCGCAATCTATCCCGCCCAGGACTGGCCAAGCCCCCCCGTCCGCTGCCAGAGCGTCCTCCTGGCTGGACTCCGCGCCGTCGCCCATGCCCACCCGCCCGTGATCAGAGCATCAGCTTCTCTCGCCATGCCCTCCTTCCTCGCCGACGACGCCGACCGTGCCGCCTACCAGTCCTCCTACTCCCCATACGCTCCCGCCTCTGCGCCGAGCGAGAAGCAACCCCCGCTGACCAACGGGGACTCCAATGCCGCCCCCCACTACCCGCCCACCCGCGTCTTGACCAACGGCACCTCCATCTCGAGCCAGGCTTCGTCGCTGCCCAACGGCGGCCCCGTCGGCGGTCCCAACGACGACAAGAACGCTTTGCGGTCGCCCGTCCACTCCATGGACACGGCCCGCGTCTCGCATACCGAGTCGACCCGGAGCCAGCTGGACGGTGCAGACGCAGGGGGAAGACTGGGAGCGCGCGACGACGGATACTTTGCCGCTGCGCAGAACGGCGTCGCTGAGGACGGCTGTCTGACCACCCACGTGAGGCTGGAGCCATCATCACCCAACGGAGAGGGGCCCCAGTCCGCCAGGACCATCGCTCTGTCGCCCACGCAAACAGCGCCCGAGCCGCCTGTCGTCCAGAGGAAGAACTCGACTGCCACCACCTCGAGCCACCCCGCCCCCGAGCAGACGTTGCGCGTGCCGGGCTCGTCGGCCCACCGTCTCTCCTCACCACCCGCGTTCGGCGGCAACCCGCCGGGCTCCTCCTCCACCGCCTCCACCGCCCAGGCCCCTGGCCTGCAACATCGCCACACCCTGGAGGTCCCCAAGGCGTCGGGTTACCGCTCCTCGCGAGAGGCTCAGCGTAACTCGGATGACATGGTCGTTTCGGCCACCGGGCGCTTTTCTCCGAACACGCCCACCAAGAGACGAGGCTCCATGTCTCTGGTCAGGCGCACCACGCGCTCAATGCAGTCGGACATGCACCTCGAGGAAGCCCCGGGAGACGATGAGGCCGCTCGCTGGGCAGAGCACATTCGCCAGAAGAGAGCGAGCAAGAGGAAGAGGAAGGAAGAGGAAGACGACGACCGTGTGGTTGTGGGAACAAAGGTCGACCAGAATCACGTGAACTGGGTCACGGCCTACAACATGTTGACCGGCATCCGGTTTACCGTCTCGCGGACAAACGCGAAGATGGACCGGCCGCTCACCGATGCGGATTTCGAGGCCAAGCACAAATTCTCCTTCGACATGTAAGACAGGCCCCACCACTCTACCTTTGGAACGCCAATACTGACTCGTTCTCCACAGCACCGGCAACGAGCTGACGCCATCCGCCAAATATGACTTCAAGTTCAAGGACTACGCACCCTGGGTGTTCCGTCATCTGCGGCAGACGTTCAAGATTGATCCTGCAGACTACCTGATGTCGCTGACTAGCAAGTACATTCTTTCCGAACTGGGGTCTCCTGGCAAGAGTGGAAGCTTTTTCTATTTTTCGCGAGACTACAAGTACATCATCAAGACCATCCACCATGCTGAGCACAAGTTTCTCCGAAAGATCCTCAAGGACTACTACAACCACGTTCGGGAGAACCCCAACACGCTGCTTTCTCAATTTTACGGTTTGCACCGGGTGAAGATTCCCTACGGCCGCAAAATCCACTTCGTAGTGATGAACAACCTGTTCCCGCCCCACAGGGACATCCATCGCACGTTTGACTTGAAGGGGTCCACCATCGGAAGAGACTTCAGGGAGGAGGACTTGGAAAAAAACCCCAGAGCCACTCTGAAGGACCTCAACTGGTTGAGGCGGAATCTGCACCTGGAGTTTGGACCTGTCAAGAAGCAGGCTTTCATTGAGCAGATGGACAGGGATGTGCAGTTGCTGAAGAAGCTGAAGATCATGGATTACTCGCTCCTGGTCGGTATCCACGACTTGGAAAAGGGCAACGAGGAAAATCTTCGCGATAAGACGCTGCAGGTGTTCCAGCCTGGTGGGGATGCTGCGGACGATCATATGCCCGATCCTCTTCAGCGGACGCCGTCGAAGCTGGAAAATGCTCGGAAGGCAAAGGAGCTCCGCCAGATCATCAAGAACCAGAAGCCGATCCCCATGGACCAGAGCAGTAACAAAATGCCGGATGATGTGCAAGAGACCCGGAAGCACTTTTATTTCTACAGCGATGACGGAGGCTTCCAGGCCACCCATGAGAACAACACAGCAGGGGAGGAGATTTATTATCTGGGAATCATCGATTGCTTGACTCACGTAAGTGTTGTATGCCAGGTATGCATGGGCATTTTCAAACTAACATGCGACACACAGTACTCCTTTATCAAGCGAATGGAGCATTTCTTCAAGGGTCTCACAAATACAGAGTCTCAGATCTCCGCCATTCCTCCGGAACGGTATGGCGACCGCTTCGTGCGCTTCATCAGTGGCGTTACCAAGACGCGGGAGCTTGCCGAACAGGAGAAGCAGCAGGGCGATGTCATCAATGACCCTGCACTGAAAGGCGTCAACCTGCAGCCTACTAAGACCGCCGAGGTTATGGAGAAGGCTGAGCATCAAGCTCAGAAGTCAATTCGTCACGGCGCAAACGAGGAGGAGGTACCCGAGCGCGCCATTCACCCGGCGCGTAGCCCTTCGGCGGAAAGAGGCGAAGCTCACGGGAGCATCCTGCCTGTGGTTGAGGAGGTCGGCGAGTCCGGAAGCGTTGGCGGCCGCAGCGCCCGTAGTCACGAAGCATCTCCTCGTCTGCGCCCGAGCTCTGAGCTGCCCATCAGGCCACCCCCCACGCCTCCCAAGGACAGCAGGGATGAGGACCAGCGGCCGCCCACTCCCCCCAAGGACGGCCGCTACCAACCGCAGGGTTCGCCGCCCACGCCGCCGAAAGAAGAACGTGGCCGTTCCCAGGACAAGTCACTCCCGATCCCGCCGCCGAACTTTGCCAGTACCTTCGCCCGAAGCCCGCCCCGGATGAAACCAGTGGATATGGAGGAGAGAGTCGCCAGAGTGGATGCACGGGTCAACTAATGTGGCCACCTTTTTTTGATTGTCGAACCGGCATTCGCTTGCTGCCGTTGCTGCTGGAGATACCCTAATCTGCTTGGACCGCTGCTTTGCCCCGGTCCAAAGAAAATAATATGTTGTTGGGAAAGTCACAACACAACTCACTCACTCCATTTCCTTTGTGTTTTTCCTTTGGCGTCTTGTCATGTTTTGAGGTCGCTTTTTCATCTTCTTTCTCCCTCGCTCTGGCAAAAAGAACCGTCCCCACCCCAGTGTCCCGCATGGGGAGGAAAGCTGGACGAGTCAGAGGTAGGGGGAGAGATAACAAAAGAAAGGAGATCAACAAAAGATGGAGTGAGGCGGGGTGGGGTGCAGTCGAGTCCCGTGAAGTCGATCTGTTTGCACTACGTCACGGCCTTCTAACCTGCTGCTACTGCCTCCTTTATCTTCTCTTTTCTGGAAATGACCCAGACATGAGCATCATGCGATCCTTGTATCACACATCATTTTCATCATTGTTGTCATCGCTGTCATCATCATGGGAATTGGGGAAAGAAAGAAGCCCGAAAAGCCAAATATCAAAACTACGTCACCGTATGGAGCATCCAGGGATTGATCCATACGCACTCACACCACACCACAAGCATCTATCCATTCAGACACTCTTTCCTATGTCAGGTCTCCTAATCCTGTCTTTTGATTGCCTTGTCTTCGGCTCTCGCCGCCTTCTCTTCTTTGCTTGACTGTACAAAGGGGGGAACATCAAACCTCTCTCGATGCCGTCAAGCCCCGGTTTTCTTCTCCTGTGTGGGTTGTGCTGCTTCGTAGTGTTGCTGTTAACGCATGATACCACGGCGTTGTTTCTTCTCTCAGTTCTTCCTATCCTTTTTCTTTTCGCTACATATATATCACCTCTTACTTTCCGTCTGTCTTCTTTTCACCTTTTCGAACTCGTGCGAAGAAACCAAAAAGGCTCCGACAATACAAGTGATTGTCCCTCTATCCCGATTGTCCGTCCGGACCGTCATTCGATTCAAGATTCGATAGTCCTTTCTGCAGTTCTTGCCCCATCTCTCCGTTGGTGGGATCATTCTGTTGTTAGCGTTTCTTCGTTTTTCCTCTCCGTTGTGCTTTCCTCTCGTATCCTTCGTTGGAGGCGTAAACGTTGTCAGTTTTGAACCTTGTTTTTCTCCTTGCCATTGACATCGGCTTTGTGATCCCTCATTCTTCTTGTAAATATTAGAGAAGAATGGGAAACGACAGAAGCTCTTTCTCATGTGAATCATGCTTCAATACCGTAATCCTTATCCTGGTGATGAGACATCGCTGCTGCCGTTGGCCATACTCGTCGACGTATTCCTGCTCTGATATATGCGCACTGATGCGGTTCGAATTACAATCACGCACGGCGTTCTTCGGCATCGTGATCGAGCATGCTGCGCGATAATATGAGTCCTCTCAAGGGGCATCGCTCAAAAGCCCTATCGTTTTATTAAGAGCAGTTGTTTGTAAACTATGGCCATGGATGAAAGGGAACTAACTGACTTACGATAGAAGCATATAATGTTTAACATCTATCCCAAGTGCTTGGCAGAATGTCGTGGTTCCACACTGACTTCCGCCACCCCTGGTGGGATTGTACCTTTAGTAAAATGATGACTCGAAATGGAGCAAAAAGCCACTGCTCAGGTATATTCAAATTGGAGGGTTTATCGACCCGCCCATCTCCATAATCGTTTTTTACTTCGAGAGTGTAGAGATATTTGTGATGGGGGTGAGACAGTTCATAATCTGTGCTTGAATGTAAAATTGACCACTCGTCTCGGGTGATGGTGAACGTCTAATAAATAGCTCACGGTCAAGGATATGTACGTGAGGTGTCTCCACACAGTGTTGGACTTAAGTTTCAACATGATTTCCACTCATCTTGGATTTGGTTCCTCGGCCGACAACAAGTCTATATGAAAGCGTTTCGGACGCTGAGACTAGGACCGACGGTTATCCCTCCTCCGTGGCCCGAGTCTAATGAGTCTACAAAAATGGCCGCCCATGTATCAACACTTCACCATGATACCTGCTCTCATTTCTTCTTCTCTTATTTCAAACATGACCTGCACACCGACAAAAAGCGCACCGCAAGCCAAGGCGAAGAAGGTCAAACCAGACGCTGAGCTGAAAATGCCTCTGGCCAGCCCCTCCAAGCCATCAACCCCAATAGCGAAGCCAACCAAATTTGCGCCCATCATGAATAGAATCTGAGCAACGGCGCCGATGCCACACAAGACGCGGTAAGCATTGGGACGATTTGCCCATTTCCGCTTGGGGAAAAGGAGAGTCGCGATCATCTCAGGGGCGACGAAGAGGGTGATGAGCCAACCCCACATGAGTAGGCGCAGTTGGATGTCGTGCCAGAGGGCGACAAAGGTGAAGATGGCAAGGTAGGTGAGCATGACGGAAAAGATGCTGCGGCCGTGGCCGCTGCCGCCGAGGGGAATGAAGATGTAGCGAATCAGCCATCGGTTGTAGCTACGATGCCAACCACGCCAAAAGCCCGATATGCTATAGTTGTTGCTCATGCATCGGACCATGTTTTCAGGCGGGTCAATATTGTCAAGGAGGGCCCACAGGCGGAAGAAGCGCCATGGGAGCAGCAGCTTCAGCCAAATGTGGTGCAGGTTGAAGAAGCCAAGCATACTGAGCTGGAAAGGTGTGTAGGCGTCCCAATCAGGCTGAACTTGAAAGATTGCTACAGCGTAGATATAGTGAATGATGACTTCCATGGCTAGGAGAGCCAGGGCGAAGCGGATGGCATAGCGAGTATTGCGTTCACGCGTGATACTCGGCGCACAATAACGCTGCTGGGAAATGTAGTCATTGAAGGTGAGGATTGGGCCCGCATTGTACAGAGGAGAATACAAAGCATAAGCGGTATAGTTACGAAACGAGTAATCAGCTGGCTTTGCAGGAGTGGAGACTCGGTCACGCTCAGACAGGTTGGAAGGATCGAGTTGTTTCTTCTTTTGTTTGTGAGCAGCGTGCACTGGTTGCGGTCATGTCGCACGAAGCTTACCTCGATGGGACTTCCCCCTTGCATGCTCAGACTCCAGTAATAGTCCATGCTAAAACTGATCAACCGGAGGACGGTGATGTTGAAAAGAACGTCCCAGCGCGGATTCAGCCCTCCGTAACTGTCCAGCCATGCTCCCCACGTCCCCGAACCGTCGCCACCATGGATGAAGGCGGCAATGTCTTTGAAGGGATAGCCTCGGAATATTTCGTTGGAGAACAGGGTGCAGATGTTGAAGATCCATGTAGCTGCCGGAAGGTAGCCCCTGGGCACAGTAGTGGTGATTTTGTAGTTGAGATAGAGGATCAGCAGGACCTTGACTGCCGAAAAGCCGTGCAGGGCAAAGATGAAGACCAGGGCAAAGCCAAAGTCGAAGGATAGACGCTGCTCCAGCCGGGCATCAGCAGCAGCATGAGCAGTCAAGCCTTGCGTAAGTCCGCGGCCACCAGGGGCCGAGTTGGAGCGAACTTGGGTGTAGGAGTCGGCACGGCACAGGTAGTCGTAGGTTTTGCGGAGGAGCGGGTGGACGAAGGCTATAACGAAGAGGTACGGAAGATTGTCGCGAAAGGTTGAGTACTGGCCATCCGAGTTGTCCTGCAGTCTCCAGTGAGTAGGGCGAAGGCTGGCAAGGTCAGGCCAGAACATACCACTTTGCGGCCAAACAACCAGCCGTCAGACAGGAGAGGCTCGATCTTGGGATAGTTGGGGTGGGAAGCTGCTCCAGGTCAGCTTCGGGGGCCAGATGCTCGGAAAGGACAGCGCGGCACCTTTGGAAACGTCATAGACAACATAGAACATGGACGGCACAGCGGCCAGGAAGACCAGGTAGTAGAAGTAGAACTCGGGGGTGCCCCATTTGGACGGCTGCGAGCCGGCGGCTCCCGGGGCCTTTGCTTCGGTCGGGGCGGGTTTTGCAGGGTCGATGACCGACTCGGCAGCGAGCTGCTTCGGAGGGGTGCTCGAGGAGGTGGTAAAGCGCGTGTCGAGGGTGTCGAGCGAGTACAGGCGGCGCAGGAAGCCGAGTAACGCCATTGCGGATAGGGGGCTAGAGCATGGCCGAAGGGCGAGTAACGAGCAACGAGCGGCGGGCGGGCGAGAATGGGCACGGGAGAGGCTGGACGGGTGGTGGGGAGAGTGCTGAGGAGAGTGCTGAGGAGAGTGCTGGTGTGGGAATGCATGCGCCGAGGCGCCAGAGCTGCAGTCGCGGAGCCCCGTGCGCCGCCGCCAGGAACGAGACAGTCGCGTCGCCCGCCGAGCTGCATCACCACCCACAACCCACCTGCTGCCCTCGCTGCCCTCACCGCGCCTGCTGTCCGCCCGTGCATCTTGCGCTCCGAATCCACGCGCCCACCGCGCCCACTGCGGCGCCCCAGCCTGCTCCACCATGGCGCTGCCCAGCTCCCAGCCGCCTGCCACCAACGAGTATGCCGGAGGTGAGCTCCAATTGCACCCGCCCCCGCGGGCCCAAGGCCTTACTGACATCGGCGTGCAGACGAGGTGTCTGCCATCGTGCTTGACCCCGGCTACGCCACCACCCGCGCCGGCTTTGCGGGCGAGGACGTGCCCAAGTCCGTCGTCCCCACCTTCTATGGCGCGCGCGACGCCGCCTCGGATGCAATCTTCGGCGAGAACGCGATCCACAACCCTTTGTCAAATCTCGACATCAAGAACCCCTGGTCCTCCGAAGGCATTGTCGAGGACTGGGAAACCGCGACCAAGCTATGGGAGTACTCCATCACCTCGCGCCTGACCGGCACCAAGGAGCAGCACCCCGCCAGAAACGGCCTGAACGACACCTCGAACGGCGACATGGACGTCGAGATGGAGGCCCAGGCCGAGGCGGAAAAACCGCTGGAGGGCTCGCCTCTTCTCATGACCGAGCCCGGCTGGGCCACGCCCAAGCATCGCGAGAAGTGCATTGAGGTTGCCATGGAGGAATGGGGCGCGCCTGCATTCTATATACAGAAGACCGGAGTCCTGGCAGCGTAGGCGCCTCCTTGCCGCAGCCCTGGGACTGGTGTGCTGACTGCCATCAGATTTGCATCGGGAAAGCCGTCGGCACTGGTCATTGATGTCGGCGCTGCCACAACCTCGATCACTCCCGTCATCGATGGCATGGTCATCAAGAAAGGTACGTCGCCACGCTCGACCGAAGACGGGATCGTGATTGATTTTTTCATGTTCAGGCGTTGTCAAGTCTCCACTGGCTGGCAACTTCGTCTCTAACCAGATACGGCTGGTATTCCAGCAGTCCCAACCTCCCATTCCGCTGACGCCTCACTACATGGTGGCGTCCAAAACTCCGGTAGAAGCCGGCGCTTCTGCTCAAGCTGTCTATAAGAAGTTCGAGAAGGAGCCAACTGCATCTTTCCGCAGGCTAGAAGAGGAGCGCGTGCTTACCGAGTTCAAGGAGTCGGTGGTGCAGGTGTGGACGGGCGGAAAGTTCAACGGCAACGCCGACGACGTGTACAGCAGTAGCCCCGGCAGACCGTTCGAGATGCCCGACGGGTGGAACCAAGTCTTCCGCGCCGAGCGATTCAAGGCGGTCGAAGGCTTGTTCGATGCCAAGGCAGCGCTGACAGTACGGAGCCTCCCCGACTAGCGTGCAGACAGATGGGCTAACATGGTGGAACAGGATGCGGAGAACCCGCGGCCGCGCGAGGAGCAGACGATTCCACAGCTTGTAGTGCAAGCGCTCAGCCACGTTGACGTTGAGATGCGGCCCGCTCTCCTTGCCAACGTGGTCGTCACGGGCGGCTCGTCTTTGATTGTTGGCTTCAACGACCGGCTCAACCAGGAGCTTGCTCAGATTTACCCCGGCCCAAGGATCAGGCTGCAGGCGCCAGGCAACACTGTCGAGCGCAAGTACGCTAGCTGGATCGGCGGCAGCATCCTCGGCAGTCTGGGTAGCTTCCATCAGGTAAGACCACGGCTCTTGGCTTATCGACTATCGTGGTGCTGACGGCGTTGGCAGCTCTGGGTCAGCAAGAAGGAGTACGACGAACACGGGGCTAGCATTGTGGAGAAGCGCTGCAAATAAAAGCAGTCCCTGTGATGGGGAATCATGCAGTGTTTCGAGTAAGGGAAGGGAGAAAAAAAAACGGTATGATGGCTACGACTGGGTCTTGAGTTGGCGCAGCCGAGCCAAAAGTGGTGCAGGGCGACCACAGCGAGGAGAGCCGCAAAGATGATGAGGCGTCAAGTGAAGATGGGGGCCAGGTCAGGATAAGCGGATGGAGGAAAAGGACAGGCAAATGTGGAAGATTAGAACGACCGACACAATGATAATCAGCAGCAAGAAGCACTGACGCGTCGCGTCCATGGACCCTGCGTGACGTCGGGCGTCGGTAGCGCGCCAAGCCCGGCGTGTTTACCTCCACCCAGTGTTTTGGTCGCCGCGCCGCTCGCTGCCAGCACATCATCGCGCCTCTTCGACTCCCCATCACCATGTCCGCACGACCCTCCCGGCGAGCGGCTGCGCGCCGCCAAACCATTGTCGAGTCCTCCGATTCTGAAGATGCCTCTGTCGACCAGCAGGACGGCGATGAGGAAGAGTTCACGCCTGCACCCTCGCCCGCCCCGCCCAAGAGCGCGCGTCGCCGCACTGCAGTGAGGGACGACAGCGACGAGGCTGAATTCACCCCGGCACCCAAAAGCGCCCGCCGCCGCAAAGCCTCCGAGGTGCCCATCACCCCTCGCACAGTTCCCTCCAAGAAGGGCAGGACACGAGCGAGCGAGTCCGTCGAGCCCAGCGTCACCCACAGCCCCGCCGAGAGCGCAGCCACCAGTGCCGCTGGCGACGAGCACGATGCACGCAAACCGCCCAAGAAGATGGCCGCCACGCGTCGAGGCCGCCGCAATGTCCGCGATAGTCGCAGAAACAGAGCCTCGGTTGCTCCCGATGTAATACAACCATTCCCTCCACTTCCTGCGTCTCGGTCAACGGCTCAGTTCCCGCCGGCGCTATCAACGACGGCCTTCACCAAAGATGCTAATTCTCCACAAAAGGAGCAGGAATCCGAGCATGAGTTGCGACACAAATCACCTCTCTCCGACATCACTGACGGCGCCGATAAGTCCTCCAACATAATCAAATCCTCGGAACGGGATGCCCGGTCCCGGCAGAAGACTCCCCCGCCTTTTGATCCGGGCAACATTGAAAATTCTACCGTGAAGAGCCCCACTAGTGCTTCGCAAGAGAAGACGCCGATACCCGAAGAGAAGGCGCCAGTGCCCGAGGAAAAGACCCCGAAACCTGAAGAAAAGGCCCCGGTGGCTGAGGAGCAGACACCTGTCGCTGAGCAGAAGACACCAACGCGCGAAGAGAAGACACCGGCAGGCCCCACTCCTCTGACCGTCACAAGGGTTGATGCCATGGACGCGTTGCTCGAGAGACCAATGGACATTGTGGCCAAGGCTAGAGCAGCCGCACAGCCTTTGACACAGGAGCCCGAAGCTCCGAAATCGCGCATTTGCATTACATGGTTGATACTTACCAACTTCAAGAGTTACGCAGGTAGACAGGAAGTCGGGCCATTCCACGCCTCATTTTCGTCCGTTGTTGGCCCCAACGGCTCCGGAAAGTCAAATGTCATCGACTCCCTTCTTTTTGTCTTCGGTTTCAGAGCCAGTAAGATGAGACAGGGCAAACTTTCAGCTTTGATCCACAACTCCGCCCAGTTTCCAAACCTGGACCACTGCGAGGTTGAAGTCCACTTTCAGGAAGTAATGGATCTGCCTGAAGGAGGCCACGAGGTCATTCCAGACTCGGATCTGGTCATCTCTCGCAGAGCTTTCAAAAACAATTCGAGCAAGTACTACATCAATGGGAAAGAGTCTAACTATACCGTTGTTACGACTCTGTTGCGTGATCGTGGCGTTGACCTTGACCACAAGCGTTTCCTGATCCTGCAGGGTGAGGTCGAGTCCATCGCACAAATGAAAGCGAAGGCTGCAAACGAGCATGATGATGGTCTTCTGGAATACCTGGAGGATATTATTGGAACATCCAAGTACAAGACGCCAATAGAGGAATCTGCTGCACAGGTCGAGACGCTTAACGAGGTGTGCCAAGAGAAGAACAACCGAGTCCAGCACGTTGAGAAGGAAAAGGACAGCCTCGAGGACAAGAAGAACAAGGCTTTGGCGTACATTCGCGATGAAAATGAGCTTGCAAGCAAGCAATCGGCTTTGTACCAGATCTTCATCGACGACACCAACGACAACATCCAGGTTGCCCAGGAAGCCATCAACGAGGCACAAGCTTCACTCGACGAGGAGCTGGAGAGGCACAAGGGCAGCGAGGAAGAGATCAAGGAGCTCGAGAAGCAGTACAAGGCGGGCTCCAAGCAGTACAGTGCGCTCGACAAGCAGACGCAGGACTTTCTGAAGGAGTTGGCGAAGTTAGACAAGGAGACGGTCAAATTCGAGGAGAAGAAGAAGTTCTTGACCAACAAAGAGAAGAAGCTCCAGAAGACGCTCGAGACCAGCAAGTTCGGCACCTCGGAAGCGGAAAGCACCATCAGGCAATGCGCCGACGACATCGACAGGAATACGGCCGAGATCGCGGAGCTTGAGGAGCAGATGCGGGCTGAGGAGGAAGAACTCAACTCAATCCGAGAGAGCTTGAAGGGAAAGACCCAGAGCATCTCCGACGAGATTGCCGAAAAGCAAAAGGCCTTGGAGCCGTGGAACGCGAAGATCAACGAGCAGCAATCGGCCATGGCTGTCGCACAGAGTGAGCTGGACATTTTGCGCGAGAAAGAAAATGAAGGTGCAAAGAAGATTGCCGACATGGAAGCCAGGATTGCCGGTTTGGAGGAGCAGAAGGCTACGAAGCTGGTTGAACTTGAAGAGTGTGAATCCGAAAAGCGCAGCACGGAAAAGGAGATCAAGAATGCCCAGAAGGAGATGGCCGTCCTCGGGCAAGAAGAACCCAGAGTCCGCTCCAAGCTATCCAGCGCCCGCCAGAAGGCTGATGAAGCGAGATCCAGCCTTTCTTCAACGCAGTCGCAGGGGAATGTCCTTACCGGGCTCACGCGCCTGCAAGAGTCTGGTAGAATCAAAGGGTTCCATGGTCGGCTCGGTAATCTAGGCACGATCGACCAGAAGTACGACATTGCCATTTCAACCGCTTGCCCGGCGCTGAACAACCTCGTCGTCGATTCAGTAGAGGTTGGCCAGCAGTGCATCGAGTACCTCCGCAAAAACAACCTCGGACGCGCGAACTTCATCTTGCTCGACAGGCTTCCGCAACGTGATCTTTCCGAGATCGACACTCCGGAGAACGTTCCTAGGCTTTTCGACCTGGTAAGGTCAAAGCACGAAAAGTTCAAACCCGCCTTCTACAGCGTTATGCAGAACACACTTGTTGCGCACGATCTTCAGCATGCGAATCGGATCGCGTATGGGGCTAAGAGATGGCGCGTCGTGACGCTTGACGGCCAGCTTATTGATAAATCCGGTACAATGAGCGGCGGTGGTACCAGGGTCGCGAAGGGTGCCATGTCCTCGAAGTTGGCTGCCGACATAACGAAGGAGCAAGTTGCCAAGCTCGAGGTAGACCGTGACGCGGTAGAGCAGCAATTCTCAGACCTCCAGGGAGCACTCAGAGAGGGCGAAACCATGCTACGAGAGCTCAGCGAAAAGATACCGAAGCTGGAGACGAAGGCCCAGAAGATTGGTCTGGAAATTGAGAGCTATGAACGAAACATGGCCGATGCTCGGCGCCGCATCAAGGAGATTGCAGCAGAGCAGCAGCCCTCCAAGTCCGACAAGGCCCGCATGGCCAGTCTCGAGAAGAGCATTGCTAGCATGGGGAAGGGGATGGACAAGCTCCACGCCGAGACGTCCAGTATGGAAGAGGAAATCAAGGCTCTTCAAGACAGGATCATGGAGATCGGAGGCATCAAGCTGCGCACGCAAAAGGCCAAGGTGGACGGGTTGAAAGAGCAGATCGACACGCTTAACGAGGAGATGTCGTCGGCCGAGGTGAACAAGGCAAAGGCGAACAAGCAGAAGACGAAGCATGAGAAGGCTCTTGTCGAGGCGGAGAAGGAACTTGAAAAGATGGCCGCCGAGATGGAGAAGGTAGACGAAGACATGCGTGCTCAGAGACGGGACTCGGGTGGCTCAAGACAACAAGCAGAGGAAGCACAGGAAGCTCTGGAAGGGAAGAAGGAGGAACTGAGTGCTCTGAAGGCCGATCTGGACGCAAAGACAACCGAACTCAACGAGACGCGTGGCATCGAGATCGAGATGCGCAACCAGCTGGAAGAACACCAAAAGACACTGAAGGAGAATCAAATGAAGCTGCGGCACTGGCAGGAGAAGCTTGGCAAGCTCTCTCTCACCAACGTCAGCGACCTGGGCGAGGAGCAAGAGGTCGAGGCCCTGCCGACCTACACCAAGGACGAGCTTCAGGACATGGACAAAGGCCAACTCAAGCGCGAGATTGCCAGCCTGGAGGACAAGACACAAAATGTCCAGGTCGAGCTTGGTGTGCTCGGCGAGTACCGTCGTCGTGTTGAGGAGCATGCTTCTCGCAGCGCAGACCTCGCCACTGCTGTGGCCGAGCGCGATGCGGCGAAGAAGCGGTGCGATGAGCTGCGCCGGTTACGTTTGGAAGGTTTCATGGAAGGCTTCAGCACAATTTCGTTACGCCTGAAGGAGATGTACCAGATGATCACCATGGGCGGCAACGCCGAGCTTGAGCTTGTCGACTCGCTGGATCCGTTCTCCGAGGGCATCTTGTTTAGCGTCATGCCGCCCAAGAAAAGCTGGAAGAACATTTCCAACCTCTCGGGTGGTGAGAAGACGCTTAGCAGCTTGGCTTTGGTGTTTGCGCTGCATCACTACAAGCCAACGCCGCTGTACGTCATGGACGAGATTGACGCCGCCCTGGATTTCAGAAACGTAGGATCCATCCCCGCCGGACTGCAAGTTTCACGTGGCCTTACTGACATGCTCGAATGCAGGTTTCCATTGTCGCCAGTTACATCAAGGAGCGGACTAAGAACGCTCAGTTCGTGGTCATCTCGTTGCGCAACAACATGTTCGAGCTTGCGTCGCGCTTGGTCGGTGTATACAAGGTCAACCACATGGTGAGTCGCCAGCAAGAATCCCGCCGCATCGCCGAAAGTATCTGTGGCTGACAGGACGCGATCGACTTAGACGAAGAGTGTCACGGTCGAAAATAGGGATTACATAGTTCCCATTAGGGCGTAAAGTTTCCGTGGTAGCATGATTTCACGTTGGGAGTAGGGTTCACGGACAGGTGTGGTGTTTGGGACCAGCCGGTGGCTGGCGGAGACAATGGGAATTCGCTTTGGGCGCAGCACGGGGAACGGCGTTTGGGCAAACCGGAAACGGACGAAGGCTGGCAGGGTAACGTGCCAACGTCACGATGCTGTGGGACACGGGGAGCAGAGCAAGCGAGCAGGTGCACTGTCTGGATTGGTGGACACCCCTATTACGATCGATCCAAACGAAAATGCCAACTCCGCTGCCTGAACGACATGCTCACCAGAGGGGTATACCTACATACAATCGCCAAAATAGCACACAATATTTCTGACCCTCACAGCACAGTCGCACATCCGTGCATCCATCCATGCCCAACCCCGCTTCACTCAAGGCAGGGCGGCGTTTCCACATGCTCGTGGTAGTGCTGGCACATGCTCTTGACCCAGGGCTTGCAGCTGGCCAGCTTGGCAGCGTCGTCGCCGCACAGGGCCTTGCCCGAAGAGAGGCACGGGTTGCAGAAGGCGTAGCCGCAGGCGTCGCACCGGTTGCCGCTGAGGCCGGGCTGCATGACGTCGCGGCAGGACCAGCAGGCGCGGGTGGCGTCCCAGGAGGCGGGCTTCCAGGCGACGAGGTCGTGGCGGCTGAGGCCCTGCAGCTCGGGCCGCTTGACGCGGACGACGAGCTCGCGCAGGAAGTGCGGGTGCCACTCGTCCGGGTGCGAGGCCAGCAGCACGTCCGTCTTCTTGAACGCGAAGAGGTCGACGACGAGCTTGCGCAGCAGCGCCGTGTCGCGGATCTCGCTGTACAGCGTCACCGTGTCGCTGGGCGTCGGCACGCTGTTGCTGCGCTCCGCCAGCGCCGCCACCCGGTCCACCACGGCGTTGCGCAGCGACTCGACCGACAGCCGGTCCGCGAGCCCGTACAGCGACAGCAGCTGGTAGAAGGCCACCTTGCCGCCGCGCGTGAAGACGTCGTCGAGCTGGCCCGTGTACGCCCACGACAGGAAGAGCTCGAACGTGGGCACCTCCTCGGCCGGCAGCGCCAGCTCCTGCGAGAGCCCCTCGGCGAAGGCCCCCGTGAGGGCCGCCGCGAAGAAGGGCGAGTGGTGCGTCAGGACGTCGCGGTGGACGAGGAACGGCGTCTCGTTGCTGCCGACCAGGATGGTGGAGATGATGGTGAACGTCTTGAACTGGGTCCTGGTCGTCTCGTCAGTCTTGCAGATCCGCCGTGCCCCTCTCTCGGGCCCCTTGCAGAAAGCAACTCACCGTAGCGAAAACGATCGGCTGCTCTTTGAGCGCGCGGCACCCCTCAGCGCCATCGGCGTCCGCGGCCGAAACTTCTCGATTTCGGTCGCCATGATCAATCGTTGCCGAGAGCGTGAGCTGCCGCAGCTGGGCCGGTCTGTACTGTGTCGGCCGTGACGGTTGCCGCTCGATAGCACTGGGCGGAATGCCAGCACTCTCTCGGCTGTGAGGGAGAGCCGGGCTCGAGGAGGAGGAGGGGACAGGAGCCGGTGAGAGGGCCACCACAAATCTGCGGATAGAGAAAAAGAGGGTGTAAATTGATTGTGCCAGTTGGAACCTTGCTGCTGCACACACAAACACACACACGCACACGCACACGCACACGCGCGGACACGCTCACGGAGGCTGCACGCCCGTTTGGCGGGTTGTTAGTGGCACGCGCTGTTGGTCAGTCAAGCAGGGGCAGGCGACCGATGTGCAACGCAGGAATGGGCAGAGGGGAGCGACGGCATTCGTCGTTATAAGCTGCAAGGACAGCGGCTCTGCTCACCTGTTCGCGTCGCTGGGCATTTAGGTCCGGCAGCCGTGATTATTCGGCATGGGGCGACGGACTGTTCGCGTGGTAGCCCCAGCCTTTCCTTTGTCGTCGCCCACGCTCGCCGGCCGGATGCGGAAAGTTGAGACACTACAGCGCCCAAAGGCATTGAGAGCGAAAACACTTGGCCATGCAGTCAGCGCCCTCCATTGTCGAACAATCCACTCTTCCCCGTCCGTTGGGCTGCTCTCACGCTTACGCGCGCTGCCGGCCTTGCGCCCGATGCCCCCGCGCCGGCACACAGCACGCCGTCATCCATATTCAATCGCATTGCTGGGCTATTCCAGAGCTTGTCAGTTTTCAAATTGACGTTTCTCGTGCCACTTCGCGCCCGCTGGACCATCGAGAACTCTGAGCCTGTGCTACGTCCACCGTCCGCCACGTTGAAACGCCAGCAAAAAGGCCGCCGATGCGCGCTGGACTGTTCACTATTTAGAGAGCATACAGAACCGAAGCTGGAACCCAGAGCCATAGACTTTTAACCTTGAACCCAATTGCACGCATTCGCCGAAGGAAAGAATACACGTCCGCCTAGATGCGGTGTTTCTCGCTCTCTGCAATCTCATGTTAGCAGCACCCTCTCCACTGGCCAGGGGGGGCTACGCGGTTTCCTCACCGAGTCGAGAGTAGAGCATGTAGAGTGCCATCTGGTTGCACTCCTGGGTTCCTGTGATGGTAACCAAACGCTCGTTGCTGTTGTCCTGCGGCTCATTGATCTTGATGACACTGCCGCTGAGCTGCCTTATCTCGTTGATCTTAGCACCTCCCTTACCAATAATGGCGCCGACCATGTCATTGGGAATGAAGATCTGCTGCGTCATTGGCTGTCCAGGCATCATGCCTTGCATGGGCTGTGCGGGCTGGCCAGCATGGCTGGGCTGTGCCACGTGGGGGGCACCGTACTGCTGAGGCTGGTGGGGTCCAGCACCCGTGTATGCGTGACGGGGTGAGCCAGCGCCGTAGTGGAGCGGCGCCTGCGGCTGCTGCGGATACTGCCCGTGCATGGGCGCTCCGTACCCGGCGGCCGGGGTCCTCTGTGCCTGAGGGCCCTTGCGGTTGAACGTGTCCGGCGGACCCCATTGGCCCCCAGCCGGCTGAGGGACATACGGCACGACTTGCATACCACCAGGAACGACACCGGCAGGCCCGCCACTACGAGTTGCATATGCCGAAGCTCCCGGACCGCCAAACCTCTCAGTTAGCTGCTCAACCAAAGTGCTCCCAACATAGTACGTCGCGATGTGCACGGCATCAGCAACACCGAGGACCACAAGAGACCGCTCGGTCGAAAGAGGAAGGCACGAGTCAGAAGCATTCAGACGCGCTCCCGAAGCCTCTTGGATCTCACGGATGCGCACACCGGATTTGCCAATGATGGATCCAATGAGGATGTGAGGAATGAGTAGGCGGAGCGGGTACGTCTTAGACTGTGGAGTGGACGGCGAGTTGAGGTCCTCGTTGTTAAGCGTGCGAATAATCAAACCGAATGCCTACAAGTCGTAAGTATATAGCATCCGCAAAATAAAACACGAGTCTACCGACCTTTGCGACTGCATCTACAAGGCCGCTGACGGTCAAGATACGCTCAACAGCACCTCTGGAGTAGTCGCTGACGGTGCACTTAGCTCCTGACATGCGGCGGATCTGCGTGACATTCTCACCGCCCTTGCCAATGACGGTGGCGGCCTCGGCGCTGGAAATGATGGCGCGGACATGGAGCCAGTTTGACTCGTCCTGGTGGCCGGCGGAAGCAGGCTGGGCAGTCGAGGGACCATTGGCGGTCGAGGTCGACTGGATGGGCTGGGTATCGGGGGCGGCAGAGGCAGCGGAGGTGGGGGCGTCCGGGACGACAGTGTCGCCCTGGACGTCCTTGGTGCCATTCTGCGCAACGGGCGCGGGGGCTTCAGAATCGCTCTTAGCCGACTCGGAAGGAGCGGAAGCGGTGGCAGGCTCAAGAGCGGAAGGGGCTTGCTCGGTCGAATCTTCCTTGACGATCTTGTCCAGCGCGGGCCGCTTCGCGTCGGGCTGGTCGCCGGGGCCCGAGGGCGACGACGGCTCCTCCAGCGGGCGCTTCTGGCTGGGCGCCGTGGCAGTGGTTGGTGAGGCAGACATGATTGCCCTGCTGTATCAAAGTAAAGGACTTCTCTTTCTCTTTCAGGCTCAGAGGACCAGATCGGGTCGTAAAGTTCTTCGTATTGCTCGAGTTACGTACAGCAGAGGGCTGTCGAAGGAAAACTTGCTGGAGGGCGGGTCGGCAAAGGGACTTCAGTGTCTGGGTGGTGTGGGCAGTCGCCGGGAGAATGGTGCAATGTGCGGGTGGCGGCGAGGAGAGGATGATCGGCTGGAAGGAGCTCGCTCAAGGGCGGGATTGAGAGGAGTGCCAGTGGTGGAGGAGCGTTGTGAGGGAGCGGTCTGGTGCAGGAGCTGGGGCCGAAGAAGACGAAGACTCAGTAAACGCGCCGCCAAAGCAAACCTTGCAGCGTCGTCGCAGCGCGAGCAGCTTCGCGCGTGAGCAGCAGCGCCCGGGCGGAGATGTCGGGGGAGCGGGCGCTGGGGAGTGGCGATGGGAGTTGATGAAGGTGCGGCGAAAGGTGTGGCGGCAAGGGCAGGGAGAGGTTGCGATGGACGGGCAGGAACAGGAAGCGACGTAGAAGCTCGTCGACGTGTGGAGTGCGCCAAGGGCCGCCCGTGGGCTAGTGCAGCGGCCGCAGATCCGTCACGTGCCGACCCTGCCGCTCAAGCCGCACCCATTGCCAGCTGTCGGCAGCGGGGCAGCCGTACGGAGTATCAATCAAGGGCTTGCAGTCACGCAGTCTCCCTGGACTCTGCGCACCTGCTCTTTGTTGCGGGGCGACTCGTGCAGCCAGCCCCTTGCCCGCCCGGACGAGTACGGTTCCGTGCCTGCGCGGCGCGTCCACCTAGTACACCATGGACCGCCCCCGCCCCGGCACCCTCGCGAGCATCCAACACTATGCTACCACGCTCAATGAAGCTCGCCAGCTCCAGATGGACGTGGAAGCCTCGGGCCATGCCGCCTTCGAAGCCCGCCTCAAGCAGACTCTGCACGAGTTGCAGGAACGCGTCGAGCAGCAGCAGCGTGCACTGGCCGAGGTAATCACTACGCGTGATCGCTCTTCACATTTGCCATTGTTGCTGACTCCTTTCACAGTTGCGGGCTTCCACACGCCAGCCAGCGCCCCTCGTGCCCTCTGCGGATCCCCGGGAACGCCTTCGGCAACTGAGAACTCTGCAAAATGCGTACGAGCGCTTGACCCCTGCAGAGCCGTATCTCCCTGGCCCAACGTCTGTCCTGCCGACTCTGCTTGCGACAGACAGCACCCAGAGATGCATTTCCGAGACCAGAGATGCTCTCGCCATCTCGCGTGCAAAGCTTGGAGCTGCACGGCGGGAACTTGACCGAGAAGAGAGAGGCCTCCAGGATGCGAATGCAATCACCCTCAGTTTGGAGGCGCGCATCGACGTGCTCGACTCTCAGCGTCAGGAGCGGGCGGCCAAAGCACCGCCACAGCTAGCCAAGGAATTGCTGGCATCAATGCGCAAGCGCCAGCAGAAATACGATGTCGAGTGCCGACGGCTTCAATCTGCCCTAGAAAGCTTCGTGGAGGAGCACTTGGCCGCTCTGGTCGCCGCCGAGGAGCTAGGGGGGCCCGTGGTTGGTGAGCTCATGGACGTTGGTGATGAGATGTTGGCTGCAGGCTTCTCCCATCAAGGCAAACCGAAGCCGTTGAAGCAGGGAATGGCAGCTGTGGACAGGCGACAGAGGCGTATTGATGAGATATGGGGCGCAACCGGCGCGCCCGATGACGAGCCTTTGGATGAGAAAGACGCTGCTGCCACGGAAATCAGGTCGCTGGTTGAAGACCTTCTACGCGCATTGCTGGGCGAGACTCCTGGGGGGGAGTATGTTGAGCTGAACAGAGATTCTGCAGCCTCCCGCTTCTTGGTGCGCGCAAAGGTTGCGCAGTTTCACCCAAAAGATGCGAGGAAACTTAGATTGGTTGACTTCGGCCGGGACCTGGATATGTGAATCAAGATCACAGCTGCACTGAAAGCCCCTAGCGCATCTGCTTTGCGTCTGGGGAGATCCCCGGACATTGCCAATTGGTGCGGGTTGGAGGACCTAGCATGTTCCCGTACAGCCAAGATGCTTCCATCTGTGTGCACACTCTCCGTGGTGGATGTGACGACAGCCCTACTCGCCTAAAACACACTAGCGCTTTTCTGTTAGCGCGCACAACTGAACCTTTGGCGAGCGAAACCACACACGTCCAGCCGATAACGACGACATCGAAAGCCATACCCACGACGCTGCACCCGGAAATCAGTCGCCATGGCCAGTAAGTGTGGTGCAAACAGCCACCTATTCGTCGATGCTAACATGCCGCTCCCCAGAGTCCAAGAACTCGTCTCAGCACAACCAGTCCAAGAAGGCTCACCGTAACGGGTACGCATCGCCTCCAACCTCCTCGCATCCTGCTCCGACATCCGGCAATCGCCCTATAACCAGTCGACTGGCGCCCGAACGCCCTTGAACATGATCTGACACGTCACACGAAACAGTATCAAGAAGCCCAAGACCCACCGCTACCCGTCGCTCAAGGGTGTCGACCCTAAGTTCAGGAGGAACCACAGGCATGCGCTTCACGGCACCATGAGGGCGCTGGTGCGTACTTCCCTCGCATCATGCTGAGCGTGTAAGAGTTTTCTGGCTGATGACAGTGGTAATCTACAGAAGGAGGTCAAGGAGGGCAAGCGCGAGTCGGCATAAACAGGGCGCAGCAATGCCCGGGGACGGGTTTTCCGGCATGAAAGTCTAAAAATGACTGGCATGGATTGAGCTGGCCGCACTGATGCAGCCTTTACACGGGAAAATGGAAAACGGCTTTTCGATCCCGACCGATTCACGATTTTCTCCGCGCCGAGCGCACTGCATTCCTCGTCTTTTGCTGAACCGGTGGTACTGCGGAGTCGTCCGCCTTCTTGAATGGTAACTTTGTGTTCTTTCACGTGACATTTTACATGTACGGCATTAGTGTGTACAGCTCCGCGCCCTACCCATGCGCGATTGCTGAAGGATTATTCTCGTGCCAAGATCACCTGCCCTCTCATTACCAAACATCCGGCCTCTTTTCCCGTGGGGTTTGGATGCATGGAGAAAGGGCGACATATCTGCGTGAAAGTTGGGTCAAGACGTGGCTCCGTCGGCAGTTTGACTCATCTGCAATTTTTGGTACCGCGTGCTGCCCATCGTGGGAGATTCAACGGGTTTACTGAACTGCTCGAGAGAGCCCGTTGTTTCTTTGCTCTGGAACATATCGTCCGACGAGGGTCGTAGCCCTACTATCAAATGTACCGTAGGACCGCGAGTGAGGGTCTATATACAATCGGTTGAAAGCAGTCGTTAGTCAAGGGATGCTTCTTTCATCTCAAAGTCAATGTACAGATTCCTCAAGCATTGGTGTCGTGCTCGGGCCAGGTCATCGCAGTGAGCTTGCATCGATGCAAGGATATATCACGGCGAAATGCTAGCCGGTGTTGAATATATCTTCCCAGTCCAAAGCTCAGTGTCCATGGTAGGATTTCCACAGTAGGTGGCTGAATGCATATGCATCATTGCAGCAGTGTTGAAGTTCATGCTTTCAGCATGCTATTGCTTTTCGTGCTGTTCTGTTAGGTCCGCGTTCTTGTTCTGCACCGGCGCAGCTTCATCCACTACCGTCAGACATTACTTTCCCCATTATTTCGTTTGTAGTCATTGCTAAAGATGCCGCAAAGCTTCCTACAGATGCCCGCTCTCTCAGAGAACTTAGCCAGGTGCTCTGAAAAACGGTCAGTTGAGGTGGTAAACAAGCATTATCACGGACCGATATGTTGACTTACAATGCGGTCACTATTAGATCTCACATTAGGTAGACACTAGAACAGCTCCACTCAAAGTTCGCACATATCATGGCTGTCCCTAGGAAATAAATTACAACGCAAGGCTCGCTGTCCCTTGGCAGAGACGCAAGTGTCGAAAACTTCCGTAATATGCGCACAAGACTCCGTTGTTTGAGCCTCGCAGCTTTCACGGGGGTGAAAGGCGTAGCACAAAACAAACAGAAAGAGTCATAAGAAAGCTTTTCAGTCGTGAAGCAGGCTCGAGTGAATGAGAGTAGCTGCATGGGTGCCTCGGTCCAAGGCAGCGACTTCTTCTTTCACACATACAACGCACCTTCCGTACTTGCTTGCTTCAGTGACACCTCCTCAACTGCGCGTCAAGACGCAACCCGCCACCTCAACATCCTCGTCTGACTTACTCGTTCACGACCAACCCTAACCGGCCATGGCGGACATACAGAACTGGATGCGGAAGACAATTCAGCCCGTCCGAACGCGCACCCCGACCTTCCCTTTGACTTCCGACGAGCGCCGCAGCACCGTTGACGCCAGTTCTCTTTCCGAATCCAGCACGCCGCGAAGACGTTCCGGCCCGCGCAAGAAGATCTCTTCTTACTTCACCCACCGACCGAGCAAGTGCCTTGACGATCCCGCGACGGAACTCTGGTCATCTGATGGTATGACCAATGATGCTCCTTTACCCGACATAAACACTATGATCGATGCAATCTTCATCAAGCTCTGCGACCAGCCGTTTGACGGTCTCCCGGAACAAATGAACAGTTCCATCCTCCACGTGATCGAGGCATATAGGAACTTGAGTGTGGAAAAGGAGCAACTTAACGACAGGCTCCAGGAGATGGGTAACAGTCTAGAGGAGGCTCAGATCAGATGGGAGACAGAAGAAAAGGACTTCCGCGCGGAAATCAAACGTCTGGAACTTATCATTGCTAAAGGGAAGAACGGCATGTCGCGACTGATGGCCTCTCGTCAAGACAGCGTCGTCAGTCGAAGGAAGGGTTTTAGAAGCAAGGCAGGCTTGAGCACGACAGCTATCAGGGAAGCAGAGACTGTGGCAAAGCAGGAGCCACAGACAAAGAACAGTCAGCAAGGTAAGACACTACCTATCGGATCCTTGTTGAAGATCGACACTTAAATAACATCTTCCCTAGCCATGTCACCGTCCAGCAGGGAGAGGGTTCTTTCGATTCAACTCTTCTCTACCGTCAATCACGACATCTCAGTGGGTACGCCTCCACTAACGAACATCTCGAATGCACTTGGAAATGTTTCTGCGTTTCCAGAAGGTCCTCGGGGATCTTTGTCTCCAGGACAGGCCGCGTCTTCAGACGACGAACGCGCTTGTCGTGGTTCCAGGACGAGATTGAGCCCCAGCAGCGCGATTGTGCCTTGCGAGAAGGAAGCTGGATCGTTTCGAGAGAGCGACCCCGCTCGAGATTTGCAGGCCATCAAACAGATGGCATCTGCAATAGCGAGCAACCGGGGCTTGAGGGCGGAACAGATCCTACCTAAGCTGATTGAGTTATTCGACAATGCAGAAGAGCACCTGGAAGTGCCTTCGACGGAAGCGGTGCAGAGAACCCCAACGAGGCACCAGATTCGCAGACCGCCGTCCTGGATCCCTAACGATGATGCTGCTGGCTGGAAAGATTCACGCATAATGCCTGCAATCAGGCCGCCTCTCCGTACCATCGATAGCTTCGTGTCGTCTCGCGGCGAGGCAATGAGCGATCTATCAGCGAGCAGTTCAGAAGAGCTTGAAGGCGACCGCAATGTAAGAAAGCCTTCTAAGATTCCCAGCCCTACACATGACAAGGGATTAGCGCGTTCACGTCAGGAACAGCGGTCTAGCGTTGTGACGGTGGTGGCTGGCCCCGGCCGATCAGAGGCCGAAATGCTCTCGTCCAGCGCCAGCTCCCGCAGAACGGCATTCCGCAACAGTGCCGAACGCCTCGACGCGAGTGTGGCACCCCGCAACAACATGGTCCGGCAGATGTCGCAACAGAGCAACCGTCGTTCCCTTTCATCGTCAGCTGCGCAGAGTGGAGCCACGTCGTCTCCTGACACTGTAGCGGCGAAGTCAACCACAGCAAATGCCCAAGTAAAGCTCACCGCCGCCACTCTCGGGCCGGACCAGCGGTCAACTGCTGCTGAAGCAAGAGACTAATCAGGTAGACTGCGCCGCAAACCTTGTGGGCGGCAGGGCGGCCAGAAGCTCAAAGACCACAGTTAGCCGCATTGACCCCGTCAAGGATGGCGCGCGCCAGCCAGCCTACCAAAGGCCAGCGGGTAGCAAATGAGGAAGCGCAGGATTGGGGTAAGACGGAAAACGGAAGCAGAGGAAGCGTTGTAGCGGAATGCCGGTCTGTTTGGGCGAGCCGGCGTGCCGGGAGTTTCATTTGGGCTTCTGAGGTTGAGGCAGCGCGGCAGCACGCGTCGGAGATGAGGCAGACCAGCGATGGACATCGCGATCGATCGCGATCGGGTCGGGCGCCAGGCTGGGGGCGCGAGTAAGGAAATAAAAAAGAAACAACGGACAGCTGTCCCAGCAGCCTCGGCGAAAAGCAACACCGGCTAGTGAGGTCCTCTATAGTCCAAAGGATTTGTGGTAATGGGCTCGATTGGGCGATGCGCGATTATGCCGCGTGCTGTAATACGACGGCAATGTGGGCGGGGGAGATTAGCGGCGCGTGGGCGCTGGCGCGGGTTAGCCTGGGCGTACAGCGCGACCCAAAGCGGGCGCGGCGAACGGTAAGATACGCGCCAAGCTGCTTACGCTGACGCTTGGGGCGGCGGCCGACTGACGGCTAATCCTGCCAACGCCAATCGCACTTGGCCTCGCACACACTCCGCTCGAAATTGCAGGAACAACGCTGTCCTCCCATGCTCCAGCCTTCACCGCGCTCTCAACAACCGGCCGCGGTGGACTCGCTCTCCACTCTCCACTGTGATTGCATCATGCCGAGACGTGGTGCCGGCGTGCCGACGGTCGAGTTACATCGCAGTCGCGTCGCGTCCCAGAGTCGCACAATGAACAGCAGCACCGCTCTTATGACGCCAGCCTGACTGGCTTCGCTGCGCTGGCGGGCAGCCCCAGGCTCAAGACTGCGAATACGCGCGTCACGCCGTCCTCTGCACCGGCCGCAACGGGCGACGGATCGCCAGCGACCGTGATTTGCGGAACGGCTCCCGTCAGCTAGCAGCTGTGGCGCATGAAGCCCGCCGGCTTCTCACGCGCCTCGGCATGACTACCTGTCGCGGCGGCCGGCCTATGATGTGCGACAGCCCCGGCCCGCCGATTGAGCGCACGCTGCAACGCGCCTGCGAGCGCCACGTCGAGAAGCGATCGCGCACCATGTCAGACAAACGACCGGCCAGGCTGCCTTTTTCCAGCGAGCGCTGCGCGCACTGGAGCCGCGGACTTCGCCGCCGCCGCCTTCTGCTCTCGCCGCCATCAGCCCAGCATGCACCCGCACCCCCGTCCGTGTCGCCTCTGGGCTGCCGCCCCCCCTCCCCCCCCCCCCCCCCCCGGCGCCCACTACCGACATTTTCCCTCATCTCGGCTGCCCTCATCTCGCAAGCGATATGGTTGTCAAAGATCCGGCCGCATGCGCCACACCAGCTGGCTGCGGCGGGATGCGCCGTGGGGACCCATGCCTCCCATCCCTTCATCACGCAGGGGAAGCAGCGCAGCCAGCGGCTCCAGGCACTCGCGCGCACTCGGCACCGGCACGTCATTCTCATCTCCGCACGGCAGCTGAGGCGCAACCTGTGCTCCCGGCGCGATGGAGGGGGCAGTATGTGCGCCAGGAGGCCGCGGGCCCCTGGAGCGTCACGTTCTCCGTGTGTGGCTGCTTGCTATCCGCGGCCGGGGCCCAAGGACGTTCCAGAGGCGAGTGGCACGCTTGGACGTGCGCGACGCTGCGGTTTCACTCAGCGGCCATGCTTGTTGCTGGGCGGCGGCCGACGACAACGTGCTCCCCGCGCGGCCGTGCCCCCGCGCGCGCCTGTGCGCGCTGTCGCGACGGGCGGGAGGAGAGATTGGGAGGCGGCGCACGACAATCGGCAGGCGGCCAGACCACGGCGGCGCTGGGCAGTCGCGGCTGGGATCTGGGATGCTGTAGGGACGAGCGATCAGCGTCCGAGTTTTCGGGCGGTCGCGCGGCGGCAGCGTGGCCGCGTCTCTGGAGTGAGGTCCTAGGCCTGGGTGGCGCGCGTGGTGCTGCGCACAGCCACGGCCGGCTGAGGTATGACGCAGCGCAATGGGGCGTCGCGCGTTGCCCCGACCCCGACGATTGACGCTCGCATCGTGATCTGCTGTTCCGGTGCGGTCACCTTCCTGGGCTCGTGCGCGCCGCTTCCTTCCCTCACCACCCTTGCAAGTGCTGGTCCACATGGCGTCGAAATAAACGGTTTTGCTTCATAAAAGACTGGCGCCTTTCGCTCGCATATGCGCGCCCGCCTTTTGCTCCCCGAACCGCATGGTGCCGTACCTGTAGTCAGCCACACGTCCTAGGCGCCCGCGCACCGCCCACCGCCGCCGTTCCACACCTCAGCTACTACCTCGCCGGCCTCTCCTCTTCATGCTCCTAGCACCCTAACTACACGCTCCGCCGAGCTCTCCCAACATGTTCCGCAATCGGTAAGCTGTCTGCGCCTGCTCGCGCCTGCTCGCGCCTGCTGCGCGTTGCGCTCCGCCAGCCTGCTGACATGTTGCCTACGCGCAGGACCAATTCGCAAAAGCCGAATGATGAGCTGATCGCGAGCTTCAAAGCCTCCTTTCCACAGCTTGGCCCCGTGTCTCGTGGGTCGGCGCCGTCGCAAAACACCACGTCTGCTCTCGACTTAGCGCTCCAGTATGTTGATCACCCGCAGTCGCGACTCAGTCGCTCAGATGCGGTAGTCGCATCGCACATCACCGCCTGCCCCCCCCCCCAACCACCACGCGCCCTTGCTGACCACAACGCGTGCTGCAGTCATTTTGGCGACTCCGAGGACGTGAAGGATCAGGATCCCACCCCTCGCGGTGCTGAGCAATGGCGCTTCACGCCCTCGCTCATGGATCCGAACAGCTTCGCCTTTGCCTCCTTTGCCAACCAGCCACCGGGTTACTACACGCCCACGCCTGGCGGCACCAACACCATCTACCACAGCCAGGCTGGCGATCTGCACACGCCCGGCTTCACCATGGGCCTGGGCACGCCGTTGTCCATGCCCACGTCTGAGGGCGCTCTCCAGGCCGCCCAGTCGACTGGCCCCGCCATGCACGGCTTCCAACCTCATCCCATTGCGCCTCTTCCCTTCCAGAATACGAACCCGTTTGCCATGCCTCAGATGTCGCAGGCTCAGTCGTTTGCGCCCCACCAATTCTCCCATCAGCCTGTTGCGTTCGATCCCATGTCCCAGGCTGAAGAGCCGCCAACCGACGGCATGCCAATCGACATCGACATGCAAGAGCGGTCTCCCATGTTCGCCTTTGATCAAGGATTCGGCGAGCACCAACGATCCAGTCTTCTTCAGCAAAACATCGAAAAGTAAGCCTCCCCTCTGAACTTCATCCTACAAGTCGACTCCTGCTAAACAGAGACAGCTTCCGCTGGCATGTAACGCTCAACGCACCTACTGCTATGATCAAGCATGCGGACGAGGTTCCCGTCACATATCTCAACAAAGGCCAGGCCTATTCCGTCTCAATCGTCGACACTGCCCCGGCCTCTCCTCAGAATGCCGGCGTCCCTGTCAAATACAGGACGTACATTCGCATCTCCTTCGAAGACGAGCAGCAACGCCAGCGACCATCAGCCTGCTGGCAGCTCTGGAAGGAGGGGCGTGGCACGAACGAAGCCCACCAGCGCGGCGGTCGCCTACAAGCGGTCGAATTCGTTGATCCGACTCAGGTTGGAGGAGGCGACGGTTCGACGCGTCCTCGAGTGGAGCTGGAGTCTGCGTCGTTCGACGGGTTCTCGGTGACCTGGACGCCGGCTACGAGCGCCAACGGCGTTGTTGAGTGCTCGGTCGCCGTTCGCTTCAACTTCCTCTCCACGGACTTCAGCCATTCCAAGGGTGTGAAGGGCATTCCGGTGCGGCTTTGCGCGAAAACTGAGGTGGTCGGTGCTCAGGCACCAGGCCTGGCGGAAACACCCCAGCTGGAGATCTGCTACTGCAAGGTCAAACTTTTCCGCGATCATGGAGCTGAGCGCAAGCTTTCCAACGACGTCACTCACGTCAAGAAGACCATCGACAAGCTGAAGCAGCAGATCGCGCAAGCAGAATCCGGCATGAAGGATTTTGGCAAGAGAAAAAGGGGATCAATTGCGAAAGCGAGTGCGAGTGTCAACGACCGGCCTGGCAAAGTCCCCAAACACAAGCGGACTTGGTCCATGTCGTCTGCAAGCTCCACCGGCAACAGGCCTTCGGCAGAGGAGGATCTACACCTCAAGCTTGCAACGCTCCAAGACATGTTCACCTCTACCAGGCCTACAAGCATCTTGTACTTGAAGGGTGAGGAGCTTGACGATCCCGATCTTCACCCGGTGCATCTTACTGGAGAACCCCAAGACCTCACCAAGGTCGAGACTGGAGACTCGACGATGTGGGACGGCCAGAGCAGAAATTCCTCCATTGTCTCGCCCACACCGAGCTCGCAGTCTGTCAACTCGGGCGAACGTCGCAGCTCAACGTTCCAGTCTTTCCCTCCGCCGTCGCGTGTATCCTCGAACGAATGGCGCAACATGCCGCAAACAGCGACCGGTGATATCAATTCGTTGGCTGTCCAACCAACTGTGTCCAATAACCCTGTCAAAGTTCAAAAGGCGTCAGCAGACAAGTCGATTGGGGGCTGGATTGATGCCCTTGGCGTTGATCTTTCGTACCAGCCACCGCCGGAGCGAGCCATCAAACCCAGTAAGTCTATTTTGCCAACACCCCTGTTTTTGCCACAAGACTATGATCTGACAATTAGCAGTTGCGTGCTTCTATGTGCAACCAAGATTTGTCGGGAGGCCACCCGAAGACAACTACTACCGGGCCGTGTACCTCATGCAGCGCACGCTCAAGGACCTGGTCAACGGCATCGCAATGAAGTGCAAGCTCGAGCCGACCCGGGTTGTCCGCACCATTCGGATCAATTCAAAGGGCCTCGCGATCGCACTGGACGACAGCGACGTGCAGGAGATGGCCGAGGGCCAAGACATGACGGCCGAGTTTCAAGAGGTCCACGCTGACTCGCCTATGAAACGCGAATGGGACTCGGGAGCGACCGACTTGCAAGTCGACGGTGAGGTCGGCGCAATCGAGACGACGACGACGTCTGGCTACGAGCTTCGCCTTCTCTTCTGAAATGCACGTCTACCCTCGCTTCCCAAGGCTAACGACTGGTTATGAGCTGTATATTTCGTCATGGCGCGAGCGCTGGTCGAAAGCGCTTTAGGGACATGTATCTGCACCCACGGGCGTTTGTTTGGCTTGAGATACCACTTGGATTCGCCCGCATTTGCGACTTCTTCGGATACCCACTACTTAATTTTTTTTTCCTTGCATGGACTAGCAACGACGCGGCGGCTTTACGGGCTTCTATCTATAGCGCCTCGGGCGTGATGGCTGAGATTACTCTCGATTTCGATTTGGGGGTTTGTTCCATGTTGATGTATTCTGCGTTGCACACTGCTCCTGTAATCTTTTCTTTTCGTCGCGGGCCTTGCACGGCGCGCTGGCTTCTTTACACGAAAGAAGATACCCATCAGTTTTGAATTGTGCTTCATGTAATGCTTGTCTCGCACAGCTTCGGGGAGAGTGGGGACGTCCGAGTACTGTTAGTAGACGACGGCCAAATTCACGGGCTTTCAGACTTTGACAAATATTTGATGCACGTAAGGCGAGCTCGTGGGAGCTGGTGAACCATGGGTCTCACACAACGTTGCCCCGCATCGTGACTAGGCTACTGGCCGCCGGACACGTCGTCGTCGGCTCATCAGCACGCAGGGACGTGAGGTGACGGCCGACAGAGGCGCCGCATCGAGCGGCAGAGGTGGCGAGTGCTGGAGTGCAGGAGTGGCTCAGTGGAGGCGCAGTTGGGCGATGGGCAGGGAGCAAAGAGCCACAGAGCCACAGGCCAGCTCCCGCCACAGCGATCGGCCGCCGGGTGCCAGCTCACAGGAAGCGGGCAGCCCTTGCTTCTGGCGCAGTATCGGCTGACTGGCTGCAGGCGGCGGGAGGCTTTCAGCTCGGGTCGTCACGCACGACGCGGGCTCCAGGGACGGCGATTGGTCGGGAGCGCGAGGATGGGCGGAGTAGCGCACATCTAGAAGACGGCTTTGCCACAGCAGAGGCGCAAGCGACGCGGCGCACACGCAGGGCGGGTGGCTAGTGTTGGTGGTGGGCGGGCGCGCTATCGACAGCCTACCCGTGGTGTGTGGAGGTGCGCCGTGCCGCGACAAGCTCGAGGCGGTTGCACGGCCACAGAAGCAACGGGAGCGTCGCACACAGCTGCGACGGTCGGGCGACCGTTGGCGGAGACTGGCCAGAGCGAGCAGCGCACCATGACGCAAGGCTGCTGGGGGGGTTGTGCCCCATCAGCTGGCGAGGGCCGGCGGCTGGAGGCCAAGGTGAAACGGCTAGCCGACGGACGAATCACAGCGTGGCACGCAGTGCGTTGCGGTGTCGCCGTGGATGGCGGGACAGGCCGCGCGACGTCTGGCCCAGCTAGAGGGCGGGGGCCGCGACAGGGTTCGGCTGGCTCGGACGCGCGCGAAGGTCATGTGCGCGCAGCACGGCGGCAAACTGACGGCACGTCAGAACGCGTGGGGCGGGCTGGTGGGTTGTGGCTGGTGTGGGGCGCGTTGCAGATGCAGAGGTGAGAGGTGAGATCCGTCACAAGGTCGGAAGCGTTTCCTTGCACCGCGTGACGTCACAGCTCGCAGCACTCACCGGCCGCAGCGCATCCCTTCTGCTTCCACTGCACCGCGGACACGACTCGGGCCCGGGCGCCGCGGGAAATGCCCGCATCCATGTCGCTCACAGAATACGTAGGAACAATGGCATTCTCCGACTCTTCTGTCATGGTTCCATCGCGGGGCATAGCAGCGTCGCATATAGCCTGCAAGGAACGCGCTCCAGGCGACCGGCTGTTGCCTCGTGCTGCGCTGCGCCCCGGCGCCGCTCCGTTCCTTGCGTTCCTGCTATTGCTCCGTTTGGCAGCGCCCCGTGTCGGCGTTATTTTATTGCAATGTGCCTATACAATGTTTCCCGAACAGGAAGCCTGCAAGCGCGCTCAAGCGAGGCGCTAAGCCCGCCGCGGCCATCGTCGCCCTACGACCAAGCGACCAACAAGCGAGCCCGCCGTTGTGCACGACAACACTGCGCGGAAAGGGAGGTGGCGACCGCTGGCTGCCATTGCCTTTGCAACCCGTCTTGCCTGCCGCCCTACACCCTACTCCCTACACCCTGCACCCCTGCTTCGTGTCCGGCTTTGCGCGCGTCTGTCTAAATTTGGCATAGCGTCCATCACAACCGCTTCTGGCACCACCCCACGCCACCCTTGAGACGGGCAACTTTTGACGGCCAAACATCCAAGTACGTGAGAAATAAACTTGTAATTTTTCCTATTTCATCCCGTTTTCCTTGCCCCTCCCGGCTTCGCACCATCAGAGTCTCGCCTTCACCACGGGTCCTGCCACGGTGCTCTCGCCAACCGGCACCGTCAGCCCCTCGCTGCCATCGGCCGCCTGCAGCTCTACTTCCTGGCAGTCTTCAATGCCCACGCCATTGGCAAATTGCACCACGACGAAGTCAATGTCGTCGGCGCCCAGAACGCACATTGGCGCATGCCAAGTGCCGGCACCGTACGTTACGGCCTGGTTCCCCTTGGCGATGAAGGCCCTGGCATTGTCGAGATCTGGCAGGCCAGGGCCCTTCGGTGGCGCAACCGGTGCCGGCTCCCTCGTTGCCGATGGCGAAGGCGGCGCTGCTTCGTTGGTGAAGGGCGAGGGGCGTCCGCGTGAGAAGATGTCGCCGAGTGAACGGCGCTTCCGTGGCTCCGGCGCCGGAAAGGGCGGCGGACGAATGGTTTGAGCCTTGACCGACGCTGGCAGCGTCGGGGCAACGATGATCAGATACTGCGTCGAAGCATCGGAAGCGGCCTGGCCCATGGGGATGAATGTCTGTGGCGTGAAGGGGTGGCGCTCGAGGATGGACACGTCGAAGACGTCGCCGTGGCGCAGCTTGCGGGGCGAGCACACAAACATGTTCATGACGGCCTTGGCAGCCTTGCCGCTCGCAGCCAGGTGGTAGAAGTCGGTCATGTGCGTGACGTCCAGGTACTTGAGGGCGGTGCCCTGGTTGGCGCGCACTGCATGCAGGCCGCCGCCGGCCTGCGGTGAGCCCGTCCGCGCCGGGTTCTCGATGACGGTGCCGAAGGACGCAAATGCTGCCGGTGTCAGCGGCTCAATTGGGACGCGCCGGGCCGGGGCAGGGACGGACGGCGGCATGCTGGGCGGTGCTGGCTTGGGAGCTGTTCGAAGGTTGGTGGGGAGCTTGGAGGGCTGCGCTGAAGGTGGGGAAAGGCACGGCTTATCACAGATAAGGCGGGGTGCTCTGCAAACGTCAGCTCCATCAATTTCCCCTCGCCATCGAAGCCGGGCTCGACGCTCGAGCATGCGCTAGACTACAGACCACAGCCGAAGCCGGTCCAATGCTGAGCCGGCACGATCATTGGTGGTATTCTGGGTCAACTTATTATTCTCATCTCACTCGCCCAGCTGACGACATCCACGCCAAATGAAAAGGACAACCGACTATCCAAATGATATCAGGAGTGCTGGGCGTGCAGTACATGCCCACTTCTATCTGCGGGAGACTATTACCAGCTGTTTCACACAAGGTAAGCTCGCCATGATGACGGCAACCCCACGTAAGCCGGTCTTGAGTTTCATGCCTGCACTGCATCTGCAGAAGTCATTACGCTCGAGGTCATTCTATAGGGTAGTAAAGCATTGGTTACTGCTATATGCCGCTCACTTGCAGGTAGCACGTAGAGTGTTGGCGGGGAGCAGGCGGTGCGCTGGGGCGCGAAGAGGGTAAACCCTTTGTGCGAAGGGTAGCCGGAGGCTTCCTCCTTATAGATTTGTCTGTCTTTTCGATTGCGAATATCATCATTTTGGCCTGAGATTCCCTGTCTATTGACGTGTCTCACAGACTTACTATACTCTTGCTTGATGCTTATGGCTAGTTCTATGTGAGGTAGTAATATTAAGACTATGCAAGGCTTTTCAGATGACAACAAGGTATAGTGGACTACGTCCTAATAACTACTACCCATGTACACGCTCTGTTTCCATGTACTAGAGCTTTCTTCAGCCGGAAGCCTGATCGGAATTCGCTTCGAGGATCATGTAAAGCTGCAACGCAACAATTATCTTAAGTAAATGATCACACCAGTCCAGGCGGTAGTGCCGTTTGAAAGGTTTCAACGTCCGCGTCCTATTAACCTATACAGGTCTAGGGAACACGGATGCTCTGATTATACAAGATTTAGGCCTATATCTCGATAGTATCTAGTCCAAGCTGCGAAGCGCGCCAGGATTACCAGCTCGAAGAGCACAGCCGCCCTGATGGTCTAATCATCTAGAGTAACTGCTTCGACAGCTCTAGTAACGCCCTTCAAACCATCCTGCACATCCATAGCTTTCGCTTGTTTGGCCTTGGAATCCTTGTATTCCCTTCCAAGGATCTCCATGATATCCTTGTGACTTTTGCCCTCGTTTTCCCGCTTGATCCTTTGGAAGTTATCCTTCATGAATATTTGGTACCCATTTGGACCTTTGGTCGGATCCTTCCGCCGCACAGCTGGCTTCGTTTGCATGAGATCTGACTTACATGAGCCGCACCGGTGTTTTGTTGGATCGATAGACTTTGAATGGCGCTTGAACTCATGACCGCAGCTTACACATGTCCACACGTATTTGTAGTCAATGGCGTAAGTGTGTTTTGTCGTGACATTAACATTGCGGTGGCCGAAGGCACGCGTAACCTTTTTGGCCCTGTAATAGATTGCTCAGCATGGCCTTTCACAAAACAGGGACATCCACCCAAGCTTCATACCAGTCCTTGAACTCTTTTCCGTGCGGGTTGTCTCGGACGTTACTGATCATGAAATTTGTGAGATGACAAAATTCGTGTGCTATGACATTGATAAGGCGATCTAACACAGAGTACTTAGTATATTCGAGAGAAAACGTCGTTTTGGTTGCACTACCTTCGTCATCGATGACCTTTTCTGCAAGCTCGATGCTCGCATGGTGCCGGTGTTGCACAGAGGAAATGCCAGTTTCCTGAATCTTGACACTCTCTTTCTTCCAATTTGCTCTTCCAGCGGTCGTGTTTAGGGTCTTGCTCCAAATCAGCTTTACACCTCCTGATTCGGCTGTAAGTGATGATATTTGCCCTTGAGTTATTGTTGTATCAAGCTCATCAAGGAAGTCTTTGGCCAATTGGTGCTTTCGCTGCTCGAACGATTTGCGGATTGGGTCTTTTTTGGTAGGACTTTTTTTCTGCGCTGATATTTGGAAGGCTTGCTCATCACTGAGAGAACCAAACCTTGGTTTTTGGGGAGATTGCAGTACTTTGCGAGGTGAATGCAGGTCGTTCCACGAGTTGACCACATCTGGGGACCAGAAGGCGTCTAGGCTTGGTCGATGCGGTGGTGTCGGGATACGGGACTTTTTGGGAGATAGCAAGCGTGATCTTCCTGGACTGACCAGAGGAGGTGGAGTAAGAGGGCGATTGGAGTGGTGTGTGACCTTATGAGGTGATCGGCTTCGAGGAGGGGAGCTGTGGGTGGGTTGTTAGTACGCTAAGCTCAATATAGGATGGATACTATTCTCACTATTTCAAGACGGCGTTGAAATCGTCCGAGGAAGAACTAGGTGGTCGCTCAAAGACTGCAGAGCTGGGATTGGATTTCCGCAGAACAGGCGGGTCCGTCGAAGCACTGATGGACGGGGTCTCATACGGTGGAATACTCGACTCAGATGTCAGGCCGTCTCGGGGAACATCTCCCAAAGGAGAGGGGGAGTCAACTTTAGATCCCCCGGGATTTGGCGATAGCAACTGCACCCATTTCGCGGCTTCGTCATGGACATCCTCGGTGAGAGACTTGTCAGAGTCACTCTGCGATGCTGACCATGAACTTCCCTCGACATCTTCGTCGGATTGGGACTCTGAAATGCAGGGTGAGTCTTCTTGCACAGTACTGCTCGTATCTGAAGTCTCGTCCACAGGGTACTTTGAAGTCTTCTTGACTGCCCTGGCAGGTGCGCGTTTCGCGACTGGGAGGCGCTCGTAGAAGGGCTGGCGGGTCTCGTCAAGGGATGCAATGGATCCGATAGTTTCCGCAGTCACCGGTCGCGCAAGCCTACTGTCTACAAAGGCAGGCTTCAGCAGGCGTTGACGTCTTGGGGCGACGGGTGTGCTGTTGGTTTTTTGGACAAGCGACAGCCCAGTGGGCTTGGGAAAGTCTCTGGAAACAGGCTTGACAGAGGCTGCGTGCACATCACTGTTCGCCGTTTTGGCTCTGGACGGTGAGTTTTCGCTCACGTGCCCAGATGAGGATGGCGGCTGGTGACGTGCAGACTTTGCGTTACGGCGCCTGCTGAGGATTTCGGAGAGAGCTGGCAGCTCATCGTCGCTACTCTCGTCGCTGCTCGCATAGCGGGCTCGGGCCATTGCGGGCGGGCTGTGGGGTATTGAGCTGGGGATAGTCGGTGACGGTGGTTGTGGTTTGCGGCGGTGGTGGTAGTGATGGACTCGCTGTGTTTGCAAGCTTTGTCGGTAGTTGGCGCGGCAACGCGGCGGAGGCTTGGCAGGCTCACGGCGAGGATGGCGACATATGGCGACATCAAGCTGTGTCCCCCAACGAGGTAACGCAAGGGCTCGTCTGGCAAATCGAATTGCTGCAATGGGACAAATGTCATCTGGAGCTACGATGCTAAGCAACACGGCACTCTGCACCCCGCAATGTGGCTTTGGACCGCATCCGACCTTGCACATCATAAGGCTGACCTCACCTCTACCGCACCTCGACCGCGCGGGCCGTTGCGCTTGTCTCAGCAGGCCCGCGCCGCAGCCGGGGCGACGGCCATCGTCCGGGGCCCAGCGTGCGCACTCGACGCCGGGGGGCGCGGTGCTGGGGGGCGCCTTCGTACTTGAAGCGAAGGCCGGCGGAGCGACGACGGGTTCTGGCAGGAGAGCGGCATGATCGTCGCGCTCGTGTCGGTGGGAGAGGGCGGTCGCACGTCGAAGGGTATCCTACCGGCGGGTGCACGGAGCGTGGTGGGCCGGCGGTGCGGTGCGAGTGTGCGACTCTGGGGAAGCTGCGCGGAAACACGTCGGCGCGGCGCACCGTAGTCGCGCTGCCAGTGTGCTGCTCTCCCCTTGGTTCCGGGCTCAGGGTTCCGGGCTCGCAGCGCTTACACAGTAGGAGCAAACGCCAAGGCGGGCCTGGTGCGACGCGGAATGGGCAGAGATGGGCAGGAGCGAGTGACAGCTGGCCTTTCCGGGTGCAATCATTGCCGCGGCGGGGAGGAGCGAAGAAGCGACTCCTGAAGATGAAACGAGGCCGTCATCAGCGCGGAGCAGGCGGCGTCCAGAATGTTTCGCTGAGATGGGCCGGTGCAATGTGATCTGCCGGCCAATGACGCGCCGGCGGGGAGCGTTTTCTGCCTCACGCGGCCTTGGCATCCGCCCGTCTCCTGGAGGCGTCCAACACGGCCAGCGTGCCAGCTTCAAGGCCTTCCTCGCCCGTGCACGCTCCCCCCCCCCCCGTCAGCCCATGCACCCGCCCGCGCTGGCATTGGCCGCCGGCAAAATGTCCTGAAGCACGCCCGCGTCGCCGCTTCGGGCAGGCCGCGCCCTGGCCGCCAGCGGGCTTGCGCAACCATCGTCCTAGTGTGCGACGACCGCCCACGCCTGCTGTGGCCCGCGTAAGCTCTTCATCTGCCTCGCCCGCTGCGCCAGTCGTACTTCCTCGGCGTCGCTGCAGCCGCCGGCCCGCTGCACGCGCCCGGTACCGTGGCCGTCATGCAGGCGTCGATACTTGCCCTTGCCAGCGCTCAGGGGTGCGTCTGGGCGCGCAAGCCGCCTCACAGCTGACGACTGCCACACCCCGGCGGCGCACGCTGGAGGGGAGCGGCCTTCTCGACGCGCGGCGATCGAAATGTGTCCGCCGGTGGAGCCTGCCCTGGGTCCCTGGCCACCGATGTCATGAAACGTTTGAGAAGTGCGCACTGCCCAGCTCCAATGGCCCCAATATATATGAATGCCCGTGGCGGGAAGTGGTGGCCTGCCCAGCCCTGGTTGTTCTTGTACATTCCGCTCTTTCCAAGAAGACACCTACTATCAGCCTTCGCTTCTCTCCTCACGTCCTGTCGCTCTTTCGCCTCCCAAAGCCCCCGCCATCATGACGTTCGCCGACCAATACACCCCGAAGCCCATCACCGACATCTTCACCGCCGACACCGACATCGACCGCCGGCAATGCAAGCGTACCGTGCCCATGAGGGTCATGTGTCTGGGCCTGGGCCGCACCGGCACTGCTTGTGAGTAGCAACAACCAACACCATGCCTCAGGCTGGTGGCGCTGACTGCTGACCGCTGCCCGCAGCCCTTCGCGATGCCCTGCGCGACCTTGGGTTCAACGACACCTACCACATGATGGCCGTCAGCGTTGAGAACCCGCCTGATGCCCTTTTGTGGAGGGACGCTCTTGCCTACAAGTACGACGGCGTTGGCCACTTCGGCCGTGAACAGTGGGACCAGCTCCTCGGCCACTGTCAGGTACTACTACCCTTCGCCCTGATGAACTGCCAAGCCAGCGGCTAACGACACTGCAGTCTCTCTGCGATTGGCCGGCAATTGCCTTCGCGAAGGAGCTGATCGAGGCCTATCCCGAGGCCAAGATCATTCTGACCACCCGCGACGTTGACTCTTGGCACGCGTAAGTCGATTGAGGGAGCGTGACTGGACTGCAGGCGCTAATCAGAGATGCAGCTCCTGCCTCAAGACGGTCGACTGGCGCGCCAACGACCCGGAGTTGAAGATGGTTGCCAAGTGGGACTGGGGTTCCGGCCTCTACCAGCCCATGCTGTACAAGTTCTGGACCAGCTTTTTCAAGGGCGACTTCAAGAAGTACGGCAAGCAGGTCTACCACGAGCACTACGAGGAGGTGCGTAAGCTCGTGCCGCCGGAGCGCCTGCTCGAGTACCGCATGGGCCAGGGCTGGGAGCCGCTGTGCGAGTTCCTCGAGGTGCCGGTGCCTGACAAGAAGTTCCCGCACACCAACGACACGGACGGCTTCGTCGACAGGTGCCGGGCACGCAACAGGGCGCAGATGTGCAACGTTGCCTTCCGCATGCTGGTCGTCGGAGGCGGCGCGGCAGCGACGGTGCTGGCGGCGTCGATGACGCTGCACCGCTACTTCGGGCACCGGCTGTTCGGCAGCTCGTAGACGCAGACGCAGACGCCGGCGGTGTTGATTTCTTTTCTTTCTCTCTTGGCTTGAGTTTGATTCACGCGCCGGGTTGGGGGCTTATCGTTGTTAATATGTTATCTTTCCAAAACTGGCGACGCGGAGTTGGCATCAGGGACACGGCGGGCAGCTCTTTTTGGCGCAGGGTCATGTCAGAACAGCCACGGACAGGGCTTCCGTAGGCAATTCACTTCAAATGCAGTTACATGTCTGGACATCTGGTGCCGCTTGATCCGACGTGACGAGCATCCCTGGCGACTGCGTCTGGGCGCGGGCGATTGTAACGCAACGGCGAGTGGCGGGCGGACCGGCAGGCGAGGCGGGCGTCGCGGCGCCAAGAGTTGCGGTGGCAGGCCGCGTGAGCTTGGGTGGGCCGTGGCGCGTCTCCAGTCTCCATGCCCTCCTGGTGCGGAGGACGAGCGGCGAGCGCTGGCGGTGGGATTCCGATTGCGATGGGCCGGGTGGGGGCAGGCCTCTAATCTCGTTCGGGGCGCGGCGTGGTGATCGCTGGCGACCAGGGATGCGCGTCTCTGCGTGGTGGGCCCGCCTCTCCAGCCTGGCTGCGTAAGGCGCTCAGGGCGCGCGCGCTGCATTTCGTCTGGCCGCATCCGCGTCATCCCAGCCCGGCGTCTGCTTTTTGTTCTGCTGCAGAGGGGTGTGGCTTCTTCAATGACCAGCCACCTCGCTCCGTAACTGCACCTTTGCCATGTCGCCGACACCAGCCTTTCCTTCCATGACTTCGTTTCTGCTCGCCGTTGCCTTGCTCCTCTCGTTTATTGCTTCTGCCCGCGCCGACCTGAACAATGACACCTCGCCTACATCTTTCTTCCACTCGGTGCGTGCCGCAACCAGCGCCGCCAGCGCCGTTGCTAACCCCAGCTGCAGAGACCCGAGATCCATGCCCCTATAATACAGTTCGACGTGCTGTGGCCCGACTTCGTGTCGCCCGGCTACATTTTTCTTTCGCCCTACCGCAACGTCGACCCGGGGCCCTACATTTACGACAACTATGGCGTGCGTCCTCTGCCTTGCCCGCGCCCGACTGCCATCCGCTGACATCCGCAGAACCTTGTGTGGTCCGGAGCTGGTCTCATGGGCCCCATGGTCGGCCACGCGCCCCGAGTCTGCGACTACCAGGGCGAGGACCACCTTTGCTTCTACCAGGGCGAGCAGTACCAAGGCTTTGCCCGTGGCCACGGCATGATCATGAACAACGAGTACCGCGTCATCAAGACGGTCGAGAGCGGCGGATCCACCGCACAGGCCGACATGCACGAGTTCCGCGTGCTTCCTGGCGGCAAGACGGCGCTGATGACCGTCTACCAGACCCGCCAGTACGACCTGGCGCCCTTTGGAATCGAGCGAGGCATGGGCTGGATCGTCGACAGCGTCTTCCAAGAAGTCGACGTCGAGACCAATGATGTGGTGTTCGAGTGGCGCGCCCTGGACCATGTGTCACCAAGCTTCAGCTACACTCTGCCCGCCACCACCGACACCAGCGGGGACGGTCGCTCGCGCAACTCGCCGTGGGACTATTTCCACATCAACTCCATCGACAAGAATGAGGATGGCGACTATCTCATTTCATCCCGGCACATGGCCGCCGTGTACAAGGTCTCGGGCGAGGACGGGCACGTCATCTGGGAGCTGAACGGCGCGAACCCCAGCTTCCACAACCTCAACTTGCACTTCTCCAGCCAACACCATGCGCGCTGGCTGAAGGAGAACTCGACGCACACGGTCCTTTCCCTCTTTGACAATGCCAGCAATCATTACAATACGACGAACCCCTGGTCGCGCGGCATGACCATCGCCATCAACCACGTCGACCGCACCGCGTCGATGCTCCAGGAATGGCTGGCTCCGGAGGCGGCGGGAGGGCTGCTGTCGGGGTCGCAGGGCAACATGCAGGTTCTCAAGGACGGCCACGTCATGATTGGGTGGGGCAACAACCCCTTCTTCTCGGAGCATCTGCCTACGGGCGAGGCCGTCATGTATGGCAAGCTCGCGCAACCCGAATCGGGCGTGGTCAACTACCGCGTGTACAAGTTCGAATGGTCGGGCACGCCGCGGGACAGCCCGGCGCTATGGACGTACTCGCGCACGGGAACCAGCGTTGCGGGCATGGTCTTCTACGTATCGTGGAACGGCGCTACCGAGGTCGATTCGTGGCAATTCTACGCGGCCAACGACGCGAGCGGGCCGTGGGAGTTTGTGGGCAACGCGACCAAGCGCGGGTTCGAGACGAGGCTGCGCATTGAGACAGTCAAGCCGTATGCGTTTGCAGAGGCGCTGGACCAGGGCGGCAACGTGCTGCGGCGCTCGGCCGTCACCAAGACGTTTGTGCCGTCGGCGGGCCTCATGCCGTCGTGCGACGACTGGAGCTGCCAGCAGCACCCAGAGCTCGCGGAGGGTGAGGTCATCGAAGCGCACGCGCCGTTTGTGGCCAACGGCGGAGCGAACTGGAACACGGGCCTCAACAGCGGGAACTACTACCTGAGGCTGCCGATGTCGATGGGAGCGAGCATTGCAAGCATCGCGGGCCCGCTGGGCGTGGGCGTGGCGGTGGTGGCACTGCTCGCGCTCTGTCTCTACAAGCACCGGGCGATGCGGGGCGTGTCCGGCTGGCAGCGTTCGCTGCAGCAGCGCGCGGCGGGGCTGCAGGAGGTGCTCGGCGCGGACGGGGTACGGCAGCGGATGCTGCAACAGTATAAGCGAGTGGGGGATGCGGAGTCGGGGTTGTGAGACGTCACAGAAGGTGTGATGTACATAGACAGAATAGAGCAAACAACAGTAATGCTAATCTGAGCACTGCAAAGCCGCGGGATCCGACTTTGCTGCGCGAGCCGAGGGCATATCTTGTGACGGCGAGACAGTGGTGTGGGGTGCTGGCGGCGTTGGCGTTTGGGCGCGAGGTACGGATCGTACGGCAGTTTGAGATGGCGTCGGATGGCGTTCGTCGGCGTCTGGTGGCTTGACGGCCACGCAGCGCGCGGTTGTGGCTGGGCTGGCCGGGCTGGCCGGGCTGGCTGGGCTGCAGCTCGCGGCGACACGGCAGCTGGTGACGCGAGTGCGGCGCAGGGCGGCGGGCGCACTGCCGAAAGCGTCGCAGTTCAGGCGCGGCGGGTGCTATTGATAGGCCCCAACACAAGCCTTCCCAAGCTTTTGGCGCGCGTCGCAACGCCGGGCTGGATGCGGAGGCGATCGGCGCGGCGGATTTGGATGGCCGTGAGGTTGATTGCGCGGCCGCACGGGCTGGCGGGCGGCGGCCCCTGCAATGTCGCGCGCCCGTGTCGCCAAGCAGTGCCAAGCCTGGGCCTGAAGCGCAGGCGCGTGCGACGGTACGTATGCAACTGCGACGAGCTGACGGGGCGCCCCACCGCTGGTGCGTCGCCGGCCTATTCGTACGTCCTATCACCCTCGCGCCGCGCCCATGTCTCCTCCGTCGTCACCTCCACTCCCGACGATGCGCAGCAGAACCACCTCGCAGGCCGAGCCCGCTGACTCGTCTACCGGCGCCGCCCTCCGCCAGCACAAAGCTCATCAGCGCCATGGTTCCGGCGTGCATCCCCATGCTCGCTCCATCTCTCTCGGCCGCCTCGAGCTTGACCCGCCCGCCGACATGGACACGCCCATCGAGCATTGCAAGCCGCCGCCCGCCAGCTGGGCCACGCTGCCGCACAAGGGCCAGCTCGCCGTGCTGGCCATCTCGCGCTTCGTCGACTTCTTCCAGATGGCCTCGCTGCAGACCTACATGGTCCACCAGCTCAAGTCCTTCGACCCCGCCCTGCCCGACTCGGCCATCTCGCATCAGGCCGGCGTGCTGCAGGGCAGCTTCACTGCCACCCAGATTGTCACCGCCGTTGTCTGGGGCCGCGTCGCCGACGCCCCATGGTGCGGCCGCAAGCGCGTGCTGCTAATCGGCCTCGTCGGCACCGCCTTCTCGTGCCTGGGCGTCGGCTTCTCGCAAACCTTTCTGCAGGCCACCTTCTGGCGCATGATGGGTGGCGCCATCAACGGTACCATCGGTTCCGCTAGGACCATGGTTGCCGAAACGGTCGACAAGCGCTTCCACTCGCGCGCCTTCCTGCTGCTCCCGCTGGCCTTCAATGTTGCCAACATCCTCGGTCCCAGTACGCTGCCCTCCCCTACTTCCCCGCCCACGTGCTCTCCGCCTGCTAACCGCCGCTCCGCAGTCCTCAGCGGCCTGCTCGTCGAGCCTGTCGCCGCATACCCCAAGCTGTTCGGCCCGGCCTCCGTCTTTGGCGGCGTCGACGGCGTCCAATGGATGGAGAAATACCCCTACGCCATGCCAAACCTCCTCTGCGCCATCCTCCTCGTTCTCGAGGCCGTTGCCGTCCATTTCCTGCTCACCGAGACGCTGGCGAGCATCCGCAACTCCAAGGTTCCGCTACCCAGCTTCATGGACCTTGTGAAAAATTTCTTTTCTCGCTTCACGTCGCCCAATGCCCATCAATACCGCCTTGTCGACAACGCCTCCGACGGCCTGCTCGCCGGCATGGACGACGACGCTGTCGAGCTTTCCTCGGTTCGCCACGGCGAAAAACCGAGCATGTCTAAGCGCCCCCAGGTCTTGCCATTCAGTCGTATCTGGACCGCCAACGTGTTATGGGTCCTGCTCTCGATTGCGATTTTCGACTTCCACATGGGGTATGTCCCATGCAAGCCCTCTCGGTGTTTCAATCCCGCTAATCTGCTCTGCAGTGCTTTTTCCAGTCTCTGGATTGTGTACCTTTCCACCGACAGACCTGCGGTTGACATCACGGCTCGCTTCATCAAGCGATCCAATCCCTTCATCTTCAGCGGCGGTCTTGCTTTTGAGCCTGCCGCCATTGGCTTTGCTCTAGCTGTTCTTGGAATCGTTGGCCTTTTCCTGCAGCTTTCCATATACCCCTGGGCGAACACGCGGTTCGGCCTGATGCGTTGCTTCCGCTACTCGCTTTTTCTTTTCCCGCTGGCGTATTTCTTGGCACCCTATCTGTCTCTCTTGCCCTCGCCAACACCGGCGCCAAGTCCCGCAACAGGGTTTTGGGTGTGGGTCGGCATCAGCCTTATTCTCACCCTCCAGGTGACCGCGCGTACTTTCGCTCTTCCCGCCAGCATCATCCTGCTCAACAACTCCAGCCCACACCCGAGTGTCCTGGCCACAATCCACGGAATCGGTCAGAGCGTGAGCTCGACTTTCCGCACGGTAGGACCTATTGCCGCCGGTTATTGGTACGGTGTCGGCTTGGAAAAGGGCATTGTCGGTGTCGCCTGGTGGCTTGTCGCAGCCGTCAGTTGCATTGGCTGCGTTTCCAGTTTCTGGGTTCGTAACGGCACTGGCCACGAGATCCTTTTGCCCGGCGAAGAGCCTCCCGAGAACGACAGACAATAAGCAACTGGCTTCATTTCCCGAGGGATTTCTACTTCTAACTATGTATTCAAGGTTTATATTTGAAAGATGGCCGGAGCGCAGAGTGGTTCATATACTGCATCTGGGAGGGCGTTCTGCATTTACACACGGCGTTGTGCTCATTTCCTTCCCTTCATTTGATTTTGGTACCCTGAAAAAAAAAGGTGTGGGGCACGCGTGTGGATATCACTTGATTAGCTTCCAGTTCATCGTACTCACATACCCTGTTCCTTTTCTTAGCCCTGCTCGATTCTGCCGTTTGTATTTTGGTAAACAAGGTGTTCGTGTATCTGATAGCGGATAGTTCTTAGGGTTAGGCTAGTAGATATACGTTGGTTCTTATAATGGAATATTACCAGCATGCGACCAACACCTACTGTGCGACGAAATGCTGTGCACGGTGTTGTCCGGTTGAAACAAGCCTTTGTATTCATGATGTGGCCTCGTGGCTATGCTGTGGTATGCAAGCGTTTCCCTTTGTATCACGTTACATGGGAACAACATTTCCATAGCACAATATCATAAATGGAACCACTCTATACTTCTAACGGCCATATACAGAAAAACTGCTGTGCCTCGAAAATTATCTCCGCTTCGATGTCTTAGCTTAATTGCACCCACGTTGCGCCAGCTCAACCCACTTAAACCAACTACCCTTTTCTACTGCGCCGATGGTGATATATTGGCAAATTTTTGCCTGTTTGAAGTGTTTTTTGTGCTTTTACTCACTTCCAGAGCGGGCACGTCTGCTCTATGAACGGTTACACGAGTTACGTCCGGGGACTAGGTAGAAAAGCCACCCACTCCCTCAAGATCGATACTCTAATTAATATATATACATTCCCGGTGTTAGTCCTCTAAATCCCAGCGTATATCTTATTGGATTATTAACCCCATACATCTAACAGTCCGTCCATTTTCGGTAAATCCAATTTACCTCTTGCTAGTACGAAGAGATACCCTTGTGTTGACAAAGTCTTGCCGTCATCGAGATCTATATTTGATGAGTTCCGGGTTAGTTGGCGAAGGTTATTCCTGTCGGCCTGAAGCTTACATAGAGTCTCGGCAATAAATGCGAATAGTAATACTAATATGCATATTTGTTTCCGTGTATAATATGATCTTGCCAGGATTTAATCACTGTGCTCGCAGTGTGGGGCATTAAAATAAGTCAGCTACTATCGTTAGAGCACCATTCATCATATTACCAAGCAGCATTTTCTATTATCTGTACGTCTAAATGCCCCCCCTCCCTCTGAGGCCATGCTGATTAAGAACACCATCCGAGACCAGATTGACCGCAACGATGCAAGTAACCTCGCAGGTCCATTGTTGGAGACATCAGTTATGCTCCTAATAAAGCACACATTCTGCGTTCACTCTGCTCATGAATCCGTACTGCCCTTCGCCTGCACGGTATAAAATTACAAAAAGTCGCTCTTGCGAGGGAAAAAGCTATTGGCATGAGACGAACCCGAGATACCAGGCAGACAATCTGGCATATTGGACAAAAGCATGTTGTGTTAACCCAGGCCTGTCTTCGTAGTTTTGACAACATGTGTCACTGGTTGAAGGATACCCTTGTTGTTGATAGCACCCAGCGCTGTACCAGAACTCCAGCCCATCTTCTCAAGCATGGCCCGTCCCTTGTTGTCCGAACCAATTTCCGGTGCGGATGCACCGACGACGTCACCGTCTTGATAGGACACGGCAGCATACCTGCCCCCTCCGCCTCCGCCGCCGGATCTCTTGCCTCCATCACGTTTGTCCATGCGTTGGAGGAAGCGGTTCTGGTACCTTGCAGTGATTTTGGCAAACGACATTTCGTTAAGTTCCTTCGTACGCGACGTCTTTATGAGGGTAGTGAAGCGCGAAGTCCCAGAGCCAATGGACCTCGAAGTAAGGCCCAAAGCCCCTGCCAACTGGTGAAGTGCGGCACGGTCGCGTTTGTCCATGGGAGGGAAAGGCCTGCTCTGGCTGGACGAGTCCAAAAACACTTTGATCTCCTCTCTGATCTGAGTGAATGTCATACCCTCGTTGTACTTAGCATTCAAGTCAGCCTTGAACTTGTTCTTCTTTCCAAGCAGACCCTGGGAGCGCAGTTCCGCCCGTTCTTGCTTCTTGAGACGTTTCTTATCGCGATCGTTTTCCCAGGAGGTGACGAGCTGAGCTGAAAGATCGTCATCTGACAGGTCGAAGGGCAGGCCGACTGCCCTACCTTTCTTTTTCTTCTTAAGGCTCGGCCTTTCGAAATCCATGATATCGAAGCCGTCGTAGGGGTCTTGTTCCAGTACATCGGCCATCAGAGTCGCTGACGGGAAGCTACCTCCAGCGCGCTTTGATTTCGATTTCTGTTTCCTTCCCCGGGTCGTCGGCAGCACGTGGTGCTGATTCCCACCGCCGAGATCATCAATCTCGATATCATCGTCATCATCACCATCGAACAGAAGGAGATCATTTGAACCAATTCCCAGCTCTTCTTGCTTCGCAAACAAGCGCGCAAGCTTTTCATCGCTCATACGCTCTATCCTTCTCTGAATAAGATCTTCTTCGTCTTCGAGGTCCACATCGTCGTCGTCGTCCTCATCTTCGTCGTCATCGTCATCGTCATCGTCATCGTCGTTTACGCTCTCATCAGACCAAGTCTCCGAGGTATCAGGCTCGTTGCCAAGTGTGACGTTTGCGATGGTCTCTTCGAAGGCAGCCACGAGGTTCTTGTCGTGTTCTCGAGTTAATCTAGAAACAGGGATCCATCGAGCCTCATCCTCATCAGAGTTGTCGAAAACAACAAGATATTGCAGCCCACTCGACCGCGTCCGTTTCCGAAGTATGCGATCAACACGAACAAAAACCTCAGACGAGGTGCTGATATTGTCAAAATCCTCAAGGTGGGAAGAGTCCCAATCCGTTTTATGAGGGTTTTTCTGGTCTATCGTCTGAGCGGCGCTCTGGTTGATGGCGTCCTCCAATTCGTGATCGTCCATTAGCCCCAAAGCCCGCTGTGTAAGGCGTGAGGTGGCGTAGACGCTTCCGGTAACGAGTTCGCCTGCATCATCGTATTCCTGTGCTTGGATATTCTCAATGTAGTCTGCAAGAGCCTCGTCATCTGGTTCAGAACTGTACCGGTGGTGGCTGTTCTGTCGAGGTGAACGGCGAGCAGATGTATCACGATCTTGAACCTTTCTAGTGGGCTGAGACGGAGCTGCCGGTTCGACCGGCAAATTTTTGGCAGGTGGAGCAGTGGCCTCGCTGCTTGTCTGCACAGGCTGTACCGAGTCCGTCACAATGCTCACGTTGTTCCGGCCTCGAAACAGGACTATCTCCTCGCTCGAGTCGGAGGGGGTGGGAGAGGCATTGCGTATGACCGGAGGCGGTAGTTGTGGGATGGCCAGCGAGCTCGAACCGACCGTATCCTCAAAGAACAGGGCGGACGCAGGTGGCGACACCGTAGCTTCGACAGTGGGCTCGAGATGCATCTGCGCCATGGCGTTCTCAGAACGTGCAATGGCGTCTGCGATGGGCTCATCGTGGATTGAAAGCGACTCGTTGGGCGTAGGTGCATCGGGTGTAGACTCATTAAGCGGAGACTTGTCTGAACCTGACTCTTCGGGCAGTGTGCCGGCAAGGTTGCCTGCGCTCACAAAACTGATGCCTTTGTGACGAAGCTTGACCTCGGAGGACCATAGATGGTGGCGATGTTCGGTGTTTCGAGCCTCCTCCTGGAGAGAGAAAATCTGGGCGCTCGGAGCTGGTGGTAGAGTGAGTGCCGGTAGCGAATGGTGGCGGAGAGGGCAACATACCGTCAATGGGGGTTCTGGCGAAGGACCGAGGGGTGGAAGTCCCGCGAGAACCACCTCTGCCTCGACGTGAGCCTCGGTGGCCTCCGCCCTTGCGCGCGTGGTTCACCATGAGAAGATGCGCAGACCGGCAAGGTGGCTGACGATGGGGCAGGAGGAAGAAAGAAGAGCGGCGAGTGCTCGGGAGCTGCAGTCGGCCCTTGTAACACTTGTTTATCTTATCGGGTGCATGACTCGCCGTAAGACGCCCGCCCAGCAGCCTGTCCGCCCCAGCAGCCCCCCACGGCTGCCGTCTACTCCTGCTAGAGGCCTCATGTATGCTTCCAACTAACCCGCGGTGGTGGCGGCAGTGACACGGGCATCTACGCCGCGTTGACATAATGTGTTGGGGATCGCCAGGAGCAGCCGCAGCGCATCAGGCACCGGCGGCGAGCGGCCGCATGCCTTCCCCACCATCTGAGCTTTGCCTGGGGTCAGCTGTCTAGGCATGCGCCGCCGTCACCTTCATCACACCCGCATCCACCACCCGCTCCCACCTCCCACCCATCTGCGCGGCGGCACCCTTTCCGACCACTACTGGTGATGCTATTCCGGTGAAGACACCCGCCCTCCGCTATGGCCAACGTCGACATCGGCCGCTACAGCAAGCGCCTGGTCCAGTACTTTTGGGATCCGCTCCCCACAAACGAAGAAGCTTCTCCCATATGGTGTCTCGGAAGATCCTATGACTCCAAATCCTTCCTTACATCCCCCAGCGTCGATGCTGCCGACCGCCCCGCTCCGCCGTTGTCCGTATCGCACGGCTCCACCGCCTCGTCTCGCTCGGCAACCGGCGATGGCAACAGTCAGAACAGCAGTGAAGATGAGAGTGCTCGGGCAGCTGATACCTCGTCGGAAGCGGACAACGATGGCGGCTGGCCTGCGCCGTTTCTAGACGACTTCGAAGCCCGCTTCTGGCTAACTTATCGCTCCAACTTCCCTGCCATACCCAGGTCTCAGGACCCTAACGCTACCAACGCCATGAGCTTTGGTGTACGCCTCCGAAGCCAGCTCGGCAATCACACCGGCTTCTCTTCCGATACTGGCTGGGGCTGCATGATCAGGTCCGGACAGAGTCTTTTGGCGAATGCCCTACAAGTGCTTCGGCTAGGGAGAGGTATATATCGTCGCCTTCGGCCATAAGCCCGCAGCACGCTGACACACGTAGACTGGCGGAGAGGCCTTAACCCCCAAGAAGAGCGACAGATCCTTTCTTTGTTCGCCGACGACCCAAAGGCCCCGTTCTCCATCCACCGCTTTGTCGAACACGGTGCAGCAGCTTGTGGGAAGCACCCAGGTGAATGGTTTGGCCCATCCGCCACCGCAAGATGTATCCAGTTAGTCTCATTCTGCCCATCCCATCTCACAGATATTAACCACTATCAGAGCTCTCTCGAACGGACACGAGAATGCTGGTCTTCGGATATACATCACGGGCGATGGATCCGACGTTTATGAGGACAGTTTCATGAAGACAGCAAAGGACCGGAAAGGCTCCTTCCGACCGACAATGGTATTGGTTGGCATCAGGCTAGGCATTGACCGAGTCACTCCGGTGTACTGGGAGGCCCTGAAAGCATCGCTGCAACTTCCTCAGTCGATCGGCATTGCTGGGTAAGCACCACCCATATCAAATCTGTCTTCTTCACTGACATCCAAAGTGGCCGCCCATCGGCTTCACATTACTTCGTCGGCGTACAAGGCTCTCATTTCTTTTATCTGGACCCACACAACACCCGGCCGTTCCTTCCTCTCCATTCCGACCTTTCTGATTATACCTCGGAAGACGTAGATTCCTGTCATACGCGCCGCTTGCGCCGTCTACACATAAAGGAGATGGACCCGTCGATGCTGATCGCATATCTCATTCGCGACGAAGCTGACTGGAGAAGCTGGAGGAAGGCCGTCACCGAGGTGCAGGGTAAACCTGTGATCCATGTCGCTGATTCGGAGCCCGTTATCCATGGCGGGCAGGAGCGCGAGGGCGCAATAGATGAGGTGGAGGCGTTTGATGACGAAGATGACGAAGGGCTGCAATGAACTGTGACCGTGGCGTTGAATATGGCCTTGTTGGGATACCATTTAATTAGATTGTTCCTTCGCAATATTTCCCCAGTGCCTTGACCGTATCGTAACCAAATCGTATGCAATGACGGCGCGAAGCTGGAGTCTCGGGTCTCTGTTTGATCGACAATGGATGTCCCGTTTCGCTGCCAGGGAATAGGTTGCGCCCGATGCTGGTTGAATAACGTCCGAGTCTTGGTTCCTTACTATGTTAGAACTTTGTGGGTGAACCCGGAGGCACGTTCAACAGAAAAACTCGGGAAATTCTGAAGTACCGATTCCTTTCGGACTGCTTGTCTCGGAGGACCGTAATGTACAAGCGCAGTGATATCTGAAAACCATGAGTCCGTAAAGCCAAACCCGGCCTGAAAAAATGAAGCAAGCCATCCCATGATCGCATTAAAAACCCATGAACACCGTCCCCGAACCGATCCGCCCTGATGTGAGCTAAAAATCAGGGAACATCTCGCCACCGAAGTCAACCCTGAAACACCGCATCTGAAGATGAAGTCACCTATTTGGTGGAGGAAGAGTACTTGGTGACAGCCTTGGTGCCTTCCGAAACGGCGTGTTTGGCCAACTCGCCCGGGAGGATCAGCCTGACACTGTCGAGAAGTCAGTATGTGTTGCGCGCGGGAATTGCGAAGACGGGGTTGCTCACGAGGTCTGGATCTCACGGGAAGAGATGGTGGACTTCTTGTTGTACGCGGCAAGCTTCGAGGCCTCAGTCGCAACGCGCTCAAAGATGTCTATATGCCTATCAGTACCAGATCGCTCGCTTTCGGATGCGCTGGAAACATACCGTTGACGAAAGAGTTCAGGATGGACATGGCACGGTTGGAGATACCGGTATCAGGGTGAACCTGCTTGAGGACTGGAGGCGAAACGCGTCAGTAACGAAGCTTAGCGCGCGAAAAGGCGCGCGGATGTGCGAAGAGCGCGCGGCTCACCCTTGTAGATGTAGGAAGAGTAGGTCTCCTTCCTGGACTTGGTGCGCTTCTTCTTGTCGCCAGAGGGAGCGGCAGTCTTCTTGCCAGCCTCCTTCTTCTCGGCGGGGGCCTTTCCAGCGGGGGCCTTGCCGCCAGTCGTGGGAGTCTTCTGAGCCTTGGGGGGCATTTTGGCGGATTGAGCTGAAGTTGCGCGAAAAAGCTGAAGAGCTGAGTTGGTGGCGTAAGCTGGTGAGCTGCGTGCGACGGCGCGATGGAGCGGTATGGGTGGTGGATGGAGAAACGGAGTTGGAGCTGCGTCGCGCGGGCGGGCTCAATACTTAAAGGCCGGCGAGTGATCGGGCAAGAGCTCGTCGCGTCACTTGTTGTGAGGCCCGTGCGGGGCGCGAGGCGCTAGACCGCAAGCAAGCTCCGGACTCGCTTATCCGGCGGGCGCGGCTGCGCGACTGGCGCCCTGCGCTCCGCCGGAGCCCTCGTCGCTGCCGTTGATCGCTAGAACGCGACGCTCCCTCATATAAGCTGCCCACGCCGCCCGCCTCCCATTCCCCCCCATCGACTCTCCATCTCACTACGCTCGACTTATTGCACGACCACCGCGTCAACTGACGACCCACGCATTCTATTCTCCCAGCCTAATCGCTCAAGCAGACCAACCGCAAATATGACTGGAGGAAAGTCTGGTGGCAAGGCCTCTGGCAGCAAGTCCAACGCGCAGTCGTAAGTTTCTCGCCGCTTGTTTCTGCGCCTTTGTAAACGCTTTCTGCATGTTGATTTGCGCATCTGGCGTTTTCGACGCGCTCTGCTTCCGCGAGTTTGAAATCCATTTTCTAACCCCTACATAGCCGTTCGTCTAAGGCCGGTCTCGCTTTCCCCGTCGGTCGTGTCCACCGTCTCCTCAGGAAGGGCAACTACGCTCAGCGTGTCGGTGCTGGTAAGTCATTTTGGGTTTGCGCGAGATCCGAAGTGTTTCTAACCGCAACCAGGTGCCCCCGTCTACCTCGCTGCTGTCCTCGAGTACCTGGCTGCTGAAATCCTCGAGCTGGCGGGTAACGCTGCCCGTGACAACAAGAAGACCCGTATCATCCCCCGTCACCTGCAGCTCGCCATCCGCAACGATGAGGAGCTGAACAAGCTTCTCGGCCACGTCACCATTGCCCAGGGTGGTGTTCTGCCCAACATTCACCAGAGTACGTTTGATCGGTGCTACTTTCGCGATTTGTCTGCTGACTGCGGTTCTAGACCTCCTTCCCAAGAAGACCGCCAAGGCCGGCAAGGGCGGTCCCAGCCAAGAGCTGTAAGCGGTTCTTTTCGGCTTCTGCTTCTGCTTTTTCCAGGCGCGGGTTTGGCGGTTTGCTTTAACGATAATGGGGTTTCGGCATGGGTTCTGGGTTTCACGGCTACGGCTTTGAGTACTGCAATAGGGCAGGTGCTGTACATTACATCCATGGGTATGGATGAAATCTGACGAGTCGATTACATTTCACACGCGTTTCCGATTTGAGTGATTGGATGATTCTAATTACAGTTGATTTGGTGCGGAGCCCCGCGATTTGCAAATCTGATGGGTTCACATGCTGTGGAGATCTGGGGTCGGTGGAGGCCGGGGGCGGCATTGGATATTCCGCTTTGGCTTGATGGAAACGGCGCGGAATGGAAATACAAGGGTCCCTACTATAAGCGACCAATACGCAGAATTTGGTGAGCCTCAGGTACGGCAGTTACTGTGTCTCGACCCTTGATAATGCGCACACGATCAATTGTGATGTCGAGTGCATCCAGAAAAACCTCTATGCTATATCACTGGATTTGCTTTTCGTGACTGCGTCTAAACATCCAATTCTCCACGAAGGATGTGCCGACCAGTCCGTGCAGTAACGTGTTGCTTGCGTTATGTCAAGCGTTTGAACGGACGCTCCTCGAAATGTGCTGGCTTTTTGAAGGTCGAGGCCTGCCAATTAACGGCAGCGTTGTCCACAGATATCATTTAGAGGTGTGACAAATACGCCGTTTGCGATTGGCCCGAGTAGCTAGCATGAAATCTACAAAACCACCCAATGAAGCCACGGTCCATGTAAGCTGTTCAGAGGGTCATATGCGGCGGAGCTGTAGAAAAGATCAATACTTGGAGAAGGCTAGGAGGCACAGGCATCGGCTTACGGTCGAGGATAGGAGTCGGCAAGTTGCGCTCGTACTTGGAGCCTACGAGAATTAGCAACCGTCGCTGTAGCGGGTGGTCAGGTGGAAGCATACCACCAGGTGCCTCAGGAGGCCTGTAGGGATCCGGGTGCTTCCATTTCTGAAGCAAGCCCTCTGTCTCTTCGATCAATTTCTAGTGGCAGGCGTCAGCAAGCGTGCATAGGGCGGGGGAGACTGTATTGCGGCGGACCCTCTGCTGGCGCGGCTCGACGATGTTCTTATTGGCCTCGAAGAGCGAGCGAATGTACAGGGCCTGGCCCCTCCACACGTAGCGGTGGACGGCCCAATCGAGGGCGAGCTTCAGGGAGCGTCGGTAGAGGGAGCTGGCGGCGCGTCAGTGGAGCTCGCAGGACGTTCGGGCGGGCCGGGGGGCGCACAGCACGACGGCCTTGTTGCTCGCCATGGTTGCCGAGGTCGCGATGAGACGGACGCAGCTGCAGACGACGACGGCGGTGGTGCGTGGGGCGGGCGGCGGGCGGCGCGGTGAAGGAAGCTTTGCAGGGTGCTGCTGTAACTGCCGGTTGCTCAATGGACTGAAGTTGCGAGGCGGAAGGAGCCGGGCGCGCGACGCAGTACCCTCGGGCGTGGGCCGGACGACTAAGCGGGTCTGACCTTCGTCACAGGCCTTGCGCCGGTAACAGCCAAGAGGCATTTCTTCATCCCATCATCACCTCCTTCCCCTCTCCGTCCACGCTCTCCCGTCCTGCGTCTGGCTGCCGCACTGGTCTCGTGCCCCCATACTGCCCTCGGCACCGCTCGCACACAGCTCTGCTGCTCCTCGTCCCACCTCTCGTCGCCATGTCCTTCCGTCGCGTCCTCAGCACCTCGGTGCGCTTCGCTGCCGCCTACCCGCGCAGCTCCCAGCGCCTGCCGCAATTGCTCTTCCCCCAGTACCGCACCTATGCCTCCAAGATTGTCAAGGTTCCCGAGATGGCTGAATCCATCACCGAAGGAACCCTAAAACAGTTCAGCAAGAGTGTCGGCGACTACGTCGAGCTCGACGAGGAAATTGCCACCATTGAGACCGACAAGATCGATGTCTCGGTCAATGCCCCTGAGGCTGGCACCATTGCCGAGCTGCTGGCTAAGGAGGAGGACACTGTCACTGTTGGCCAGGACCTCATCAAGCTCGAGCTCGGCGGCGCCCCTCCGGAGGGCAAGAAGGAGGAGACCGCCAAGGAGGAGCCTAAGGAGCCCGCTCCCAAGAAACAGGAGACTGCTCAGGAGGAGAAGAAGCCCGAGCCTTCGAAGAAGCCTGAGCCGCCTAAGGAGGAATCCAAGTCTCGGCCTGAGCCGCAGCAGGAGAAGAAGCCCGCTCCCGCGAAGGAGGAGCAGTCCAAAAAGACTGATTCTCCCTTTGGCAGCCGCGAGGAGCGCCGTGTAAGTTTGCACCCTCTGCACCGCGAGTCTAACGGAACTGACCCTGTCTTGCTCAGGTGAAAATGAACCGTATGCGTCTGCGGATTGCCGAGCGTCTCAAGCAATCGCAGAACACCGCGGCCTCCCTGACCACATTCAACGAGGTCGATATGTCCTCGCTGATGGAGCTCCGGAAACTTTACAAGGATGATGTGCTCAAGAAGTCCGGCGTCAAGCTTGGTTTCATGAGCGCCTTCTCCCGCGCCTGCGTGCTTGCCATGAAGGACGTTCCTGCTGTCAACGCATCCATCGAGGGCCCCAATGGCGGTGATACTATCGTCTACCGTGACTACGTCGACATCAGTGTCGCTGTTGCGACCGAGAAGGGTCTTGTTACTCCTGTTGTCCGCAACGCCGGGGCTATGGACATGATCGGCATCGAGCAGTCAATCGCGGACCTTGGCAAGAAAGCGCGCGACAACAAGTTAACCATTGAGGACATGGCCGGCGGAACCTTCACCATCAGCAACGTAAAGTACTCACCTTCGGCTTGTAGTACCGTGACTAACGAGAATCTAGGGTGGCGTCTTCGGCTCGCTCTATGGCACACCCATCATCAATCTTCCCCAGACCGGTAAGTCGTGCACACCTCCTTAGATTCTTCTCGGTCTGTATCTGATGCGTCACAGCTGTACTGGGTCTCCACGCCATCAAGGAAAGGCCTGTTGCCGTCAATGGCAAGGTTGAGGTCCGCCCTATGATGTACCTTGCTCTTACTTACGACCACCGCCTGCTTGATGGTAGAGAAGCTGTTACTTTCCTGGTCAAGGTACGTTCTCAATAAATCCACTGGGATCCACTTTGTCATTCAGTCGCTGATGAATTTAATAGATCAAGGAATACATTGAGGACCCTCGTCGCATGCTGCTGGGTTAGGTTTTCCTGTTTCTAGCTAGTGAATGGAGGTGGTTTTAAAGCGCGCATTATTTTCGCATATTTGTACAGACTAAAGCGCTCTTGAATACTTGGTTTAGGTGGGTAGGTGTACTTTACGAACCTTAGTCACACCTTAAAACTAGAAAATTTCGTAGAATAATAAGGCAACTATAATTCTAACGCCTTCTATCCCTTTATATAGACGGGCTTAACTGTCACAGTTCTTAGAAAGAGGGTTGAATTGGTAAACAAGAGGTTGTACGGTTCTTCGAAGAAGAGACCGTACGAGAGGACTATCTATCTGTAGACGAGTCAGGTGACGTCACGTGGGTCACCGGGGTGACTCATGGGGCGGATCGTGACATAACGGCTCGATTTGTCTCGCGTTTTCTACCGAAAACGAGGCGAATAGAGCTATTAAAAATGGCCTCTATATCGCCGGCCTTCGACTTCGTGTCGAACAGCTTAGAAAGAAAGAAAAAGATAGAGAAAAAAAGATAATTTCCTTAACGTACGCTCATTTTTCCTAGATTTACGCGGGTTTTCTTTACTTTTTAGAGTTTTTACCGCGTAGAGTTTCTTTATTTATTTTTTTATCTTCTTTACCTACTCTTCGTATAGAGGGTACGCCCGTTTCGACGTACCGTTATATACCCCCCTAAGACCGCTGCTAGTAAGCGGTATTACTCGATCTTTTTCCGTAGCGCGCCTCGGCGCCGTCTCTAATAGCTAACGGCTCGAGAGGGACGTTAAACTAAATAGATAAATAGATAAATAAATAAATAAATAACCCTTTATATACTACGTTTCTAAGTAATTTCTTATCTCCGCCCTACTATTTCGAATTTAGAATAGAATTAGGTAGAATACTCGCTTCTCTCTTAGCGGAGCGTATAATCTTACTAATTAAATTATATTATTCTACTATAATAAGCTAAACTTTAGAGGCGGTAAATACGGGTATACGAAGAGATTTACTTTTTAACGCTTCTAACTTATAATCTAATCCCTTTAAAAAAGCTACTTTTTCTCTATCGCTTATTTTAATTTTATATTAAAAAATAGTAGATAAACTTAAAAAGCTTATTATTATTTTATATTTTTATTATTTTTATTATTTTTACTATTACTTTTTATTAATTTTTATATTTTATTCATATATTTATAATATATATTTAAAATATATAACTTATATAATAAGTTTTTAAAAAGCGTAATTAATATACTTTTAATTAGTAAAATATTAAAATACTTAGTTTTTTCTAAAAAAAAAGTAAGATATTTATATTCTTATTAAAATATTTAGTTTTTATAAAATTTATTTTAATACTTTATTCTTAAAT